AACACAAGCTAATATACTAAATTAACGGCAGAGATAAACTAGGCTAGGCTGTGTAAAAACGACACTTCATTACCAAACTAATTACAGCGCAGGGAATTTTAGAGGTATTAAATAAAGACAGGTTAAACAGGAAGGTTTTAAGTGTTCTATATGCAGAGAAATTAACCTGTTAAAACTGTGAGCTTTAAACCGTCAGTGACTTCTTTATATAAAATCGGACTCAGCGCTCTCAGACTTTAAAATAACTCTAAATAACAAACAAATAACGCTTTTTCTATGACACCTACATTGAATATGGTTGACCAGTCCCACAGAAAACAGTTTACTTACGTGCTGTTTTAGCTGAAAACTCTGCTTTTGTGTCTTTTTTTCAGTTTTCTGTCGAAAACTGTCAAAACTGGTTCGAACGTTAAAGACGCTAATTTAATTTCCCTCCTTTTTCTGACGGACTTCTTCACGCGTCTCTTCCACACAGACTTGAACCACAGCGGCCCCTCTGGTTTATAGCGGAACTGCACCTGAAAACATATAAGAAGTGAGTGATTAAATCTAGCTTTGTTAATGGGTTAGTTTTTTTGTTTTGTTTTAGATCCACCATTAGGTCCAACAAAATCTTCTTCCTAGGGTCCTTCTCTTCTTTTCCATTTTGAACTTCAACATTTACTTACAGACATTACACTTACATAACTGTCATTCTACACTTCGATCATACAGTAACTCTTATTCTTTCTTGTTTGATGAAAAATAAACAGATACATAAATAAGATGAAGAAAGAAAAGTGAAAAGACAAAAAAGAAAAACAGAACTTATTTTTGGGATAACAAGAAAACTTAATCCATCAGAGAGAAGAGCTGAACTCAGTTTCATTCATGCTACTCCAAATGTAAACAAATACACCTTTAATAGTTTGTTAAGGAAACTTCTGTTCATGTCTGAATATTAATAAGTTCAGTCATAAATTCCATTATTCCTCTGTAGTGGACAGCAGTGATTGTTTAAACAGAGGGCAGGTCTTCGGTGTTCACAGTGACAGTGGGGGTGTGACTGTGGGAAGGCCGTGGAGCTCAGCGGAGTCACACTTCATCACCTTTTGGGGTGTCTGTGATCACACCCGGAGCTGCAGGGTTCACAGGAGTCCATCAGTCCTGCTCTGAATAAAAAAACTTACATAATTAAAAAAAAATTACATATCAGAAAAAGAAACAACCTCAGTTATAAATCACTGCATTAAAATCAATGTTTGATTTTAATTAGTATTCTTCTGCCACACTGATTTGCTCACACAGTTTTTATGCAAAAAGTGAATTTAGAATTATTTTCAAATGTCTGCCAAAAAAGGGAAAAATCTGTGGTTAGTGAACAATAAGAAAAAAAAGAAAAACATGATTGGAAACAGTAATTATAACACGAGATGAATAACAAAAATCTGTACAAATTATGTTTATGCTGGACTGTTTGATCAGAATCAGGAATACTTTAATAATCCCCAGGATTGTTACAGGAACTCCAGTGCAAATAAAGTAGAAAGAGGAGGTACATAATAGATAAAATAAGTTAAAGTAAGGGTAAAGGATGAGAACAAAAGCCAACAGTCTGCAGTTTAAGGGGAAAGTGCAGTAAAAATAGAGTTATTTCCTTTAACATGAAGTTTACAGTAGAATTATATTTGTTCTCTTATCCTCTTATTTCTCTATTTCTTACTCTGTCTTTGTATTTTTTTCTTTTCTCATTAGTTATTGTGATGTAAATGTACAGGTACTAAAATTTTCATTATCCATCTAAACATTGTAAATATTGATTTAAAACATTCATTAGTTTGAAAGTATTCCAGGGCGAGCAGAGGGGTCCGAGCAGAGGGGTCCGAGCGTCAGCGGCTCATGGGAACACTGAGGTCAAACGTGGGACTGAACGCCGTTCACTCCTGGAGGTGAGTTTTCTTCACGCCAGATTTCACACCGACTCCTGGGAAAAAAGGCGGCATGAGTCTGAAAAACTGAACCCACGCAAAGTTCATCAGAGTTCACCGAGTCCCTGAGGGTCCGATTTTGAAAATGTCAAACCTGAAATCCAAAATACAACATGGATTCTGTGATTAATGTGGGGAATATTGATCTCTTTCATAATCAGATCCTTCTAGTCCAGCTTGTATTGCTGTTTCATTTTCATTGATTCAGTCTCTCCTTATATGTGTATATCTTCTTTCACCTCAACTCCGAGTTAATTTATGTATTTGTCCAAAACCTTCTCTGTACCTCAGTTGACCTGAAGCATGTTCAGTGAAGGTTAGAAGTTCATCAGAGCCGGCATCAGGTCCTGGTTTTATGTTTGACTCTGGAGGTGAGCGGATTTCACACCCGAGAAAGTGACACGCCTGAAACCAGCAGCTCTGACACCAAAGCCTGGGAAAGTCTTCGCCATGCTGCAGAGAGGTGAAGAGGTTATCAGAGAAACATCACAACCTCTGATGCTTTCAGCAGATTACTCCTAAAGTTTAAGTTTTTTTGTTCTATATGATGTTATTTATAAAGTCAGAAAATACAGTCGGGGAATTGTGCTGCTTTTATTACTTCCTCAGGTCAAATCAGTCAGTTTCACTCTCTGGAGTTTTGTTTGAATGTAGATCTGAGAAATAAAACACTCGTGAAAATGTTTCTTCATGTTTTATAAATGATTTCTTTGGAGTTAAAGCTGAGACTGTCCGGTCCAGCAGAGGTCAGGGGTTCAGGAGCAGTGCAGACACATGAGGCCACCATGTCTCACGTCTGTAAGGTGTGTAGACTTTACACCCTGAAAAACACTTTAGGATGACCCCGAGAGTTCCCACAGAAAGGCCCGAGAGGTCGGCACCAGGGTGAGGGTAAGAGTCCGACTCCATGAGAACGGGGTGTGAAATGTCAGAGATGCAGATCTGTACATTTTCATTAGACTCTGCAGAACGTTTACGGACGTTTACAGGCTCAGAGGAAGTTTGGTGAGCTGCACACATTCACAAACACAAACTCAAACACTTCTGCAGATGACAAAAACTTCAGACAGAAAGACTTTCTGCATCCGTCCGTCAGTGTCCACTAACTCTACTCTAACTCTCAGTGCACATTCCTGTTTCCACCAAATCAACCTTTTTAAGTTCATGTATTTTAATTCTGTTGTTCTTAGATCGTGGGATGGGAGTGAGGGGTTGGGCTGGGGTAGATTTGGGTTTCTTTTATTCCTTTTTCTGAGTAAAACACTTTGTGCTCCATGGTTGTGTATGAAAATACAGACTGACTGATTCTGTAGAACTGCTGCAGTGGGTTTTCATCTAGAATTAAAAAAACAAACATCTGTTTAAGGATGGAGAGGGTCAGTCATTCAGCAACAAACTGATATTAGACAGTAAACGTCACTGACACCATGATCTCTGTGTGTCATGGGATGTGTAGTAGGGGAGACCGGGTTGGTTCTTACACTTATTTACTGTTTAGTCAGAGGTTCTAGACTGGTTCTGTTTGCTCTGTCCTGACATGTTTGGACATACTCTCCCTGTGAACTTTATTCATTTATTTCTGTTGTTTATCAGCTGATGGTGGGAGAGAGTGAGCAGTATTCAATATGTGTTTATGTACTCTGAATATGTTTTCTCAAAAATGAGATGGTGCATCTTAAAGGGGCAATCCCCTCAATAAATAAATAAATATCAGGTCAGTCTTTCAGTATAAAAAGCTCTCCATCAGAGACATTTGTCAATTTAACTTATTGATCATTTTTGGGAGGGTCCCTTTAAGAACATTTAAAAAATAAATACAATATAAATATATGAATACACAGAAAAAACATGCCATCCTAGATCAGGACAGCAAGTTTGAGAAGAGAACACAAACTCAACACTATGAAAAGTAAATAAAAAAGATCAAACTTGTATTGATATTATCTACAGTGTGCACTAAATCTAGTTTTGGAACAAACACCAAAGGGGCCCGACCCCTGATTTTGGCCCATGGTCCCCACATACTGACCCGGCCCTGAATGTTAATGTTCATGTTGTGATTTAGATCAGTGGTTCTCAACTGGTCTCACTCTGGGACCCACATTTTCCCATGATTCTTAAGTCACAACTCACTTTTATAAAACTCTAATCTTTAACATAAATACACAGTTTTTACTGAGTAAAGTGTATTTCAGAGTACATGAAGCGAGGACGACTGAAGTTACATGAACAGAAAATATCAAGTTGCACAAAATGGAGACCAGAAAAATGAAAAAATTTGACTTATTTGCATCTCTGCAGTCAGAGCAAATTCAGAAGAATGTGTGCCTTTCAAAATAAGCTATTTTTCAAAATAAAAGACATGTCAAACATCAGATCTACATCAGCTGCTCGCGACCCATCCTGAACGTGTCTGCGACCCTCTTTTGGGTCGGGACCCACCAGTTGAGCACCACTGAGATAATTGTGTGATAGATGTGAAGCTGCAGCTGAGAGCGTCATGGTGACATAGATATGATGTAAATAGATGCTGCTCAGGATTTTCGTCCATGTTGGAGAGGAACAGCTTTTAAGTCTTTCAGGTAAAAACTGAACAGAATGAGTTTTTTTTTCAGTCACGTGGGTGTTTCCCCCCGTCAACCTGACCCAGATTTTTATGACCCTCACACTCATGATTGACACCTTCCACGTGTCACCCAGTTTCCGCTCCTGAGGCGTCAGTGCGCAGGAAAGGACCTGTTTACCACTTTACACTTCTCCATGAGAAAAGAGCTGTTCCCTCCGCCAAACTTCTGGGTTTGTGTCTGCAGCTGAGACTCTTATAAACACCGAATAAAACTAAAGTTCATGTTTATTAAAGGAACATTCATGAGTCAGAGAGGAGAACCTTTAAACCAGATCTGGACCCCAGGACTTAGAGCTCACTTTGACTCCTGTCACTCAAACACCACAAACAATAAAACTGCTTTTAAATATTTTATTGCATTTTCATCAAAATACAAAAGAGGTAGAATCGTTAAAGGAATAACTTAAGTTTGAATTCATGAGAAATGAAAAAGTCTATTTACAGATATTTACAGGAATAAGTTAAGAGGAATATATTATCAGAATATACAAGAGTTCATCTCCATCATCAGTTCAGCTCCTTCTCCATCTCCTCCTCCTCATCCTCACTGTCTTCTTCATCACTGCTGGAGTCTTCATACGGACAGATGGTCGCTTGGACCGGATAGTTCCGCAGCAACATCTCTGCGTCCTGGTACAGATAATCGAAACATCTGGATTTGGGCCAGTACAACCTTTAAAAGGAGAGAAAATCAATCAATCAATCAACCAATCAATCAATGAGACACTCTAACAGACGAATGTTGAAGAGTGAAGCTGAAACTTACTTGACTGGGTGGACGACCTGAGGAGCTTTGGTCGGTTTTTCAGGAGGATTCTCACTGTGAGCCTTTAACAGAAAAGAAGGAAAGTTTAGTCAGACCTGAGAGTTCATTTACAAACATAAATATGAACTAATGAACCTTAAAGACTCCAGGTTATCAAAACTCACCTTCAGAGATCCACTTCTGTCCTCAGTTCCAGTCCACGGTCTCCACAGACCACCGGGCTGCAGTGAGACACTGTTCCCAGTAAAACCAGAGGATAATCCGCTGTTTCCAATTAAAGTCTCCATGGTTCCTTCTTTCAGAGTGGCGCTCAGTCCTGCTTTAAGTCCTCAGAGGATGTGTGGCTGAGCAGAGGAAGCTCCTATTTATCAGGACCCCGAGCTGCTGGTGCCAAATTGCGCTTTGACGCGTCTCCAAGTGTCTCCATGCGCCACGGTGTGGAGGTGCGAAGTCACACTTCAGCAGACTTTAACCATATGGCCCCTGACTCCCAAAATGCGGACTTTTGTGGGATAAAAACCAACTTTAACAAATCAGTAAAAGGTTTAAATCGACCGTCTGAGACATGTTCCCGAGAGTAACGTTTCATTTCCTGCTCCAGGTGTCCACCACGGTCTGAGTCAGGGTTTAGGGAACTAAAGTCCAACAGGATCTGATTCTGAGGCAGGGAAGGAGTGAAGTAGTTTTTCATAAATGGACTTTACTCAGAGATGTTGGTGCAGGACTAAAGTCAAAACAAGGAAAAAAACCTCAGAGCAAGAGCTGCAACAGTGGGTCAGAGAAGGTCAAGAAATTAATTATTATCATTATTATTATTATTATTATTATTATTATAAGAAAGAAAAGGCAGAAAATAAAGGCTAAAGTATGCAGAGAGACTGTTCCCTTTTCTTAAAAAGACTTGATTTGTTGTTTTATTCACTAAAGTGTCTGCAGTTTTCAGTGTTTGATAAAGTCCAGGTGTTCTTGAATGTTCCTCTGTCCAAACAGTCATTAAAATCCTAAAATCCAACTCTGAATATTTCGGTTTTGTTTACATCTTTAGATTTAATCCAGTTAAACTCTCTCACCTCCTCTCTCTCTCTCTCTCTCTCTCTCTCTCTCTCTGTCCATTTGGGAAGAACGTGAGCTGGTGTGAACAAACACGTGCCCCACCGTGGAGGGAGGCTCGCGTGCATTTGTGCGCGGCGCGGAGGGGGGTCGACACGCGCCAGCCAAACTGTATTCACAACAGGGTGGGGGGGTGTCTCAGTAACAGCCGTTTACACTCTCATTAGAAAAACATCATTTAAAACGACCTCAGGAGCTGCACGTGTCTGTTTACGTCCACGAAGATCCTCAATGACTTTTTATCCTAATACATCAAATATTACATTTACAGTCAGTGCACCACAGGGGGCACTGTGGTGCAAATATATATATACATATATATATATATATACACCACAGGGGGCACTGTGGTGTATATATATATATATATATATATATATATATATATACATATATATATATATACATATCTGTTTCTTGTAAATGGTCAAAGAAATTGATCATGTGACCAAATCTTTCGGAGATGGTCATCAATTCATGGAGTCTGTGGAGGTTGAAGCACATGGATGAAGAGGTTAGACATTTATTTAATAAAAACAAACATTTTTCTTCTCCCTTTAAAGTGAATTTAGTCTTTAGTCATCAGTTTGATTAAAATTGTGTTCAGTAGTAGAGATATGGCTCAACTTACCCCGCTCCTATGGTCAACTTACCCCCCATACATAGGGGTAAGTTGACCATAGAAGACCCTTTTGTTTTTGTCCTGCTCTATTCTGAAGATGACAGTTCTGTTTACACTCTTACACTTACAGGGATGAACAACATCCTGAAATATCTGCAGAGACACTAGTCAGAGACTAAACTAGGACTGACCTGATGTAGTGATCAGAAACATGAAACATGGATCATCCTAACCCACTCTCCCCTATATATGTATATATATATATATAAGGACAATATTGACAGGGACCATGCACAACAGGACTGAGACTTAGAGTCAGCTATAAAACTCACTTACATCTGCAGCCCCAGACAGGACTGTTTATAAAATACATAAAATAAAATATCAACACAGTCGACCTCTGACACGTGTCCTGGTTTCCCTGCTGTTCCTGCACAGACACAAACATTGTTTAAAGGTACATTTTGTAGAATTTAGCTGCTTTTTTTTCCTCCAAAGACTGGAGTTTATTCAGCAGAAGTGTGTTAAATTAGTTTATTCTGATGGAATATCACAGAAGTTTTATTTCTAATGACTTAGAAAAAGTCTGTTTATTTTAAAATCAGAGGGTCCTGCTCTGGAGACGGCCATGTTAGACCGTTATATTCTCTACAGTAACTCAGAACAAACAAACAAACAAACAAACAAACAAACAAACAAACCCAAACATGTTTAGATGATTATGTTCCTTCATAATCTCACCACTAGGTGTCGCTTAAAATCCTCATTCTGCAGACGGACCCTCACCATGAGTTCAGCTTTTTATATCAGATGAACAGGATGAAGAATGTGAAAAGATTTATTCAAAATGTGTGTGTGTGTGTGTGTGTGTGTGTGTGTCACCTGTCAGAGACCTGCAGAGAAGGTGTCTGTGCTTAAAGGTGATCTGTGGATGACCAGCAGAACATTTCTTTACCCAGAAGCTCCAAATCAGATCACAGCAGGTCCCCCCAGGGAGTGAGCAGTCAGGGCTGGGTGCTAATAAGACCCACACAGACTCTCTCTCTCTCTCTCTCTCTGTCTCTCTCTCTCTCTCTCTCTGTTCTTGTCTGCGCTGGAGCTAATTGGACCCTGTGCTCCTCTGCTCTGCTGGCTTCCTCCGTGTTTTTACGTCACTCACCCTTTTGCAGTACTTTGCACTACAATGACAAGAAGACACATAAACCCATTTCATGTTCCTGCAGCGCCGATGAAAACATGACCTGAGCTCTGGTGCTCACAGAACAAACAGACTCGTGTCAAACCTGAAAGGTTTCCCTTCTAAATTCAATCCAAAGCAGAGCTGTGGGTGTCCGGCATGTTTGTACTTTAGATTCACAGCTGTTCTTTCATGCAGATCAAATGTGTTTGGTCGATTTTTCCAGAACAGAGAGAAGCGTGAGAGGAGAAAAGAGCAGGAACATGATGTAAGATCAAAATCAGGGAAATGTCATCTCCCTGCAGTGGTCTGTAAAAACAGAGCCCACCACCACTCTATCACAAACGATCACGTCTATGACGGCTACGACACTGAATGAACCGGTGATGCTGTGAGGAGAAGTTACAGCACAGACGCTCGTATTAAATATGATTAAAGATTCCTCTGATTTATTCAAAGACGACAGACTGTCAGGTTAGAGGAGGACAGAGTGAGTTTATACTGTGAGAATAAGAGTATAATCAGTCTGATTTAGGAACCATGAGAGGGGCCCTGGTAGAAGACCTGAGGGGGGCTCACAGATCCAGAGCAGGGACATTAAAGACTTTAAAGGGATATTCTGCTGTAAAATTAATTTAGGGTCAAACCCACCGTAACCCCGAGTTAGACCCCCCCTCCAGAGATGAATGTTGTCGACCGCTTCCTTCTCTAGTTATACCAACTTTAGTAACGACCACAGGATAGAAAAACAGAGAGACACGCCCCCAACCAAAACGCCACTCTATAGCCACAAATAATGCTCAGAACAGCACCTAACTTCATCAACAGGACATATAGGGTCACAGACATAGTACTAGACACCAAACATCTTTTTAACTTTGACTCATTTCTTTAACAAAGAGACTAAACACAACTCACCTACTCTCTTCCAGTCCATTACTGACTACAGCGGGGTGCCGCAGCTCAAGGAAGAACATTTATGATCATTTCTTCATGGAAATACAATCAGACCGAGACGCTAAGACAGAAGAACGACCGCGTCTGTAAAATGATTAATATGATGATTATTACTTCAAGGAAATGATAACAGTCGACAACATTCATCTCTGGAGGGGGGGTCTAACTCAGTGTTACGGTGGGTTTGACCCTAAATTAATTTTACGCCGGAATATCCCTTTAAGACAGCAGTAAAATCTTATGATCTAAAACTAAGAGGAGGTCTGCTGTTATCAGGCTGCTTCTCTCACTGAGAGTCTGGTTGTTGTGCTGACTGACTCTAGCATAAAGTGCAGAATTACATCGGTCCAGAATGGAGGAAAGAAACAAGAATTCCTTTTTCTAAGAAGAGAGAAGACGTGATGTTAGCGAACTGTCTGAGCTGAACGCAGCAGGGCAGCTTCACTCTGATCAGCCGGGCTTTAAGGAAAGACTGGAGACAATATCGACTCTTCGGTTTCACCTGTTTGTGAGGATTATTAGAGGAGGCATCCAAACTGCAGGACACTTCACTACTGTCTACTACTGTCTACTATCCAGGATTTACCCCAAGAGGAGCACACATACATACAGTGTCAGTGTCCATGTCAGCTTTATTTATAGAGCAGGTTTAAACACAGACAGTGGCCGACCAAAGTGCTTTACAGTAAAATAACCAGAAACAATAAAAACTCTAAAAACAACAAAAGCATAAAACACCTAAAAACATCAAACAATAAAAACACTAAAATCGGAGGTAAAACGTTCTACAGAGTTGGAGCCACGACAGAAAATCCTCGATCTCCTCTAGATTTTAAAAAGGATCGAGGAACGTCTAAAACCACCTGATCAGCTGACCTCAGGACTCTGGAGGGCTGACACAGTTTAACAGTCAGACAGATATTCTGGGGTCATTCAGAGACTTAAAAACAAATAAAAGGACCTTAAAATCGATCCTGTACCGAACAGTGAAGAGAGGAAATCAGCAGAATTATGAGCTCCTGTTTCTTAGTCCCAGTGAGGAGACGAGTGGTTGAGCTCTGACTTACTAATGCCGACATACAGGGAACAACAATAATCTAAAGGAGATGTGATAGAAGCATGGAGAACTTAAATATAATTGAACTTTGGCAAGAGCCTCAGCTGAAAAAAGCAAGATTTGACCACAGCGCTGACCTGTTTGTCAATTTTAAAATCACCATCAATAATCAAACCAAGATCCCTGACACGGGATCTGGAGAGGACCTGAACCAGGTCAGGACGACCGAACAGGATGACCGCTGTTTGGTTTTCAACGGACAAAAGGGGACCCAAGATAGACCCCTGGGGGACCCCACATAAGAGAAGGATGTGTTTTCAAGCACTACAGGAAAGACCTCAGACGGCTGACACTCGATTCCACTCCAAACAGGATATTTTTATCTGCTAAGCCACAGAGAAAAGTTAAAAAAATAAAGTTTAAAACAGGAGTTTAAAAGAAACTTACAAAAATAAAACACCAAACCTTCTTCTAGGATTTCTTCTGTAGAATAAAAAGGACAGAAGAGAGACGCTGGTGTCAGAGAAACAGAGCCTCTCTTTTATTCAGACGTCCCTTTTTAATTTGAGTCTCCTCATTAACCGCTCATCACCTCAATCCTTTCTTTCTTTTCTTGTTAATCATCAGAAATATTCTCCTCCTTTTCTGCCAAAGTCATTTGTACCTCTCCCTTACAAAGACCCTCGGTGCTGACTCCATGGAAACAGAACAAAAACCTCTCTGTCTTTTTTCCCCCTCTCTCTCTGAAAACCACAGATTTCACATTTTTACTGAGAGTTTATATTTTGAAATCTATCTTCTATTTTTCTGACCTTGTTCATACTGATGGCTTATTTTTCTGGTTTTCTCTGGGCTGTAGTTCTGAGTCTGCGCTCGTCTTTTCGGGACGTTTGTTTGTGAAGGATGAATCACTTTGAAACTGGAGCCTTTCTCTAATTCATCACTAACCCCGTCCAAAGTGGAGAGTGTTATACAGACACAGATCAGAGTCTTGATTGGAAATATTCACGTGTTTCTGTTTGTGCAGTTCTCCTGTAAAAAACCACCACAGAGAGGAAAAACAGGCTCGGACCTCATGTACCGGTTCACTGAACTTCTAATCTTGTTTTTCAGCAGATAGGTTGTTGATCTGATAAAAATACGCCGTGTTCCTCATGAGAGACCTGTTGTTTTCCTGGAAATGAGAAGACGTCTCCGTCAGACCGGAGTTTTTAAAGAACAGCGTGATCTCGGTGTTCCTCTGATTTTAAACTCCTTACACTTCGCTTTGTCACCGTTTAGGTTCCTGTCGATGATTTCTGTTTTCTCCTTCTGCTCTGAACTCAGACTTTCAGCTCCACCACCACAGACTCAGACTGGACGGTTCACCATCTCCTACAGTCTGTAATCATGAGTGGAAGTGACTGTTTAAATTTGTTTTTATTAACTGGTATATTAAAATGTGAATTGATTTAAAAATGTTTTAGTTTCAGCTCCAGATATGAAAACCCGACCTTGAAGAATAAGTATGTCTAACTCCTCCTCTCTAGAGACCTCCTCCACTGTTGCCAACAAAGATGACATCATAGCTGACATCATAGCCCCGCCCCCTTCTAGATTCTGATTTTTCTCTATATTATAGTTTGACACCATAATCCAGGTGGCGACATTTTTCTTCGTAGGATGGTAGGGAAAGGTCCCGCCTCCTTCTTCTGATTGGTTAGAAAAGCTGGGCTCCGATTGGTTAGTCATCATTGTTGTGAAACGTCATCACACACTCAAGCCAAGTGCGAGCTGTCGGCTCTGTACATCGAACAGAACATTACGGAACATTATCGCAATTCTGATGCTGCGTTCAAGTTACCTCGGAAGTCAGAAGTCGGAGCTGAAAATGACGTCACACCCGAGTTCACAGCGTTTCAGTCACCAAGACGGTAAAAAGCAAAATCAGAGGCCTGAAACAAGATGGCTACATCTATGAAAGTTATTTTAGCGCTTGCCTGGTCGGACAAGGACAGCGCTAAAATAACTTTCCTAACTTTCCGCCTCTGATTTTGCTTTTTACAGACTTGGTAACTGAAACGCTGAGAACTCGGGTGTGACGTCATTTTCAGCTCCGACTTCTGACTTCTGAGGAAACTGAAACAGAATGACCCTAACCCAACAGATGATGACATTTCACAGTCATAAGGAATAACCAATCAGAGCCCAGCACTCCTAGCCAATCAGAGGCGAAGGAGGCGGGACCTTCCCCTACCTTCCCCTGGGCTCCGAGTAAAAAGGCCACAGGAGGAGTCGGACTGTGAGTTCGTAATGATGAATTTTCATTTACATGAGAGTCTGACGCAGACCTCCGTTCACTGATCTGATGTTAGACATTTTTAAATCTCTATTTTTACCTGATGAACAAACATGAAGACGAGGACACACGTCTGTTTTTCTGTTTCTGCCTCATCATAAACTCTTGATTTGACATGTCGGACCGGGTCTGGTTCTGTCGGATGTCATTCTGAGCGTCACAGAGTCTAACCTGGATCCTCTAAATGTGTTTCTTTGAGCTCCGGGTTCATTCGGAGAAGGTCAGATTGAACCAGATCTCCCTTTAATTTGAGTTCCCGTTGCCCTGGAAACAAACCGATGTGTTCAAAGTGCAGAGTAACATGATGACAACAGGGTCAAGAGAAAAAAAAAAAAGAGAAACAACAAAATAATGACGTAAAATTAGATGTGACTCACCAGACTTCATCAGAGTCCTGGAGACCAGGGGCGGGTTTTTATCTGCTGAGACACGGATCTGAATTATTACTGAGACCTGAATCATCTTTATACCACCGAGGATGAACACGTCCTGGTGTCTTTATTCTATGAATTTAATTACATTTTACATTTTTAATCTCACCATCTCCATCTCTGACCCCAGAGCAAAGGTCAAAGGTCTGATCTCCGGTTTGAACTCAGGTAACCTCGGCGTCTTCTCAAAATGCAGCCGGCTTCAGTTGCTCTCTGACAAAAACACATTTGAAGGGCTAATCCATCAGAGCTGATGCGCTGAAACACTCACTCCTGGAAATCAATTTGGACCGCAGAGGAGAGAGAGAGAGAGAGAGAGAGAGAGAGAGAGAGTGTCTTTGAGGTCGACGCCGCAGAACGAGCGAAGAAGGGAAATTAGGTCTGCAGGATGAAACCAGAGAGAGAGTTTAACTGCATGTTGTTGGTGAAACAGAGAAACCTCAGTGAGGCATCGATCAAATACAGTCTTCAGGACTCGACGAGTTTATTCTAAAGATCTTTGTCTCAATTAACGAATCTGAGAGTGGACAGAAATTAAAATCTAGATCAGGGGTCGGCAACCCGCGGCTCTGGAGCCGCATGCAGCTCTTTCTTCCCTAAGCTGCGGCTCCCAATGGATTTGTAAAATAATTAAGAAATACTTAATTACATTTTATTTTATTATTATTATTTTTTGTTATTCTAAATTCAAAGATTATAATGCTCTTGTTACTATGAAGGCTGCAACAACGAATCGATTAAGTCGATTCGTCGTGACGAAAAAATCCGTTGCCAACAAATTCTGTAATCGATTCGTCGGGTCTTTATATATGTCCATGGACACCGGCGTGTAAACATCAGCAGGACGCACAGAAAAGAAACAGCCATGGCCGAGGCAGCGGCTGAGAAAAACATGGACACAACCCAACCCAAATCCCGACCTAAAACATCAGTGGTGTGGGAAAACTTCACCAAGACTGAAAAGGAAGGCGTTCAGTGCAACATTTGCAAAGACCGTTTTGCATGGCTCGGGGGTACATCGATGATGCGTGAGCACAGGGCTCTCAAGTCTCACGCATTCAGCGTATGACACACGCATTCCCACTCGTTCACACGCTCACACACCACACATTGTATTTCTCACGCATTTAAATGAACACGGTGATGTCCACCAAGTTGCACTTCTTCAACTATGGGACTGGGGGAAATCAACTGAGTTCCTCCGAGAGTTCAGAAGCTGCGTGCCACGCACAAGCCAATCAAATAAAGTATATCTACTGAACAGCCAATCAAAAAGCAGCATTGCTGTATCCGGGTAGATTTTGATATCTTGCGGTTTAACTACAGAAGAAGACAGACACTCGCCGAAATAGTTCATTTTTTTCATAAATGCAACTCGCTACAGTTTTTTATAGACTTTGTATAAAGGAAAAAAAATATATATATGCAATGTTATCTTCATTTTAGATGTCAAAGAGGTTTTGTGGCTCCCTGTGTTTTCTTTTCTGTGGGAAACTGGTCCAAGTGGCTCTTTGAGTGTTTAAGGTTGCCGACCCCTGATCTAGATTATATCAAAGTTTTCAAGACTAAATGTCGATGGTACAGAGAGGGAGGTTTGGTCATATCTGAGGGAGAATGGGAAGATGTCTTTATAATTACAGAGGAAAACACAAAGAGCTGGAGGGAATCTGGATGAAAAACATCAGGAGATTTTTTTATAACACGACTCAGAGGAAACATCAAGATGTTGGAGGATGTTCAGATTCAGTTACCCATTGTCATTTATTTTGGGATTGTCTGAAACTTTCGTCTTATTAAGATGATTTTGTAGTTCAAGTATCTCAGGATTTTGTTCATGTGTGAGGGTAGGATGGAGCTGGAGATCGACAGGCGGATCGGAGCGGGTCTAATTCATTATAGTCAGACAGCAGACATCTCTACTAATGTGGGGTGTAATTAAAGTTTTAACTCTTTAACGTCAGGGATGATCAGAGCTGCTTCATGATTCACAAGAAGACAATCAGATATGAAATCTGCTCTGACACAAAGAACAGGCAGCAGATCTGATGAGGAGCTCTGAAGGAGCGTCTTCTTTACATGAACCAGCTTTACTTCATCCCCACAGATTCACTCCTCACCTTTTCAGTCCAATTAAACAATCAAACAGGAGGATCAGAGGACGGTGAGGAGGCAGGGAAACGGGAAAAACACTGCAGAGAGAGCTCAAAGTGAAGGTCGTGGAGGAGAAGATGGAGAACAGACACAGAGAGGAACATCAGCTGCAGCAGAGGAGCAGGAGGAGGAGGAGCACCAGGAGGAGGTTCAGGGGTCTGGAGCTGCAGGAGGGACATGAAACATAATCAGAGAGTCTTAGAGGTGTTGTAGTCAGGATCTGATGAAGTTTCAGTTTTTAGGAGAAATCTTGAATGTAAACTCTACCCCTCCAACCAGTTTTCCCCTCAGCTCCTCCTCTCCCCTCAAGCCCCGCCCACAAACAGACGCTCCTGCTCGCTCGTATCGTTCCAATTAAATTCAGATATAATGCAGATAAATACTTCAGTCATTACAAATGGGGCCCAGTCAAGGTGAAAGTCAAAAGCATTGGTGCTACTGTAGATGCCAACAGACTACCAGCAAACACAATGTTTGCAGGACTTCTACAACGAGGATAAAGTGACATAGTCCAGGACCCGAGGGAGGACAGTTTAGCGATGGCGCTACAACACGCTACAGCAGGTCCGTTTGACAAGAAACACTTCTGTTACAGACACTTGTCTTACTTTGTTAAAGCGGTTTACCTGTCCAGCAGAAAGGTTACAGGGTCACCAAGATCCCCAAGCGTCCCCCATCGTTTATGTTGACCCGGCTTTTTAGCTCTTGTCCGGTCTACCTCCGTTTTAAGCGCCCGTTATTCCTCCAGAGTCTCCGGTATTTACTTTGTTTTCTTGCTTGTGTCGGCAGTCGTGGCCAAAGGAGGATTCAGACAATTTTCCGAACTTTCTGGTTGGTTTCTACTGTCCGATATTGTAGCACGCTAACTTTGTTTGGGCTCCTGAACGACACGGGGGAGCAGCATTTTCTTGTTGACTGTTTTCTTGTTGACCGGTTTGGTGTTGACTGTTTTCTTGTTGACTGTTTTCTTGTTGACTGTTTTTTGTTGACTGTTTTCTTGTTGACTGATTATAGTTGACGTTTTCTTGCTGACTGTTTTCTTGTTGACTGTTTTCTTGTTGACTGTTTTCTTGTTGACTGTTTTCTGTTTTCTTATTGACTGTTTTCTTGTTGACTGATTATAGTTGACGTTTTCTTGCTGACTGTTTTCTTGTTGACTATTTTCTTGCTGACTGTTTTCTTGTTGACTGTTTTTGCTGACTGTTTTCTTGTTGACTGATTATAGTTGACGTTTTCTTGCTGACTGTTTTCTTGTTGATTGTGGTTGACTGTTATCTTGTTGACTGTTTTCTTGCTGACTGTTTTCTTGTTGACTGTTTTCTTGCTGACTGTTTTCCTGTTGACTGTTTTCTTCCTGACTGTTTTCTTGTTGACTGTTTTCTTGTTGACTGTTTTCCTGTTGACTGTTTTCTTGCTGACTGTTTTCTTGCTGACTGTTTTCTTGTTGACTGATTATAGTTGACGTTTTCTTGCTGACTGTTTTCTTGTTGATTGTGGTTGACTGTTATCTTGTTGACTGTTTTCTTGCTGACAGTTTTCTTGTTGACTGTTTTCTTGTTGACTGTTTTCCTGTTGACTGTTTTCTTGCTGACTGTTTTCTTGTTGACTGTTTTCTTGCTGACTGTTTTCCTGTTGACTGTTTTCTTGCTGACTGTTTTCTTGTTGACTGATTATGGTTGACGTTTTCTTGCTGACTGTTTTCTTGTTGACTGTTTTCTTGTTGACTGTTTTCTTGTTGACTGTTTTCTTGTTGACTGTTTTCTTGCTGACTGTTTTCCTGTTGACTGTTTTCTTGCTGACTGTTTTCTTGCTGACTGTTTTCTTGTTGACTGATTATGGTTGACGTTTTCTTGCTGACTGTTTTCTTGTTGACTGTTTTGGTGTTGACTGGTTTGGTGTTGACTGTTATCTTGTTGACTGTTTTCTTGCTGACTGTTTTTTGTTGACTGTTTTGGTGTTGACCGTTTTCCTGTTGACCGGTTTGGTATTGACTGTTTTGGTATTGACTGTTTTCTTGCTGACTCTTTTCTTGCTGACTGTTTATGTTTGAGTGTTTTCTTGCTTGTGTCGGCAGTCGTGGCCAAAGGAGGATTCAGACAATTTTCCGAACTTTCTGGTTGGTTTCTACTGTCCGATATTGTAGCACGCTAACTTTGTTTGGGCTCCTGAACGACACGGGGGAGCAGCGTCTGCCTCACAACCAATCAGGTTAGAGGAGGTGGAGAACGGCTTTGTTTACAGTCAGAAAGAGCGGACCGCTCAAAAATGTTCAAATGTTGACGACACAGACAGAAGAGAACACAGAGATATCGATATATTACCAAATGTCATCAATAACTAATAACTATTGACTGATATTAGAAGATGCGTCTTAAATAGATTCCTTCCTCCTCCACCTTTAACACGTTTAAGTTGAGTTACTGTCAGTTTTAGAAGTTCCCACACTAAAACAGCCTCTCTGCACGGTCACAGGTAGAGATGTCTTTTCATATCTTTAGCTGTTTGACATTATAGACTCACTTCATTTGATTAAAGCCTCTGACACCTTCACAGTATAACCAGCTCAGTATAGATTCTCCCATCAAAAGCAGAGACTCAGGGGTCGGATCTTTAACCCGCTTCACTGATCTGCAGAGGAGGACCAGACTCTAATCCAGCTTTGATGGTGTCCTCTTTTCAGCCCCTAAGAGCTGCACACAGACCATCAACAGAGACACATTAGTGATTCATCTTCTTCTGTTTCCTCTGCACTGATGAAGGTCTGAGCCTCAGGAGCAGAACTCACTCTCTGTTTTTCCTGTACGGACTGATTTGAGCAATTTTCTGCAGCCGAGTCTGAGAAGACGATGAGAGGGACTGAGGACAGAGTGAACAAACACACCGAGGTTTAAGCTGACGGTCTGATTGTTAGAAAAAATTTATTCAAAACAAAGAATTCAGACGTGAGCGCTCGACGAGTGATTTTAGAGGATCATCGTGAACTTCCAGAGATTACCAGAAACACACAGAAGGATCTGAAGCTCGGAGGAATGAAGAAGCTTCACTGATTGAAGTGCTCTGGTTCTGGGTCGACTTCGCTGCTCGATCATCCAAGTGTGATGAGGACCGACTCAATCAGCATCACATCGTTTATTCAGACTCTGAACCATGAGGACTGTTTATCATGTTATATTCACTGATATGAGCAAATCCGACCAATGGCTGGAGAGAGCTGGACTGAAGGACGGCACGGAGGCCCTCATCATGGCGGGACAAGAACAGGCTTTGAGCACCAGAGCAATAGAGGTCCAGATCTACCAAACCAGGCAAGATCCAAGGTGCAGACTGTGCAAAGAGGGCCCTGAATCAGTCCAACAGCTAACAGCAGGATGAAGGATGCTGGCAGGAAAAGCAAACATGGAACGCCATAACCATGTAGACGTAAAGTGTACAGGAACATCTGAGCGGAATATGGACTGGAAACCCCGAGGTCAAAATGGGAAGAACCTCCCAAGGTGATGGAGAATGACCGAGCCAAGATCCTGAGGGACTCCCAGATACACACTGACAAAATGGTAATGGCCAACCTACCAGACTCTGAAATCGTAGACAAACAGAAGAGTAGAGCCGTTGTGGTCGGTGTCGCCATCCTGAGCGATACCAACATAAGAAAGAAGGAACACGAGAAACTGGAGAAGAACCGAGGGCTCAAAGAGGAGACAGAGAAACCCGGGAAGGTGAAGGAAACAGTGGTGCCTGTGGTCATCGGGGCAGTAACCCCCACACTGGAGAAGAAGTGGCTCCAACAGATCCCTGAGGAAACATCAGAAACATCTCAGTCCAGAAGAGTGCAGTCCTAGGAACAGCAAGGATACTGCGCAGGACCCTCAAGATCCCAGTCCTCTGGTAGAGGACTGGAGGTCAAAGAGACACAACACCACCCAGGGTGGGCGAGAGAAGAGTTTATACATATATAATGATTTTATTATTTTTGGCATGTCTGAGTGATGTTTTCTGTCTGATCAGATATTAATGTAAAAATAAAGTAAAAACATTTTCGTGCTGCTTTATCACTCGGAATGTTGTCGCTGAGTTTGTGATATTTAGAGATTAAAAACTATAAGTGGCCTCCTGATCATCATTCATCAGTCCTTCATTGGTATTATTTATGTTATTACCTAAACCACCCCTTTAAATGTGTCAAGACATGTCAGACCCATTAAATTTATACTGTAGTAAATGTGTGAATGATCAATAATCGATATTATTGGCAGAAACAGAGGGCCACAAAATCACATTGTGCTCAGGGCCCCATTGAGGTTTAGGCCGGCTCTGTCAAAACCTATAATCTTCATTTATGCTCAAATTTGTACAAACATGACCCGGTATCAACGTCATGTCAGCGCAGCAGGTTCGTCTGGAGTTTAGTCATTTTTACATACAACCAGCAGGTGGTGCCAAAACCAGCAAACAAACAAACAAACAGACGAAGAGGAGCTTCGATTCAAAGATGGTGACAGTTTAAAATAATGTAGAAATAAATAAACCAGATCTGCCAAATTCAGTTTCCCAGTATATGAAGTCTAAACCCGCTGACATTAAGAGACAGAGACAGGGTCTGAGTCCTTCTGACAGACTTTGATCACCTCAGTGATTCATGTTTCTATGATGGCGCCAAAAAAGCGTTTCATTATTGAACGACAGGAATGAAAGGACGTCTGCGGCTCAGCGCTCACACAGAAACACAGATCTGAAATCCTTTCTGGGGATTATTCTCCGTCTGAAAACACGGACATGTGGAGTCGGAGTGTTTTCATAAATACTCTCAGCCTGAATCTGACACCTCCAGCTCTTTCAAAACATTTATGAATTATTAGTCATGATCCTTTTGTTGTCGACCTTGTAACAGCTGCTCCACTGACACAGCAGACGCTCAGAGATATGTTCGATCATTCTGAGTGAAGTCGGATTATTCAGAGCAGGTTTGTAAGAAACGACCAAAAAAACAAGTGTTCTGTCATTTAATGTTTGATGGTGAATAACTCAGCTGGTGCAGCTTTGGGAGAATAAAGAAGTCTTCATATGGATCCAACCACAGACTCCCAAAGTGACGCAGAAACATTCAGAGCTCCCCAAGAGCTCGACCGTATCACTCACATTTACGACTGAAAACAGATGTGTGTGATTGTCAAATGTATTTAGGGTCACATGTGCTTCATCCTGATCGTCTCCTAAAAGGTTGTATCCTCCGATCGTAGCTGATCGTAACCATTCAAGTTAACGTGTCAATTTACACCGACTTCTTTCCGTTCCTCTGCGGATCGCCGGACTCCTCAGCTGATCACAAGAGTTCTATTTTTTCTGGACGCCGGAGCATGGCGGATAAATTCAGCACAGATTAACCCGTGCTGGAAAGGAAGTCGGGCACAGACACAAAATAAAACATCCGGCTTCTTTTCAAAATAAAACACTCCGTGTTTCAGGAGGATCGTATTTCACACCATGCAAACGGGCGGAGACGAACAAGTGAAAGGTTTTTAGTAAGGCTGTCAAAGTTAACGCGTTATTGTCGCGTTAACTCAAGTGACTTTTATTGCCACTAATTTTTTTGACGCACGATTAACGCAAGCCTTAGCCTGGCTTGATCAAACTATCCGGCTGTTAAGCCGTGACGTAGCCGCGTTCTCTTTTTCCACTTCCGGGTCCAGCGGAGTTGTCGTTATAATGCCTCAGTGCTGCTTAAACTGATCAGAGACAAAAGCAGCGACTAAACTATCATTCTACATATTTCCTCCCAACAACAAAGACAACAAAATGACTTTATCATTTCTGTATTGTATCCATAGACTGTATACAGTCTATGATTGTATCACAAACACACGGCATCACATCCATTCATTCATTGAATTCAAAGCTTTGCGCACCAAAGCCTCGGGGTGTCTTTGGTTTATCGTTTTACATTTATTGTCCACTTGATGGCACAATAGAGCAAATGAAGCACGATCATGAAGCTTCGGCCCAGGAGGCGAGTAATTGGATGAAAAGCTTCGATGCTTCATGAGGCTTCATCTCGCCATCACTAAAATTTACGTTAATAACGCTATCCGAGTTGAAAGCTTTAAGTCCCTTTTTAACTCTGAGTGGTTCCCTTCTGAAAAAGGAGGTTATTTTAAAGAGATTCACGGGTTCCGCCATTGTTGTTTTGAATGGAGAGTGAATGGAGGCTGATTCCCCATGGACCCGGAAGCCGCTCCGCTCACAAAATGACGTCACGCTTAACAGCCGGATACACACACTGCGTGGATATTCTTGCCGTTGTAAAAGGGTAGAGGAACAGTTGGTGAGGTGTCCAGGCTATGTGAGCCTCGGGGCACTCCGTAGTTTCGCGAATCAGGAAGTAGAGCACTGACTGATACCGCAGCAGACATAAACAAATCCCCGTGAGCAGTAACTAGGATATAATGGATAAGAACACGATTTTGAACAGAAAGTTCAGCTACAAAGCCTTGCCAGATGGCTCTCTTGACAGGACAAAAGTCATTTGTGTTTCCTTTCGAGCTGAATGTAGTTACCACCGGAGTACGTCTAGTCTCAAATATCACTTGTTGGCCAAGCACACAGCTGATGCAGATTTTGCACAGTTTGAGTCAGCGTTTCCAATTTGGCGCCCACCATCATCTGTATATACAGTCCATGGTTGGAGGTATTTTGGCTTCACTGATGAAGATAGATGTGTCGTCCGTTTTTAATTACAGTCAGTTAAGATAATAATGTCTTTAAGAGAGTTTAAAATGTGAACACCTCAGTTTTCTGACAGCTGAAACAGAGCTCTGTCTTATTACTGTTGTCAGTAATAAAGTCTGAGTGTCTAATCGTGGAGAAACAGACGAGGAAACGGACTGATTAGAGTTAATGAGTTACTCACCGTGGAGGACTTGATTAGAAATGCAAATGATGTTAATTTGACTGGATGATGTTTGATATAACCTCAGCTCTGTCTAATTAGTTCACTGTGAGTCTGAACACTGACCGCTGATCAATCAAAACAAAGGACTGAGACTCACACACACACACACACACACACACACACACACACACACACACACACACACACACACACACACCTGTCCTCCTCCTCCTCTCATAGTTCTGCTCTTTTAATAAATAAAGTCTCTGACAGTCCGGGTGTAAAATAATCCATAAATAAAGAGTATTGATCACCTCCCTTCTTATCAATAATGTAAAGCTCTGTATGACGGGTGTCTGACAGCCTCCTCCTCCTCCTCCTCCTGCTCAGTGACTGGATAAGATCAGCTGTTCTTTTTTTTATAGGATCAGGAGTGAAGGAGGGAGGAGGTCCGCAGCTCACTGAGACTCCTGCTCTGCTCTCATCACAACAGAAGGATGGATGGAGTTTCAGAGGGATGGACTCCTCTCTCCTCTTCATCACTCTGCTGAATCCTGACGGACGGACCTCACATCCACATCCACGGACTGGTCTGCGTAAACCCTGAATTCCCAGCGGAGGCGGAGATCCTCCTCCTCCTCCTCCTCCTCCTCCTCACGGAGAGCTCTGAGGTCGTGAAGGTGTGAAACTTTTACGGATGTGGAAACCCGTTCACACGGATCCAGCCTGCTGTGGGTGAGCTGGTTCTGGTTCTGGTTCTGGTTTCTGTCGCAAAGGTTGAGATCGGTTCTGGAAATGTCCGAGCTGCACAACCGGAGCCACACGAGCGCGCGTCGCAGTGACTACGTGTGGCAGTACGAGTATTACGACGATGAGGAGCCCGTGTCTTTCGAGGGTCTCAGAGCGCACAGATGTAAGCTTTTCTTTCCTATAGCTTTGAATTACAACTTACTGTGTGTGTGTGTGTGTGTGCGCGTGCGTGTTTGCCCGTGCCATGTCTCTGTGTGTGTGTGTGTGTGTGTGTGTGTGTGTGTGTGTGTGTGTGTGTGTGTGTGTGTCAGGGTTCCTCACCTTTAGACTGCTGATGAAAACCACATTCATCTCTGCAGGTTCATTTACGCGCTCCTTTATCTCAGAGCTCCAGCTGTCAGGAGACACACACACACACACACACACACACACACTCCTCTGATAATTATTATCAGGCTGGTTAATGAAACCATGACAGAACCATCTGCAGGTAGGGCTGGGCGATATGGGACAAAGTTAATCAGGATATTATTGTCATATCAGTCGATATCAGGTTATAAAACTGAAATGTAACAGTGTTTATTGGTCTCATGTCTTTTCCAATACAACATATTTGGTTCCTATATAAACCATATTCTAACATCCTCGACCATCTTTAGAGGCTTTTCCAGAGAACGGCCTCATGATGGCGTCTCTTATAATCTAACTGGTGCTTTTTTCCAACCCTTAACAAGAAACGGCTTTTAGACGTGTTCCTGGTAGGGCTGGGTGATATGGGAAAAAGTTTATCACAATATATTATTTTCATATCGGCTGATATCGATCAATATCAGGATATAAAACTGAAATCTAACAGTGATTATTGGTCGCATGTCTTTTCCAACACAATAATCTCCTGCATCTGTGAGGTCTTTGTGTCTCTTTGGCGTTTTGTCGTTGTGATGTTAAAGTGCTATGGTTGGGTGGAGCTGCTGTCTGCTACGACGCAGCTGTTTGATACTTGGTTCTAATTCAGAACATGATTGGTTCAGACCCGGAGACACTCCCCTTTTCATTGGCTGTTCGTTAGGGGTGGGAGAAAAGAATTCGATTCATATAAGTATCACGATTTTTTGTTTTACAATTTTAAAATCGATTCTTTTGTTCAATAATCTTTTTTTCTTTTTCTCAAATTTTCAGAATAAATCGTAAAATCTGACCTCCATGTGTATTTTTGGGTAAATCTGGTTCCTTTAATAGTCAGCAGACGATCAGAATCATTGATCTGTTTCACTTTAAAATACAGACTAAAGATCGAGAAAATCAACAATATCGTAGAATCACAATTTAAATCAAATCGGCATCCAAACAATCGTAGAAGAATCGAATCAGGAGAAAAGCAGATCGTCCAGCCCGACTGTTCGTTAGTCGACCAAAACATGTCAGAATGACGACTATTGAAAAGGATATTGATCATGTTTTATATTGATATTGAGGGAAATTAATTTTTGATATCGATCATTATCGTTTTATCGTCCAGCCCTATCCTCAGACAAACATTAGAAATCTCATCAGGACTGAATTATTGATGCTCTCTGCGCTCTGACAGGGATGAATTCACTCTAAAGAGAAAAGCTTTTCTCTCTAACTCTCTCTCTCTCTCTCTCTCTCTCTCTCTCTCTCTCTCTCTCTCTCTCTCTCTCTCTCTCTCTCTCTCTCTCTCTCTCTCTCTCTCTCTCTCTCTCTCTCTCTCTCTCTCTCTCTCTCTCTCTCTCTCTCTCTCTCTCTCTCTCTCTCTCTCTGACCTTTCAGACTCCATCGTCATCGGCTTCTGGGTCGGACTCGCCGTCTTCGTCATCTTCATGTTTTTTGTTCTGACCCTGCTGACGAAAACAGGCGCTCCCCATCAAGAGTGAGTATCATGAACCTCTACCTTCATGTGGGTCTGTACGGGGACGGGTTCAGCACCAGAGAGGGTCCAGTCTGTCCACAGACCCACCTCAGACCTGTGGAGGTTTGACTGCAGGTTGGTCTGTGATCTCAGGCTGTGCTCCTCTGAAAAGGTCTCCGGTTCGAAGGTCTAATCAGAAGAAACTGTCTCTTCACAGAACGGTGGTTTCAGTTCTGATTTCTATTGAAGACAAAATGAGGCAGAAATAGTCTGTTATTATGATGCAGTTTAACTTCTTTATTTCCCCTCGTTTTATTCTCACTCTCCTGATCCCTCTCTCTCTTTAAGGAACCCAGACTCTGCTGAAAAACCGCATCGACCCGGCAGCTGTCTGGTGGACATCGACGGCCCCCAGGAGGAAAATGACAAAGCCTTTTCTCGCCCGCTGTTGTCAGAGTCCCGCTCTTATTTTCATTTCTACATCAACGAGGAGGATCAGGGACAGGGGAGGCAGAGAGCAGAAGGAAAGACGGGCGGAAAGCAGCAGGAGATCAGCGACAGGTCCAGAGGGATCATCTCCTCAGGGATGGATGAGATGGAGGAGGACGTGGAGAGACACCACCCTCTGAACGGACTGATGGAGGAGAGTAAGGCCGACAGAGAAAGCGCCTTCTTCCACCACTTTAACATCCCTAATTTTGTGAACTTGGAGCACGGCTCAAACCTGGGGGAGGACGATCTTCTGTACGAGCCGTCCGTCATACTTGAACGTCGCTCTCACTCACAGGACGCTCACTATGACCTCCACTGAGGCTGTTTCTGCAGACACATCACCATCCTGCTCTCCTTCTCCATCTGTGAGTCAGCGGGGGAAAACACACTCAGCCGTACAACAGCCTGACCAACAACTCTGTTTTTTCATCAAGCAGGGAAACACAAAAGATGACCCTCGACTCAATAATACACTCCACATTTCTTCCTGAAGATGAAACTGCAGCTTTTCCTCGGAGTAGGAGGCTCCTCTGGATTAGATGAAGCTGAACTGAAGACGACAGAGGAGTCAGCGGGGAGAACTCGCCGCCGCCGACTCAACTTCACTTTATTCTCCTTTTGTGATTCAGGAAAGTGGATTTGGTTTCTGTAACAGAGAGCAGATGCTGAAGAGTAGGACATCTAGTAATAGTTTTTCTATTTTTCCACAATAATCACATCTTTTCATGCTCAGAGTGAAGCATTCTGGGAAACATTAGGAAGCTGACTCAAAGTTCATTTGACTCCAAGAAGACGACGAGAGGAGAGACGGTTTATCCTTATAATGAGTAAAAATGAGTGTTTGTCACAGTGATGATGATGATGATGATGATGATGATGAAGAATGTATCAGGAGTTCTTACTGAGGAGTAAAGCTCGTCTTCAGTGCTGAGGAGAGGAGAGCAGATGAAAGTGAGACCTCTCTACTAACCGATCGATGTTTTTACAGCACCAATTCACTCCAAGTGTTTTCTGCAGACACGTAAGAAAAAACTGGTCTAGACTCTGAATCCAGACCAGACTCTGTTTACAAAGACTTGATGTAAAGACCGGACCAGACTGAGCCCCATCCGGTCAGACCAGACCCACTCCCTGGAAAGCAGACCGGTCCAGATGAACTCACAGCCTGATGGAGCTCAGGGACTCTTTAAGAGACTCTAACGGGACGAGATGATTCACAGTTAAAGGGATAGTCCGGCGTGAAATTAATTTAGGGTCAAACCCACCGTAACACCGAGTTAGACCCCCCTCCAGAGATGAATGTTGCTGACCGCTTCCTTCTCTAGTTATACCAACTTTAGCAAAGAGACTAAAGCGGGGTGCCGCAGCTCAAGGAAGAACATTTATGATCATTTCTTCATGTAAATACAATCAGACCGAGACGCTAAGACAGAAGAACTACCGCGTCTGTAAAATGATCAATATGGTGATTATTACTTCAAGGAAACGATAAAGAAATGATCATAACTTCAGTATAAAGGCCCATCAGATTAAAATAACCTCTTTCTTTGTGTTCTATTACTTCTTTTTATCACTTCAGAATGACTCTTCATTCCCATCTCAAAACAAATTGCTCATGTTTCTGATTTATTTTCTTTACTTTTCTGTATTTATGTTCACATTATTTCTCCTTGTTAATAAGTTTTGTCTACTTTGTATGTTCGGCGCATGTCGGTTAGGGTTGTGTGTGAGAGTAGGGTGAGCGAGATGTCTGTATTTGTTATATGTTAACATATAACTATGTTAATGTGTATGTTAATGTATTGTAATGTGTCCTGAGTTCTATATATGTTTGTTTAGGGAAATGAGATGCTACATCTCAAGGGACTGTCCTTTAATAAATTCAACTAAATGTTCCTCCTATATGTGTATGTCCTGTTGATGAAGTTAGGTGCTGTTCTGCGCATTATTTGTGTCTATAGAGTGGCGTTTTGGTTGAGGGCGTGTCTCTCTGTATTTCTATCCTGCGGTCGTTACTAAAGTTGGTATAACTAGAGAAGCAAGCGGTCGACAACATTCATCTCTGGAGGGGGGGTCTAACTCGGTGTTACGGTGGGTTTGACCCTGAATTAATTTTACGCCGGAATATCCCTTTAAAGCTTCTGTGAGGAAGTTTCTGTTTGTGTTGATTTTGGCGCCCCCTGTGGTGATCCTTTCATTGGTGCTGAGTTTGTCGAACCCTCCTGCTGTGGTTTTTCTGTAAATGTGTGATTCACTGTGAGTGTTTTCTGTGGATGTTTCCTTCACTCCCTCCTCACAGCATTAAAAAACACACTGAAGACCTCCTCAGTCTGGTGGTCTCATTTACTTTAGATTCATCCCTGTTCAGTCTGTTTCATAGTCTTTAAAAAACTCCTTACTGTAGCTTTAAACGTACTCGGTTTAATAGAGAGTAAAAGAAGAACAGCTCTCTCTCTCTCTCTCTCTCCAAACCTTCACCTCTGCAGAAACATTATTAAAACAAATTGAATTACTTAGAGTCTGATGAGGTGATGATTTTGCAAAAGAACATTGTGAGCTATTATTGCCCATTATCAGCAAATGCTCAAGCTTTGTATATTTCGTTGCTGGTGGGATGTGCTGGGAATAGCAGAGAGTCAATCAGCATTAGAGTGGAAGTGGCTCCGACAAATTCAGCTTTTATAGACTTTGACAAACAGCCCATTAATTCCTGCGCTGATGCACCATGGGAAATAAATATGAAAATTCAGAGACCTCCTGTCTCTCCACACAAAGCTCGTGTTCTTTAGGAGACGGGCGGCACAAATGTAATTATAGCTTCAGAGGATGGTTCTCAGGGGGCGGTACGGTCAGGGTCAGGTATTCTATATTATAATTATGATATTATTCTCTCACTCATTAGAATAAAATAACATGATTGTAGCTACACTTCTCTCTCTCTAACCCTTATTTATGTCATATTTATCAGCACCTCAGATTTCATGTGAATATAAACGTCAACATGTCAGAGTCCTGGATTCAGGTCTGGCTGGGGGGTCTTGTTCAGAGTCAGAGACGGGGGTCTTCAGCTCTGATTTAGAGGCAGCAGGGTTCAGAAAATGAAGACTTGTGTGGGCAGACGGGGAAAGGTTTCCTCGAATATCTGGAGTTATGTAACTCTCTGCTTTAGTTCATTATCCGGTGGACTCTCTGGTTAATTAGGACGTCTGAGTCTGTGCAGGCCTCCCTCTCCAGAAGACGCTTTAACTCCCTCAGACAGATTCAGAGTTTAGTTCCTCTTCAGCGCCGTGTTTCTGAATGGAAACCTGTCAAAGAAATGGGAGCTGGTTACTGTGGCGATGTGAAGGAGGGAGCGGCAGTGAGTCACGTTCTTGTTTATCTTCTGAATGAGGGGCGGTGATCAGTCATCTGGACTCGTTCGCTGTGCCGCCGCCGCCACAAACACAGCCGAGCTCCCAGAGCGTTTTCAAGAAAGTGAATTATAGACAAACTGATTTATTCACGCCCCGTCCGTTTGACTTTAAACATGCAGGAATGACTTGCATTTCTCACCTCATTCCTCTGCAGTTTAAACTTGTTTTTCCAACAGGAGGAGGAGGAGGAGGAGGAGGAGCAGACTGAGGTGTAGTGAGGATCTCCATCCAGTGGGTGGGGCAGTGGGGTCACAGCTAGTCTGCCATTTGCTCTTTCTCAAACGCCCGAGGGTGGTTTCTCCAGGCTTTGTGGTTGGCAGTTGGTGTTTGCAAAGACGCCTCGACAAACAAGGAGCAGAGGGGGAGCTGAGGGGGAGCTGAGGGGGGAGATGGAGGGAGACGGAGGGGGGAGACGGAGGGAAAACACGAAGAAAAACAGTCATTAACAATTTAAGAGCCACAGGAAGATCTGCTTTTAAGCTCAATCAGCGAAAGTCATATCAAAGTCTAGACTTCAAACTAAACCTGGTTTTATTCACTAACACGAGTTTTTGATGATCCTCTGATGCAGACAACATTAATTTGATGTGATGAACATCATTAAAGTCCGTTTGTAATTCCCATCAAACAACAGCGAGTAAACGAAACGCCGACATTTAGCGCCACAGCGGTCAAAAATCTTTAGCCTTTTCAGATCAATCACCTGCCGACAACAGTGACGTAGCTACCTTTTTACAAAATAACAGGACAGCGACACCTAAGGCACACAAAGTGAACTGCAGTTCATTCAGAGCAGACCTGGACATTTTACAGCCTGAGGGCCACATCCGGCCCCCTGGATGTCCCTGCCCGGCCCTTTGTGAGGTCCGTCAAACAAATCATCGACATGCTATACACATGTGTTGCTTTTATTTTGAAAAACTAGCCGTTGTTTTATTTCCATTTGGACGCACGTGCGCACATCCTAGATCTGCATCTGTGAGGTCTCTGTGTCTCTTTGGCGTTTTGTCGTTGTGATGTTAAAGTGCTATGGTTGGGTGGAGCTGCTGTCTGCTACGACACAGTTGTTTGATACTTGATACCAATCATGTTCTAATTCAGAACATGATTGGTTCAGAGCGAAGTGGAGAAACTCCCCTTTTCATTGGCTGTTCGTTAGGGGTGGGAGAAAAAAAATCGATTCACGGAAGTATCAGGATTTTTTGCTCAAAAATCTATTTTTTATTTTCAAATGTAAGAGTAAATCTTTAAATCTGACCTCCATGTGACGTTTATTTTTGAGTAAATCTGGTTCCTTTAATAGTCAGCAGACGATCATAATCATTGATCTGTTTCACTTTAAAATACAGACTAAAGATCGAGAAAATCAACAATATCGTAGAATCACAATTTAAATCAAATCAACATCCAAACAATCGTAGAAGAATCAAATCAGGAGAAAAGCAGATCGTCCAGCCCGACTGTTCGTTAGTCGACCAAAACATGTCAGAATGACGACTATTGAAAAGGATATTGATCATGTTTTATATTGATATTGAGGGACATTAATTGTTGATATATATCGTTATTGTTTTATCGTCCAGCCCTAGTTCCTGGTGTCTCAGGGTAGAATACCGTCTTTTCTTTGTGCTTGTTGGAGTTTCACACTTCTTCGTCTTCTTCTTGAGTAACGAGAGATTAACATGATATCACAGTATACCTTTAGTAAACCTGGACACAGAAGCACCACAGCTGCGTGACTACGGGATATGACCATGATTATATAGATGAAGAAGATCTGAAGAAGGTGACTCAGTTGATCTAAAGAGAAAATGAGGTTTCACTCTTTCACTCCTCCAGCAGCTCTGAGGCTCATTTACAGCCAGAGGACTGAGTGGTCTGAGTCGTTATGTTGGAGCTTTTTCCCACACTAAGATCACAAACGATGATTTCAGCGGCTCAAAGGGACGAGTTTTACACCGTAATTACGTTCCTATTCCAGCCGATGAAAGGAGCGTCTGAATGGCCCTGCTTTGGCACAGGAGACCGTCTTTTCTCCAACTTCAGACTATTGTCATTCTGCCCGTCTAAATCCTCTGCCAAGCAAAGCAAATCCTGGTGGGTCTGAGGAAAACAGCTGTTTACGCCGCAGTGTCTCTGGCAGCGTGGACTGGGCTGCAGCCAGGTGAGCATGTTTGAAAGACACACACATACACACACACACACACACACACACAGGAGGAGGACTTTGAAACCAGAGACAGAGAAATGTTTTCAACATCTCCTCGAGCTTCACGTTCCAACTGCAGTCAGTGGAAGTTGCTCGGTGGTATGTGTGAGTCATCCTGCAGACATTCGCTTTGTTAATGTATAACAAGCTTTAAGAGCAGACCCGAGTCAGAGGAGACGTTTGTTTTCTCTCTGCTTTTGATGGGTTTGCATATTTTTTTGAACATACTGTTAACTTCATCACCAAACCAGAAAAACTCGACCTCCTCCTCCTCCACTCCTCCAGATGATTATAATACAGGTGTAATTTTCACATGACCTTCAAACACACACTAAAACGTCGGATTTTGGAAATGCATTTCAAAGCCAGCTCTCGTTCCCTTCAGGGGTATAAACCTGCGACTTATCCGCAGTTTGTTCTGTTCTGATCCGCTCTGCCATGAGAAAATAAAGGCAGAGTCTGAATTTTTTATAGGCCTGTGAGTGAGACGGGTTTCAGCTTCTGTGTGGCATCAATAAATCATGAGAGAGACACACAAACAACAACAGACAGAGAGAGAGAGAGAGAGAGAGAGAGAGAGAGAGAGAGAGAGAGAGGACGGATCTGTAAGAGAGTCTGCTCAGGATTCAGGCTTTTAACACGAGGATCTGCATAAATATGAGAGGTGAAGGTTAAACTGAGAGGTCAGCAGAAACATCTCCTCTATTATCCTGTAACAAGAGTTTCAGGATTCATCAGAATCTTCCTCTATTAGAACCTCAGAAGACGAGCGCTCCTACATGTACGGATATTTATCCTAATATACAGATGAAATATGTTCTAACCGAGCCGTGTTTACAGAGTTACTCTGTGTACTCACCTCTGTTTACTCGGCTTTATTCCTCAAATACTAACAGCTACCTCTCTTTATCCTGTTTGTCTTTCTAACTTTGTTTCTAATTCATTTTGTTTGTATTTTTTAAAACCGTTTCTTTGAGCCGACAAAGTTTTCTTTATTATAATAATAACTTTATCTGTACAGCACTTTTAAAAACAGAAGTTTACAAAGAGCTTCGACATATAGATTAAAAAAAGTTCAGTTAAAACTGAATCGAAGGTCATTTTCATGTCATAGTGAACCCAGAAAATACAAGAACCATGAAACATAAATGAGAGCATGAGGACCAAAATAACAACATAAAATAGTTCAGAAAAAAGAAAATGTAATTAAAAGGGGGGATTAAAGTGGAAACAGGATAGTATATACAAAAGTCAAAATCAACAATCAACAGGTAATACTGATAATAATAGTAATGATAAAATAGAGCAACAAATAGTGTGTCTATGCGTATATATGTATATATGTATATGTATATGTGAGTTTCTGGATTTGTGCGTATCGAAGAAACTGCTCATTTTGTCTGTTTTCTTGTTGTTTTTATGCAAACATATAATTACCTGTCTGCACCTGCTATAATGTTAGTTTTATTTAGTGGTTTATGTATCATGATCTGTATTTCCTGCTGTCTGACCAGGGATAAGGACTGTAAATTAGCCACGGCTAGAAGTCCTACATACAGCATCAGTTATTCTTTAATTAGGTTCAACAATGATGGACTGTCCCTGTCAAACAGACGAATAAAAAGAATAAATAAAAAAATGAGTTAGAGATAAAACAATAAAAGGAGTTCAAGTTTAACAAAAGCTAAAAAGACAGTAAAGCTGAAATAAAAGACAAGAGGTAAAAGAGATTAAAGATTAAAGACTGTACCACATAAAATCAAGTCTGTAAAAGTCAGTTTTTAAATCTGACTTAAGAAAAGTGACTGTCTCTGCACCAATAATAATAATAATAATAATAATAATAATAAACAGTGCTATAGTCTTATTTCCTGCCGGTGGTCATCAGACTGTTTATCTCCCCCCTCAGAGACTCGGACCCCCTCAGTCAGTCGTCTTTATCTGGACTCTCTTTACTGTTTTACATGCATATGATGTTACTATTTGTGTTGTATGTAGTATAAATACTTGTATATTATCTCTTTATTTTTACTTATTTGTATCTATTATTATCTCCTCTTTTTATTGTATTTGCCCTGGAGTTACTCTGACAAAAGCTCTTTCTATCAATTTCTTAATTTGATTCTGTTCAATAATCAGGTCAGGAGTCCCAGTCCATAGGTTACCCTGCTGTCTCTCTGTCAGAGAGTTGGAGTTGCACAACAACCCGCCATTGCTGCTGCCTGAGTGTGAGTGTGTCACCTGCTGTGTGTGTGTGTGTGTGTGTGTGTGTGTCACCTGCTGTGTGCCTCAGGGTGTGTTACCTGGCCCGGGCAGATTCCTCCTCCATGTCAGCGTCCTCTACCTGAAGAGAAGAGGAGAAACCCTGACTCAATGACACAGTCTGCAGGAGTCCGCTCAGATATTTCCCTTTAACCTCCTTCTCTCTCTCTTTACATATCAATAATATTAAATATTAAGGAGTTGGTGAGCGGGGATCTGCTCGGGGCTGTGAGGAGGGACAGGTTTACCTCAGCCGGGCGGAGCAGCTCCTCAAAGACTCCTTTCAGATGATCTGACTCCTTTATTCCGAGACAGCTGTGGAGGCAGCAGAGACCTGCGATCATGGTAAGACCTGACTCTCTCTGAGCTCCTAAAACACACAGAAAATAACAGGATTTTACTGTCTGCGCTCTGTAGTCGAGAGAAACTCTGATCCAAGTGTCTGAAGTCCAACAAACCGCGTTAGTTTGGAGTCTGAGGAGAAACTCTGCAGGACCTCCGTCCGGGTTTTTAACAGACTTAAAGGTTTTATTTTACAGCAGGTCTAAAGGAAACGTTCAGACCCGTTAACTCAGCTGTTTCATATGCAAACACGCTGCGCCATTTTTACAGTTTAGAGAGAAACGCTGCGTCAAAGATCATCAGCCTGTTCGGACATGTCTGTGCTCTACTCTTCATGTCTTTAATCAACTTTCCCACCAACGAAGAAGAAGAAGAAGAAGAAAGAAGCTTTTATTATTTTCACCTGGATTCTCAGACACTCCCTCACCTGAGGCACACCTGAACTTGGAGGTGTCTGTCCCCTCCCCGGTCCTCAGTCCCTGTACTCGGTCTGATTTTCACTCAGTTTTACGGTTAAAGAGTTAAACTCGGAGTTAAACTCGGAGTTAAACTCAGAGTTCACTCCTCACATGGAAACTCTGACTTGAAGCTGCCCGCCAACTCAAACACGTGCACGCGCCTTTGGACTAAACTGAACAGGCTCCAAAAAACCGCAAATTGGTCATTTACGTCATTTCCGCTGGAAAAGTTTGTTTGGACGCGGCCCGCTGATGCCTTCAGGGACCAGAGTAAAGCTGGGAATTTTCAGCTCTACATCGCACATCGCCAATTTCTCGATAAAAGAAGAGTGAAGGCCTTTACCCGGTCTGACCTGATCACATAATCTGTTTATTTGTTTGTTTGTAACCTCATCAGCTTCCACAGAATGGTTGCTCGTCTTCCTGGGGTCCAAAAAACTTAAAATCACAACACAATTACATTTTAACAATTAATTCCTGATAAATACAATTACAGATTCAATTCATGATTCATCCCAGCATTAAAATCCCTCTAAAATAATCTGTGCTCTCATAGTTCATTCATGTACACAGCTTTGTTTCACAGTCCCTTTACAATAATACCTACTGCTTATTTGCTGCGTGCTCCTGTAACACTGTTCTCCTCATACCATTGGACTTGGAGAATGGATCAATTCAATGACCAGAGCTGACCTGCCGAGTGACATGTCGATGACAGTAGCTACTTTACACCAATCTGTCCACAAAGAAGGTTGGATCCCCTTTAAATATGTCAGTATGTATGTGGCAAAGATGTTACATTTAGCGTGTTCTGTACCTTTAACCACGCTGAGGTCGTGTGTATCGCACTCACATTCACTCTATAAGAACCACCAAGGGTTACCCTGGCCGCAGTTTTTTCAAGTGACCAAATGACTGAGCAGTACTCCAGGTGTGACAGAACCAGGGACCGGACCACTGTTTTCATGACAGAGGGTGCCCACTGGGCAATGCGACGTTGAAATGACATCTATTTAACGACAATGAGGTACAAATGTGGACGTCGTTTCAACGTCTAAATGACGTCTAAATCTTGGATCCATTTTGCACGTTGTAACGACGTCCAAATTCTAAACAACAGAGTGACGTCTTAAAAAAAAGGTCCAATTCGGCCGTTGAAATTTCTTTGACGTCTTCAGTGTTTGGTGGGTGGACAGTTTGGTGCCGACCTTCAAGCCAAGGGGACACCTCTGCCCACCCTGGACATGATATGATTAATCTGATCAGAGCTGATTGTTTAACTGAACACCCAGGAGTTCAGTCTTGGACACCTGCTTTATCATAGTTGTATTAATAATAAAATCCATGACTTCTCTTTTTTCTGGTCCACGTAAATCTGGGCGGACTCAGATCCTTTAGGTTTCTGTTTCATGAAAACATGAAGACCAGATTTGAACCCGAGGTCGGGCAGAGTCTCACATACTTGACAGCAGAGTGTCATCTGAGGTGCCAGGGTGTGACATGTCAACACTGAGGCGTCGCTGTTCAATAATACCACAGGATTTAGTCATTCATATAATACAGCCTTCATTATTTCATCATATTCACCCTTTCATCACATGAACAGATGATATTTAAACCATAAAACCATGACCCCATGAAGAAGAGTGGATCTTTGAGTCCATATGACTTTGATATAAACATGATCGTGACAGTAGAACCGGTTCTACCACCTTTCAGGGGCGTGTCCAGGGGGGGTGACCCGGGGGCAGGATCTTTCTTTCATAGGATGGTGGGGGAAGGTCCCGCCCTCCTTCGCCTCTGATTGGCTAGAAGTGTTATGGTTAGGAGATTCAGAATTGCGATAATGTTCTCTCTTAAAATCTGATTGGCCGCCTCAATTAATGATATAATACTGGGATGATGATATTAAAGTACATATGTGTGTGTTTGTATGTGTGTGTGTGTGTGTGTGTGTGTGTGTGCGTGCGTGCCCCCCCCCACACACACACACATCGACACAAACAACAACAGAGCGCAGCAGTCTCAGAGGAGGTGATCCCGTCATCTTCCCCATAAACTCTCCTTTCTTCAGACTTAACTCTTTCATGACCAAGTTACAAAAATCAGGAACATTAACTTTAAAAATTCACCTCTTCAAACTGAAAACACATAAAAGTATAGATGTGATCAAACAGAAGCTGACTGCTCCAGATGTGACTCTGTGAAGACTTCAGAAAATTAGATGAAGTTTAAAAAGATGTTAAATAAGTTATTGGAATAATTCAGAGTTAAATATTCGCCCTCACTGCTGACAGACCGATGTAATAAAACAACGTCTGAGTTCTGCTGACCGTTAGCCAGACTAACCCTGTCAGCTAAATCAAGCTGCTGTCAGTGTGTTGAACACTTGTTGAGGAGCGACACTCATCTCTGAAGTTTACGAGCGACACGTGAAGGCATCACAAAACCACAGAGTTGGTGTGCTCTCCGCTGGAGGGGCAAAACTTCTTCTTCAGTGAGTGAGTGAGTGAGTGAGTGTGCTGCTCTCATGCAGATGTGGATGGAGGAGGACTAAACAACACGAGACTCAGACTTAGACATGCGGGTTATTAAGAAGTGGGGATTTCTGAAGGGCAGACTAAAGTCTTCTTCTTCTGTTAGAGTTTTCTTCTGTTAACTGAGGGTGAGTTATTCTTGTTTTTTTCTCTGTTCAAATGTTTGATAAAGTCCAGAAAGTTAAGGATAGATGTCTCTCTCTCTGTCTCTATCTTCATGTTAAAGAAAGTTTCTGCTCTTTATTGAACTTCTTTGGTTTCCTTTTTTTTCTCGATGCAGTGATTTTGTGTTTGTTTTATGCTCTTTAGGAGTTTTTGTTCTAAACCAAAATCATGTTCACATCCTACATAAAGAATCTGAATGATATGGTTTTTTCCACGGTAAGCGTACAGCTCATAAACACTCATGCATGTCTTTGCGATGCTGAGAGACGCATGGCTGTACTAAAAAATGTCTTTGGACCAACAACCTCTAATTATGTGTGATTCAGAAACTGCACTCCCTTCTTTTGTTCACGGTTTGCATCACCACGTGTAACCACTGTCACAGCGTCTTCATGACAAACATGCATGTTGATTGGCTGCTGCTGCTGCCGCCGCCGTCGCACACCTGAACAGATATTCATGTGGGTTTTTATCTCTCTGCTTTGCTTCAGTCTGAGACCCCTGAAGAGCAGCCCAGCACCGGGGTCTTGGGTCGTATCGGGAGCTGGTTCTCTCCATGGAGGGCGTGGAGTCCGAGGAGTCCGTCTGAGAATGTCTCGCCAACCAGCGACTCGGTCTTCAAGTCAGACGGAGAAGAGGAGAGTAAGGAGGCTGTGAGGAACCTCACAGGCATTTTCTTCTGTGAAGATCAGGACGCCACGCAGTCTGCCCACAGAGACGGCTCAGCTGAGAGCAGCTCTGAGGCTCCAGGAGGAGATCCAAATGAGGAGGAGTCTGTGGGGTGGAGGGAGAAGAGAACAGGGCAGGGCAGGGAGAGGGCGGAGAGCAGCAACGGCGCTTCAGAAGAGAGCGGGAATCCTGAGAAGAATGCCAGCCATCTGACACATCCCTCTTCTTCTTCTTCTTCTGAGCAGGGAGTGTTAGGAGGACCTGACCGAGTCCACCACGCCCAACCTCAGGCCCAGACAGGCAAGAGGATCCAGGTGTACCTGGAGGAGACCAGTGTGATTCACTGCGGCAAAGACATAAGTCCTGGACAGGAGGTCATCACTAAGGTCAAGACGAGCCTTCAGGTGGTCCCCAGGAAAAAATCCTCAGAGAGCTTCGAGCCGCCGGAGAGCGCCGCTTCAAGTCCTGGGAACAGAAGGACAAATGTGACGCCCGCAGCCGGGGCGCCCAGTTATTACAGTGCCCTGGTGGGAGTGTCACTGAAATCACACAAAGACTCCGAGTCTGAACCGGATCAAAAACAAACAGAGGAAGACGTCATGGGGCGGAAAAACTCGGCCAAGAGGAGATTCAGGAAGAACTCTCAGGGAGATGGAGGGAACAGCCCCCAGCAGGAAAAACCGGGCCCCCCTCCGGACTCTGAGGGATTCCCTTCATCAGATAAGAGCCGGACCAGCCCTCTGGGTAAAAGTCCACAGACTGACACGGCGGAGTCATCTGCAGACTCCTCCTCTCTGCACAATCCCTCCTCTAAAGCCTCACCTGAAGGAGGTGAACCTTCCTGTCCTGAGTCAGTCACCCAGCTGGACGACTTCCAGGACGCCAGCTCCTCCGTCACAGCAGAGAGCGCGGCGGGTGGAGGAGCAGACATGGAGGACGATGAGATTTTTTACAGGGTGGAAAGGAAAACAGAGACACCGGAGTCCAAACGCAGGAGTCTGAAGGTGTCCCACAGCGAGGTCAAGTTTTACACAAAGAGTGTGGCTTTAAAACCTAAACAGGGTCCAGAGGGAGACCCCCAGGACTTCAGGTCGACTCTGAAGACCACCAAAGAGGAGGCAAAGGACAAGGCTACAACAGAGACTGACTGGAGGTGAGTTCAGTTCAGAGTCAAATACAGACAGGTGTGTTTTCTAACTTCAAACGATGACTCATGACGTTTCTATTCGCCGCTGAGTTCAAAACAAAAAAACACTTTCTCTGAAACTAGTCAAAGAAATAAAGGTTTTAATTTTACAACGACACGCCTCCACCCTGACAGTCAGAACAGAGGCTGAGATAACTGCAGGAGACTATCTCAGTGAGTCAGGAGACAAAGTTCAGCTCCGATCAAATACAGGTCAGCTTTACTCAAACACTCAGATTCAAGAAGAAGTGATTTGAGGCGGGACTCTGAAGGCCGTCCAGCCGGTTTGATTTGTGCACACAAGCTCCAAACGCTGCTGTTGACTCCAACTGTTTGTCTTTTCTCACACAGACAATCCAAGAAGCTCAAAGATGAGACTAAACCTGCTGCCGGCCGAATCGCTGATAGGATCAGCCTCTTTGAGCGCCCTGCAGACGGGGTCAGCAAGTTGACCTTTAAAACCCCCCGGAGCGCTGATGTTTCCCCGGTCAGAAAAGGCCCCGAGGAGCCGAAGGTGAATTTATCATCACCAGACCTGAGGTCAAGATCCGCTGAGCGTTTCGGTACGGGCAGGTCCAGCTCGGCGTCTCCAACCAAAGACAAGCCGATGACGATCAAGGAGCGGATGAAGAACTTCACCGAGGCGCCTAAAGCGAGGGAAAAGCCGGCACTGCCTCGCAAGCCAGCTATGACAGGAATGCCTCAAAAACCCGCCGTGTCGGCTCCATCAAAGTCACGAGAACTGGACCGTCAGGGTAAACCGGATTCTGTGGAGCACAAACAGGCAGAGGCAAAGACGACGATAACACCGAAGCTGGACGGACAGGACTCAACGGACGCCGGGGTCAAGATCTCTACTGCAGACTCAAAAACAAAGGACGCCCCAGTCAAGTCCGACCAGGGTACTGACCCGGCAGCCTCAGCTAAAGGGCCCGAAGACTCTAAAGACCTGACCATCAACCTCAGCCCCAGGTCTAAAGGCAGGACAGGGTCCCGCTCTAAGAGGAGGAAAAGTAAAGAGCCCCTCAGTCCAATGAGTCCAAACAGTGAAAACAAATCCGACCACTTTAAGACCGAGACAGAACCAGCCGCTCCAAAACCAGAGCAGGTAGATGGTCCAGAAACCACCTCTGCATCCACGGACGTTTTTGATCAAGAACAGACGGCGGACAAACTGTCTGACTTTAAACAGAAGTCAGAAAAACAGACGGACTCTCCCTTTAAGAAGGAGAAAACTGAAAAACCAGGAGGAGAGCCGAGGGGATCGGCTGAACCCGATACTGCTGGGACTCACAGCGGGGAAACAAAGACACCTGTTGATAAGGATTCAGTGATCTTAGCCAGAAAAGAGGAAAAGGAAAAAGGATCGTTCACTCAGGAGGAGAAGAAGGAAACCTCAGCCTCCTCCTCCTCCTCCTCCTCCTCTTCACCTGCAGCTGAAAAACCTGCTCAGAAAACTCCTGTGAAGGACCAAGAGACACCCGCCGAACATCCCAAAGTCAACAAAGACTCACCAAAGAAACCCGAACGGGAGAATAAAGGAAAAGTTAAAGGAATCAGTCAAGAGGAGGCCGGGCAAAAAGACCCGACCAAAAACCAGGACATGGTCCGAATCAGGCCGGCTGAGAGGAGAGACGCCGGGAAAGTAGAAAAGGTAGAGAGAGAGAAACCGAACCGGGCTGAGAGGAAAGAAACGGACAAATCAGAGAAGGTAGAGAATGAAAAAGCACTTCGTCCTGAAAAGAGAGAGAAAGAAAAAGCAGAGCTGCATTTAGATAAAAGTCCCAAAACCTCTGTGGTCTCAGAGGGGGGGCAGGGCGTCCCAAAGACAGACGGGGCTGTTGTTAGAAAAGAGGACAGAAAAGATAAAACCCAGGAAACAACAAAACCAGAAACCAACCAACAGGACGTGGCCTCAGAGTCCACCAGAAAGACCTCATCAGAAGGTCCTGTCCAGACACAACATGAGAGACAGAACAAGTCCACTCGTCCTCAGAAAGGTGACGGCGGCGCCATCATCGCCCACTCTACCGAGGCTGCGAACGGGTCCACGAGTCAAACAGAGACCGAGCAAAAGACAGAAAACACTCGAGCAGGAAACACAGAGCCGAAAGCTGGTTCTGTATCCGTGGAAAATACTGAAATCTCAGCAGATGACTCATGTGCACATGGAGCTAATGATCCTCGACTCTCCAGCCCAAAGCTTATTACCAGAGCAGCAGTCAAGGAAGTGAGCGTAAAAGCCCGTAATGACCCTCCAGCTCTGATTACTGCACAGGCAGATAATACAGCAGAGACTGAAACTGCTCCCAACAACCCCACTCCTATTTCTGATCACAAATCAGCAGAGAGGGAGCGAGGACCGCCGGGTCGGGCCGCCAAATTAGAGCCCTCAGAAGGTGACATCTCAGGAGATAATGGGAAAGTCTCTTCAACGGGCCGGGAGCTCAAGGAACCGAAGAAAACAGAGAGACCAGGAGGCGTGACGGAGATGTCCTTGAATAACTCCTCAGTGACTGTGCTCCAGGGCACAGCTGAGAAAACAGCATCTCCTGTTGCTAACGGCGATATCACCCCACATCCACCTTCCAGCAGTGTCACCAAGAAACCGAGTCCAGCCCCAAAATCACCCGCTTCACAGGAGGTCAAGAAGCCGGACCAGGACTCAATCCAGCGCTCCCCCATGAAGAAGCTCCACCTGCCCCGAGGACTCAGCAGAGACGCTTCTGGGACGAGTGCGGACCAGGACTCCCCCTCCAGCTGGCTGGATGTGGACCTGCCCAAGAGAAGACTCAAAGTCTCGATGCCCAAACTGACCTCTGCCGGGAGCGAGAGCAACCTCCTGGACACGCCAGACGACCTGGACGACAACGACTTCATTGATCGAATCAAAAAACTCTGCGCCCCGTTCTCCCTCCCGCCACGGAGACACAACCCGTACGGACCACCTCAGCCGCCGTTCGTCATGCCTGCGATCAAGGAGGACCGCTTTGAGAAGACCTTCGAGGAGTTCAAGTTTGGTCTGAGTAAAAAGAAGCAGTTCACCCTCGACACCCCCTCGAGCACTTTAGCCAAACTGCAGAACCCAGAGGAGAAAAGTAGTCCCAAACCGGCCCGGGCCAGTCTGGCTGACCGGAGCCTGCTCCTCAGCAGCATGGACACCCACTCCCGCCTCAGGGAGAAGACCCCCGCCAAGGAAGACGAGGACGCCAAGGAAGACAAAGAGGACCAGATCAAGCGGAAGTCTCGCTTGGAGGGCAGCTGTGTCCTCAGCAGCCTGAGCTCCTCCATCTACAGAGGAAAGAGGACCGGACTTCAAACCCCGGCCGAGGAATCCCACTCTGGGGACGTTTCACCCAGCGGATCGCCCGGAATCAGCCCTCCATTTTCATCCCAGCCCCTCCCACCGAGCCTGACAGCCCCACTCAAAGACACAGTGGCCAAGCAGAGCAACAAAGAGGAAGCCCAGGCCGGGGAGGCTGTGGTCAGTGACTCAGGCCCCCCACTTCCCTCCTTTAACGACATCAAGCTGCCCGACTATTTGGAGAAGTACCTCCCCCGAGAGCCGAAGTCCGATCCAGGCAAACAAGGACAAGAAGAGACCAGAACAGAGGTTAGTGTTTCTGTATACCCTCTAAAAATGACATGAATGTAGTGAAGCTTTCCTCGCAGACAGACCGTCTCCTTCAGACAATAAAGACCAATGAGAGCAGAGCGCCGCCGTTTCATAACCTAAAGACAGGAAATGCTCATAAAAACAGGAGCTCTGCTTCATCATCACATCCTAAAATAACCGGGAACGCCTCGCTGATACTAACCCGACATTTTTGTTGTTTTTTTTGGACCAGGCTACAGAAAAAATGAGAGTCTCTGCAGCTGAAGTAGACGGGGCCGTAAAACCAGCTCCACATTTTCCTGGGATTCCTCCACCCACACACTCCACCCTCCCTGAGCTCCAGTCACAGGGAATACTGACCAACACCGTAAGTGTGCAGAGTCCTGAATATTTCACTGAGGACACAGTTTAAAGACCTGATGGATAAGAGTTAACGGACCGTCACCTCAGAGAAGTCTGTCCTAAAGGATCTGGACTAGATAGGAAGTCCTTTAGTCCACGGGACAGAGACTCTGCTGTCTAAGGGACCCTGAAGTCTTCATTTAACCAACCCTCATTATTGTCAATCATTTTCTCTAAAGGGTCCTTGACAATAATAATAACAATGATTAAAAAATAACAATAAATAATAATAATTATAAAGTAATAATTATGATTTAAACAATAATAATAATAATAATAATAAAAGTAATAATTATGATTTAAAATAATAATAATGATAAAAATAATAATAATTATTATTTAAACTATAAAAATGATAATAATAGTAATGATGATAATAAAATAATAATAACAACAATAGAACAAGTGGAGCAGATTTCTCTCCTTTAGGGGATTTAAGATCAATGTTTTATTCTGTATCAGCTCCTGATCAGAAATATTGATTCTCTAAATATCATGAGATAGATGTTTTCACGCTCCGTACACAGTCTATATTCAGGGTTTATAACAGAAGGAGGAAAAAGCTCATTGAAGGAGAATTTTATCAGTGGGACACAGTCCTGAATTTAACTCTACTCTTAGAAATCTTTGACATTAATCAATAGAGCAGACCTACAAAACTTCTCCTTTAAATGTTAAACTTGATTGGATTTCTCTCAAAAATTCTTCTTATCTTAAAATACTGAGAGCAGACGTGTTGGAATGACCGGATTTTTCCAATCAGCTGATCACATTTTAAAGTTTGAGATTATAACGAACACTCTGATTGGCTGGCCGAGATCAGGTTCAGAACATCGGGCTTCTCCGTCTGATAGAAACTCAAAGGTCAGGATATTCAAGAAAAATACTGATCAAAATACCGATCAAAATACTGATCCAAATACTGATCCAAGTACTGATCGGTCTGCTGTGAAGATTTTCTCATTTTTGAACTCGCTCTGAAGTTTTTTATTCTCTGCTTTTGCTTTGCAGATAAAAACTGCCAGAGGATTTCACAAGCGCCCTGGAAAGGTACAGTAGGCTCATCTTTGCCCACACAGAATCAGAACAAGCTGGAGAGAGGAATCTGGACCGACACGGTTCTATGAAAACATCTGGTCCTCATACGGGCTTCTAGGGGGTAAACAAGGTCCTCAAAAAAAAACACATTCAGCTGGATGTGATTTCAATCAGCGGGTTCAGAGTCAATGCCAATGCAGAGCCAGAACCAGAACCAGAACCAGAGCCAGAGCCAGAACCAGAGCCAGAGCCAGGCTCGTGGGTTCTTTATTATTGACAGGGGGGGAGGGAGCTAAGAGGGAGAGAGAGAGGAGATAGAGAGAGAGAGAGATAGAGAGCGAGGGAGGGAGAGATTCCTCAGAACATTTTTTCGTTGCTTGTCAACTGTCAGCCGCCCTGAGGTTTGCATGCTGGCATTGACATGCACACACACACACACACACACACACACACACACACACACTCACACAGACACACACACACACACTCACGCAGACACACAGACACACACACACACAGACACACACACACACACATGCACTCACACACACTCACACACTCACACACACACACACAGACCCAGCGTGAAAAGGGCAGATTTGATGAGCGTGTGCAGAATACAGAGTGGACCACAGCAGCAGGTTTTTGTTGCTCATTCTTCCTAAACTGGTATTTTTAGTCTCTGCCCTTTAAACTACAAATGTTCTTTTTATTTCACCTTTGGCTCAGAAACACATTTACAGTGAGTGTGAGTGTGTACACGCTCTTAGCTGTAGATTTACAGACTGTTCCTGTAGTTACAGAAGAAGAGGAAATAAAGCGTTGTGCTGCTGAATGATCAGAGTTTAATGTGAAGATGAAGTGCTGCTGCTGCTGTGTCCTCCTTGGATTTTCCCTTTTTTTCACTCTAACCTTCTTTTTTCTTCATTCTTTGCAGATGGTGTTGTTTGAGAAAGCTCAGTTCAGCGGCCAAGCCTTTGAGATTTACAGAGATGTGGCAGATGCTACGTCTCTGAAGCTCTCTCCTCTCATATCGGTGAAGGTTGTTAGAGGATGGTGAGTTACCGTATGTAAACGGACCTTTCAGAACCAGAACAAACGCAGATCTCATTAGTGTGGAGTAGTTTTGGGACCTCTCTTGTAGATATTCTGTAAGTTTAATTGAATGACTCATCAGCCCTGAATGCTCCTATAATGACGTTTATAATCCCGCCGTCGTTTCCTGAACACGAACAGAGGTCTTCATTCTGTTTGTGTTCTTGGGCCAAAGAAAGACCCAGTCCTGAATCCTCTCCCCATAAATCATTGGCATAGCTCTGTTTACTTGCTGGCGGTCCGCCTTTGTTGGATCAGCTCTGGACTTCTCTGGTTTTACCCCCCCAGCTTTGGAGTTTAACAGCATGAAGAAAACAGTGGAGAGATGCTAATGAGCTCCTGTAGTCCCCCACCAGGGTCTCTGTGCTGCTGCACTAACAACAGGGACTTACGTAACAGAGCTGACACTCAGATTTTACATTTAACTACAAGGTTTTTACTCGGTTCTGTCTTTATTGGTCCATGATCCGGGCTGTTTGACCCGGGAACTGAACTGTTTTGGGTTCGGGGTTAAATCACATGGTTTAGCCTTATATCTTCCTGGTTTTGTTTCTCCAGTTGGATTCTCTACGAAAAGCCCGACTTTCAGGGACGCTGCATCGCTCTTGAGGAGGGGGGCCTCGAACTGGCGAATGTGTGGGCGGAGCCTGTACCTGGAACCGAACCGCAGAATGGCCCCCCAATGCTGATTGGATCTATCAGGCTGGCGGTCTGGGTGAGTGCTCTGAAAACAGTCTCCTCAGCTTTACTCCATGAGACTGACGGAGCCGCCGTCAGAACCTCAAAACGAATAATGAGTTTAGTCCGATTAAACTGAGACTGTGAACGATCTGAGTGTCTCTATCTCAGAAACTATCAGGCGGTTTTATGTGCCTCTGTATTCTCCTCTTTAGTTCTGTGGTAGGATTAGTATAATCAGATCTCCTTTTCTGTAATCTGGATTATTTAAAGTCCAACTGAACGGTGACAGAGTGGACGGATCAGAACCAACAGTGCTCCTTAAAATCCTGGATCTCCTTTCAAACGAGCGTTCGATCATTTCTGTGAAGACTCTGACGAACTTCGGTAAAACAGCGTCGGGCAGATTGATCGTCATAGATCGTTCTCTGCACTAACTGTCAGATGTTCTCAGAGATGAATTCATCATTATCATCAGATCAGTCTCACAGTCGACCGTGTCCGAACAAATCTGAAACTCATGATCCTCTGAACTCTTCATTCTTCTGTCAGGACGGACGTCTCTCTGTATTTGAACCTTTACTGATCAGGACAGACATGTGAGGAGAGAGACTGTCATGGTGGGGTTTGTTACAGACCTGATGGGTCCAGAGTGAAGAGGACTTCAGCACCTGTATATGGGGGGGGGGGGGTCTGCTGAGCTTTAATATTTCATCTTTAATCTCCTCAGACTGTTGAGAGTCAGAGCGTCTGAACCTTCACACACAGAGCTGTCTGTGTTTTCTCCTTTAAACTGAGAGTACGATCATCTGTGGGTCGAACCCGGTGTTAACATTCAGGCTGATGTTCTGGTCTTCTGGAGATGTTTCAGTGGTCTACTCCAGGCTGATAATTGCTGTGTTTGGTTCTCCCCCGCAGGATTACAGCCTCCCTCATATCGATCTGTTTACTGAACCAGAGGGCCGCGGCAGAGTAACACCTTACCACGACGACGCCGTGGAGACGGGCTCGTTTGGCATCCCACTGAGCACGGCGTCCATTCAAGTGCACTCCGGAGTGTAAGTGAGACGATTTGTGCAGATCCTCATAATTGAAACCTGGTAAAGCAGACACGGGGGCGTTAAACAAGCTGCTGAAACCAAATCCTCAAGGAGACACGTGGCCCTGTTATTGTGATCGATCCGGTGGAAGGTAGTGATCAGAGGAGTGGATTTAATCTGGGATAGATTAAACAGTGAAGGAGTGAAGACAAGGAGCTGATGCTCCGTCACAGAATCGCTGAAATTGAAGCTAACGAGACGACTGTGGTTTTCCACATCGATTTTCTTCTTAATTGCTTTCAGAAGTAGGAGAAGAGTCGACTTCTGAAAAGTGTCCTGCTGTGCTCCCCATGAGGCTGTTAACATTGATGAGATGCTCCCAGCCTGTGGCTTTGACAAATAGCTGAGAGATGATAATCATTACGACGTTCCTCAGTCTTTGACTCTCGCTGGTTTGTCGACTCAGGAATGTCTGTCCTGCCGCTGCATGTTGGGAAACACAAAACAGAGAGAGAGGGGGGTGGAGAGAGAGAGAGAGAGAGAGAGACAAAGGTGTGGAGAGATGTTGGCAGAAGGGAGAAGCTTGTTCTCCATGTGAGAGGTGAAGGTATGCAGGACATCTGGAGCCCCGCCCACAGAGAAGCCAACAAAGATTCTCCCACAGTTACTTCAGGTTTACTTCGACACGTGTGGACAGGGCTGGGCGATAAAACGATAACGATATATATTCATAATTAATTTACCTCAATATCAATATCAAACATGATCAATATCCTTCTCAATAGTCGACATTCTGACATGTTTTGGTCGACTATACGAACAGCCAATGAAAAGGGGAGTTATCAACTGATATAAAAAATAATAAAAAAAAGTTTGGAATATTTGTCAATTCAACCCCAGCCTCGTGTTTAACGCGGTCTGCTGCTTTCTGGAGAATTATTCAAAGACTTTTTAATGTTCCCTGGTCTCTGTGATATGTTTTTGAAATTCACATCGAACTATTTTGTTTCTCAAAAAATTGTAGGGCGGACACCTCATGATTCACAAAAAGCCATAGAAATAACGCATAAAATCATGAGTCGGTATTTAATAAATAAACGGCTGTAATTTTAAATTGCCACAAAATACGTGGACCATCTTTGAAAGCAACATCAAACATAACAAGACGATAACAACAACACAGTCAGTACTTTATGTGACCGCCTCTAGCGTTGTACAATGCGCGTACACGTCTGGGCATGCTGGTCACTAGGTTGGTAAGAGTTAAAACCGGGATTTCTCGTCAGCATTGGATCACAGCCTGAGTCAGTTCAGCCACGTTTGTTGGAGGATCATTCACGTTACACGAAACACTGAAGAAAATATTCCAAACTTTTTTCCAACACTGTATCCTGATAAACTATTTCCCGGTATCGCCCAGCCCTTCATGTAGATAAGAAATAACACGCTATAGATTCTCCTCAGCAGTTCCTGACATCTGCACAGAGCTAAAAGCTGTCAGATGCTAACACAGATCCGACTGTAGCGTTAGCTAAACTCGGTGATACTCGCTCATCTGAGTCTGAGTCCAAAATTCTGTTTTTAGCTCACAGCGGTTTTCTTCAGCTGCCGTGTTATTCTGGTTTCAGCTCCACCGCAGTGACTGAATGGAAAAAGGTTCTTCTTCTTCTTCTTCTTCTTCTGCCAAAGTCTCACATGTGGAGTTTTATAGAGGCAGAGAAATGTCAGGAGTAGAGAGGCAGGAATCTAGCAGAGGTTGTCTACGCTGTAAATGAACAGCAGAGGTTTCTTTTCATATTCGCTCTAAAATAAGAAGCTGCTGCTGATGTTGTTCATGACTCATCCGTGAGGAAGATCTGAAACAGTGAGATAAAGCTCGGCTCTCTCTGACCCACTCAGGCTCTGGGCTGTGGACAGATTTATAACGGAGCTGTCGGTGTCAGAGAGTTCGTTCTCTCTGATTGTGTCTTGGCGGCGTTTTATAACGAGCCACACAGGGTCACGACAAACACTCCTGTTAGAAGAGCCTGGAGGCAGAGCGCAGACAGAGTTTTAGCTGAATGCTTCATTAACACGCTCCGTGGGTGTTCCTCTCTCCTTTAGGTGGCTGATCTTCAGTGACCCCGGCTTTCAGGGCATGGTGGCGGTTCTGGAGACGGGAGTTTATCCTTTCCCTGAGACCTGGGGCTTCTCCTCACCGTTTGTCGGATCCATTCGACCGCTAAAGATTGTGAGTATTCCTGCGAGGGCGAGTCTTCAGAGGAGGTTTACTGATGATGTGATGATGAGATGTTATTTTTAACGGCGCCGCCGCCATCATGATGCTGTGGGAACGATTGTCTCCCCTGACTGTGGTCCAGACCTGAAGGGATCATGGATGGATGTACGACTTCCTGTTGTGCAACCATGTGGTCAGAGTGTCTTCTGTCACTCTGATGTGGTCTGAAGACGAGTTTTTTTCATGCCTGCTGCTGAAAGTCAAAACTTTCATACCTTTAGTACGATCACCGGACCAACATCTAGGTTGGACCAACACTTCCACACAGGAACCTTAGTGGGTTCTGTCCACAGGGGAGGAGGTCTAACCCTTTCCCTGTCCTTCCTCCTTCTCTGAGTTCACATCCTTTTTCTGAGTCTCTGCTAATATTTGAGCGATCAGCGTTAAAGGGATATTCTGCTGTAAAATTAATTTAGGGTCAAACCCACCGTAACACCGAGTTAGACCCCGCCCCCTCCAGAGATGAATGTTGTCGACCGCTTGCTTCTCTAGTTATACCAACTTTAGTAACGACCGCAGGATAGAAATACAGAGAGCCACGCCCTCAACCAAAACGCCACTCTATAGCCACAAATAATGCTCAGAACAGCACCTAACTTCATCAACAGGACATATAGGGTCACAGACATAGAGCGACCTCAGGCCAGTCCATTACAGACTACAGCGGGGTGCCGCAGCTCAAGGAAGAACATTTATGATCATTTCTTTATAATTTCCTTGAAGTAATAATCATCATATTAATCATTTTACAGACGTGGTAGTTCTTCTGTCTTAGCGTCTCGGTCTGATTGTATTTCCATGAAGAAATGATCATAAATGTTCTTCCTTGAGCTGCGGCACCCCGCTGTAGTCCAAACACTTCTCTGGGGGGTCTAACTCGGTGTTACGGCGTGTTTGACCCTAAGTTAATTTTACGACAGAATATCCCTTTAATGAACCTCCACAGTTGCAGAAGTTCAGGTCTTTGTCTTCCGTGGACTCACCGCCGTCCTCAAACACACATTTCTGTTTTAATGTTTCATGTAAGGTCGGTAACTGTTTCTGTTTCTGTGTCTGTTTTTTCTTCAGGGGGGGTTCAAGGTGGAAAATCCCAGTGAAGTCAAGGTCAGACTCTCTTCTCCTGTTTGTCGTCTGTATATTTCAGTTTGTATGAGCGGTAAACACGAGCAAACAAACTCGGAGTTTATGACGCTCCTCTGAGATCTTTTAAAATAGACGCTCTGGAGGAATGTCGGCGTGCAGCCACAGCAGTTTATTCTTCATGGTTTAGAGAGGACGTATTTACAGTCATAGGAGGTGAAGACCGCTGCAGCTGAACAGACGGAGCTCCGAAAGAGTTTCAGAAGAAATATTCAAGGCTGATTTATTGGAAAGATGATTTAGAGAAATTAAAGATAACTCGATAAAAACTGAACTTTGAAAAGAGAAAAGGTCAGACTCCAGAAACCAAAGGATGAGCTGATGTAAAAATACTCCGGTCTGCTGAACAACGACGGAGCATGAGTCAGATTCTATGTCATCTATCTCTACAGGCGGTGCTGTTCGAGAAGCCCGGCTTCGAAGGCTCCAGCGTGGAGGTCGACGGAGAAGTTTTCAGCTTTGGTGACGGAGACGACGGAGAAAACTCAGAACCAAAGACCCTGAAGTCCGTGGGTTCGTTCAGGATCATCGGTGGACTGTGAGTCTTCACGCTCCCTCTTTACTGAGGACTCAATTCAAGGACTGGTTTTCAGATTAGGCAAGGAGGCAAGGAAACAAGGAAGTGTTATATTTTAGGTTACAATGCAGGTACAAAGGTAACTTAAAGAGCTTTATAAAGTAATAAGACGCAGTATTTGATGAAATAACAGAATTGAGTCAAATAATTAATGAATTAATGAGTGAAGGGCGATAAAGTAAAGACTGTATCTGAGAGATTCCAGGTCCGTTCTGGACGATAACGAATTCGCCGCTTCACCGAACGCCGTCAGACGACTCCTCAATGATCATGGCCGCTCTTCTGTCATTCCAGCTGGGTGGGTTACAGCCATCCCGGGTTCGAGGGTCAGCAGTACGTCCTGGAGGAGGGGGAGTACCTGGACTGCAGAGACTGGGGAGGATCTGAGAAGCTGCTGTCGCTGAGACCGATACTGGCTGTGAGTAGATCTGGGTCCGGGGTTTGGGTCGAACCTTCATGCAGGACTTAGCCTGTCTTAGAGGAGCTTAACGGCAATGATCAAAGTTATTATTGATCATGATCGGGTTATTTTAACGTTGATTAACATCTCTGTTACTGAGTTTGTAAAGAGTTCACCGACTTTATAATTAAAGGTTTAATAATGACAAACTAGCAGGTAACCGTGTCTCTGATGTTCTTCTGATGATCTTCAGGATGGTCTCCTGTGTTTTTGTTCTTCTTCTGCAGGACTTCATGTCTCCACACCTCAAGATGTTCAGTGACAGAAACTTTGGAGATCTGGGCGTCAACATTAACCTCACAGTTCCTGTCATCAACATGGACGACACCGGCTACGGCACCAAGACGCAGTCTGTAGACGTCATCAGTGGCGTGTAAGTGTGACATCCTCTGACCTCCGCAGGTGTCTGATCAGGCGTTAAAGGAGGAGGATCTTCTCTCAGAGACTCTGTTTCTGTCAGGATCGCTCGTTGTTTCCTCTGTTAGACCTGTAGTTCGGCGCCGCCTCGTTCCTGACTCTTCAGGAAGCTTCCTCGTTCTTCAGACCCGTAATTACTCTGAGCTGCAGATCCTCTGAGGTTTTATTGGCATTCAGAGAAAGTCTGAGCCCGGGCTGACAGGTTCAGACGGTTCACCTGGTTCTCTAATGTTTAGTCTGCCACACCTCACTTCCTGTCATGTTAGTTTGTCCTGAAGCGAGGGAGTAGAAACTAAAACGGTCTCAGCGACACTGAGGAGAAGTTTCATCAGAGCGGCTGTCGGAGGAAGAGCTCGGGGTTCTTCCTTCAGACATCAGAGGAAATAAAAACAGGAATTATTATTCCCATCACAGTGAAGAGAGGACATGCTGATGTCTGCCGTCCCAGGAGACAGACAGACGGACAGACGGACGACCCGAGGACGTGATGAATAATGTGCAGAAGAACATTAGGTCCTCCTCCTCCTCCTCCTCCTTCTCTCACAACAACCCAAAGTTATTCTCACTGCGGTGGCGGCGGCCTGTCATTAGCTCACACAGCCTCGCCCCTCACGCTTCGCTGCTCTCTCACGCCGCCGCCGTCGTCTCTGTTGTTTCAGCGTCACTCAGAAGGACTTGTTTGGAGTGTAGCGTGTCAGACCCAGAAATGCAAACACAGCCTGGAGCAGAAATACCCAAACAGTCCACATCACAACAACACACCCAGACTTCAGTCAAGACGGCACATGCAGAACATCCCAGCGATCATGGAGGAGGATCTCCTCATGGAGGAGGATCTCCTCATGGATCTGGACTCAGACCAGGAGGTTCAGACTGAACAGAACCGGGACTGAAAGTGAACGTTTGTGTGGGTCAACATCAGGAGAGGAAGTGAAAGAGTGACTTTCCTCCTCTGTCTCTCTCAGGTGGGTCGTGTTTGAGGAGCCCGGCTTCTGTGGGGAGTCTTACATCCTGGAGAAAGGTCTGTACGGGTGTCCGGAGGACTGGGGGGCGATGCAGCCCAGAGTGGCCTCAGCTATGCCTGTGGTTCTGGTAAGAAGTGACTCAGACGCAGTTTTCTCTTCACAGCTGCTCTGACATTTCCTCTCTCTCGTCACGCTCTTATCTGAACGCTCTCATCTCGCCGCTGTCACAGGAAAGCGCTCCTCGTCATATTCTGGTCTCAGTTTGGTAAACCGAGTGTTTTGGTGTTTTGGTCGCTGTCACACTCGTGTGTCTGCGACCAAACCTGAAATTAGAGGATGAAAACAAGAATTCCCTCAAATCTAAACAGTCGAGTATCTTCAGGAGAACCGGGTTAAACCGGGCCGGGACACGCATGAGAGGAAAATGTTTGTCATGAGGCTGAGAGTCAGATCCTCTGAGATCAGAGCCGTGAGTCATCATCACGCTGCTTCAATTTCAGACCAGAAATGACAGACGGACGAACGGACGGAGGGACGGACAGAAACCAGAACTGACTCCAGCTTCTTTCTCTAACCTCCTGCTGCTGCTGCTCTCCTCTGACTCTCATGATTCACTAAAACACAGAAACAGGCTGTTTCTTCAGATCTCTGTAAGACTCTCCTCTCTGACTGTTTTAATCCGGTTTCTCTCTCACGCTCACAGACCACATCACTTTAGAGTTTGTTTTTGAGTCTTTAAACGGATCAGCACCACCGTACGTCTCTGACCTCTTCAGTGTTTACACCCCCACATGTTCCCTGAGGTCAGCTGATCAGCTCCGACTCTTCGTCCCTAAAACTCGTTTAAAAACCCGCAGTGACCGAAGTTTCTCAGCTGCGGCTCCTAAATTAAAACATCCCCGACTCTTTCTACTTTTAAATCTCGTCTTAAAATCCATTTTTATTCTTTTTAGCTCAGCGTGAGAGTTGTCTGATCTCTGTCCTTTTATGTCTTTATTTTTATTTAATTTATTTCATTTTAAATATTTTTTTTTACCTGCTTTTATTTATTTCCTCTCGATGTTTTTCTGTTTGTTCTTTTAAATTTTACTGTGCAGCACTTTGATAAACTTGAACTTAACTGTTTTTAAAATGTGATATAGAAATAAGGCGGATTAGATTAGATCTGCTCACAGGCGTTTCACATAATCACGTAGAAATAGGCAGCATAGAAGCGTCTCTTGTAGGACGTAGAGCCTGTTTCATAACTCCAGACTTCTCTCAGGATGAAAAATAAAGACGGTGTGAGTCTCCTGCCTGTCTTCATGATGGTGATGAAGTTTGTTTGTGTTTTTTTTTTTCAGGACGACTTCGAGAGCGCGGCCAAGTTCAAGGTAGGTGACTGTGACCCATCAGAGAGCGTCTGCTGATGCTGACGGCGTTTCTGTCGTACCTGAGGATGTGTGTGAAGGTCCCGGCCTGCATGACTCACTCTGGATTGTCATGCTGTTTGTGCCCCAGGTGCAGCTTTTCTCTGATCCGGGTTTTCAAGGCCCCGTCCTCGCCATGGAGGACAGCGTGGCGTCCCTGCCGGATGGCTTCTCCGTGGCGTCGTGCAAAGTCCTGGCCGGCAGGTGAGTAATCCTGCGGAGAAAAGGACAGTTCTGTTTGGTTCAGGGTAGAGTCTTAAGTGTAGAGTCTTAAAGTTCAGGTTCTGACAAGTTCTGATTAAAGCGATATCATCTGTAGATCCTAATGACATGTCTGCATGAAACCTCAACACCAACAATCATGATGTGAACACCGATCGGACTCCTCAGAGGATCCCTCTCATCTCTGCTCCTCTCCTGTGTGTGTGTGTGTGTGTGTGTGCGTGCGTGGACGTGGCGCTCAGCTGGCTGGCGTTTGAGGGTCAGGACTTCTCAGGTCGGATGTACGTGTTAGAGGTGGGGAGTTACCCGGACCTGAGAGCCATGGGCTGTTTCAACACGAGCTCGTCGATCCTGTCGCTGCAGCCCGCCGGCTTCGTGAGTTTGTTTCTGTTTTTATGAAGGTTTGAACTTTTAACTTCAACATTTATCTGAATCTGGACGAGACCTCCTCAAAGACTTCTTCATGTACGAACCTCAAACTGGACTTTTACAGGACAGCACACTGCTTCAGGCTGAGTCAGAGTTATCGATTAATCAATCAATCAATCAATCAGTCTTTATTTATAGATCACTTTTCATACACAACCATGTGACACAGAGTGCTTTACACATAAAAAGGAATAAAAGAAACAAAGAAAACCTAAATCCACCCTGACCCGACCGCTCACTCCCACCATCGAAGAACAGAAACAGGATTAAAATACATGAACTTAAAAAGGGCTTAAAAGAGCTGTCAGTGAGCTCTCAGTCTTCAGACCCGGGTCTGTCTGTTGTTTCGGGGTCGAGGGACTTCACTGAACCTCTCTCCTCCTAAATAATTAGATCTTTTCTTCAGGCGACGTCAGAAAACAGACAGACGTGTTAAAGCGACTCCAGCAGATGGCTGATGTGTTTTCAGAGCTGAAACTGTTCAGGGTACAATTTTATACTTTTAATCCTCTTTCTGTTGAGGTTTATTGTGTATTTTGAGGTTGCCCCGGTAACCAACTTAAAGCCTCGTTCAGGGACGTTCAATTATCTCCATCCTGTTTACTCTGGGAGTCTGATTTAAAAGTCCGATCTTCAGGGAAAGCTGTAAACACACACACACACACACACACACACACACACACACACACACACACACACACACACACACACACACACACACACACACACACACGTTGAGCATGTGGTCCGTTTCCAGGGCAACGTCAAAGTGTGTTGAAGCAGCAGCTGTCAGTGTTTCATCGTCGTTTCACTCTGCGTCTCTCTCCCTGTCGGACAGGAGTTCTCGCTGCCCTCCATCACCGTTTTCGAGCGCTGCGGTCTGCGGGGGAAGAGGGTGGTGCTGACGGACGGGTCGGTCAATCTTCAGCTGGCCGGAGGCTGCAGCAGAGTCCAGTCGGTGTTGGTGGAGGGAGGCATGTGAGTATCTGACTGCTGCTGCTGCTGCTGCTGCGTGGTTCCTCGCTCTGATGTAAAGCTGCTCTGGTGGTGGAGGTGTGAGTTTGACAGGTCCGTGTGTGAGTGGGAGCAAACACAGGTGAACTGTGGAGGTGCAGCTCCACACCCACACCCACAGCTCTTTTCTCTTTTAAACGGCTCAGCTGATCTGTGAAGGATCTGTCAGGTAAACAACCATCGACTCCAGAGAGACGAGTCCCTTCAGGCGACCCGAGCTCTCGAGGTCACACGGAAACAGAGAGGCGGTTTTGTGAGGAGGCGGTTCTTTCTGGCCTCCTGCACGAGCAGAGTTTAAACGCCATCGATCAGAACAGGTTTTTAGAGGTTCAGAGGTGAGAGAGAACCGAGATCCTCTGACCCCGAGTCTGTATCCGGAGCAGATTTGGCGTCTAAGCTCAGACACGGTGTTTGATAGAGAGTGTGAGGATCATCCCTGACAGAGAGAGCGATGATGGAAACCTGCTGCTGATGTGTGAGATTCAGAGAGCAGCTGTGAGTCCAGCGGAGGAGAGAAAGACCTGACAGAGATCCAGACCTGTCTGTGGAGTGGCACATTCCTACAGCCGTCAGTGTCAGAGCCGGTGTGGGCGGGTGGAGGCTCAGCACATTTCCAAAAGATTAAAGCTGGCACGATCGGTGCTGCGGGGACGAGAGGACTCCAAAAACAACAACAACAGTCAGAGCGCCCAGTCTGAGGAAAAACTCAGACTAGGATTTGGAGGATTTTCAGTCTGAAGATGAGGAGTCAGAGTCCAGAGAGAGAGAGGAGAAGACAGAGAGGAAATATGAATATAGTAGGGCTGAACGATATTAGAAAAAACTAACATTACAAGGATTTTCAACCCTGCGATTATATATATATATATATATTATGATGATCTGAATCTGAGTTTGTGCTGAAGTCTTGAGGACAGTTAACCTGCTCTGATCTTCTGTCTGTCTCAGAGATATTTTTAGTTTTTATTGTTCTGGGATGTTACCGTGCAGGGGGGCGTGGTTTCCTACTCTCTGATTGTGATTGACGGCTGGCAGGATAGTCTGATTGGTAACTGAGTAAAGAACGAATGTGATTGGTGGATCGCTGCACATGCAGAGTCACATACAGTGTATCTCAGTCAGCTGACCTTGAAATTAGTTCATTCTCCTCCGACATCGCAGGTTCTGACATGAGTATCACGTAAACGTACATCGCCATGACGATGATCAAATCATATATCGTGCAGCCCTAAAATAAAGATAATTTTATAATAAATAACTTTAAATGACAGGATGATAAAAACAGATTTCTATGATAATCTTCATCTGCAGTTAAAGAGACGAGAACAGAGTTTAATTGATTTAGTCCTCGTTAAGGTTTCAGGACATAACGAGGTCTGTGTGTCTCTGTGTGTCTGTGTGTCCAGGTGGGTTTTATACGAGGAAATCAACTATCGGGGGGCCCAGGTTCTGCTGAAACCCGGTGAGATCCCGGACCTGCGTCAGTTCTGCAGCTGGAGGAAAATCGGCTCACTGCGCCCTCTTCTGCAGGTACGACACGACAGGAAGTCACATGACCACACACCGACAACTGACCTTATAAACACACAACATAAACACTCTGATGCTGTTACACAACCCAGTCACGGGTCCAGTGAACCCCAGACCCTGACTCTGGGAAATCCTCTTGACTGTAAAGACTCAGACTCAGTCCTCCTCAGGAACCCTCAGTGATCCTCCTGCAGACTCTGAACTCTGATGGGTGACTCATGTTCTGATCCGTCTGTGTCTGTGTGTGTGTGTGTGTGTGTGTGTGTGTGTGTGTGCAGAAACAAGTCCACTTCCGGGTCAGGAACAGACAGACCGGGCTGATGATGTCACTCACCGGAGACCTGGATGACGTCAAACTGATGCGGGTCCAAGAAACCGAGGAGAACGACGGATTCGAGCAGATCTGGTTCTACCAGAACGGACATCTTCACTGCAAGGTACCAGAACCGTCTGTTGTAGATCTGAGGGGGGAAAATGGAGAGTGAAGAGGTTTTCAAAGACCAGGATCAGTCTGTGAGGAAATAAACTCACACAGTCAGAGACGATCTGAGAGGAGGAGGAGGAGATGATCGCAGGTGAAGTCACAGGAACGTCTGTTTAGAGAGGCCTGTGGATGGCGCTGTTGTCATTCAGTTTTTAAAAGAGTTTGTGTTTGTTACACGCACACACACACACACACACACACACACACACACACACACACACACGCACCCACACCAAGGACATCTGACTGAGTAATCTGCTGAATGAATTCAAACAACAATGAACCTCCACGTGGACCTCAGAGGAAACTGGAGGAAGGTCGAACCATCAGCCCGACCCTGAGGTGGATCAGTGCTGATGTCTGTTTACTGAACTAAAGTTCACCATCTGTGTCAGAACAAATGAAAACTGTCTGAAAATGTTGGGTCCTGAACGAGGAAGAGGAGGAGGAGGAGGAGGAGGAGGAGGAGGAGGAGGAGGAGGTCAGAAGAGCTGAGACCTTTTTACTCTCTCACAGTAAAACAAAATCACCGTCAGTCTGAGGATTTATTTGATTTAATCTAAAATATCATGAATAAGAACTGAGTATTCTGTCTGTTTAAAGTGATGAACACAGACGTACAGATAGGGCTGCATGATATATGGTTTGAGCGTCGTCATGGCGATGTACGTGTGCGTGATAGTCACATGTCAGAGTCTGTGATGTCGGAGGAGAATGAACACGTCTAATTTCAAGGTCAGCTGACTGACGTACACTGACATGTAGACTCTGCATGTGCAGCGATCCACCAATCACATTCGTTCTTTACTCAGTTACCAATCAGACTACCCTGCCAGCCGTCAATCAAAATCAGAGAGGAGGAAACCACGCCCCTGCACACGGAGTGAGTCGCTGGCGCTGACGGTGTTGACCCGAGAAAGTACAACACCGATAACAACAACAACAACAACGATTGTAAAACGAGAAACGAACAGAGAAAACCACCGAAGAAGAAGAAGAAGAAGACGTGTTTCAGTTATCTGGAATTATTTCAGTTCTAAGAAGGATGATGTCGACTAAAACTCGTGTTCTGTGTTCATCTGTTTCCACGGTAACGTCCCAGAACAATAAAAACTAAAAATATCTCTGAGACAGACAGAAGATCAGAGCAGGTTAACTGTCCTCAAGACTTCAGCACAAACTCAGATTCAGGTCATCTGAGGAGGAAAATGACTATTCTTTAACATCACAATATCGCAGGATTGAAAAATATTGGTATGTTAGTTTTTTCCAATGTCGTGCAGCCCTACACACAGACCTTCTTCATCGTCCTCCTCCTCCTCCTCACTGTGACGGACACTCACTCCTCTCCTGTCCCTGTTCTTCCAGCTCCTGGAGGAGTGCTGCCTGAGCCCCAGCGGCAGTGTCACCATAGCAGGGAGCCGAGTCGGTCTGAGCCCTGAGCCACAGAACCAGGTCCACCTCTGGAGCATCACACCTGAGGGCTTCATCCGCTACACGCCAACAGCTGATCTGGTCCTGGAGGTCAAAGGTGAGTAACGCAGAGTAACGGTTGAAGAAGAACTTCGTGAATTTAAGAAGAAGAATCTGGGATGAGTTTAGTACGGGGGATCAGAGTGTTGAGACGTTTTAAAGGTTTTAAAACAGATCTGAGTCGGTCTGAGCTCCAACACTCTCGATGTTCAGACTCTGCAGAGACAGATCTGATCTGGACCCTCAGAGACAGATCTGATCTGGACCCTCAGAGTCCAGTACAGTCCTCCACCTCTCTGCTTCTGTCAGTTCATCCATGACAGGAAAACTCCCTTCACTGAGTCTGACTGCATCACTGTCCATCAGTGACACCTAGTGGACAACATGAGGAAGTGAACGCACATTTATAATAAACTGTGAAGAGGGTGAAACAGATCAGTCTGCAGGTTTGAAAACAGGATTATTCACAGAGACAGGAACGCTTTAGTCTGAGGACGTAAACTGACGAGGAAACCTGCTTTTCTTTCTTTCTTCAGGGGGTCACAACTACGATAAGAACCAGGTGATCCTGAACACACTCGACCCAAACAAGCTGCACCAACGGTGGGATGTGGAGATTATATGACGACATACGAGCCGCCGCCGCCGCTGCTGCTGAACCGGATCAGGACATGGACTAGAGTCTGCCTCAGGCTCTGTAAACAGCTGCTCAAGGACAGGAGGGTCGGAGAAGAGGCTCGACCTTCGCTGTAGGAGGAGAACGTTCTTCTGAGGAGGAGGAGGAGGAGAGGAAAACACTCGGAAGAACAGACAAACAACAACGAGGAGGACATAAACTTTGTATTTCAGACTTTAGTGCTGGTTTATATATTTACTGTCTTTTTTAAATAAATCTGTTTGTCTGATTTAAATGAACTCCAACAGTGTTCAGACTTTTACCCTCTCAGACTTTGTTTTATTAGATTATATGACAAATATCTTTGGAGCTGCATGAAACAGAACGAAGAAAAAAAAAGACTTTTTTTTCTTTTTTAATCAAAACCAGACAGAACAAAACAACAACAACAACAACAAGTCTTTAGTCATCCCCGATAATAAAAGGAGTTTTGTCGATGAAGTTTCCCGTTCAGACTCCAGACACACAGGTTTGATTTCTTTACATGATTGATAGTGAAACAATAACCTGATCAATATCTGTGAGTCCAGTCTGAGCTGGTCCTGGTGAAGATGGTCCTGATAAACCTGACCTGGTTTTAACAGGTTCTCCCTTCAGAGAGAGGCTGAAGTCCAGTTCTGGTTCTGTCTTATTTGGTGTTATTTCAGTGAGACGTGGACGCAGCAGAACTCAAACAGCTCAAAAACTCAAACACAGAAACAGCTCACGGCCACGCTCCCATTACAAACCCGAGTCACGCCGTGTTGTGCGTCACCTCTGATCCCTCTGAATAATGAAGTCTGCGGCGGTCCAGAGCAGCCGTGGTGAATCACTAACAGGTGATCCCCCCGGTGGTCTGCGGACCGGCTCTAGCTCTGCTTGGCACTTTCTTGCACCCCCGGCTCGGACTCTGCGGTCCCCTCAGGAGAGTTCTGCACCAGCTCCTCGGCCTGCCTGTCGTCCTCCTCGGCCACGCGGACCACCGTCTTCCCTCTGGCGTGACCCTCCTCCAGCTTCTGAAAAGCCTGGGGCACCTGGGTGAACGGAAACTGGGCCTCAACGACCGGCAGGATCTGTGAAAACACGGTGAACACAAACCAGGAGGTGATCAGATCAGATCGAAGCCCTCAGCTTTTCTTTGACTGGAGATGTGGAGAGTTTCAGAGAGTTACTCATTTTTATCCTCCACGTCTGAAACTTATGATTAAATAAACTCCTTTAAGTTCTTTCTACCACAAAAAACAACCAGCTAACGTGATTCCACCTCCGACTAATCTGACAGTTCTTCTGTTTTAGTTTAAGTGAAAAAAAAATCTAAATTCAGCAGGTCTGAAGAGTTTCCTTTAAAAGGGGGGGTGCAACAGACGACCAGCAAACACAATGTTTGCAGGACTTCTACAACGAGGATAAAGTGACATAGTCCAGGACCCGAGGGAGGACAGTTTAGCGATGGCGCTACAACACGCTACAGCAGGTCCGTTTGACAAGAAACACTTCTGTTACAGACACTTGTCTTACTTTGTTAAAGCGGTTTACCTGTCCAGCAGAAAGGTTACAGGGTCACCAAGATCCCCAAGCGTCCCCCATGGTTTATGTTGACCCGGCTTTTTAGCTCTTGTCCGGTCTACCTCCGTTTTAAGCGCCCGTTATTCCTCCAGAGTCTCCGGTATTTACTTTGTTTTCTTGCTTGTGTCGGCAGTCGTGGCCAAAGGAGGATTCAGACAATTTTCCGAACTTTCTGGTTGGTTTCTACTGTCCGATATTGTAGCACGCTAACTTTGTTTGGGCTCCTGAACGACACGGGGGAGCAGCATTTTCTTGTTGACTGTTTTCTTGTTGACTGTTTTCTTGTTGACTGTTTTCTTGTTGACTGTTTTGGTGTTGACTGTTTTGGTGTTGACTGTTATCTTGTTGACTGTTTTCTTGTTGACTGTTTTTTGTTGACTGTTTTCTTGTTGACTGTTTTCTTGCTGACTGTTTTCTTGCTGACTGTTTTCTTGCTGACTGTTTTCTTGTTGACTGTTTTCTTGTTGACTGTTTTGGTGTTGACCGTTTTCTTGCTGACTGTTTATGTTTGAGTGTTTTCTTGCTGACTGTTTTCTTGTTGACTGTTTTCTTGTTGACTGTTTTCTTGCTGACTGTTTTCTTGCTGACTGTTTTCTTGCTGACTGTTTTCTTGTTGACTGTTTTCTTGTTGACTGTTTTCTTGCTGACTGTTTTCCTGCTGACTGTTATCTTGTTGACTGTTTTCTTGTTGACTGTTTTTTGTTGACTGATTTCTTGTTGACTGTTTTGTTGCTGACTGTTTATGGTTGACTGTTTTGATGTTGACTGAGTTATCTTGTTGACTGTTTTCTTGCTTGTGTGTTGGCAGTCGTGGCAAAGGAGGATTCAGACAATTTTCCGAACTTTCTGGTTGGTTTCTACTGTCCGATATTGTAGCACGCTATCGGCCAAGGAGGATTAGACAATTTTCCGAACTTTCTGGTTGGTTTTCTGTCGATATTGTAGGCTAACTTTGTTTGGGCTCCTGAACGACACGGGGGAGCAGCGTCTGCCTCACAACCAATCAGGTTAGAGGAGGTGGAGAACGGCTTTGTTTACAGTCAGAAAGAGCGGACCGCTCAAAAATGTTCAAATGTTGACGACACAGACATAAGAGAACACAGAGATATCGATATATTACCAAATAATCAATAACTAATAACTATTGACAGATATTAGAAGATGTTTATAAATACACCATAAAAAAAGATGCTTCTTTGACGTTTTCCTGCCTACAACACCTTTAACTTATTCGAAGAGTTTTAAAAATGATTCTATTTTTAATTGTTTTTATTTAAAAATGAGGAAATATAAAAACTGTCAGTCTGCAGCTCCTCGCCCTGACGCTCAGCTGACATCTTCTTCACACTCACGTAGGTTTTCTATTTGCTCTGAAAGTCTGCTTCATCATCTCTGCTGCCAGAGCTGTAAAATGGACAAAGTGTGTGTGTGTGTGTGTGTGTGTGTGTGTGTGGAGGGGGGGTCAGAATGTGATGAGGCTGGACAATCCTGTGCTGGCTCTCATCACCAACACCACCTCCACCTCCACCTCCACCAGCAGCAGCAGCAGCAGCGGCCTTGTTATTCTGGTCAGCATCTCTCATCGGTAACAATGAGCCGCAGAGAGCGGGGGCGGGGCTCTGGAACCCGTCCACACCTCCAACATGCAGATAGAGTGAGTGTGTGTTTGTTAATGTGTGTGTGTGTGTGTGTGTTTCTGAGTGCACGGCTCCCTGTAAGCCCTCGGGACAAAGGGACTTGGGTCCTGCACGCTTCTGCTAATGGCTGCTCAGCACTGTTGAAAAATGTGTCAGCCCTCCTCTGGCGCCCGATTCCATCGTGGAAACGGCGCCCCAACCAGAACAGCAGGAATGTGACGGCCGCACCTTTACAAAGCCACACAGCGCCTTGACTGCAGGCACGTGTGTAGCGCCCGCCGTGTTCGTGTTCAATCATGGAGGAGATCAGAGAGCGTGGAAGATCTCCAACACTGACCAGGATGCAAATGAGAGGATTTCCATATATGGAAATGATGGTGAGGGACACCTGCCTGTGTGACATCATTAATAAGGTGTGACGGTACCTTCCCAGCATCCACCAGTTTGCTGACTTCATCCAGCGCCGGCCCATCTGGAGCGAAAAACCCCCACCTGTAGAAGACCCCGCCCGATACGATGTTCTGAGAGAGAGAGAGAGAGAGAGAGAGAGAGAGAGATGGGAGGATCAAGGTCAGGCAGGTGTGAAGGTCACTGAGAGATAAAGTTTGAAAATAAAACACACCCTCGTTAGAATTAAAAAACACTCTAATAGATCAGCTGACAGGGAGGGGCATGAAACAGACCAATCAGAGACGACCTTCCACCTTCAAAACGGTCATCGAATAAACTCTAAAGTCTGATCCGTGTCCTCATCCTTCTCCAATCAGCTGGAGCTCTGGGTTTTTATCGGGTTTAACAACATTCACCCTTAATTTACACCACATCCTTAACGGCTCTGATCTCGAACAGGGGCGATTTTCGCCATCCGCCAATTCCTATCTGATCCGTTTGTGAGGCGAATTTCAAGGCGGATTACCAACAGCAGGAATCGTGAGAACTCACAAGAACCTGCAGATTCACGTTCAATCAAACGATAACGAGTTGTCTCTCTAAAGACAGACACATAGACATATAAGCAGTAGATTGTGTCCTTCCAGAGGAGGAAATCTACTTCTAGACTTCTAGAATCAGCATCTCCTCATCCTCATCAAGCTCCTGTCAGTTTGAGACAATTTGGCGCCCCCTCTGGACAAAGCCGTCTTTGCTTGGCTCATCCTCTACATCTCCAGGTCGTGTCTTCACACAAAAATCTCATAATTTTTTTAATATTTTCTGTGGAAACTTTAAAATCAGAGCCGTGTCTGCAGAAACCCTCTCACAGTTTTCAAACATTAAAAATGATGGCGCTTCAATCATCAGTCTTTTCTGTTTTTGTACATCATACAGAAATATCCAGATGAATGTCAGTTTATTTCAGATTCACCAAAAACTGCTGACAGGAGCTTTAATCAGAGCAAAGTCAGGAGAAGTCGCCTAATTTTAAAAAATAGTCATTTTTCCTGTTTTTTAATCTACAAACGGAGATTCTTCAGTTATTTACCAAACTGTCCAAACTGAGACTGATCACTTCAGAAGTTCTGCAGGAGAAAACAGACTTAGAGAGTCGTGACTCAGGTAAACAGAGTCCTCCAGCCTTCAGCTCTGTGAAGACCTCAGAGAAATGACTGTGCTGTCCAGAGGAAACAAAACCAGAACCTGAGTTTTCTGTGGTTGAGTAGGGTTAATTTGGACTGAGGACCCTGAACAAGAAGAACAAGAAGAAGGAGAAGAAGGAGAAAAGATGCTCTAACTTTAATGATCGTGAAAAGACCCGCTCTGCTCTGCTCTGGACAATAAATCAGTGAGTCATGTCAGCCCGTCTAAAAAATAATAAGACTGATCATTTGGATTTCAATCAGAATCAGAATCAGAATGACTTTATTGATCCGAACTGGGAAATTATAATTATTATATAATTATTATATTTCAAAGTATTAAAACTCAATCCAGAGAAAAGACGGACATCAGGGGAATCAGTCAGTTATTACATGATCAGACCTCCTGCTGTGTCAAACTCCATGGTGGGTATAAACAGGGCTCGGCGATAAAACGATATCGATAAATATCAAAAATTAATGTCCCTCAAATCAATATAAAACATGATCAATATCCTTTTCAATAGTCGTCATTCTGACATGTTTTGGTCGACTATACAAATAGTCGGGCTGGACGATCTGCTTTTCTCCTGATTCGATTCTTCTACGATTTTTTGGATGCCGATTTGATTTAAATTGTGATTCTACGATATTGTTGATTTTCTCGATCTTTAGTCTGTATTTTTAACTTCAGTGAAACAGATCAATGATTCTGATCGTCTGCTGACTATTAAAGGAACCAGATTTAACCAAAAATACACATGGAGGTCAGTTTTTAGGATTTACTCTGAAAATTTGAAAAACAAAATAATTTTTTGAACATAAAAATTGATTTAAAAATTGTAAAACAAAAATCTCGATACTTATATGAAAAGATTTTTTCTCCCACCCCTAACGAAAGGCCAATGAAAAGGAGAGTCCTGATATTGATCGATACCCGCTGATATGACAATAATATCCTGATAAACTTTTTCCCATATCGCCCAGCCCTAGGTATACCTCACCCCTCTCCCAGCCTCCCCATCTCCCCCTTCCTCCCCTCTTGTAAACCCATCAGCTGCTGACAGTCAGGATCTGATCCCCTCATCGAACACTAGGGGGCTCAGTCGGACTTTGATCCCTCTGACAGAGGAGGACGTGCGGTCCGGAGCCGAGCGGCTGTGGGTGTGTCTGCCGCTGCCCGGCCCGGCCAAACTGACCAGCTGGCTGCTCCTGCAGACAAAGGGGCCCGGAGGCTTGGCAAGAAACACACAAACACTGGTATTTGCCGAGGTGGGGGGTTAGGGAGGGGGGTGGGCTTCAATTTGCACAAACACCAAATAGTGCTGGTTCAGCAGCAGCAAACACACACACACACACACACACTTACACACACACATAACTCTGACACTGGCAGCCGGCTGTGCTGTCACCAACGCCTGCACTGCCCAGGACTACTTGACTGAGTCCCACCCTGCATGTTCACCCACTCCCCTCATTACACATTCACTCCACTAACAGAGCAGCTGTAGGGACACGGTGTTCATGCAATTAGAGCAGGCCGACACACACATGCAGGAGCTCTAACTATCAATGCAAGAATTCCCTCTGCACCTGCACACTGGCAGGTTTACAACCCCCCGCAGGCATGTGTCTACATCTCCAGCATATTAAACTGCAGAAGCAGCCGAGTCGAGTTATTACATGTTTTTTAACCAAACCTGAACTGATCAACTGACTGGAAATAAAGCTGAAACTCCGACTGGCTGGAACAGGTGTTCACCATCCACACACAAAGCTGTCTTTCCACGCCACTGGGGATCAAGTATTCATTTCAGTCTGGGAGCACCCATGGTCCACACCCAGGCTAACGGCTTTCTGTGAGAGACCAGGCTCCAAACTTTCCATAAAATAAACACTGAAGGCAGGCAGAGCTGTGTTTGTGAACGTCAGGCAGAAAAGATCACGTCACTCTGGTTCGGTGCTCCTGTTTACCTGGATGGCTTTGTTGTGCAGAGTAAATCCAGCATGAACCGTCCCATCCAGCAGGCCCATGGAGTCGGTGCTGAGGAGTAACGGGGACACCAGAGTCACATACTTTGCCCCAGACCAGGTCTTCAGCAGGTGCGTGGCCCACTCCTCCGTTTCCCCGCCCACGTTGTCTAAAATCACGTCGAACCTGAGGAGGCAAACACAGAAACCCGGGTTTAAAAACACTCGTTCAGAGAAAAACGGCGTGTTTCCTGAAGGTCGGCTGATCTGCAGTTTATAAATGTTTCGGACTTTAAACCTGCTGCTTTGTCTTCAGATTTCATCCTGGGTTTTTGTTCTGAGGGTGTTAAAAGGGATGAACCAGCCTCCAGTCCACGCAGGCCTCGTGCCCTTGTTTCCATGGAAACTGGACAGCAAACCAGTGAGCAGTTGTGCCACGCTGACAGGAAGGTATTTACCACAATTTAGGGTGTTTAAAGGAAAAGAGCCAAGACGTTTGTCCAAGACGTGGGTGGTTCATTTTCATTTGCACCTTTATTGGACTGGCACTAGTTTTGGCGAGGAATCGTTCACACGTGGGACCAGAGCGAAAACGAGAAAAAATACCGCTCTGTACTGAGGCCACTGCAGAGAGACTGGGTTAGAGTCTCCACAGGTGAACACCTTCAGGTTCTACCTGTACCCCTAAAAACATTAAACCTGATTCACAAACAGTCAGTTCAGTTTTTATTCAACACTCTGACTTTTTAAGAATACGGGTTGTTGTCATTTTTCTGTTCTTATCTGGATCCTGAATTTTCTCTTGTTTTGATTTTGTTTTTTCTCTTTAAATAAATTAAACCCCATAATAACAGACGCTCAGTAAAGTATCATTTAAACATGTTCAAACATACTCTGGGAAAAGGGATTCATCTATCTCCATCAGCTGTTTGATATAATATGATCTCCCTAATGTACATTTTTTTACATACTTGCAACTTTGAACCTTTCTGACAACTCACAAGGACTGGGATAAATTCACAAAACCTACACCTGTAGAAAAGTACCTGATGGGAAAACAAATTATTTGGCGTGGACATTGTTTATTTATGATGATTATTATGATTATTCTCTTTGATTGAATCCACATTATCTGTGGATGTTTGTAAAAAAACACAAACAGCTGGAAAAAGGAAAGGAAAAGTATTGAGATGTATACACTGTATTATTGTGATTTAAAATGTAATAAAAAGTTGTACATACTCTCATCCTAGCATTAAAACCTACTTCTCCATCATCTCCAGCTGCTCAGCTGCATCCTCTGCAGTGTAGTCCACCACCTCGTCGGCCCCGAGCCCCCTAACCAGACCCTCGGCATTCTGGGAGCAGGTAACCGTCACATGAGCGCCCCAGGCCTTTAGTAGCTGCCGACACACACACACAGATGTTTACATGAAGTTACACACAGAGTCAAATATAGACAGTGTTTTTTTGGATTACCTGGATTGAGAAAGTCCCGACACCCCCCGATCCTCCGGCGATAAGAACTCTGGGAGGAGACGCAGAGTCAGTCAATTACTGAAACGAAGCTACAGGAGCGCAGCGGGAGCCTCGAGGGGTGAAAAGGGAGTTTGGCTCCATGAGGAGTCACACTTACATGAAATCACAAATGAGACGTGTTTTAAAGGCACAGTTTAAGAAATCCACTTTAGATCAAACAAGAGACCAGCTGAAATACACAATGTCTTATCAAAATAAAGCTCTCTGTACCTGATTTAACAAAATAAGAGCACAGATGGACCCTGACATGATAACACTGATCCTGGACGGCTGAAGGGGTTCACACTTTTAGACCGTCCTTCATACTGAGACTCACATTTCTACAGATTCTGGGTTAGGAGGGGTTGACTACAGGGTTATCCATGATCAGGCTGCTTCTTGCCTTTTATTTGAAGAGCTGTCTCTGCAGAGACCACCTGCATTAACAAGCGCAGACAGGGCTGTGTTGGCTACGTAAGGGATGGATGCTGCTTCTGTGTGACTCAGAATTTTTGGCTTGAGGGAAACCTGCAAAGACAGACGAAATCAAGAATGAGAGAAACATCAGAGTCGGTTATTACCCAGTTAAAAGGAAGGTTTAATCCCCACAATGGCCAGCTTTAACTTTAACGAATAAATAAGTGAAAATTTGGAAGAAAACAAGGAGAGCTTTGTGAGTCTGGACTGCTGCCTCAGTGGCTTCTGAACCCAAACCGCCTTAATCCTAATTACTCAGACACAGCAGAATTTTAAAGCTGAGGGACCGTTTTCAAACTTTACACTGCAGCTTTAAAACTTTCTTCATTAGTTTAAAAACACGACAAACGTTAAAAGAGTCAAACAATAACTAATAAACAGACTCAAAGTTGGACATTTTCAGGGTTATAAGGACCAAACCTGCTCAGTGTCTCACCTCATACTCCGTCAGAGTCACAAACTCTGCCAGGCTGCCTTGTTTCCACGGGGGAACGGCGGCCCACACCTGGAACACCAAGATGACATTTAACACGCTGAAGAACACGACGCCATTTAACCGCCTACTCTTCTGAATCTGGTTCATCAGCGAGCTCTTCCCGTACTCATCAGTCAGTTAATCATTTCCAGAGGTGATTTTACACAGACGGGAAAAAAAGAGATTACCAGGAGATTATCTGAAAATGTCGATGTTGGTCTATAATTCGATTAGATTAAAGCTGCATTTACATAAAGTCAATAATGTCAGTGATGTGAATAAAAGGAAAACAGGAAAACAGTAGATGACTCAGAGTCAAAACCGTGTGATGAACAAGCAGAGAGCTGATCGATGACGAAGACTGACGGTGACCTCAGCTGAAGATGTGATCATACAGACCGGACTATTATAGGGGAGAGTGGAGGAAGATATTTCAGATCAGTCCAACTTACCCCTCAACTTACCCCGCTCCCCTTTGGCGGGATCATGGAGCAGTAAAGTAAACTAAAGACCTTTTTAGTCTGACTTTTAGATGAATTTTGTTTGAATCTTTTAATCTGCATGTTGTGATTTTAACCTATTTTAGTTGTAGAGTAACAATTTTGTGTTTTATTACCTCTTTTTTAATTGACTTTGTTTATTTGATTTTAAGACTGTTTTATTTATTATTTAAGTTTTTAATGCTTTATCACCTTTATTATATTTTTTTATGGTTTTATCGTTTTAGTCCTAAATCCAGTGTTTCCTCAGTGATCTGTGGAAAGTTGTAGACTCCTCACCTGATATTTTGTGTGTGTGAGTGCTGTACGTGTTGAATGGGGGTTGGGTTTTGTATATTTTATTTCATTGTTTTTAATATCCCCCTTAAATGGACAGCACTTTGTGCTACATTATATGTATGAAAAGTGCTTTACAAATGAAGTCTGATTGATTGATAGAGTGTGCGTAATGATAATATCCTGTATCACAGCAGAATTAACTGAACGATTTCATATCAGACACAAAAGTGTGCGGTTCATCTCCTACCTCATCTCCTGGAGCAAAGTGGGTCACCTCAGATCCACAGTCCACCACCACACCTGAAACATCTCGACCCAGAACCAGAGGAAACTCACTTCCATCATTCATCACAGACATCGGATCCCTTCTGAGTTTGAGCATTTTAGCTCCATAACCTCCTGAAAATAAAGTCAGAGAGATCAGAGTCAGGGGGGTTTTCAAGACCTTTTCAATCCTTAGATGCATGACTGACCAGAACCTACACTTATGGATGTGGAAAATAAGTCCATGTTTTATAGCAGCACGTATCACACCTGCAATTATTACAAAATTCAGCTGCACGGATGTTAACAAGCACCAGAAAGAGAGATCACATTACAGCGATTTTAAGGTCTCTGCATTGGCTCCCCGTCTCTTTTAGAAAAGATTTTAAGGTTGTTTTTTGGTTTTTAAAGCTCTTAATGGCTTTGGCCCTTCTTATCTATCTGATCTGTTTTTACCTTATGACTCAGGTCGAGTCCTCAGGTCTTCAGGAAGTTCTCTGTTAACATTATTAAAGTTAAAACCAAGATGTACAGTGAGGCATCTTTCTATTACTATGACCCCGTCTGTGGAACAGCTGACCTGAAGACCAGAGGACTGAAACTGATCTGAATGACTTTAAAAGTAAACTGAAAACGTACCTTTTTAGTCTTGCTTTTAATTAAATTTTATATCGTTAACTTTAAGTGTTTTCGCATTTATCTCTTTCTAGTTTTAATGACAGAATGGTCTTTTATTGAGCTATTTTGGTGCTCTTATTTTAGTGTCTTTTACTTTTGTTTTTATTTTATTTATTTCTTAAATTTCATTCTATTTTTCTTTGTTTTTAGATTTTAACCTAAACCTCCAGTGTTTCCTTGTCTTTAGTATTAAAATGGTGTTTCCTCAGCGCGCACACTCCTGTTTCTATGAATTCTTTTAAGTTCATGCATTTTAATTCTGTTTCTGTTCTTAGATGGTGGGGTGGGAGTGAGGGGTTGGGCTGGGGTAGATTTGGGTTTTCTTTGTTTCTTTTATTCCTTTTTCTGTGTAAAACACTTTGTGCTACATGTTGTGAATGAAAAGTGCTTTATAAATAAAGACTGATTGATTGATTGATTGATTGATATTTGGGGTATAAAACTGATGGTAATATTTACATGTGTTTCTGTGTTACAGTAAAAATAACCTTCAGCGTGGTGAGACTGCTCAGGTTAGATGTGTGGATCAACAGTAAATGTATACCTGACAGTCAGAGTTGATAAAACTCTAAGGTTCTTGGGTTAACCTTAGAAACTCCATAGAAAGTGATAGGGGGCATTTTTGACCCCACATACGTGAAAGTGGGGTGCTGATACAGAAAATGCAATAACTCAAAAACAATAACAGTTAGAAACAAATCAAAATAGCCTCATGTCAAAGAGAACCTGTATGAGGAATACATGGAAGATTAAATGACAAAAGTTAAAAATTACAAACATATTGTAATAAAATGGTTCTGGGGTCTTTTTTTGACCCCATTTATCTCTGATGAGGAGGGGGTCCGAGAACTTACCCCTCATGGACAGATCCAGAGGGTTCAGACTGGCAGCGTGGACTTTAATCATCACCTCACTGGCAGAGTTGATAACAGGGACAGGGTGGTCTTCTGTGAACCTCAGAACCTCGTTGGTACCGTACTGGTCCAGAACCCAGGCTGACATGCAGCTCTGAAGTCCTGAAGGTGAACTGCTAACATGTCTCTTCAGGGACACACACAGACCTGTCCTGAATAAAGCTTTACAGGAACCTGCTGCTCTCGACTTTAACAAACACAGGAACCTGGTTGATGCCATGACCCCGACAGAACCCGACAGAACCCGACCTGTCAATCAAAGTCCAGTTTTAGGGGTTCCTACTTAGCTTAGGTTAGCATTTACAGCTCCTCAGCGCTAACGACGTTCATTAAACTGACGACAACAGGTCCAATAAATCAGCGAAAACGTCTTTTTCACGTCAAACTTACAGCACAGTGTCGTCAAAATCCGAAATAAGAACCACAAAGACACAAATATGAAGATAACACACCCCCTCTGCTGCTACATGCTACATAACAACCTCACCTCTGAACTTACAAGGACAGCCAATCAGGATTCGGGAGCTATATACACCGACCAATAAGATAAGAGAACGCCTCTGACGCGGTGACATCTACAACGGAGTCCAGTCAGTCATGGGAAACTTCGATGAAGTCGGTATTCATTTCGTTTTAATTTATTTATTCATTTTTCATTGATTTTTTAAATTTTTTTCGAACATGTGCAACACTAGAAAATAAACGAAAACAAACAAACAAAAACAGTAACAATATTCGAAACAACAATAACAATAATGGAAGCAAAAAAAAGAAAAAAATAATTAAAACAAATAAACTATTAATAAAAACAATTTTATAAATATTATTAAAAATGATGATCATAATAAAAAAAATAACATTAATAATACAAGTTAAGTAATAATAAAAAAATATTACAAATAAAATAAAAATTTAATAATTAATAATTTATATATTATATAAATATAATATAATAATAAGTAAAATATAAATTATAAAACTAATATTAAAATGATAATAAATATATATAAAAAATTTAAATTTAATAAAAATTTAAAATGACATTATAAAAAATAATAGTACAATAATAAGAAATAAAATAATATAATAGTAATAATTTTAAAAATAATAACAATCACATTAATAATAATAATTACATTATGGTAATAATAATTATCAAAATAATAATAACAATAATAACAATAACAATAATAATAATAATTATTATTATTATTATAACTATTATTATTATCATAATAATGCGAACCCAACATGTCCGAAAAGGAGTAGGATAAAGCATTATGCTTTTTTAAACCTTCCCCTTCTCTTCTACTCAAAAATATCAGTCAGTCTCCAACATATTTACATTATATTAATAAAAAATAGAACATAAATAGAGCAAGTAAGTACTTAAATCATTAATGAAAACACCTGATGGTTAGTGCCCTTCTTCCTCCCTTAAAAACCTCTATTTGATTTTGACCTTATGGGCATCTCTTTTCCTGTTGTTGATTTGATCATATTTATGTGCAAACTTAAAGCTACTTTGCCTCTGAAGACAGACACACAAAAATAATCAAACAAATCTAAGACTTTTGCTTTCAGCCACTAAATGACGGTGGCTCTAACTTTTTGACTAAAAACACAGTACAATGTATCTAACCTAAAGGGACTGATTAAATCCTGTTTTTAAATGATAATTATCAATTCTCACGTTTAATGGATTAAACAGAGTTCCTCTGGTGAAGTCTTGCAGCATCAGTTCGTTCTTTAGCTTTTACTGTTGGTTTTTGTTGTTTGCTCATTTTGACGGTGATAATAACATCCTTAAATAAAACTCTTATGACGTGTGAGAAACTTTAATACTCAAAATAATAATGGAACATATTTTTACAGCAACAAACCACCATGAAGGGAATAAAAACCTAAGATGAAGTGGGACTATCGAGGATAAAATGCAAACACAACAATGTAGTAATAATTGTCTATTATCGTAAAAATGCGGGAGTGCATGAAAAAATTATAAACCAATAAGCCTGAGAGGTCCACTCAGTGGAAAAGTGGTGGCTGAGTGCTCACTCAGGTGGAGACAAATGGAGACATGAAGCAAACACTAATGGACCGAGTCCAAGAAGACAAAAATCTTCTCCTGATGCATTAGTCATCGAAATGTGGCTGAGGAGGTTTCAGACATGCTTCACAGTTTTCACATCAGCCTCATTAGAGAGTCTTGTAGGATTGTACTTTATAAGAAAAGCCCTCAGTGATTCTTTAATGACAGATAATGACTGTTAGTCTTCAGCTAAGAGCAACTTCACTTTCAACTTAAAGGCTGAAATGAACAGTGATGCATCTCAAATGATGTGCTAAAAATCTGACCGATTCTGATGAAGCTGACGTGTTATTTTATTTTATTTTAATACCTGTAACTGCTGTGAGCAGGTGGGAACACTGAGGAAAGTCTGTGTTACTTTACCCACAGCAAAAAAATCTTTCATTTGACTGTAAAGAAGACAACAACTCTTCCTCAACTAACACCACTTTCAGAAGGATGAGAGGAAATTAATACAACATAACCACAAGATAATGGTCACCACTATGTCCACAGGGGGCGCTACGTTGACAAAAAGAGAGTTTCTGACAGGATCTTCAGATTTAAGTGGAAAAGTGTTAGGAAAGAGGAACAAAACACTGGAACAGTGGTGTCCTCCTGTTTGTTACCCATGCATCGCTCCAAGGCCAGTATCTGTAATGGTATGGTAACTGTGTTAGCATGTTATAAAGCAGCAGACAAAGACTTTTTCAGCATATGTTTGGACAATACAAGACCACATTCTGCATTATTCCCACAGTATGGCTCTGCAGTAGAGGAGTCTGAGCGCTGAGCTGGCCTGTCTGCAGTCCTGACCGGTCACTCATTGAAAATTTTTGGTGCATAATGAAATTGGAAAATAAAACAAAGGAAATCTTATATAAGAGAGGAGCGGACACTTCACTCTCCAAACTCCAGGAAGGATCTCCTCGGCTCCTAAACAGCACACAGGGCAACACAATTATACACATGCTCCTGTCCAAACACTTTTGACATTAAATATATGGTTTATTACGCACTAATTTCAGTAACGAGTTGAATCCAATTGTCCTGACTGATATTTTACAGTCTCACAGCTATTTTAGAATCAGTTTTTATACCCTGATGAATAACTTGGACCAGATAAGTCACACTTACAGTTTGCATGCTCTTCTCTCCCAGATTTGAGAGTGAGAGAGGTGAGAGAAGACAGCGAATGTTTGGGCCTGAGTCTGAGTGATCGTGATTCAGTACTGTCATTATGATCGCAGCTCCCAGGGGAAAGAGGACACACTGGAAAACTAGGGGCTTTGTCTGTGCTGCCTCATTATGGTGGGTCTGTCTAATGAATCAGAGTCCTTGCTGAACCCAGTCTTATATTAGTGCCTTAAAGGGATATTCCGGCGTAAATTCAATCTAAGGTCAAACCCACCGTAACACTGAGTTAGACACCCCCTCCAGAGATGAATGTTGAAACTTGGAAACTTGGAAATTGGGGGTAAGGCAGAAGAACTACCGTGTCTGCAGAGCAAAATGATTATTACTTCAAGGAAATGATAAAGAAATTATCATAAATGTTCTTCCTTGAGCTGCGGCACCCCGCTGTAGTCCGTAATGGACTGGCCTGAGGTCTCTCTACAAACAAGCGGCTGCTGGAAGAGAGTAGGTGAGTTGTGTTTAGTCTCTTTGCTAAAGAAATGAGTCAAAGTTAAAAAGATGTTTTGTGTCTAGTACTATGGCTGTGACCCTATATGTCCTGTTGATGAAGTTAGGTGCTGTTCTGAGCATTATTTGTGGCTATAGAGTGGCGTTTTGGTTGGGGGCGTGGCTCTCTGTATTGCTATGCTGCGGTCGTTACTAAAGTTGGTATAACTAGAGAAGCAAGCGGTCGGAAACATTCATCTCTAGAAGGGGTGTCTAACTCGGTGTTACGGTGGGTTTGACCCTAAATTAATTTTACGCCGGCATATCCCTTTAAACTGTATTTATGAAGTCCTTCCTCCACAGAAACACCATGTGTGGTATTTTGGGCCTCCCTGCTATCCAGGGATCTGTGGCCCCGATCACACGGTTGCTCCAAATAGATGCAGTTTTGATCTAATTTCATGCAGAGTGGACTGTCAATATCTGACCAAGAGAAGTGTAGCTGTATAATGCACCTGATGGGAAAGCGAGTAGTTTTGTATTTGCATCTTTCTCTTCTATCTTTCATGATTCTCCTTTTAAGCTCTTTCCAGAGTCAAACAAACCAATTAGCAAACAAACCTCCAGACACTTGGCACACAGCAGCTGAACAGAGGGCCTGCAGTGAGGTGGAGCATGAATGGCTGCTTGCAGTTTGGATAATGATCAGACGAGGCTTGTTTGTTACACAGAGCTTCTCCTGAGCCGTGACAGAGGCAAGGAAAGGGGGACTGTGCAGCAGTAAAGTGAAGCCAGCCTCTGAGACTGTATTTTTAGACCGAACGATCGGTCTCTCTCCTTGGTTACTGCCCCATTTCTTCAGGAATAGGTCAAACACAAGGATAATGCATGGTGGTGATGATAGTGAGAATCTCTCTGACACTCTGATGGTTTAAATGGATGTGAATGGTGTCAAATTTACCGGCTTTTCATTTGCAGCCTGATGGAAAAAAACTCTTCTTTCTCTAACAGGATAGTGTCTGATTAATGAGTCAGAGCAGGAGCCTGAACACTGGATCAAAAATATAATATTGGACGGTTTAATTAAACGCAGTGACATCAGCTTTGCTCCCTCTAAGGCGCGTTGATAAAAACATCCTCTCAGCGGGGGGTTAGACAACAGCGAGGAGCGACACACCTGAGCTAATGCAGGCCTGCAGTCTCTGTTTACAGGAGGACCGGGCTGAATATGGTCTGAGTGTTCGATTACACTGAGACCGGTCCTCATCAGTGAGTAAAATTAAAGGATTTAAACAGGCTATTGTCATGAGTCAAAGAGTCCATATTAAAACCGCTCTATAGAGAGGATCTGTATCTTTTATCAAACACAATACTGAGCCCTAAAGCCTACTAACCTGGATCACAGGACTTAGTGTTTGTGGAGGTTAAGACCAAACACAAACAAAGCCGGCGTCCACACAAGAGCACCAATGACACACACTCAACATCAGACATGGGTCAGGATAAATAATTAACGCAAACAGGAAGGGTTCTGGAGACACTGATCTGTGCTTCCCTTACATCTCAACATTATTTCCTCCTAAATAGTTATAAAAAAGAAAAAAGAAAGAATGGGCTGAAAAATAAAGGGTTGAAAAAATATTTCAAGTGCATTAACCTTTTGTTAAAATTAATGTTAGAAATCCTCTAAAATATCACAAAGTCTCTTTCATCTTTTTTCTCTTTTCTCTCTTATCTATCTTTTATCTTTTATCTTTTTTCATTTCTTTTTGTCTCTCTTTTATTTTTCTTACATCTCTTTTTCCCTCTTTTATTTTCTTTCATCTCTTTTCTCTCTCTTTATCTTTCTTTTATCTCTTTTTCTCTCTTCTTTCCCTCGTCCATGATGTCTCTGAAAGTCCACATCTTTTAAAACCCTTCAAAGTCTCTTTAACCTCAATCCCATGAAAAAGCTGCTTCAGACTGAATTAACCAGATGATTAATCTGCACTTTAACACTCAGACAAAACCATCCTGAAGCAAACTCACTGCATCATCTCATCCTTTAACTTTGACTTCTTAAACTCAAAGCCATTTTATTCACTACAGTCACAGTGACAGGAAAGTGCTCTGCTGTTCATCTCACAGATATCATCTTATCTTATCTGCAGCTTCCTCCACTCTGCAGGGACAGCAGCGGATATCGAACTCTCTGTCCACTTTCTGTTTGTCCTGAGGATTAGAGGAGCTGCACTGTATCTGCTGATGTCAGAGGAACTGCAGTCAAGCAGAGCTGGAGTCCTACTGTCCTCACACGCACGCACGCATGCACACACACACATCATTGTCTCCCTTTCGTTAGATACCTGTAATAACAAACAGCTTCAGTTTCTGATGGACACAGGCAGCGTTGAGCTCACTGATGTTCAAACAGAGGGACAGGAACCGAAACTTGTTTTGTATTGACTGAAAAACAAGTTTCCAGAGTTCCTCTTCTCAATGTTGATCTTTCTTTCTTACGGCTGTAAACACACTTGACCGACTTCATGGTCTTCAACTTACTCCACTTTTCTACTGTCAAAAGTTTTTAATAATAATAATAATAATTTTTCATTATATTCATGAAAATATGAATGTATGTCTGAAAGAGGTGAACCCTGAAATGCCTCAGATATCACTTAAGTTAGGTGTGTGAATTTTATTTTAAAAGTCTTTTTAAAAATGTCGTAGAGATCTGACTCAGCACAAATGTGTCCTGTAATGATATTATTTGATGTAAAGATGACCTTTTAGAAAAGTGAAGAACAGCTTCAGGTGGTGCAGGTGGACAAACAAACAGACACAAATATTTGGACATCAGAGATGTGAGTGACGACCCCGACAGCCTCCAGCTGAAACCTTCACAGGATCCAAACTGAACCTTTACCTGATCTGTAAACTTCAACACTTTCAGACTGCTGAAGAGTCAGTTTAGGATTTATGATCATGTCAGTCATGAGATCCTCTCAGACCTTCCTGGAGAGTGTGAAATGTAGAGATGGAAACTGATAAGATTTTATCGATATCGATGTCATCAAAGATTCTGTTTATCAATTCAATTCTTTTACGATTCCCTTATCAACGCCGTTTCTTGATTTAAATAAATAGACTACAGTCATCAATGTTAACTCAAAATTTTATTGAGTCTCTGATGACAGAGAAAGATGTACGCCATCTTCAGTGAGAGTCTAAAAATAATCAAACGACAAACTATTTGTTCAGCATTTACTTTGGACGGTATAAACTCAAATTAGGGTGACCATATCCTGGATCCCCAAAAGGAGGACACGGCTACGCGGGGTGGAGTCACACGCAAAATTCAGAGGGTTTTTCTGGTCAGGTCAAGTGTTTTTTTACAGGCTTCTAACTCAGTTAGTCCACGCTACACAAACTCAAAACTTCCACACAAAAATTGTCGTCTTTTTTAGTAAAATGACGCCACGCTTTAGATCGTTTCTGCCTACTTTTGTACCATCCGCCATGTTTGTTTCCTCAGAATCTCTGTTCTCTCTCGTGTAGACTGCCTCTCACGAGACAGTTTTCCAAAGAACCCAGAAGAAAGGAATCGTTCAGGGAATCATTAAAATGAAATGTAAACAATGTCGATGGATTGAACCATTTTGAGCCTGTTCCCATCCCTTGTGAAATGTCTGTGTGCTGTCTGTTTCCAGTTTGTCAGATGTCTCTGACAGGCAAGGAAAAGCATTGACTCTCTGCTTCCTCGTAGACCAGATGGTAGTGAGACACGCGGACTCTCTCTCTCTCTCTCTCTCATGCATCAGCGTATTCAGCGGTCTTTGTGTGCAGGATTAGTCCCTGTACATCACAGGTTTCTGTCTGGGGTTTCTCACCGTCTTTCGACACAGTGTGGGTGGGAGCTATTCACAGCAAACAGGTGCCATCATGTGGCATCAGGTGTCCTTCCCAAAGGTTGGACTGAGAGAAGAGGATGGTCTGTCCTAGATCTGCAGTTAGTTAGATCAGAGCCGCTCTCAGAGGAGGTTCTGGGTTTGGTCGCCACAGACAGCAGGGACAGTGATGTTGTACATCTGGGATACAACCTGATTTGCTTATGAAATCAGGTTAGCTCTGTGGGCTCCCACTCCTATCATGTTAAACAGGTCACACAGACATACAAGGCGAAGAGACTTTGCATGATGGCAGAGTGAATATGACTTTATGTGATCAGATTTCACGTGCGCTCTCATTAAAAGGTGCAGAGACGAGTGTCCAGCGTCGATAAAGCAGAGAAAACAAACTCCACACAAACACTCTTCATCCGGGTCTGACAGGACACTTTTCTGGGATCAGTGTCAAACATGTTTTCCATTGTTGGGTTTCCATGGCGACCACAGCCTCTGGACATGAATCACTGGAATGGTCGACAGGAACAGAGGATCCATTTATGGGCGTAATTGACGAGCTCCATGTGATTAGAGAGAATGAGAGAAAAGCAAACAGTTTCATCAAGGTCCGCCTTCGTCTTCGCTAATTGATCCACTTAAGCTGTCTGCGGATACGGCACCGAGGAGAGCCGGAAGGTTCCTTCAAAGAAGTGGGGCAGAACAATGACAGCACACAGCTGACCGTCCAGCTGATCTACAGCTGTTTATCCTCTGTCATCATGGAGAAAATCCTGCTGAGTCTCACTCTGCTCATCACAGAGGTGGTCAGCTGTCTGTGTTTTTGCAGGTCAGACTCTGACTGCAGTATCTATGTGCTTATTTCTGAGGCAGAGCTTCAGATCTGACATGTCAGGGTCTGTTTATAAACCAGTGTCACTGACAGAAGACAGAGACATCAGGATCCTGGGATTTATTTCCCTTACGGTGGTTTAAAGGAGGACTTTGTCTGATTGAGGCCTGTTTCCACTGATGATGGTTTCTGTGCTTGAAGAGTCCATCCAGCTCTCCAGTGTTTACTGTTGCTAGGTTACAGCTCTCCTCGGCAGCAACAATACAATGGTTTAAAACTCCCTGTATGCATCATTTTTATTTTTACTTCATGTGATTTTACAAAGAAAATGTAAAAGGAAAAAAAACAGAAGTTGGGTCACAGCATGAGGACCAGCTCCAGACCTGGAGTTCTTCCTGGGGAGGTCCGAGGCGACTGTGACAGGGGATGGTAGTAGATTTTTGGGCATTTAGATCGATCGGTAGAGCAAACATTAGCAGTCTTCTCATGTAGCATGTTAGCTTCATGTTAGCTGCTCAGTCGATGAAAATAAAAACAGGGTTTGGTGAAATTCTCTCTGAAGAATGCAGCAGTTTCTGTAATCGAGGATCAGTACGGAGTCCTTTCAGCGCTGTGATAAATGCTCTTTAGTCAACCTTTAAAGATTGACTAAAGGCGGGGTGCCGCAGCTCAAGGAAGAACATTTATGATCATTTCTTCATGGAAATACAATCAGACCGAGACGCTAAGACAGAAGAACTACCGCGTCTGTAAAATGATTAATATGGTGATTATTACTTCATGGAAATGATGAAGAAATGATCATAAATGTTCTTCCTTGAGCTGCGGCACCCCGCTGTAGTCCATAATGGACTGGCCTGAGGTCTCACTACAAACAAGCGTCTGCTGGAAGAGAGTAGGTGAGTTGTGTTTAGTCTCTTTGCTAAAGAAATGAGTCAAAGTTAAAAAGATGTTTGGTGTCTAGTACTATGTCTGTGACCCTATATGTCCTGTTGATGAAGTTAGGTGCTGTTCTGAGCATTATTTGTGGCTATAGAGTGGCGTTTTGGTTGAGGTTTGTTTATGGCTCCCCAGACCTCTCTGTATTTCTATCCTGCGGTCGTTACTAAAGTTGGTATAACTAGAGAAGCAAGCGGTCGACAACATTCACCTCTGGAGGGGGGGTCTAACTCGGTGTTACGGTGGGTTTGACCCTAAATTAATCCCTTAAAAATAATCCAGAGACATTTATCAACACCGCCTGTTCATTCTGATAAAACTGTGTATTGAACCTTTAAACACTCGTCCCTGTAAAATGAAGGTTTGTTTCTGTTTCTGTTTCTCTCCCAGAGGCTGATGTTGGAGCTGATGAAGCTGATTTGTGACCATCTGTGATCATCTGTTCATCTGTGTTTAAGGCTGAGCTGAAATCAGGGGGACTGCGCAGACACCATACAGGGTCAAAGGTTAAACTGTAGGAGCTCCAGTTTACAGTTTAAACCCTGTTACTAAATCAACCCTAGACTCTTGTTTGAGCGATTTGTGAGGATCCTAACAGGAAGACATTAAAACATGTTATCTTACCAGCTGACAAACCTTGTTCTGGTGAAAACTGGCAGCAGTGACTCGACTGATGTGGAAAATGTCTTCAACGATGAGAGCAGAGACAGCCTTCAGGAGGATTCAGGATCAGACCTCAGTGTTTGTGCACAGCCACTATGAAATAAACAGACAGATCAGATTAGCTTCAGCTGTCACAGATCACTGTCAGTAAATACTGTAAGATTGATTGATTTAAGATCATTATCACTCATTCAGTGAATAATTCTGTGTTCCAGGTTCAGAGTCCTGAGGTGCAAATCTTGTAAATCCGACACAGAAGGTTTGCAAACATGGAAATTTGTGTAAATTGTCCTTTCCTTGGAGTGGACATCTTTACACGGACCGTCCTGTCTTCGCCCATAACAGCTTCACGAGGACAGACAGATTTGTTTCTCCTGCCCGTCATTTGAATGATCTTTGTTTTTCTGCTGCTGAGGAACTTAGACTGCCGCGATTTTTACTTTCCTGTTTTGTTAGCTTTTACAGTTTTTCCAAGTCATGCAAAATATCTGAGCAGGTTTTGTTTCACTCGTGTTTTAACTTGCAAAGCTAAATGAAGGATTCTGCAGAAACAGCTTGGAGCATTTTCACCTCTGAGAGCTGTGAGAGATTATGTAAGCAGTCAGGAGAGCGTGTGCCCAGATAAAACATCGTTTCTGCAGCCGTCTGAGAAGTTTCAGGGATAACATTTCAAAATGGATTTATCAGTAAAGTGACTGATGAGGAGTTTGACTTCTTACTGTTATGATCAGTTCAAAAGGTGGGTTCTTAGGATGTATGTGGGACGTGAACTCTGAGGAGATGATTTAGTTTCAGACAGAAGAATTTCCTCCTGAAAGTCTCAACAGGAACACGATTTAAACTAACGTTAGAGTAAGATTAAAACATATGATTCACATAATTAGCTTAGTATTGAGGCTCGTAATTAGGTGGCTGAGAACCGCCACTGCTGCAAATAAAAATAAAAAAATTTAAAAAGGCGTTACAACGAAAGTTACCAATGCAAAAAAAAGAAACCGAAGCATGCTGCAAATAAAAAAAAGAAACGATGCAGATTTTAATTCTTTTAAAACAAGCCACGACGGAAGTTAACGACACAAAAAAAAGGGGGCGATGAAAAAAAATAGAAGTTACTAACTGCAAAAATAAATTGGTGCAAATAAGAAAAGCCACAACTGAAGTGAGCTGTCGGGGACCAATAATGATGATGCACCAGTGTTTTACGATCTAGGCACAGAAGACGACGGCGAGAAGACGAACAAAGAAGTTAGTGGAAAGGTCATCGTTTAATTTCCCCTACTAAACTTTTCAGTGTGGTTAGGCCATGAAGCGCCTGAGTCAGTATGAAGTTGATCTAAAGCTAACACTACACCGACATCCTCCAATGGCTATTTTTTTTTTTCCCCATCGCCGCTTTTTTTGTGTGTGTCGTTAACTTGTTGTTTTTTTTGCATTCTTTTTTATTTGCTGCATTGGCGGTTCTCGGCCACGTATCTAATCCTCCTCAGAAACATGATTATAGAGGCTGAACTTTCGTGGTGGGTTTGGAGAGATACCAGCTGCTGTAGCTGTTATCCCTGAAACTCACTGTCAGATTTTTATTTGATGAAAATGGACCGTTAGGCCTCTTTAGCCTTCACTGAGGCAGATGTCTAAAACTCAGCTGCTGATTTTAATATAGGAATGAGTCTGTATGATTGTCAGGAGGTTTTAATGTTCTTCTGCTAAAGTATAGTTAGACATGATAAACATTCAGATGCAGTGGTGAGCTGTCACTTCACACCTAGGCCTTCAGTACCGGTCCGCTTAGTCCTACCTAAATTAATACAACTTATAATACCATCAATGACACTGTGGCTCAAGAATCCATCAGAATCACACCTACACACTACATCACCTTCATACAGGCTAGTCAAGCGACATTTAAAACCAATAAACACACATTTACAGTTAAGGGTAGAAAACTAAGATCACAGATACCGTAAAAACTCAACAATAAAAGGCGATTTTAAGATATTAGTCAATAATAGGCCACCAAATGTACGCTATGTTAGCTCAAACAAGTTCGTCCCAATAATGCGCATTGCTGCCATTAAAAATATCAAGCTAGCACTCACCAATGCCGACCTCCTCCACAGGGCCTGTTTATTTGACAATAAAATCCATCCTCCTTTCTCTTCTTTTCCGTCAGTAAGTCCTTTTTTCTGTGAACATGGAGGCTAATGTTAAAATCCGTGTCGGTCCGGTCGTGTTTTCATACGCAGAAATACAGCGATAGCCGCCGTTAGCTAACGGATCTCTGAGTTAGTTCGACGTTTTGAAAAGTCCCGCCTTTTAGGGTTCTTACGAGCGCTTATCCAATCACAGAACACGTACATGTCCGGTTCAGCGTAAGGCCTCCGAGCTGGCGTTGATGTCGCAGACTCGAGATCTGATTGGCTATTGCAACAGACCGTGTCCGTTCGGGCAGATTTCACAGCACCTGACAACACAAGCTAGCTGAAATATGATTGGATAAAAAATTCTGTCATAATACACAACATTAAAGCAGCTCAACCAAGTGGATATAATATGATATAAAGAGAACAGACAACAGAGGATACTTTTATTTACATCTTTATGAAAAAATACATCAATAAATGTACTTTTCTGAGTATAATTAGGCCAGCAGAGAAGGTCTTCAGATGATCATTTTCACTTTAAATACAGTCAGATTTACTGATTATCAGAATGAATGAGCCCCTCTTCCACAGCTACAGGCACTGTCTAGGATCTGGATCCATGTGTCATTGAATGCTGTTGGGCTCTGGAGGTGTTATTTGTTTCTTTGTGGGTCTACAGACATCAGTGGAAATAAGGCCTAATATATTCAGAGGAATAGGTTGTTTTTAAAGCAGCTGCTCCCTGATGTCTTTTTTTTTCTCCACCAAGTGAATAAGAGTCGAGTTGTTCTCTGGAAAATCAGGAGCTGTACAGAGCGTACTGTGAGAACAGTGTGTGAGCGGCTGCTGTGAGGTTCACTGACGATCTGAGAGGCAGAAACCTCCAGCATTTTCGCCAAAGTCATTTTCAGTCCATGAATCAGCCTGGACACCAGGCAACGGGCGCGGGGTGGACAGGTGTGACTGTGAGTCTCACATTCGGCTGAGGTGTGAAATGAATTATTCATGAGCTTTAGGAAAGCTACCGGATAGAGTAGAGGCTGAAATCTTCCCTACAATACAGAACAACATGTCTAAAAACTGTTTGAAGTCCACATACTCAGACTTTAACCATCAACTTCACTGTTTCTAAGCAACACTGCAGTAAGTCAAGTCTCAATACTGAAATCTGACACAAAGTCAGGGAGTCTTAAGACCGCGCTGTCAGACTCCTGTCTCTGATATCTGCCATAAAAACACAGAAAAACAAACACCAGAGTGAAGACGTCCATACGAACATGTGTCCGGTTTCACAACAACATGTTTCAATAATGACCACAGCATACAGCAGCAGCAGCAGCAGCTCACGGGTAATGTTCAAGAGGCCTTCAGGAGGAGGGTATATATGGGCCAGGAGTGTGTGTGTGTGTGTGTGTGTGTGTGGGACATTGTCCCTGCAACACTGGTGTTGAATAATTCATAAAGCAGATCAATGATTAAAGGTCTGCTGGGTGACACACCTCCCATCAGAGGACAGGTGACTGTGTGTCAGTTATGGAGACAGTATCAACGTAGAGGTGAAACTCACAGAGACACACTTGGACAGAGACAGCTGGTCTGACTGAGATCTTTGGACAAACGTGAACTTTAAGGTTCCACTCTTTGAGAATACTTCTTCATATTTTATTTCTGCAGGTTCAGTAAAACAAAAGTGATCCTCCTGCGTATTCACAGCTGATAAAGGTGTCTCTGTTATTATCAGCTCATGTCTGACGGATCTTTGCTGAAAAAATCCAGAAAACAGGAGGTGATGCATCTGAAATTACTGGACACTGCATGTCTGGCACTTTTGAAGGTGATCACAAAAACACTGTCACTGTGGTGTATCAGAGTCAATGCTGCCTTTAGTTCAGCATTTATTTACATCAGATGACTTATCATTGAACATTTAACCAGAGCGGCTCCAGTTTAAAAGAGTCATGATAACAGAGGCTTCAGAGGCAGCGCTCTCTAAAATACAGTGTTTGCACAAATGCATTAGCAGGGGCGTCTGCAGAGGGGTCTGCTGGGGTGGACTGGACCCTCCCCTTGAAATACAATCGGCCACCCCAAAATCTGGAGCTAATGTTCCTCTCAGCAGAAGGATTCCTGTCACACACTGTCAAACTTTAACCTGCTGTGTTCCTCCATGTCTGAACGTCTGTCGTGAGATTAATGCTTAAACACTCGTGCGTTTCCATGACATTCGAGAAAACCGAATTATCGCCTTATTCCGATTAAGACCGGACAACTAAAGTGCATGTAAACACCTTAGTCCGACTGTAGAACGCCGATGAAGACACCCAGATAATGGGATTTGAAACGAGGACAAGGAGAGAAGTCTGACTTGGCGAAAAAAACGAATTATGAGCTTAGTCCGATAAAGTTGTGCATGTAAACGAACTGAGTGACTGTATGAGGCCTGTTGTGTTTGTCTAACCCTAAAATATCAAAGACAGGTTTGGTTGACCTTTATGTTTACTGTGATAAAGACATTTAACAGGCAGCAGAGTTTGATTAAAATAAAGTTATTTTGAATTAGAGTCGATCAGACCTCTCTCTGGATGGTGCGTGTGTCTATAGGGCTCCTATGCAGCCTATTACTGAATGCTTTCACTTGAAAAAGAGGCAAATTTCCTTTTCTGCTGATTGAATAATACTAAAGCTGAATATTTGAATCAGACATTGAAGGATTTGTTTGTTCGTAAGTCGTATGTCTGATCCACCCGTCTGTGTTTTCTTGTAGTCAACAGCTCTTGCAAATAAGGTCTTCAATCCACAGCATGTAAAAACGGATTTCTTAAACTAACAGTGCAGCGAGTCGTTATCTGTGAAGGTGCTGTGAAATCAAGAGTTTTTTCAGACCCGTGTGGTAATGTCAGAGTGAAGCAGAAGGTGAGATGGAGGGGAAACGGTGCTGAGCAGGGAGAGGTTAATAGTGCAGAGAGGATTGGGAGACAATAGGCCGGACTAATGAGTCATGAGGCCGGCTTTACTGGTGCTGAGGCATTTCCGAGCCGCACGCTACTCACTCTGACACCACCGTGTACATCCCAAACACACAGACCGAGGCCTTTCCAGCAGCTTTACACCAGTCTGACAACTTATACCTGACTTTGTGCCAAATCAATGATAGAGGGGGAAAAAGAGGAAAATGATTAATTATTATTCTACAGATTAACTCATCCTGGGTGTAAAATAAGGAGTCACTTCTTTGAATTCATGTTATTCTTCCATACTGTACAAGTCCTCCATAAACTTTATTCAGTTTCCAAGCTGAAGTTTATTTCATGTTTTAGAGACGTCAGTTTGATTAAACTCATATTACAGCGTATTGAAGTGTTTCTTCGTGCTCTGCAGCTGTTGGAGGATAACCCTGACATCAACGGGACCAAACAGAGTCGAGAGTCAAACTTGTTTAAAAAGCTCAGGTCTTTCCTTCGGGGCTCTTTACATTTCTGCTTCCAGAAACTGACGTTTTGACCAATATTGAAACTCTTGACTGACATTACAGGTTTGTGTGAGTTTCTGTCGCTTCTCTCTTCCTTGTGCAGTCAGAGCCGTGGAAATGTTGTACCGTGACTTGTTTAGATTTTCGACATCAGCTGAATACCATAGAGAGCGGTCCTGTTTCCAGTCAGTGCTGCTCTGGCGTTAATCCAGAGGAGATCAGCAGCCTGGACATCAGGGAATGCTGAGCCCATCTCTGGCCTTTAGTGCAGCAGTTGCTCGTCTAGACTGCCTGGCAGCGCAGCAATGATGAACACAACATAACCACACCCTTAAAATGAACTCCATCAGGATCACTTTATGGATTTAGACCTGACACCAGGATAAGATCATGCAACATGTAAAGATTATATATAAATGTGTTTTTCCTGGAAGGAGACCAGATCCAGCGAAAGTCAAAGACACGACAGAAACCAGAGGAGCCGTTACAGAGTTTGTTTTTCATAATTTATTGTACATTTCTTCCATTATCTTATATCCAAACTAATAAACAGTACATTTCCATTTATACAAAATATAAACTATAAGGGGGGGATATAAATCTAACATCAACCCTTCCCATATGGTTACACAAACAGTCATTTCCTGGGTCTAACCCATGGATGAAGGGGGGAAAGGTGTCAATCAAACCCTCATTGTAAAAGACCAGAACTCTTTAGAAATCACAAGGCAAAAACTGACACTGAGTCCTGCGGCAACTTCTCTCTGCTACATACATCATCTCTTTGACATTTCTAATAAAAAGACCCAAGAGCCGAATTATGAAAAACCAACTAAAGTTTCATCTGGCTTGGTGTGTTTGGAGTGTGTGTGTGTGAACAGAACAGAACAGAACAGAACCGCAGGCTTTTCATATTGAATGTTAAGTTGGATTTGAAGCCACAAAAAGAACCTCAGTACACTCAAGTGGTCCGCATTTCAATCAAGACACGTGACATGACAACCGCAGCCCTGAGCATCTCCAACATGTGGTGGCGTGACTATGGAAACGCAGGCCAAAGGGAAGCTGGGTGCACCAACGCTCCTTTTGATCCCATGCATGGGGGGCTGAGGGGGCTCAGTGATGATCTCCAGCTGAGGACTGGACCCCCTTTAATGAGAGAAATGTCTTAAATTGCATCTTTTTATCGTGACTTAAGGAGGACAAAGAGGGTTGTGAAGTCCATCCTTGTTAGTCTTGTGGTCTCTGTGCAGTGAAGGGTGGAGGAACGAGGAGGCAAGACCGGGTGGGATGACTGGCTGGGAGGTGAGGAGGAGGAGGAGGAGGAGGAGGAGGAGGGGAGCTCTGGGGTCCAGGCTTCAACAGAAGTGCTGCAGAAGAGAGGCGGCCATGATGAGAGGGATCAGGAAGGGGAAGGTGCTGGCTGCGTGCAGCGAGACGCCCGCTCCGGTAGGGGAAGTGGTGTTGGTTGAACTGCTGAGGGTTCCTGTTGCCATGGTGGTGGCGTTGGGGTTGGAGGTGGAGTTTCCTCCCGCTGTGGGGTCTGTGCTGTTATTGGAGACCGCCTGTTTGAGAGGTGGGGGAGAGGAGGATGAGAAGGGTTGAAAACTGCAAAGTTACCCCGTTCAAAAGCCTGTTCTTTAAAGGGCAAACGAGGGAAAACTGTGGCGACAAAAACCCGATGATTTAAATAAAATGTAAATTAATCAACAAAGTTTGACTTTGTGGGATTTGAGGTTTTCCAACAAAATGAAGCAAACTGAGAGCATGAATTAAACCTGCTTTAAAACAACTGGATCTGCAGTCAGACATGTCCCCAAAAGGACATAAAAACAAGCACGAGTGTTTCTGATAGCGTTAGGATGGCTGCAGATAAGAGAAAATAGCTTCTGCGCCTGCGTGTCAAGTTTCGTTTGGCTCTCCGCACTAAAACGTAACTTTAGCTTCTCTCCCCACCTTTGCACAGGTACACAATACAGTGCACCTGAATCATTAATTCACTGGAGTGTGAGCCAGAGAAGAGGCAGAAATACATGTGAAAAACACTTTTATGACAGACAAAGACCTTTAATTACACCCACCCTGAAATCTAACCCTGATCATGTTAATTTCCCCAGAGAGACTCAAGTCGAACCTGAAACAGTCCATACAGTCAACCCCATTATCAGTCTGGAGATGTCTGTATAATCAATTAACCCATCATTAAAAAAGATCCTTTTATCAGTGATCAAACTAACGCTGATCTATGAAAGAAATAAAATCAATAATCACTAAATTAAGAACATTATTATCTGCTGTATAAATAAAAAGAGTCTCCTTACCTCTCGTGTTAAACAGATGGCAAACAAAAGCACTCCGATCTGAACGATGCTCAGTTTAGACATCTTCTCTTCTTTTATTGGTTAATTCTTTTGGCCCAATCAGGTGAGGGTTTGCTCTCAGACTCGGATCCTCTCTAATGTGGTCGCTGCAGCACGCGCACCGCTTTATACGGGCTGCGGGTCTGTGACGTCACAGGCAGGGTCCTGATTGGGTCCCGGTCCCGGACGTGGAGGAAATGAGCGTTATGTGCAGATGGACCGCAGGACCATCATCACCTGACACACCTTCAGATACATATATATGAGTTTATTATTGATGATGGTAATTAACTCTCCTCCACTCTTCATCATCATCTTCATCTTCATCATCAGCTCCACCTTCACTCTCTCCCTCCTTAAACCTCTTTGGTCAGTCAAAGACTTGAACCAGGTGGGCTCTGGCACACCTGTACACCGCTCAAACCGTAGACTGTCTATACTTCACCGTTCTACATACAGTCTATGGCTCGAACCGTCGCGTTGCCATGGTCACAGTTTGGAAAAGCTGCTGATAAAAGATGATCAAAGTGAGGCTGAGAAACGTCCTCTTTCGTGATTACACTCTGAGACTTTAAAGTTGGCAATAAAAGGAGATTTTCGATCAGACAAATCCGATTAAATGAGAGAAAAGTTCATTTAACCTGTTGATCAGTGTCTCTGTGAGTTTTAGTACGGCAACAGCGACCCCCAGTGTTCAGTGTGGGTTACCCCAGCTGTTTAAAAATAATATATATATAAAAAAACTGAACTTTATGTCCTCTCCAGTTTGAACAGCCGAACATAAATAACTTATGATTTATTGAACTGTTTTGTACGGAGGAGTATCAGGCCCTGATACTCCATCGTAGTTTTGAATCTAATCATTTATTTTTATTCTATTTTATGTATTAGTAAGCATAAATAAACCAGCCAATCGCGTTCGGAGTGAGCAAATCGGTTACTAGGAAACATCTATAGCACTGTCCAATCATGAGCAGTTATCCGTGTAAACAGGAAGTCACCGTGAAGCATCACAAGCTAGCAGAGTTTTTATTTTTATGTTTTTCTTTCATTTCTGTGTTTATGGAGTTCTCCGGGGTGAGTAACTGTCTGTAACCACAGGGTTTATTGGTGTTAGCACATATTCTAAAGGCTTCTACAGGTTTGTCATGTTATAAAGATTTATTATTGTCTGATGATGTGGTTTTATTTTGGCACCGTGAGTCTCCAGTTTGCTTTCAGTTTTTTTTAATTTGGAGTAAAAACCCTAAATTGATGGGGACTTTGGATATCTCTTTTTATAACTCTGTAAATGAGAAAATACTCTCAACACCCCTAAAAACTCAAATATCTCCATGTTTTTTTTTTTTGTTTTTTTCTCAGGTCCTTAAAATGATCATTACTTCTTTATATTCATTCTAGACCAGGAATACTGGCGCCTGATACATGTTTGGACCATCTGATATTATAATTAGCATATTTGTATGATAGATAAGTGACTACAAGTACGACTAGTGACCCACAGTCAGAGTCACATGGAGATATTTGAATTTTTAGGGGTGGTGATTTTGAAAGGGTCTTAATCTATTGTTCAGTTTTCTGTAAATGTCTGTAAATTAGTGCATAGTTAATTAGATATTACCTCATTTACATATTCAAACAAAACATTTGACTAAACTTGTAATATAAAAAATATTTGTCTTAATGTCAATTATAAACTTGGGAAGTTTCATGCTGATATCTGTTAGTTAAAAATTTTACCTGGGGGGTCTCCCCGGGCCTCCTACCATCATGGACGCCATCTTGAAAATGACACCTTTCCAGTGGTCAAACTTTGGTAAACTTTAGTTTGTTATTAAGGACGTCTAATACTATAAAAAACAGATGAGAAACATTTGTATTTGGTGTTTTTTTCCCATAAATGCACCCGCCTAGTATCTGCCTGTAATATGATACAAGAAAAACTTCGTGTTCTCAGACACTCATCTCCGGCTGATGTGTAGATACTGCCCTCTAGTGTTGAAACTCCACCAGTCTGAACCTGAGGTGATTTTACTGTAGATCTCTCTGTAGGACTGGAGTTCAACCTTTTCAATCATCTTCCTAATTGACAGAGTATTTTCACTGTGCTCATATTTCCACCGACCATAATACAAGTAAATCTACACAAAGTGGCCAATTTTGATGATTCGGTCCAGATGTTGAGGATTGTAACTTTACACCGTCTCTCTTCCTCTACAGTTTGTGTAAGTGTATTTCCGAGGGACTAGTGAGACGCTCTTATCCTTACCTTCACCCCCCAGAGGAACCCAAAGGGACAGCGCTCCCTGCAGAGGCACCAGATGTGAGGGGCCTTTTGTGAGGCATCAGATAAGCTCTGTTCCCAAAGCCGTGCTGGATCGGGTATCATCAGCGGCTGTACGGAGGGCCGAAACCCAAGCCCTGCGCACTGGATCAGGTTTCTGTTTACACGAGCATGGTCCCTGGATTCCTCCAACCAGAGCAGAGGAAGGACGGCTGGAGACAGGTCCTGTGGAGGAGAGAGACTGTGAGACAACCCTGCTGTCCCGCCTGTCTGTCTGCCTGTCTGTCTGTCTGTCTGTCTGTCTGTCTGTCCTCATGGAGTTTAGTAATCAGTGAAAGTTCAGTGAAAGGGACAAATTAAAGGATTCAAGGCAAGTTTGTCAACTCTCTGCTTAAACAGGACAGACTTTGTGACTCATGAACTCCTCATTAAAGGAGTTTGAACCTTAGTGTGAAAGGAGACGAGTCTGATGGAGATTTAAAACAACTTAAATTACTTTATGGTGAGAATCAAAATAAGAAATAGCAAATACTATAAATTTAAATCATGACTTACCCAACTTATCTAGAATAACCTGTTTCTTTTTTAATTAATGAACAGCCTGGAAACCTAACATGATAATTAATTAGCTGGACTTGACCATCATGGATGTCCAGGAGACACATATTGTTGTTACGTGTTGTTAGTCTACATGCACAAAGCACACACACACACACACACACACACACACCTCCATCTTCACTTATTACAAATCCAGCCTCAGGCATGGTGTTGTTTTCCTGAGGCGTGTGGTTAAAGAGTCAAATATGAGCATTTCAGGTGTTTTTTCAGTGCGCCCACACACACACACACACACACACACACACACTCATAAACTATGATCAAACAGATGCCATCTGGAAAAACCTCCCTGCCGTGGTATCATTTCACTTAGCGCGCTCTTTTCATCTCTTTATTTTAAGACAAGAGTATTTGTACAGTGTTTGTACTGTGTCCCCTCAGATAAAACACAGTCTTTGCATTCCTTATGAAATCTATCTGTTGAGATTTGGGAGGGGTGGGCGCCAGGTGTTGGGTTACATCCACTCAGAGGGCCCTCCCTTCTCAATCTGGAGAGGACGACGTCAAGTTAGACAGACAGAGCAGAGATGGTACAGGAAAGATGGAAACCTCACCTTCTCAATAACAGCTGATAGTGAGCAGGTCAGAGAGACGAAAACACCGTATGAACTCTACTGGACCATATCTGACATAAAGACGTCCTGATTATCCCTGAAACACAGAGTCAGAGAGACTCAGAGGCATTTATTTGACATTTGCAGAAAAAAAAAACAAAACACATTGAAACATAGAATAAGGCGAGTTAAAATTATAGTTAAGGTTAAGTATAGAAGGTCACTGCAAGTAATAATAGTGATAATCATAATAAATAATAAAGATAATAACAGTATTTAAAAACTTCTATTTGACCCTAAGTGCTCAGACCCACATGAAATGAAGTACAGCTCTGAGGTTAGAGGTTATTTAGGCTGAGGAGGTAACTGGCAGGTAGAGCATTCGATTGAGCGGTACCGTCTACCGGAGGGGAGAAGAACAAAAAGGCTGGAGGCGGGGTGACCGGTGTCGCTCACTGTTTTATATATATTATATATTATTGTCAGGAGGTTTTAATTAATATCAATCATTTCACTGAAATCAGTTCTAATTATATGAGTGTTTTTACTGTTTAAAATAATGTTGTATATTTAATGAAGGTGTGTTTGGACTTTACTCTAACAAACAGGTTAACTGGTGATTTTATTGAACTGGTTTTACAGTCATTACACTAAAACTCACATCAATTCTAAAAGCTTCAGACCTCAGTGATGTTTGCATTAGATTCTATTTTCACTATAGTTTTACTAACATCTACATTTAATCACAGAGTCGCTCGTGTTGGTTGTTCTTGTTTGCCTCAACACTTTACTTTGAAAGTCCTAACCGGAAGCCCCGTGTCTGCTCTCGCAGGTGTTTGACGGTGTTGCAGAGAGTGTGGAGATTGTTCGGCTGCAGAGACTCCAGCCCGGAGCGCACGCATGTCCACTGGACTCTTATGGTGCGAAGCTCCAGATGAGGGACTCAGACGGCCGGGAATGACAGCCGCTGTCACCGGGAGTGACTCTGAGAAAGTCCGCTGAACCAAGTCCTCCTGCTGACAGACCACTCTGATCCGGATCGGATCCAGCCAGACCAGGATTATGCCAGAGATGGAGAAAGGGAGACCACCGGAAAATAAACGCAGCAGGAAACCTGCGCACCCCGTGAAGAGGGAGATCAACCAGGAGATGAAGGTGAGAGTTTGTGGACAGGTTTTTAATCCGAGAGAAGTTCGGGCTGAAGTGCGCAGACCGAGTCCTTAATGCGCACAAATGAAGGCTGGGAATAATCAGACACGCACTTTTGTCCTGAATGAATGCGCTCCCTGTGTCTCCAAATAAGAGTAAAGTTTCTGTTTTAATCTCGTTTCTGCTGCAAATTTGAGTTTTGAAAGAAGGATCTCAAAGAGGAGATGAAAACATGAAGGTCTTAAATGTCTTTATTGACTTTAAATCTTTATTCACATAGTGGACAGAGAGAGAGAGAGAGAGAGAGAGAGAGAGAGAGAGAGGTTGTAATGGTAGCTGTTTTCAGGAGAGTAGATCACCCTTCGCCTCAGTGACGCCATGGCAGGACAGCTGTGGCCGGACGCTGATGTCCAGTGGAGCTCCAGATGTGCGTCACTTCTTCCCCTCTCCCGCACACTTGCTGGACCACAGAGGCTTGATGCCTCCCCAACAAGAAAGAGAGTATTTTTATCTCCCTCAGTCCAACCCTGGTGGGAAAATCAAAGTTTTAAAGTTTCTGCTGTCAGAAAATCTTCACTTGAATAATCTCTGATTTGACTTTTTGAAAAGGTTCTCGGTGAGCGGGCAGCGAGTTCAATCACAGTAACAGACACGAGTTCCTCCCACCATGACTATGAGTCTTTGCCTGCATGGAAACTAATCCATAGATTGTCTGCTTTGTTTGGGTTTGGACGCCGAGTATTCGAGAGTGTCGACTGCGGTGGTAAGAGATACCCGGGGCTCCCTCAAGCAGGAACCCAGAAATCTGAAAAGACATGCTGTTTCTCGTGGGATGATGGGAGATTTTGGCCTTTTCGTGAGAGAGGAAATGTGCGCTTTTTGTGTAAGTGGTTTGGATTGTAGCGCTTGATATCCAGGGGAGGTGTAGAGTTACAACTTAACTAATTTTAATCAAAACATGTGAAACGCTATCCCCGCTTGATGTGAGCCCTGCCTGGGCTGGATCTCAGGGTCGGCCCCGGTTTGTTGCCTTTGGCTGCAACTCTCTCTGTGGTTTGGGATATGGCTTGTCACTCTCACAAAGCAGATGTTTGTCTGAACTGCCAGAAAGAAACAAAAACAACATTGTGGGAAGTTAGGGTGGGTAGATGAAAAAAGTCTCTCCAACAGGAAAACAGAAAACGATCCTGAACTCTTCGTCGACAGAAGAGTGAGCAGGACATCACCAACATCACCAACATCATCATCTTATGCTGCGTTCCAGTTACCTCAGAAGTCAGAATCTCTCTTTAGCCAGGCGTCTGGCTGTACGCTACTCTGAATAAAAATAATTTGCTGTGTTTATACACAGTAGCGTTCGACTAACCTCGTTAACTGATAACCGTTTTAACCGTCGGTTAAAGAAAACACTGAGAAAATTTATAATTTGTGCATCTATAATCCAGAGGTCACTCACTAAATCGTAGGCTACTATTTATAACCCTTCTCTGCATAAACAGGTCACTGATAAAAACAAAATAACACCGTCTGAAACTTCGGTTACGGTTAGCCGTTGTTAGCCACTGTTAGCACGGCCGGCTCTGAGTTCGCATATACACATGAAAGATGTAAATTACACTATGACAGCATTTCAATATATAAACATCTAATAATACTTTTGTCGCCCGAGCCGCAGGCTGACTTATTACCTCAATAAACAGTGAAAAGTGTTAATAAAAGGATTATAACAGGAGCTTCAACTTACAGTTTGCGGCTGTGTTGACCGTCCGACTTCCTGAGTCAGAAACTCGACCTCAACGTTCGTTCCAGTTGAACGTTCTGACTCGGAGCTCGTGAATTCTTACCTCCGAGAACAACTGGAACGCACCATTACACCTAAAGTTGACGGTGTTCCAGTTAATAAGTCGGAAAACCAAGATGGACGCATATGGTTATCAGTTGTTAGCTGTTGTTTACTATCGTCAGCTGTCGTTAGCTGTTGTCAGTCGTTAGCTACACCAGCTGTAAAGAACGCACAACACAGTATTTTACTCTTACAAACACCACAGCAGCGTGTTCACAGAAAGATGTTGAGCAGAACAACATAAATCACTTATTTAATTTCACAAAAACAGAAATAAAAGTGCGAAAAAATAAAACGTTATGAGAGTTACTGTTCTGCAGCGTTCCAGTTGTACTTGGAAATCGGGATTTCTGAGCTCCAAGCTGGACGACCCAACTGAGGTCAGATTTCTGACTCCGAAAGTTGGATGATCCTCGCCAACCCCGACTTGACGACACATTCAAGATGGCAGCGCAGTGCATCAGCAGTAAGCTGAAAACAATGGCTAACAATGGGTAACTGTAGGCGTCCATTTTGGATTTCCGACTTGTTAACTGGAGCGCCGACTGTCAACTTGGGTGTAACGTTATTCTCAGCTCCGACTTCCGACTTCTGAGGGAACTGGAACGAAGCATTACCCTTTACAGTTGATGCACTGCGCTGCCATCTTGAATTCCGACATTGTTGACAAGTCGGGGTTGGCGAGGATCGTCCGACTTTCCGAATCGGAAATTCGACTTCAGGGGGGGTTCCAGATGAATTTCCGACTCTGAGCTCGGAAATCTCGACTTCCGAGTATAACTGGAACTCGGCAATCGTCATCATCATCGTCAGACCTGGAGTCAGACCAAAGCTGTGAAGATACCGATAACACAGAACCTTTATCGGTACCAGCATCAGTATCGGCCACTTATATCGGTGATTCCCGATGTCGACATCAACCGCTGCTCTGATTCAAGATCACATTTCAGCACCCCTACAAAAAAATGAAGCTGTGCTAAGCTAGCGGTGCTATGTTGGACCACCATGACTTAAATCTAACAAAAACACGAACAGGAAGTTTTTTTCAACAGTGACATGTTTCCTCAGATTCACACGACTTAAAGAAGAGTCCGGTCTCAGAGACGTCCACTTTTCAAACAAGTCAAACTGATAAAAACGGCCGAGGGAACGTGACAGAGAGAGAGAGAGAGAGAGAGAGAGAGAGAGAGAGAGAGAGAGAGAGAGAGAGACAGACAGGAAGCCAGGAAAAGGGATTTTTGGCTCAGCTGGGGTTCAGCCCGGTGTTGTCTCTGTAATACATCTGTTTCAACACCACATTCGGACCTACTCCCTCCACGTCAGACCCGAGCGCAGCACCAGACACCGGATACCTCACTTTAATCATCGTTAGGCATATTTAGCTGGATATGATACCTCTGCTTGCACTCACCCACGCACTCTCCCACACACACACACACACACACACACACACAGCAGAAAGTGAGCAAGCAAGGGAGAGATCCATTTCTTTCTGAGGCCCGAGTGCAGAGCAGAGGTCGGCGCGAGGAAAGCAGGGGAAAGAATGTGCAGTCAGTACTACAGCGCTACAACACCAACACCACCACCACCACCACCACCACAGCAGGCCGGGCCGAGCTGGAAAAGGGTGAAACCTGAGAGGCAGAGCTGGGTCGGGTGTCATGGCTGGAAGGTGGAGGGGAGGATGGTGAGGATGGGAGGCGGAAGGGGCGAGGAAGAGAGACAAGGGGAGGGACAGGGGAAGCTGGGCAGAGAGAGAGAGAATGGTGGACATTGGAGAGAGAAGAGGAGTGGGGCATTTCCGAGAACCGTGGGACCTCGCTGTGGTGTAGGGTGTCCCGCTCTGATTTCTGCCCGTTCAGGATCAGGTTTCTCCTCCAATCCGGTTCTCCCAAAGCCACAGAGAGAGGTGGGTGGATAAAGAGAGAGACCTTTGTGTTTTTTTTTTTTCATCTGGTCGTAATAAAAAAAAAAAAAGAGAGAGAGAGACCACACATCCCATCTGTGGAGAAGAGTTTTCTTTTCTGCCTCTTTTTTCCAATTAAGAGAGATAAACAAAGGATGATTCATAGATTTCACACTGGTGTTAGGTTTTAAACCTTTCCGTCTCAGATTTAGCAAGAGTAAACAACTTGAACACATCATGGAAAAAGCGTCAAACTGTACTCCACTGTGCCCGTATTCATTTCCAGAGTGGGCCGAGGCTGAGACAGAATCCCTCACATTGATTCAGAGAAGGGAGGTCTGATTATGTTTAACGTAGGATAAAAAGTTCCACTAACAACTCTAAGATGTACGCTCACAGTTTCCCAGTCGCAGGCAGGCTGTGGCTCAGATACCCTATCCTTTTACATGGAAGTTTAATCAGTGATTTCTTCTTCTCCTCTTTTTCTCATGCAGACGTTCGCAGAAAGCACCATGAACGAGCTGCTGGGATGGTACGGCTACGACAAGGTCGATCTGCGAGACTCAGAGGCCAACGAGATCAGGAACTACAGAGAGAGGAGACAGCATGTGTCTGTGCTAAAAGGTGAGGGCAGGTGTGGAAGTCTTCTTGAATTTACTCCAGCAGGTTCTGCAGGTTCAAGTACAGACATTGAGTCACTGTTCAAATCTGCCAGACGTACTGCAGATACAGTATCTTCTCTGGTTTCATTCATTCAGGTACACCTATTGTTTCTCAGCGTTTTTTCAGCTCAGAGCAGATGTATTACAGTATCCTGGATGTGCACGGATGTTATCGTGTTACATGAAATTCAAAGTAACAGCATACTTATTCATGTTTTTCAGAAAACTCGTTGCCAAAACAGAAAAGCCTGGAAACCAAGGCGGGTCACTCAGTCCTGGCTATGAAGAGTACAGAAAGAGAGTCGTCCAGTGTCCCCTCCTCTTCACCATCCTCATCCTCAACAAGCTCAACCCTGACAACCCCCAAAGAGCACAAGAGCGCCCCCGTCATCGTGCCCCTCATCAAACCATCAGCAGGTACAGGCCTACTGGACTCCCACTAAGAAATGAGACTCAAGGCTTCAGCAGTCATGTCTGAGGTTTCACACGTGCACAAATAATCCATCACCAGTACTGGGCTCATATGTGAGGGTTCAGAGGTCAAGGTTCAGGAACAGGAAGTTTGAATTACAGCATTTCATCAGGGGTCTAGACCATTCTAAGATGGCGCCTGATTCTCCGTTTCTCCTTTTGTTTTCATAATACAATAAAATATAATACGGCACGTTACGTTATGAGGCGAAATGTAATGTAAGGTTACTTTATTTAGTGTTATGACACATTACATTATGATACGAAATGTTACGTTAAATTATAATTTTGTAATGTAAGGTTAGGTTATGTCATGTTTTGACACATTACGTTACAATATGATAAATTACGAGTACATTGCAGTACAATGTGATTTATTAAGTTATGCTACATTCACAACAAATGTACGGGTCCTTTGATAAAGGATCTGCTAAATAACGTTGTGTAATGTGTGTGAAAAATTGTTAATTCGACATGATTTTAAACTGAAATTAACTAAAGACATTGTGATAATTTAGGTTTGTCTACAGAGCCCAGACTGTGAAAATATCACTGAAATAATACAACAAAGTAAGGTTTAAATAATGTATTGAAATAATTATAACAGGAAACAAGGTGTAAAGTGATTCAACAAAAAACAGGTATTCTTTCTATTAAGTAAATAATCCAAAACTTAGACCAAAAAGGAGGAACAGAAACCAAATAAAAATCCACGTGTTCTTCCACAGTCTGAGAGTTCTTTGTCAGTCTTTGGTTTGAAATTAAATAATCCTCAAATAATCCTTAAACAATCCAATCTTTCGTCCTACCACTTAAGTTAAAGGAGGTGGTGGTTCATCTCCAGTTTGCTCGCCATCTCAGTTCAGTCGTAGTAAAAAGGGTCACCAAAAAAACCCTGAGGGGTACCTAAGGGTCATAGAAAAAAAAAGTCAACGATACAAAAACACAGTACATGAACTCCAATAAATGTTTAAATGATTAAGTAATATTGATTTAAATTAACCTAACATGAAAAAAAAACCACAATAACCATAATAAATTAACCTTACAGTGAGAAAATGACAAACCGGCAACAAAAATAACCACAAAATCAACCTTCACCAAAAGAATGAACCAAAAATCAAACAGGAAACAGCGCCTCGCGTACAAAGACGCCCTGCCTTAAATTGCCATTTTTCCCCATGGGGTTTGGTCTGTTGCGCTCGTCGCCGTTTGTGCGGAGCTACGTGACTAAAATAACAACAAAAACAAATGCTAACAAAGATAACTGAGGTGAGACTCACCGTGAGTGAATGCGGTAGTCTTTTTAGCAGCATTCAGCGGTGTCTGTTCTCGCGCCATGCCGCGCTCCCGTTTGAAGAAACAAAAGGAAGTGATCTGTGATCGGGATATTGATGATCGGTAACCTGAGCTCTGATTGGTTTATTGTCGAGGCGGAAATGAGGTTATGGATTGTGGGGGAAAAAATATCAAGTAATAAATTAATCAATTTGTTGATTTGAAATCACATTTTTATTTTGACATTAATTTTTCTTTTTAATCTAAGTTACAATTGTAACATCAAGTTATGAAACATTATGTAAACTAGCATATCTGCGATTAGATGTGAGACAATATGAAGGCTAAGTTACGCTTAGATGAGTTATGATATATGTCGATACAAAAGTTTACAATGGGTTCAGTCACAATACAATATATTAAGTTATGATACAAAGAAATTGATGGTACACAGTACTATACAGGAAATAGTGGGCTGTATTTTAGTATGATATGGTATCAAACAACACATTTTGTTCATGTGGGTAAATATATGAAGTGTAAATCTTACTCCAAAGATAAAGCGCTAAAAAGGACCTTTTTCAGTCCCAACAAAGTTACGATGAAATTTCACTGGCCCTCCTTTATAAACTGTAACTAACTATAAACCTCCTTTTGGTATTAAAACACCAAAAGTGAAGTTGACCCTGAAATAGAGAGTATTGGTTCTGTCTGGCTGTTCAGACACAGAAGTGTAGATCTACAGTAAAGTGATAGAGTTGCTCTAAAAGGTAAATATGAACATAGAAAACTGAAGATTAAAGAACCTTTGAGTCTGACTTATTGTTTCATACCCATGTGAGAGAGAACAGAGCAAATAGAAATCAGGTCCATGAATGCACAGACAGCAGAGTATATTTATACAGCAGATAGAAAGAACTCTATCTGGAACAGGAACTCTGTACTGCTCAAAGCCTCTCTAATTAGTTCCTGGTAGAATAAAACATATTCCTTATCAGAGACAGAGATACAGGACCTGTTCCTGATGAAAAGGACACAGCTGACGGTTTCTCACTGAGCTTTAGTTCTTCATAAAAAGGAAAAGTTAGCTGTGAAATCAAAAGGTGAAACCATCATCTGAACCCAACAGCCCCACAGTCTCTGACTGTTTTTTTTTTTTTAACAAAACTGCAACCTTTCATTATCTGACTTTGACTTTGGTTCTTTTCCCCATCAGTGGAAGACGTACAAAATGTGCAGATTGTGTGTGTTTGGTGCCAGAAAGAAGGAGTCAAACGCTACTCTCTGTGTATGGGCTCAGAGCTGAAGAGCTTCTGCAGTGAGAAGTGCTTTGCAGCCTGCAGACGGGCCTACTTCAAACGCAATAAGGTCAGTGGTAATGGAAGAGTGTGTGACCTTTAAACGAGACGTTCATTTATTCAGTGAGATCTCAGAAACTCTCATATCTCTGGTGTCTATGATGGCTGTCCTGTAGATGTTGTGAGTGATAAATTCAGGTGATTGTCAGCCCAAGCTTGTGTACGTACACACCAGCTGTTTGAGTCACGGGGCAAAGGAGACGCAGGCACCGTAGTGAAGGTAAACAAACCCTTAAAATCAGATCCCCCTGGTCTTTGTGGAGTCTTAAATGATGGATTATCTTACCTGATTCAAAAGGGAATCTTCGAAAACACACCTTCTAGTTATTACGGAGGATCCAGTTTACACACGGTGGGAGGGAGGTCAAAGTTTGTAGAGGACGCTTCGTATCAGTTTCGAGTTAATGGAGAAGGGGCCTACCATTAAGTGGCTCTGGTCTGAAGGACAGGAAAGCTGCATCTATGGTGAACCGCTCAGGTGCACATTGCCATGATTTTTCACCTCCCATTACGACATGGGTGTACTGGTTTTAGATGTGTGGTGTGACAGCAGCTGTATCAGCTTTCACCCTCACTCTTGTTGATACTGTGGCAGGTTTTATTCTCACAATAACAGACACAAAAAAGGAGGGCCCAGCAAACTATGTGTGCAACAAGCCCTCTAGTTTTTCGGAGGCGGGGAGGAAAGCGTTGCTGTTGGCTTGTCACTGCTTGTCTGAGAGGAAAGCCAGGAGGCCTGGGGCGAGGTGTCCACTTTCAGTGCATACCTTACCTTCAGCTGCCTCATGTTTCGTAACCCAACACGACTCAATGGGTCACAGAAATGGGGGAGCACTCAGATCCGCAGCCGATCAGCTTACATGAATCAAGAGGAATTTCCTATATTAATACCAGCAAGGCCAGTAATAGTGTGACAATACATCACCTGCATTATCTCTGAAAAGAGCAGAGGAATCAAATCTGTGTCATGAGACTGACCTCAAAGTCTTTGTGCCAAGGATGAGGTTAAAAAGGTTTCCTACGTTAATGCTCCACCGTTGGTTCCAGACTCTGTTTAAACTTGTGTTATCTGTGGGTCAAAAACCTCAGGATGATCCCAGAGAAGCTTTTTAGGTGGGAGCTGCTACAACCATGAGTAAGAAAAAAATCTGTCAAAGGAGGTCTGAGAAACTGCTTCTAAGTGGTTCATGTAAAATGTGGTTTGTTGTGGTTTTCCCCTGACAGGCCAGAGATGAAGACCTCCATGGTGAGAGATCCCCTCAGCATCCCCATACAGAGGACTCGCCCAGACTGGTGTTGAAGATCAACAGCAATGTCAGAGTAAGAGGACAATATCATTGTAGCTTTAGTTTCCTGTGAACCATGTAGATATTTGACATAAAGAAGTCGGTTTTTCATTATGGTTTATTTGTGCAAACATTGTTCAGCAGAAATCTGCTCCATCATTGACCCTCCACAGTCTCTCTCTCCTGTGCCACAGGTATGTGATTGGTGCAAGCATGTCCGCCACACTAAAGAGTACCTGGACTTTGGATCTGGTGAAGAACGACTCCAGTTCTGCAGCACCAAGTGTCTGAATCAGTACAAGATGGATGTTTTCTATCGAGAAGCTCGTGCAGCTCTCACCAGCTCCAGCCCGAGCAGATCCAGCCAGGAGGGGAGGGCAGAGAACAGTCTGGGAGGGCAAAAGCTCCTCACCCCTGATTCTTGGAACAGCAGCGGCGGTGCAGGAGAAGCTCGTCACAGGAACCTCTCCCCAAAAGTGCCTGCATCAGTTCATGGATCAGCAGAATCCACCTCTGTCTCTTCCTCAGAGGCTTCCTGTTCTGCTTCTAAGGTCGTGGTCTCTGGGCTGAGGTCTCTGGACAGACCCATGCAGCCTCCTCCACAACCCCCTGCTGTTGAAGTACCACCCCACCCTCCATCCCATCATCCTCCACCTCCTCGCCCTCTTCTAGAACATCAGCCAGTACCTCAGATCCCCATGCCATTCATCAGACCTCCTCTTCATGCTCAGGGTCTGAAGAGCCCCCTTGCCAACCCTCCTAGAAATCCAGCCCCTTCTTCCAGCCCTATCCACAGACCTCCTCATTCCCCTCACCTGCAACCTCAGACCTCCTCATCCATGAATCCCCCTGGACTGATGCACCCTTTCCCAGGAGCATACTTCCCGGGTTTGCACTCCCCGCCCTTGAACATGATGCCGAGAGGTCCTGTCCCAATGCCTCCCATGATGAACTTTGGCATTCCCTCCTTCAGCCCTCTTCTTCCCCAGCCCACAGTCTTGGTGCCTTACCCCATCATTGTCCCCTTACCTGTCCCAATACCCATTCCTATTCCCATTCCAGTCCCTTCAAAGGCAACCCTAGAAACTCCAAGTGTGATTCAGCCTGTGCCAGAGGGGGGAGAGAGGGCCAGATCCAGGACTACAAGGCCAGCAACACCAGGAATTCCTGAAGGGAGCAGCAGATTGATAGCTAATAAACTGTGCGGAACCTCACCAACTGACCCCAGCACCAGAGACACAGATTGGGTTAAATCTGAAAGGCCATTCCCGTCCCCGACATCCACGCCCCACAGTGGCACACCCTCCCCCAGAGCACAGTACAGTGAATCACCTTGCACGGCCCCAGAGCTGGAGGGGCTGACAGACTATAAGCCGCAATCAGAGCGACAAGTCATCCAGAGGGTTCTTCAAAGAACCCAAGTGAAGCTGGGGACAAGTGCCAATGGAGTGGCTGATTTATCAGGACTTGGGGAGTCTGGAGCAGGGCAGGGTACCAGATCAGGGCTCCTCAATATTGTCAGACCAACCCTTCCTCAATCACAGTCCCCTTTACATGATACCCTCTACCACCAACAGGACCCCAGTGCCCCACGTTCAAACACACCAACCATCTCCAGTGGGAGCAGTAATCCAACGGATGCCACATCTTCTACCCTGATTTCTCAGGACCATGGTCCAAATGGGATGTCCCCCTCAACACCCCAAAGTCCAGATTCATCCTTAACCCAGAGAGTACCTGCACCAACCCCTGACCCTGCAGTCAGTGAGCTTGAGGCCATCAAAGAGAACAAGTGTTCTGTTGTGGGCCCAGTGCGGGTTGAAGGTGCGGTTAGTCAGCCCGAGGAGCCCTTAGCAATAGTCGGGGAGGTAGGAGAAGACCCCCATGTCCCTGATGAGGACCATGCCTACGCCCTACCCACAGCGCCAAAAATGGGTGGGACTACCACCCCACTGCTCTTGCCCAAGCTCAGGGACAAGGGCAGCCTGCGGAGCCCTGCTAATATTCCCAGTGCTGGAGACCTGGAGCCGGCTCTAAAGAGACGATGCCTACGAATTCGAGATCAGAATAAGTAGAAGAACAAGGTGAGAGACTGCACTGGTAACAGAATTCACCCGGTTTATAAGGCGGCCTGTCTCTCTGAGCTCTTATTCTGAGTGGACAGCTCTGATGTCCTCCTGCCCTGAAAAAGGTCGTCAGTCAGATAAAGTCAGAGGTCGTTATCGATCCAGCACTTACAAGTCAGTTCAGTTTCTTCCAGTGTAGACCCACGAACTGTCCTCCAGTTGAAAAAGTTGTTATGATGGGCCCCTGCTACTAAGGGAAAGCAGACAAATATAATGTGAAGAGTTTTCTAAGGCCTCCCAGAGTGCACTTGGTCCACACCATGAGGAGACGACAAGCAGTGAAGGTCCAGAGGGAAATATGACCTGTTAGCTACAGTGAGACGACATCAACCTACCGATTGGTTTTCATGGCGAAATAGAAAAGGCTGAGGTTCCTTACTAAGTTTTTACAGTAAATAACCGTTTAGAGTTCTCAGTGAGTGAAATAACCTCAGCTGAGTGATCTTTAAAGATGTGAATGACAGGTTTAGCTTAAACCTTAACGTTATCAATAATGTGGTGTTCTCTGCCGCTCATTATTCCAACGCCAGCATGAATTTCATGATTGTTAGATTGTGCAACTTTCCACCTGAAATAGTGTGTAGTCATGAGAGCATGTGAATCTTCAGCCCTGTGATTTCAGAGGGAGCTGAACTGCTTTGAGCTACATTAACTCGTTATCTTTGAGAAAAGACATGACAGATACACCAGGAGTCTACAGAGTTCAGAGGAATACAAAGGTCACTTTACCAATTTTCATCATGCTGTCCTGTGTGGCAAACCCCAATCATGTGGTGGTCTGTGCTGGTTCAGTGAAAAACCAGCCCCTCTCTTTGAAACCGTTTGACTTGGATCAGAAAAATGCACTCATACTCACATTTACACACACAGGGCAAGCTTAATCACAGGTCTCTCAGTTTGCGCGTGGTCACTAAACAGCGTGGCGCCAAAGAGAGAGAATCCCAGTAACCTGGCACTCCTTGGGGCTCTTGGGTTACAGCAGGGAAGGAGGTGGAGGGCACAGGCAGTGAGAGTCACTTTGAAAGGCGATCGCTCCACCACAACCTGACAGTCACAATTCTTTGTTTGCATGGCGGCCTGTTTCGAAGAGGCAGCTCTGCAGAGAGGTGTGAGTGTTGATGAGGGTTAGGAGACTTCTGCTCCAACACCATCAGCTAACATAGACAGTTTACAGTCCCTGAGGTGGGTGGTCCACAGGACTGACAAAACTGCAGCTGAATCAAAACCATGACCTTGAGGTTACCTGACAGTCCGTCACACTGGATGCCCGGACAGAGAGAAGTCTGTGTGACCCCCTTACTGGGGACTTTGAGAGCCTGTAACGTGTCTCTGAGGTTGTTATAGAGACAGCAGTGATTGTCAGGCAGACTGAGAGGCACTGTGGTCTGGGAGCTCACCCTCCTGCTGTGATAGAGCTCAGGGATTAAGGGGCACAACAAGAGCGTTCCTGCTCCATGGGTCATAATGACACCCTGTTCTGGTTTAGGACTGTCCCTTTAACATACATGAGTTTAAGACTCTCCGCTGCTCTCCCCTTTCAGCCCGTTTCCTTCATTTCACTCAGCACTGCTGTCTACTGCCAACCAGATGTTGTTGTAGAGTGCAGCAGAAAATCCTTTGGACCAATCAAAGGCCGTATTGATTTCATTTGCCTGATTGGTCGTCCAAATGGCTGTAACACCAGCCGATGTCCTCACCCGCTGGTCTTTCGCCATAATGAGCTCATATTACTGTTTTACTGTATGCCCTGAGATTAATCCGCTGATATTATAGAGATGGTTTGGATTTCATCTGGCTCGCTCGTCTCTCCATTACCCTTTCCAAAGGCCATGGGTCGGCTTAATAATTATGTTTGAAATGACGACAGAGAAAGTACAACATGAACCTTTATCTTTTAGCACAGATGTTTTGTGTCTCGGTTACCAGATCCCCTTTCACGAAATGAGTTCCCACTTAACTCTTTGTCATTTGTTGTGGTTTCATGCGTCCCCTTAGTAACCAATACATATGAAATCACAGCATGCTGCTTGTGTCGTGCAGACGGATTTATGGTCCTGTGTTGTGTGTAATGGGAGCTGGCTGCTGTATGTGAATGACTTTAGCTTGCCACCTCTGAGCCCGACACTGCTGTCCTCTTCTATTGTCTCCGGCGCTAAAAGTCTCTGAAACAAACTCCCACTTTGACAGAATCTGCAGCCAACTGCAGGATCTCACCTCAGGAAACAGCTCTTATTTTTTTCTGCTCTCAGTTTTCGCTGCCTTTATTTGGGATATTTTATAGCCCCGTGTAATCCGATCCCACCACATGGGTATTCGCTGAGCGTTTGAAACTAAAACGCAGTGGGACAGAGGGAGTACTGAACCCCGCTTTGGCCTGTGCATGTGAGTCCATGTTATGTGTGTGAGAGAGAAAAAAGGCCAGATGTTCTTGGTTTGATTGTGCCCTGTGCGACAGCTATCTGAGTGTTGACATGACTAAAAGGCCTCGCTCTCAGTGTTTACGCAGACAGACTGGGCGGATTAAAGGAAGAGAGTCCAATCAGGGCAGGGCCGATAGAAGAACAGTGAAATATCACAGAGAACCAGCCAGGACTCTCCGACCTCTCACCACTCTTTCTCTCTTTCTGCTCTCTCCACCTCATGAACAGACTCCCTGTTTATCACTGTATGGCAGTGCCAGAGTCAGTGCCACGCCCTCTTGTGGACAACGCAAGTGTGAACACCCTCCAGTCAGTCCCTCCGCCTGTCAGCCCACCAGAGTGCTGCTCTGCCTGTGGACCAGCAGGGTGCCAAACCAAGAAGCAGTCCAGATGGTCATAAAATCACAAATCAAAGATGGGGAGGAACACGGCGCAGCAGCCGCTCATTTTATCTTGGACCAAAGAGTATTTCTGAGCGTTGTGTTGTGGTCAGTGAGAGGTTAAATACGGAGCATCGCAGATCTTCTGCCTGTCTGACATTGACCTAAAGTGTGTCTGTGTGTGTGCGCTCCTCCTCCTCCTCCTCCTCCTGCGATCCTCAGCAGACAGGCCTTAGATCAGCCTTGTGTGGTCTTCTCAGATGGAGCCTGAACATGATCTCTTTCCAGGGGAAACGGTTTGTTTTCTCTGCCCGCCTCGCACAAAGAGCCACATTGTTCCTCTCCCCATATCCCACGCTGACTCCCTACTCCAGGTTTTGAGTTACCTGGCCGACGGGGGCTCAGACTTCAGGAGCTTTTTTTATTTTTTTGAGCGACAGCCAGGAAAATGGTATACCCCACCCCCCACCCCCACGCCTGTTGCCCAATCTAAATACGGTACACAGCAACATACAAATTCTGAGGTTTGATTCGAACAACTGGTTGCTTGTGAGGCGTTCCTCTGCTCGTGTCCTTCAAGAGAGGAGATAAATCTACTCAGATGTCCTCACCATGGTGCAGAGATCCTCACTGAGCTGTCCAGACAGACAACTGAGGAGAAAAGATGCTTCTGCTGTGTCCTCCAAAGAAAGTCGAACAGAAGATGTGAGGGTACGTCTGCTGGACTGCAGGAGCAGAGAGGGTCTGAGAACTTTGAGGTGGTCCTGATGACGCTGGTCTATAAATGTGTGATATCCAGACTCTCCCTCACCTGACCTGCCAAAGCTTGGACCTCTTATCTGAAACACTTTGAGCTCCAGGTCTCATGTGTGAGCTTTAAAATCCTGACTTTTTATGACACATGGCAGTTAGACTTCCCCAGATTCGTTTCTGTTATTGTTTGTAATTTTACCAAATGAGGTATTATACTCACCTGTCAGTGCTGTATACAGCAGTCAGTATTACACCGCCCACCACTGGGGATACCTGGGATTAGATCCAGCTAGATCACCGAGAGGCTTTGTCAGATTTCAGTTTTTCCAGCTGAACTCATCACAGATATTATTTGATGTTGTATTAACTTATGGATGATGTAGATCTGCTATATTTCTGCGTTTCTTTCTCTATAACGGTTGTATTTTGTGCCCGCTAAAGCCCTTAAATGCCCTCTCCCTGTTTTTATGTCTATATACTGATTCCCCACTAGAGAGCAGTGTTAGCCTTTGTAACTTTGCACCTGCCTTTTCCTGACAAAAGCACCAAGAGGCCCAGAGGAAGCCGAAGAGCCAATGAGCACAGTACTGCACCCAGTGCCACCAAACTGACTTCAAATGCCAAGTGGAGCTTCTCCGCCATGTCTCTGCCATTTTTCCCTCGCCACATCTATGAAAAAATGAGGCGCTCTTTAGAGGGTCCCCTTAATGAGGAGTTTAGAGGTCTCCTGGGACGAGCAGTCATCATCACCCACTCCCAGAATAACTCCAAATATGACCCAGCCCGGCCGTCATTCCAAAACAACATCAGCCCCCCCCCCCCTCCCCAGACTCATTCTAACCTGCATCTTCACCACGGGGTCATGCCATCATGTTGGTGTCATCAGGGACTCTTTGTTCACGTATGACTCAGTGACGACATAAATAGCCGTGTGGTCAACAAGTGCTCCTGCTCTGACACCAAAGGCCAAACTCAGACGTTTTCACACACTGCCATTGTTGGTTTGATCGCACACTTAGGGTCTTTGCCATTTCCAACCTGATTCTGGATCAGTTCTTCTTATCCACAGTTTGGACTCTACAAATCTATTTTTTTGTTAGAAACTCTGTTGCCTGAAAGTCCCTCTCTGACGTCCCTAATCCAATATTATCTCACTGTCTAAATACATTATCCACAGACTGTTTGTATTTGAATATAGATTATTAAAAAGCTTTGGTGGCAAATTCTTTGTAAAGTGAAATAAATAAAAGTTATTCCAGGAGAAAGGAGAAGGAAGTTGTGTTTGACAGATCTGTGTGTTTTTAGAAACTGTTTTTTTGTCTCCCTGATTATTGAAAAAGTTGTCCTCTGACACTCGTGTGAGTCAAAGTGTCCAGAAATGATGCTGTAGATGAGGACAGCTCTCTCTCTCTGTGTGTGTGTGTCTCTCTCTCTCTCTGTCTCTCTCTCTCTGTGTTAAAGTCTATTTTTAGGGGCAGCAGCAGCAGCAGTCTACAGCAGCGCATCAACATTCCTAAAATACTGAAAGTTGGTCGGGGCCCTGAGCTGTGACGGTAAACCTGATGAATGAGATAAGAGAGCAGGAATTCCGGACCCGGCTCACTCAGGGTTTTTCCTGCTGCTGTGATTGGACAGATCCAGGAGGTGATGGTTTTTCCCGGACTGGATCTCCTTTAATCATGAAAACAGAGAAAAAAAGAGAACATGTCTTTAATAACACCAATCACGGCACAGGCTAAAAGTGAACAGATATGTGATTAATATTTAACAAGTTACCTAAAATAGACCGGATGATACCGGATATTAAAAGTCACCTTCAAAATAAAAGCACGGACTGTGAAATAACAGTGGGTAATGTTGGTGTTTTGATAGTTAAGACTTGATCTTTAAACATTAACAAATATAATGATGATGACACTCATTTGTATTACTTGATTTGGGATATTTAGTATATTAATCACAGTTTATCATGGGGTCACAAAGTCTGCACAGGAATAATAGGTAACACTTTACAATAACCATAATTTATAAATGGTAAACAGATAATTAATGTTCAACCATCGTTTAAAAAACAGCATATAGACCAATTATAGATGGCAAATAGATAGTTTATAATGTAAGTTTACCAATTATTAGTGATTGGTTATTGTAACTTGTTACATGTGTATTAATCCTCGCAGCTATGATCGTTGTCTCTGAGTTTGTTTAATTGACTACATTCACACATCCTTATCAGTGGGACCTAAACATAAAAATTTCATTTGACTCAAAAACTTTTTAACTTGATTTCAAAAACTTAACTTCAAAGTTTTCATTAAACTGACATTAGTGTGGAAAACGACTCAGTTTGTCATCATTTAAACACAGAGGAGCTTCAGTCAAACTGAAACTAAATCAACAGTTTTAAAAATTTGATCCAACTCTGATATTTCTGAAATGGGTTCGTTTCCCCTTTTTTGGTACTAAAAAAAATTTTCTTTTTGTAAAGAAGTTTCTGAGAAAACACCTTTACTTTGAAAGTTCTCACCGGAAGCCGTCCTGGTATCCTGCTTTAGCTTGATGACGATCCGTCCTACAGGTTGGACACGTTGTGGTCGGATTGGATTTTGTTGGAGGTACCTGGGGGCGGACAACAGGGCGCACCTGAAAGTGAAGCTTCTCTGGATCTGGGCCGGTTCCGCTCGGTTCGACTTTCCTCTGAGACATGAATAAAAAACAGGAGTGAGACTGAAGAAGAAGACTGAGTCAGCGGGTCAATAATTAATCAGAGAGAGAGAGAGAGAAAGAGAGAGACTACCGCCCTGTGAGCCGGGACTCAAACCGGGCCTACAGGTGTTCGTGTGTTTGAGAACTTTGATGAGTTTGGACCTGGAAACTCTGGACTGGGATCATGCTCGGAGCGGGGAGCAGGCTGGAGGGCCGGCTGAAGAAGCTGGAGTCCCTGATGAGGAACCCGGAGGCAGCTCTGAACCTGGAAACTCTGCTGGTGAGTTTTTAACGTCAGAATCTGGGACAGGTAGGAAGGAGACCCAGAAGAACTGAACCTGAGTGACTACCTGAACAGTGACCGTGTCTGCGTCAGAACAGCTGAGGTTATTAACGTCAGAAGAAAGTGTCTGTCTTTTACTTTGACCTTTAATCCAAGGTGTTATAGAGGGACAGGGAAACTCCACCTGAACCCCAAACCCTCAGTTTTAACACCATCTCTAAACCGGGTAATTTTTACCTGAAATAATAAACTCAAGAAAAAGTCCTTGTAACCAAATAAATCAAAATAGGACAAAACATGACAAATAAAAGTAGTTTTCTTTTATTTTTAACTGTTTAATGTCCAAAGGGACAGAAAAAAGTGACATGAGGGGACCAGATAAAAATGTAACTAAATCGCTTAAATTAGGCGTTCATCAACAAAAAAGTCCTAATACACATATATAAACTGTAAAGGTAGTTTCTTTTCCCCCATTCCTGGGTCATGTGAGTCTTCTCTGGTTCAGACTCAGGGTCCTCGGCACAATAACAGGAGAGAGAACCAAAATATGTCAGATTATGAGTAAAAATGATTAAAGCTGACTCCAATATTTCTGATCTCCATCTGAATTCACTTGAAAATCACGACTTTGTGATAGTTATTCATAACCACTGCACTAAATAAAGATAGCATGTAAATTCCAGGACCGCTCTGACTGACCTTATTCCCTACATGCAGCTGTCAAACCTACTTTACCCTCCATCACTAACATCACCCTGTGAACACGAGTCTGTAGGAAAAAGCAGGTTTTGGATCAGAGAAACAAATATGTCTTCAAAGATGTCAAAGGAAACACTGAAGATACTCAGAGACCAAAGATACTCAGACAAACACAACATCAGGAAGATCACCTAAAAACAGGTTTGGTCTGTGAAAATCACCTGGAGATAGTGTTCTTGAGTTAATCCAAGGTGCTCCAGGTGAAAGGGAAACTCCACCTGAACCTGAAAATACTGCCTCTGTTTTAATCTGCACTGTTGGATTCTGACAGTAATCATGGATTATAAGAGATATTATCAATCTCACTGAGACTCGGTCAAGTGTTGGGTTTAAAATCAAGCTGATTCATTGATCCACTCCTCTCTGTAAACTCAGTGTGGACTGTAATTGACGTGCCCTCTGTCTGAACCGTCCTAAGAATGTCCTCAGACCACTTTGATAAAACTGCTGAGCCTCTCCGGCCCGACCTCTGTCAACAGATCCACATTTTTGAGCTGATATGGCTCAGCGTTTGGTCTGGGGGGTCTAACACCAGACCACTGAGACCACTTCACTGACTCTTATTCGACGGCTTATTCATCAAATGAACTCACTGATTTACTCTTGGGGGTTTCAATTCAAAGTATTTAGAGACCTCCGCTTTAGGAAACCTCTAGACTGGATCCACACAGTTTCCCACAAAGTCTCACTGTCTCTCAGCAACTTAGAGGGATATTCCAGCGTCTAAACACAACTCACCTACTCTCTTCCAGCAGACGCTTGTTTGTAGAGAGACCTCAGGCCAGTCCATTACAGACTACAGCGGGGTGCCGCAGCTCAAGGAAGAACATTTATGATCATTTCTTTATCATTTCCTTGAAGTAATAATCACCATATTAATCATTTTACAGACGCTGTAGTTCTTCTCGGTCTGATTGTATTTCCATGAAGAAATGATCATAAATGTTCTTCCTTGAGCTGCGGCACCCCGCTGTAGTCCGGCTGCTGGAAGAGAGTAGGTGAGTTGTGTTTAGTCTCTTTGCTAAAGAAATGAGTCAAAGTTAAAAAGATGTTTGGTGTCTAGTACTATGTCTGTGACCCTATATGTCCTGTTGATGAAGTTAGGTGCTGTTCTGAGCATTATTTGTGGCTATAGAGTGGCGTTTTGGTTGAGGTTTGTTTATGGCTCCTCAGACCGCTCTGTATTACTATCCTGCGGTCCTAAATTAGTTTTACACCGGAATATCCCTTTAATAATCTGTGAATATTGACTGCTTCAAACAGGATCAATGTTACCTGAACATCAATATCATTGATCGGCATGATGGGTCAGTGTGATGGTCCAGGGATCACTGTGGGGTCAAAATGACCATCTGAGACAGGTTGGTCTGGTTTGGGGACCATAGGGGTCCAAACTGACAAATATCATAAAACTGACAACCTGATGAATGCTGAGTCATGGTTAGGGATCATGATACAGTCATAATCGTGGGATCAAACTGATATCGTGGTGTAGATGAGTCGTGCTTCAGTCACGCGGGGGTCAAAGTGATGATTTTGTAAATGAGCAGGTCCTGCTGAGGGATCAGAACCTGGTCAAGATAAGACCTGATACCATGAGGAGGTCATCTTAGGAGTCACAGTGGGGTCCATAGATTTACAGAGTCTTAGAATCACAAGGGGTCAAAACCAAAACCTGATTGAGTCGTGCTTTGGGGTCAAAATGACGATCAGAGGTCAGATGAGGCGCTTTGACAAGACTGAAGGTTTTATGTGTCACAGTATGACCCCTTATCGTGACTCTGATGGTCCACAGTCACAGCCTCAGAACTTCTGTCACTCTGTGATATGAATCTGTTAGACCCGCCCCTGAGAGCCCATCCAAACCTCAGAACTTTGATCCGCTGCCTTGGTTCTGAGCCGCTTGGCCGTGGATTTCAGTGACCTACATGCTGCCTAATGCAGGGAGGAAGCTGGAGTCACATCCTGGCATTGAGATGGAGTTGACCTGTAGTGACCTCACGTCACTATTTCCTGTTTGTCCACAATCAGCTCCAGAAGAATAAAGAGTTGGATCTGCAGAACGAGGACAGGGGTCCAGACCCACGATGAGTGTTCCCCTCTGTCTGAAGGGTCTTTGTTAACAACAGCAGATACAGATGTTGTTACACTCTGACCCACAGGAGGGTCAAACTTCAGCCATCAGCTCTGTCAGGGAGTTCACCTCACAGACGCTGAGAAGGTGTCAGTCAGGATCTGTCCACTCAGCAGAACCCTCGGTCCGGTTGGGGAACAGGGTGGAGATTATCAACAGGCCAAAGACTCTCTGTCTGTTATTATCCAAGCATGCATACAGTAGAAAGAAGGAGGCCAATATGCAAATGAGCGTGTCAGAGGTATGTGGCACTTCCAGTATGTTCAGGCGTTTTCAGATCAGATCCTGTCAAAGGAAGTAAACACAGCTGGAGCTGAATCCTGTAAATCTGAAGGCAGGTCTGGTTTGTGTGGAGGTGAACTGGTCTCCAGGACTGGTTTTTCATTTTCATACTTTCCTCTCTCTGGTTGTTGACTCTGCTCAGGCGGTCTCAGCTCTCAGTGAGTGGGTGGAGGTGTTGTCTGAGGCTCGGAGGAGGAAACATTCGCACACAAACCCAAGTGTAAACTGCTGGATTGTTTTCTGATCCGCTCAGACCCCAGGAGCAAAAACAAAACCAGTTTGACCAAAATGCTGTTGGCTCAGACTGAACCTGCAGCTGAAGGACTCGGATCTTTAACCCTGTGTTGAAAATAGATGCGAGCTGCTGAGAGAACTCATGATGGCTCAGAAACCATCATGACTAATCAAGATGGTCGCCCAGGATAGTGATGATATAATCAGAGGGACAGTGTTTTATCAGCGAGGAGCTTCTCAGTCAGACAGCTGAAATACTCAGGCTGTGATGAGCTCTCCAGTCCGGTTAACTGGTCCACCACAAATCTATAAAAGAAAAGGTTAAACTGGTCTGACGGACATGGAGTCCAGTAACACCGCTCTCCTCCCAGTCTGTTCTTTAGTTATTCTTCAGGACAGTCTTATAATGACATATTTATCATTCTATGTCGTTCATGTTGTAAACTCGGAGGTGACTGACGATGATGACGACAGAGTTTAATAAAGAGGTGAAAGTTTCCGGATCATATCTATGTCTCATTTAAAATCAGACTGGAACATGGCTGACAGAGTACCATCGACTGCAGTAATCATAGCTGCTTCAACACACACACACACACACACACACACACACACACACACACACTCACACACAGAGTGTAAAATGATCACAGATCCTCGAGCGCTCCGCTTCAATCCAGACCAATAAGCTGTTTGTCCCACAATAGCTTCTGAGACTTCAGGTCTATTTCCATCCGTCTGCAGGAGGGTGGGGGCTCAGGAGGGCGGAGGCTGAGGGGGGTCTCTCCACATTGCTGCTATTTAAAGGTGCAGAATAGTTCCACTCGCTGCCGCCCGCCCACTCACATGTCCCCGAACAAACAGACGCTAAAGACCTGACTCCTGTGCGGTTGACTCCACATGACCCTTAATTCTGGGGAACGGGGGGGGGGGGGGGGTCATACTACACCCTCTTTGCCCCCCCCCCCATGTGTTTGGATCACAGGGACATTTCGGTTCCTATGTGAAACTGAACACCGCTGATTTAAGTTCTGATGACACAACTGAGACCTTGGTTTTTAGGGGGGGGGGTCTGTGTTTGTTGGTGGGCCTTGGTGACGGTCTGTGTGTTCGGACCGGGACCTCTACCTTCATCATGTGACTACAGGGATTTAGCACAGCTGTCGTGTCCTCTTCCAGCCTCCATTGTCCCCCGTCATAGTTCCCTTCAGCTGAAAACAGCAGACTCCTTTTCAGAAACAAAGTGATTCCTTCCCTCCCTCCCTCCTTCCTTCCTTGCCTCCTTGGTTCCTCCACTTACCCATGTTTTGTTGTCAGCTAGCAGAAGGTCGAGGTTTCCAAATTCTGAAGACGTGTCGTGACAGATTGACGAATCTTGAAAATATTTCTTCCTTCCTTCCTCCTTTCCTTCCTTCCTTCTCAACACAAAGGAAACTTCAGACGTGCTTCAAAAATGGAGTTTCTTTTGCTGATTCTCACTTTGAAACGTAGGGAACAGAAAATCCACATATTAATGGGGTTAGTCTTATCGATCCTAAGGTCACTCCAGGAGCTGTAGTTCTGTTGGAGACGGTTTTTCAGACCCAGAAGTTTACTGGTCCTACTTTATCTAAAGGTGCTTTATTTCATTTTCATGTACTTTGTATTTATTGAACTTTTCTACTTTATTGTTTTTTCAAAAATATTAAATGACAGTTTGTGTCTTTTCTGTCTTTCAGGACTCCATGAGCGCGCTGGCTCATGACCTGAACTATCCGGCCCTGAGGAAAAACAAAAACATCGAGGCCTTTCTGAGTCGATGTAAGAGCCACAGAGGAAACGTGCTGCACTGTTGAAGACCTACATAAATTAAGTTATCATTACCTGTCATATATTAATTGAAAACCACAGTCTTGAGGATTAGAAGCTTAGAAGATTAGAACCAGAGGAAAGCCTGAAACCTTTGTTGAAGGTCTACAGACCACAGGGGGTCAGGACAGAGAGACCTCAGCCTGTCTGCACCTTTGCTCTGTTTCTGTTATTTAGACTGATATAACTGTAGTGCTGAGAATTAAAATGGTGTCATATCCCTTTAAAATGTATGAACTGCTTTGACTCCTGTAAAAAAAAACAATGGAGTCGTTTTAACAGCCTCAGACTGACCTCTGCCAGGTCCAGCATTTAAAAACAGACCCTCTCCTTTGAACCCAAACGTGTGTTGCCGTGGTAACGAGTGTGCGTGTGTGTGTGTGTGTGTGTGTATCAACTTTCACAGATGAGAAGGCGGTGAGTCAGCTTCGGGAGCTGCAGGTGAAGCTGGACGACTTTGAGAAAGTGAAGTTGATCGGGAGAGGAGCGTACGGAGAAGTGCAGCTGGTGAGGCGTTTCCGTCGGCCGAGGGTCCCTGAATGCATCACAGGGTTCTGGTTTAGGTCGAGTTCTGCAGCAGCAGTGCAGTTCTGTAGGGACATGGAGCAGGAAAGGGTCCACAAATGCAACTAAAACCAGCAGCCAAAATATCAACCAGTAGAGGGCGCAGTGATCTTTGGAATCAGCCCCCACCTCAGATCTTAAACCTCTGGAACTTGTTCTGGAGGGCGATCAGCATCTTTGTCCGGTTCGGTCCGACCCGCTGAGCTGATGCTGAGGGAGATAGAGTCATGGAGGGAAGCAGACGTCTGTCTCTGCTGCTGCTGGAAGCTTCAACCTGGTCTCTGCTGAATGTTTTGTGGTAGAAACAAGTCTGGACAGGCTCAGTGTGTAGGAGAGGAGTGTGAAGAAGAAGTCTGCGGGGCGGGGGGGGGGGGGTGCGCTTAGATCTTGTGTTAGCATGTCTTTCTTTGGGTGTGTGCCTGTAATTTGGGGCCCCTCTATCTCTCTCTGTATCTCCTGTTTTCTGTCTTCAGGTCACATTCTCACTCGTTCGCTCTCTCCCTGCTCCTACACTGACCCGCTGATCAGCTGATGTCGGTGGTCTCTGTGTTGTTGTCCCCCCTCTACAGGTCCGTCACAAATCCTCTCAGGAAGTGTACGCCATGAAGCAGCTCAACAAGTTTGAGATGATCAAGCGGTCAGACTCTGCATTCTTCTGGGAGGAGAGACACATCATGGCCTTCTCCAACAGTCCCTGGGTCGTCCAGGTGAGCATGTCTTTAAAGGAGTGAGAATGAAACTCCTGTGTCACCACCACAGAGTCTCAGGGTTACAAACACAAACACACCAAACTGACCAAGAACGGCATCTCAGTACTTAGATAATATGAGAAATAATGAAGTGAGACTGTTCCTCAATAACACATCCAGATAATCCCGAGGCACGCCCACACCTCCAAGCTCTCATAAAACAGCGGCCATTTTTGAATTCTCCTATCCTAGCAGTACGTACTAATTTGCCCAAAATGTAGTATACAGTCTGCTGTAGGCAAACAAATGCAAAATTTGCAGTATGCCAAAAATACCCGGATGACGCACTGATTCAGGAAAATTTCACAGTATGCATCAGACCAGTCTGCTTTGCCTACTGTTACCCACAATGCAAAGCGCCTGGGCAGATGGCGGAATAGCGCAGAGCGGTGAAAGTTTTCACCAGAGCGTTCATTTTCTAAGAGGGCAGCTAAAAGATTTCTCCTCCTGACAGCCTGTCTTCTTCTTCTCCTCCTTCTTTATGTGTGAAAACCGCTGACAAGAATGTTTGGTATCATACCGAACAGTTTTTATCCTCAATTTCCATCAAAGCCTCAAATTTTCCTGCTTCTCCTCATCCTTTATTCTGTACGGTACGTCTGATGTTGATCAGTGCAGTCCATCACACAGCTGGACAGTCAGCTGACATTAGAGGAGGTCTAAAGCTTTACTGCAGAAAGGAGAGTAAAAGTGAAAACAGTCGGACTCAATCAGCAGACAAGACAGTGAACGCGTTTAGCGAGGATTGCAACTTCTTTCGTTTAAGCAGGAAACGAGGACAACAGAACTTTGCTGTATTTACAGTGTCGTAATGAGAATCAAATGACGCCAGATCATCGACGAGTCATTACGTAGACAGAACACGTTTTGATGGTGTTGGACCGAAAAGCCAAATAAAATCAAATTAAAACACATAAATAATTTTTTCAGTGCGTAAATGAATGGGCAACTTTTACCAGGGTACGATGGACTTTTCCAGACTGGAAACCAGTTAAACCGGGCAAACCATACTACAGAATAACGGCCGACTTCCAGTCATACTGCATACTACTATCAAACACAGTATTCAGTTGCAGCATCTACTGCAGTATCTACTTTATATTGCGGTCGGCAGGAGGATGCAGTGGGCCAATTTGATAACAGCCAGTGTCTCATCCTGATTCGAAGGTCGTGACCTCAGTGATTTTGTGTTCTAGCTGTGCTGTGCTTTCCAAGACGACCGCCACCTCTACATGGTGATGGAGTTCATGCCCGGAGGAGACCTGGTCACGCTCACCATGAACTACGACATACCTGAGAAGTGGGCTCGCTTCTACACAGCTGAGGTGGTGTTGGCGCTGGATGCCATCCACTCCATGGGCTTCATCCACCGTGACGTCAAACCCGACAACATGCTGCTGGACAGACATGGACACCTCAAACTGGCAGACTTTGGCACATGTATGAAGATGGACTCGGTGAGTCTGAGGCTTTTATTTTGAAGGAGCCAAATTCCTGAGTCACCTTAAAACTGTCTTTTCTGTCTCAGTCTGAGTGGTGCTATATCAGGGCTCTATTGCACCACCTAGGGGTCAGAGTGTGAAGTGCAGCCATCTTACATCAGGTTGTTTTTAAAAAGTCCTCCAAAGTTTTTGTCCTAACAGCCAATCGGGAGAGAGCGCAGCAGGCCCTGCCCTCCTGTGGCCGAGGAAGTGTTGTTTTTCCTTCTTTTGTTTTTTTATAGCTGGGATTTCTAAATAGGAAGTTTACAAGCGTTTCTGCAGAGTGAGGCTCGCTGAGAATCAAAGAGGAGACTGAAAGTCCGGCTGAACAACATGACTGTTAAAATCTGAAAAGTTCATATGAAATCTAATAAAAGGGGGTCTTCTCTGGACCCCTCTCTGCAGTTAACAAGAATAATCTTGATTCTGAGGAGCCGTGAATGTTTGGACTGATCTGTTTGTCCAAACTTCTTCTTCTGCTGTCATAAATCTCACTCCTCAGTGTATATATGTGTGTGTGTGTGTGTGTGTGTGTGTGTGTGTGTGTTTTCAGACAGGCATGGTGCACTGTGACACAGCTGTAGGCACACCTGACTACATCTCCCCGGAGGTGCTTCAGTCTCAGGGCGGGGATGGTTACTACGGCCGGGAGTGTGACTGGTGGTCTGTGGGGGTCTTCATTTACGAGCTGTTTGTGGGTGAGTCCTCTGATTTCTACACAGCCACATGTTCACGTCAGCATAACGACTCTCCAGGTGTTGTGACTGAAGTCATCGATACCTCCGATTGAAAGACCAGGTCACATTCACGGACTCGTTCTCTTGTTTTGCAGGCGAGACCCCTTTCTATGCCGAGTCCCTGGTTGGAACTTATGGGAAGATTATGAACCATCAGAACTCGCTCGTCTTCCCGGATGACGTGGAGATGTCTCAGCCCGCCAAAGACCTCATCTGTGCCTTCCTGACTGACAGGTTCGCACATGGAAATCATTTTATCCGAACACACACTTACGGGTGCTCTGACACGGATGTTGGATCACTGATGAATCACGCTGTCTGTCATGTGTGGAGAGCAGGATGTTATCTCACACTCCCATTTCTCTCCTTCTGATTGGAGGAGATTCTAGATCTAGGCTGATCTAAAGAGGATTTTAGCAGATAGATGCTGACTACATGTCTCAGCATATGATGAGCAGAATATAGATCATAGTCCACACTTGTCTTTAAGGACTACATTAATCCTCCAAACCCACACAGGCGTCCTTCTCTACGTTATATCATCTCCTCTTTGTGGAAGCAGCAGCAGCAAACTGTGTTCACAGACGTGCGGTGACTTCTACTCCAGAGTCCTGCCTGCAGATGTCTGTTATTGTTATTAGTCCCTTTAGTTCCTGCAAGTTTTCTGGTGTTTGGATAATACTCTGTTCTGTACACTATGAACTCCTGGACTCTCTGCAGGTTTAGTCTGAGGAGCGTTCGTCCAAATGTGTCACAGAGCTGTGAACCTTTTTTTCTCCAGCCTCTCTGAACGTCCTTTTTATACCCACTCATGTCACTAATCAGCCTAATTAGCAGGGAGCTGTCCCTTCAGCTGTTCTCCCGGCATTACTCAGTATTTGGAGTGTCTCGTTGTCCCCGCCTGAACTCTTCTCCTTTTTTTAATTAAGACTGAAACGTTTTTATTCAAACATTTTACATGTTTGAATAAAAACGCAGCTCAAGGAAGAACATTTATGATCATTTCTTCATGGAAATACAATCAGACCGAGACGCTAAGACAGAAGAACTACAGCGTCTGTAAAATGATTAATATGATGATTATTACTTCAAGGAAATGATAAAGAAATGATCATAAATGTTCTTCCTTGAGCTGCGGCACCCCGCTGTAGTCCGTAATGGACTGGCCTGAGGTCTCTCTACAAACAAGCGTCTGCTGGAAGAGAGTAGGTGAGTTGTGTTTAGTCTCTTGATGAAGTTAGGTGCTGTTCTGAGCATTATTTGTGGCTATAGAGTGGCGTTTTGGTTGGGGGCGTGGCTCTCTGTATTTCTATCCTGCGGTCGTTACTAAAGTTGGTATAACTAGAGAAGCAAGCGGTCGACAACATTCATCTCTGGAGGGGGGGTCTAACTCGGTGTTATGGTGGGTTTGACCCTAAATTAACTTTACGCTAGAATATCCCTTGTCGTGAAAATCTGGGGATTGTAGTTTACAGCACTAAAACTAAAGAGCTTGTTGTCATGGAGACTGTTTTTATTTACTGGGACTGTAGGTGAATTATAAAGCCCAGTTTTTATACTCTAATGGAGGTGAACACACTGGGACTGAGTGTTATTTGTGGACAGAGAAATCTCTGTACTTCACTCTGTTTGTGATCATCTATATTTGGACATATCTATATGGAAACACCAAATTATTGTTGGTTTTAATGTCTGCTGTAGTAAAGCGCTGAAATCCTGTCCAGTTATTACACTTCTTATTATTATCACAGGTTAATGTTGCATGAATATGAGGGTGTTGGTCCTGCACTTGGTTAGTGGCCCATCCCCCTGGAAGTAACTACTTCCTGTTTACATTAGAAGCCCCGCCCCTCTTGAGGACTCAGACACAGGCCCTTTCTGCTCCCACACAGAGCAGCCTTTCACTGGTCCGTTTATTTACCTTCTCACTCACTATTCTCACCACAGACAGAATCTCACATGTTCACGGCTCACACACACACACACACACACACACACACACACACACTAACCAGTACATTCATTCAGCACACAGCCCACATGCTCCGTCACTGTCGACCTGTCATGCTGAATCACTCCAAGTTTCTCCTCTTTATCTCTCCTTATTTCCTTTCTCCTCTCCTTATGTCCTTCTCCTCCTCTCCTTCTTCTCTTTCTTTTCCTCCATCCTCCCTCCCTCCCTCCTCTCTCTCCTTCGGTCCTCCTGAAACACTCCTGCAGCTCCAGGTCCTTCTTGTTTTTCTTTCTTATCCTGTGGGGGTTTTAAAAACTCTCCCTCCTCTGGTTTTTCTTCCTCTCCGCCACTGCCCTCTCCTCCTCTCCTCTTCCTCTTGGCTGGGTCTGGAATGTCCCACACGTGGCAAGCCCACAGTGCCGCACCCCTCCGGCCCTGTACCCAGCAGAGAGAGAGAGAGAGAGTGTGTGCAGAGTTTTGGGGGTTGGAGGAGTGGAGGTAGAAGCAGCAGGTTTGGCTCCAGGTTTAGACCCTCACTCTGTCTCCTGGTCCTCTATCTAAGTCCTGTAGGAGGTTCCGGTGCTCATCCGTGGTCATGTGGCTCTCCATGCTGGTCAGTGCGGTCATGGTCACTAGGCTGTGTGTTGATGACGACAGCGGTGGGTGGAGGGAGGAGCAGGGGTGTGATTTGTGTTCAGGTTTTGCTCACAGTCTGGGTCCTTGTCTTGTGTGTGCAGGAAAGTCCGACTGGGCCGCTCTGGAGTGGATGAAATCAAGAAGCACCCGTTCTTCAAGAACAGCCAGTGGACCTTCGACAACATCAGAGACAGTAAGTGTGTGTGTATGTGGTCCTGTCTGTGCAGGTGCACTCTCTCCACTTCTGACCATGTTGGACTCTGATCTTCTGACTCCTTATCTCCTGCAGCTCATTCCTCTCTGATCTGTTTCTTCTCAGCATTAGCTCAGAGTTTATTTCCATCTCCTCAGCCACAAAGTATCCATGAAACGTACAGATGTTCTCCATGTGCTGGCTCGCTGCTATTTCAGAAGACTGGATGCTCATGATGTAGACTCCAAAGCCTGCTAGATAACCAGCTGCATGGGTTCTCCTCAGTGAGGATATATTTAACACTGCAGGCTCGACTACAGACCGAGTTTTTCAGTTGAACAAAGAGACTAAAGAGTACAGGAACTATCCGAAAACAGGGTGAACCAGACGATACTGGACCACCGCTGATCCTTCAGGATCATAAACAGATCACTGTGGGCTTCAGTGGAGTCTAAAACCCAAACTGATCCCAAAGTCTGTTTTATTGTTGAATTCTGACTTTTCCTCTTTCTTCTGTTTCTGAAATCAAAACTTTGAGAGTAAAAGTCAAAGCTCGAATAAAACGTTTGAAATTCACATTTATTATTATTTTTATAAAGATTATATTGTTGTAACCTGAAGGATCAGTGCCTCCTCCAGGGTGAGTCTTTTTAAAGCTGAGATTATAAACGAGATTGTGAAAGTTTGACTCTAATCTGAGGATCCTGAAAAGGTCAGACCTCAGAACATGTGGACGAAAACTGAGAACATCTTAGCTGTAAAATGTGGGTCATGAACTGACTGAATACACGATAAAGGAAAGGTTAGAAGTCTGATCAGCTGCAGCAAGGGAACAAGGAGAGGAGGTAAGGAGAGGGAACAAGGAAAAAGGACTTATGAGGACTTTGAACCGGGTCTTTGTGCCTGTCCAGACTGCAGAGCAGGGTTGACGGGTCTCACCTGGCTCTGATTAAGACCTCAGACTTCAGACTGCCCGGCGGTCTCTGCTCCGTCGGCAACCTCACGTCCGGTCACACACTCCCCCTCTCACACACACACACACACTCTGAACATGATGTGCACGTCTCTCAGTGTGTGTTCAGAGATGCTGTTACCCCCTGCTGAGTGTGGGTGTGTGGTTTATTGTGCAGATTCCTCGGGTTGTTTTCTTGTTTATGACGTTTATCCAGCGCCGGGACGGTTCTGGGGAGAGAAAGCGGCGCCCAGTATCGATGGGACGGGAGGCAGCACCCCCTGTAGCAGCGGGCGGGGCTGACTGTGCGGCCGGTGTGGACGGCCCTAATGAGAGGGGCGCCCCGGTTCGGAGGGCTGCTCCCGCTCTCTCACTCTCACTGTGGCCACGGCTGCCTGTCATTAACGGCCCGCTATCAGAGAGCATTCTGGGAAAGCCGTGCCACAGCGGCCTGTGTCTCTTTCTGTCTGACCACATTCCTGCAGTTTTTTTACAGCCTCTTCTTTTTCGTCCCGTTTCATTCCTGCGCGTCCCCGCCTGGATTTCTGCTCCGAGTTTGTCACACTGAGGGTTTGTGTCTCGACCCCGCAGTAATGAGCTCTGGTCTGAGGAGCCGGATCCATAATGGCTGCTTTCTTTTCCAATTAGGAACTATTTATAGGCTCAAGAACTAGCTGAGTTTGATCTGATTGGCCCTTTGACACGTTTTTGTCTGCCTGTTGCAGAGACTTTAAAGGCCTGCGTCTGTGTGGAGAGAGCGAGCGAGCGAGCGGTGGAGCTCTGCAGCTGAAAGGACCTGTGTGTGTGTGTGAGGGGCACAAAGCGAGCTCTGTGAGGGAGAGGAGTGTGTGAGCTTTCAGCCAACCTGCACAGAGTCGCTCCTACTGCGGCCGGGCCAAAGCTGGCAGAGAGAGAAAGAGAGAGAGAGAGAGAGAGAGAGAGAGAGAGAGTGTGCTCCTGAAAAAGGTTCAGAGTTTGTCAAGGATCTATTTTCAGTTCTCATACCTGCAGGGAGGTCAAACCCCGACAATCTCCACCGGTCTGATTTTCATTCAAACATCTCAGAGTCCAGCTCTTTATTGAGAGGACAGGACAATGGACCGAGTGTGAAACACAGGACACAAGGGGGGAAGGACAGGTACTCCGAGGACCTTCGCTCAACAGCCTATCGTCTCTGTGAACAGCTCTGATCTGTTCTGACTTATTCTGTTTTTAACCACAAACTCAAACAACAACGGTACCAAAGTCCTTAAAGTCCATTCATAAAGAAAACAGCGTTTAAAGTTAGAAAGTCAAAGGAGTGTGGATGTCCTTAGTCACCGTGAACATCATCTCAGCTCCTCAGTGAGCATCTTAGTATCTCTGTAGACCTGAAAGGAGGTCTAACTGTGGACCCGCCGTCTCCCACTAACAGACTGAATCCTCTCCTAGCCCGATGTAAACAAGCACAGCTGACTTTAATCAGCTGTTTCATATAAACTCCCTGATCCATCTCTGCTAACATCTCAGCAGACTGATATAAAGTCAGTCACTCTCAAGGTTTTAGGACCTTCATCCACCATGACTGGACAACATTTGTAAACAACAGCAGGAAAGTCTTAATCAGGCAGAAACTGGATCAGAACCAGACTCATTGGTGGACAGCCATCTGCCTCCACAGTGGGATAAAGAGAGAGAGAGAGAGACTAGGATGAAGGTCCCTCCCTAAATGACTGTCTGTGTCTCCTCCAGCCGTGGCCCCCGTGGTCCCGGAGCTGAACAGTGACATCGACACCACCAACTTTGACGACATCGAGGAGGACAAAAAAGATGTGGAGACCTTTTCTCCACCCAGAGCCTTCGTGGGGAACCAGCTCCCGTTCATTGGCTTCACCTACTTCAAGGAGGACCAGTGAGTCTTTCCTCTCGTTTACTGAAGTCTCATCTCTGTACTCTTCATCATTTCTGTTTCACGTGTACCTGTTGGTCCTGTTTGTGTATTTTAGAGGAAGCAGCTCTCTAAGGTCATTTCTGAGCGTTAGAAAGAAAACAGCTTCACGCCCAAATCTTTATAATGCAGCCTTACAGCAGTCAGACACTGACCGCCTGTTCCAGCTCCACACTGCCGCCTTGTTCTGCCTGCCCCTTTAAAATCCAGAGATTTTGAAGCTCCGGTTCTTATTGGTTTGAAAAGTCTTGAAACCAGCACATCTGTTTCTGATTCATGGGTCTGTAGTTCATCTGAAGATGTTTAATCGTTAGAGGTGTGACTGTCTTTAAATGACTGTTAAAATACTGAGAGCTTTAGTGTGGGTCATACACCGACTTTTCTCTGTTTCCCCTCTGACAGCTGACCCAAACAGCGGTTCTGACACCGTGTGCTGCCCATCTGACCTCATGGTGAATCTGAAAGAGAAAAGTTGGTCCCAGTTTTCGATAGTTCTCAATTTCTGACTCTGATGATGAGCTAACAAAGCTGATGTTCTTCCACAAGCCCGGAGTTCCTCCTTTTAGGCCCGGCTGAGGAGAAACCATAGGCTGACATAAAAGCGGTCTGAACTTACCCAGGTCTATCCACAGCCTTTTCAGGGTTCAGGTTTTGTCCTCTAAGCAGGAGATTCTGGATCTACAGAAGAAGTGAGTTCTGAATCGAAGCAGTAATACGATAACGTCTGCTGGATCATCAGTGCTCTCTGGACCACCTCATGGACGTTATGAATCTCTCTAGGTCAAAATCTGTCACCTGGTTCTGGAGTTTTGCAGCGCTCCAGTTTAACCCAGTTATCAGTGACTCCTCATTTACTCCTCCTCTTCTCCTTCTTTAGGCTGCTGAAAGGAGACAACACCAGCTCTGAGGAGGATTTAGAGGAGAGGAAAGAAAGCTCTGAGGATAAGGAGAAGTACTCCGAAAAGAAGAAAGAGGTAAGGACCAAAGAGAAAAGGTACGAACCTGAAACAAGAGAGATCTGGTTTTTGACCTTCTGACCCTGACCTTTGTGTCTGAGCAGCTGCAGAAGAAGCTCCATCAGCTGGAGGAGACGCTGGACCATGAGATGCAGGCCAAGAATGAGCTGGAGCAGAAGTGCAAGTATGAGGACACACACACACACACAGACACACACACACACACACACACACACTAACCTGTGCTCTTCCTCCAGAAACGCCACCAACCGTTTAGACAAGCTGGTCAAAGAACTGGACAAAGAGGTGAGGATAGATGGAGCTCCTGCAGCTGTAAACCATGAAGAAGGTCCTGGTCCATCTTCTCACTCATGTTCTGCTTCCTTTTGTATCAGATGAGCAGCAGGCAGAAGGTGGAGGCCTCACTCCGGCAGCTGGAGAGAGAGAGAGCTCTGCTGCAGCACCAGAGCGCCGACAACCTCCGAAAGGTGGAGATCGAGAGTGATCGTAAACGTGGTCTGGAGAACGAACGTGAGCAAAATCACATCTGATGGTGTCTAAAACCTGAACTCTAGAGGTCTGGATTCATATCTGTGAATGTAGATGAGAAACCAGCCCGCGTGGAGGAGGTGGTACTGGTGCTGGTCTCAGTTGTTCCTAGTTTCACATATTAAGACCAGACCTCTCTTATTGTATCACAGCTGATATATCATGTAGATGGTCAGGGGTCCAGTCAGTGTGGTCAACCATGAATGCTTCTGTGTTTAACCAGTCAACAGCCTGAGGGACCAGCTGGAGGACCTGAGGAAGAAGAACCAGAACACTCAAATCTCCACCGAGCAGAACCTCCAGCTGCAAAAACAGGTGAGAAGGAGGTCTTTAACTCCTCGTGAAGCTTCACTCTTATTTCAGGAGTTACTGCAGATCAGTATCAAGCATTTATCTGTGCCTGCTGTTTTTTCCCACTCCATCCCTCTCACTGAGCTGCCGTCCTGACCCGTTTCAGCCTGCAGCTAAATGTCTCATCCTCTCGTGTTTCTCCTCTGAAGCTGGAGGAAGCCAACGCCGAGCTGGAGGCTGAGCAGGAGGCGGCAGGGCGGCTGAAGAAGACTCAGGCAGAGGCTCAGAAACAGGTCCAGAGCCTGGAGGTCAGCCTGAGGGAGATGCAGGAGAAAAGTACACAGCTAGAGAGCAGCAGGCTGGATCTGGAGAAGCAGATGAGCGGTCTGCAGGCGGAGCTGGAGGAGGAGAGGAGAGGCCGCAGCCTGGGGACAGAAACCATCGCTGACCTGCAGGGTGAGGCCCAACTGTCTGTTCCACTCGTTTCTGTTCACGCTGATAGAACTACCGACAGATGAGTCACTTTGTTGCCACGGTAACTGCCCTCCCTTAGCAAAAATGTTGTCGCTTGCTTTTTCACACAGTGTTCAGAAAACTGCTCAATTTTCCTACAATAAGAACACCATGGCAACCAGCCGACTGTGATGAGACGCTTATTCTCTGAACACGTGTACGCCTTTAAAACCTTCACAGTAGGATGGTTAGAGAAGGTCGATCTGAAGGTAATCAGAGTGACCGTCTGTCGCAGGAAAACAACATTACACAAGCTGGAGCGCTGAGACTCAGTTTGAGAAGGTTGTATTGGAGCAGGCTTTGGGAAATATCAGCTCATAGGTGGAAACATATGTTCAAAAGAGAGAGAGGGTGAAGTCAGAGCCTATGAGAGCAAACGTGGAGCCCAGCCAGCCGCCCCTGAGTTTGGAAACTTGACTGTGCTGGTCCGTGCAGAGGCTGGAGATCCAAACAACGATGTGGACTGTTTGCAGCGCGCTCCTGTAAAACTCTCCATCAGGGTGGAGGAAGTGAGGGAAACACTGGAAACTCTGTTGTTTCTCTGAAAACTGTTAGCAGGAAAATCGAGTCACGTCATGTTCAGGAGCATTTCCTCGTAGTTTTGGTATCCTCCCTTATCTTTCCATAACTTGTTCTTGATTATTTCCCTTTTTTTCCAGGGCGACTCTCTGGTCTGGAAAAGGAGGTGAAGGAGTTGAAGACTTCTCTCTCCAAAGTCCAGACTGAAAAGAAGCAGCTGCAGGAGAAGTTCAACGAGCTGGAGAAGGTGGGCTGAGACCAGAAAAAGTCCTCCTTCACTTTGACATTTTCAGATCGAGTCGAAGTCGCTGTTTAGAAATGTTCTTTTTCAACATCAGCACCTGCTTCTGCTTCTGTAGGAGAAGAGCAACCAAGAGATCGACCTGACCTTTGAGCTGAAGTCTCTGCAGCAGAGTCTGGAGCAGGAGGAGGCGGAGCACAAGGCCACCAAAGCCAAGCTGGCCGACAAAAACAACATAAACCAGTCCATCGAGGAGGCCAAGTCTGAGGCTTTAAAAGGTGAGGACACGTTAGAGCGAGAGGAGGGAAGGAGGAGAAGAACCCGTGGTTTTCAGGAGAGGAAAGAAACGGATTCAGACTGAAATGATCAACAAAGATCTGTCATTTGTGTCCAGATGTTCGACAAACACAAACCTCTGATGACCTTTAACCTCTAATAACCTGCAGCACAAACTCAGGTATTAGGGACAGATGTTTGGACAGTGGCTGACTGTTTCCTGGTTGTCTGTTTGCAGAGATGGAGAGCACCCTGCAGGAGGAGCGCAGCTTGAAACTGCAGGTGGAGGGGAAGATGCTGCAGCTGCAGAAGGACTACTCCATGCTGGACTGTGACTACAAGCAGGCGCAGCAGAGACTGGAGGAGCTTCAGGCACAGAAGGAGAAACTCTCTGAGGAGGTCGGTCTTCATGGTTCTATCCTCAAAGATCTTTGGAGACCGCAGGTTTGTCAGGGTCTGCAGGTAACCAGGTTCAGTAACGGCCCATCTTACCCTTTATGCAGGTAAAGAACCTGAGCTCACGTCTGGACCAGGAGACCCACAAACAGAGTCTGAGCCAGAGCGAGCTGAAGATCCAGAACCAGCAGGTGACAGTGCTCCGCTCCTCAGAGAAACAGCTCAAACAGGAACTCAACCACCTGCTGGACCTGAAGCAGGTCCTGGAAAAGCAGAACCAGGAGCTTCGAAGGTCAGAAACACTAACTCACACAGAGTCTTCTTGATCCAGGCTGTGGTTGAAATGCATTCTGGGTATTTGATTCATAAGCCTCTGAACTGACAGGTCACAGAGAACCTGCAGGAAAAACTGGACCTCTTTAAAGTGAAACCACATGATTGGTCACCTGGTAAACTCTTAAATCTGACTGCTAACTGGGTCACAGCTGTGGTACCACAAAGTCCAGTATCAGTGACTGAGACTAGAGCCGATGTTTCCCAGTGGTGTCAGCAGGCGGAGGTCAACATATCGTTTATGAACTTTGGCTGTTGAAGGTGTTGTAGTTCAGGATCTGAGGAAGTTCCAGTTTTTAGGAGAAATCTTGAATGTAAACTCTACCCCTCCAACCAGTTTTCCACTCAGCTCCTCCTCTCCCCTCCCTCTCTTAAGCCCCGCCCACAAACAGACGCTCCTGCTCGCTCGTATCGTTCCAATTAAATTCAGATATAATGCAGATAAATACTTCAGATCATTACAAATGGGGCCCAGTCAAGGTGAAAGTCAAAAGCATTGCTTGTGTCGGCAGTCGTGGCCAAAGGAGGATTCAGACAATTTTCCGAACTTTCTGGTTGGTTTCTACTGTCCGATATTGTAGCACGCTAACTTTGTTTGGGCTCCTGAACGACACGGTGGAGCAGCGTCTGCCTCACAACCAATCAGGTTAGAGGAGGTGGAGAACGGCTTTGTTTACAGTCAGAAAGAGCGGACCGCTCAAAAATGTTCAAATGTTGACGACACAGACAGAAGAGAACACAGAGATATCGATATATTACCAAATATCATCAATAACTAATAACTATTGACTGATATTAAAAGATTTTTTTGTAAATACACCACATAAAAAGATTCTTCTTTAACAGATTCCTGTCTACCCCACCTTTCAGAGTCGACCCCATCTGCGCTTACCGGGTTTTGACTAATCAGAATCAAGCTTTCAAACAGTCCAGTGAATTCCTGGATTACATTAACTACCATAAGATTTGGTGATAGGTCTACAGGGAGGCCATAACTGAGCAGGACTTTGGTCTGGAGGTCTATGAGGTGGTTTTGTAGTCGGGGGTCAGAGCAGAAGCACAGTCTTGTCAGACGGCGAGCTGCCTGTAAAAGCACGCTGTTGGTTTATCTTGTTTCTGTTTGATAATTGTTGTGGAGAATCTCATTCAACATGTTGATTTGAGTGAAGTGTTTTGGCTCTGGTGGGCGGTTGGCAGGCTGAGATGATTGACAGATTGTTGGTTCGCCTCCAGGGAGAAGCAGGAGGCGGGTGGCCAGCTGAAGGATCTGAAGGACCAACTGGAGGCAGAGCAGTATTTCACGGTAATTCTACCCAACAATTTCACTGCTTTGTGCACCTCGTCAACACGGAAGTGACAGCCAAATATTTCTCACTCAGCACAGCTAACATTATATTGTCAGACAAGCAAGAAACATAAAGTGATCTACGATGAGGCGCCTGAGAGGGAAGAGGAACAAAGAGAGGGATGTGTTTATTTCATGCATGCTGCTCCTCGTGTTTCTGTGATGAGAAATTAATTGAATCTCCACCTGTCCTCCTCTAGACCCTTTACAAGACCCAGATCCGAGAGCTGAAGGACGAGTGTGATGAGAAGAACAAGCTGTGCAAAGAGGCTCGGCAGAGACTGACAGAATATGAGGAGGAGAGGTAAGGTCCTCTAATATGTCAGCCATGAGGCCGGTGGAGACAACAAGAACAGGAGATGATCAAAAATACAAAAAGATCCATGAAAACTGATGGAAATGAAAATAGAAATAAAAGAGAAACACATTTTAAGTTTTAAAGTATGACAGAGATGATTCTTTAACTGAGAAACTTTGAAGACGATCCTTTTTCACCCTCTCTGTGAATTCATCTCCGGACTAAAAAACAGGACTGGACCTTAAACTGAGTGACTTCAGTCTGAACCAGATCAGCCACTCAGACTCAGTCAGTCAGGGCTCTCAAGTTTTGAACTAAGCTTAGAGTGAGATTTCCTGGGGGGGGGGTCGAAGAGTGATTGAAGATAATTATTAGTATAATAATCTAATAAATACAATGGAGTATGAGGGCCACATTAAGAAAGAAAAAAACATTTTTAAATCTTTGAGATCAAAGTTATTATTTAGGAGAATAAAGTCATTAATGACTTTAAGAATAAAGTCGTAAAGTTACCTGTTGTGGAGGAGAGTTGTTAAAATCAGCACTGAGGAGCATTTAGATGAATTGTACTTTACTATAGGTTTCACAGACATGGAGATACTTAATCCTTTGGTATATCAGCATTACACTGTCACGAGTATCAGAACTTTAAAAAGAATATATGAGAAATGCTGCTTTTGTGGAGGGTAAATGGCTGTACAGAGGCTAAATCCGTCAATACAGCTGTTAATAGCAATAGCATAGGGCTTTAGTTTATCATATGAGTTTATCTGCCATGAGGTGTTGAGGTCTCTGCATGTGTAGGTTACTGACTTACTGTAATCATCGGGTCTATCTCGTCCTTATAAAAACCTGCTCTATTTCAGCAAGTGTCTGTCTTCTTCTGTAGTCAAACCACAAGATATCAAAATCTACCCAGATACAGCAATGCTGCTTTTTGATTGGCTGTTCAGTAGATATACTTTATTTGATTGGCTTGCGCGTGGCACGCAGCTTCTGAACTCTCGGAGAAACTCCGTTGATTTCCCCCTGTTCCATAGTTAAAGAGGCGCAACTTGGTGGACATCACCGTGTTCATTTAAATGCGTGAGAAATACAATGTGTGGCGTGTGAGCGTGTGAACAGGTGGGAATGCGTGTGTCTCACGCTGAATGCGTGAGACTTGAGAGCCCTGCAGTCAAGTCAGGGATCTCTGCAGACAGTGAAGAAGGTTTCAGAAACATGCATTAAGAAAAAGGTCACACCAAAACGTGCACATGCCTCCGTCAGCCTGTCTCTGAGCAGACCAATCATAGCCTGGCTCTTTGTATTTCAGAGATTGATCGTTTTAATAATAGTCTGCCCTCTTTCCTCTCCACAGGGACTCTCTTACAGCCCAGCTGGAGGCCAGTCTGACCAAAGCGGACTCTGAGCAGCTGGCCCGTTCCATCGCCGAGGAGCAGTACTCAGACCTGGAGAAGGAGAAGATCATGAAGGAGCTGGAGATTAAAGACATGATGGCCAGACACAAACAGGAGCTGGGCGATAAGGAGGCCACCATCAGCTCGGTGAGAGAGACTTTATCTATCCTGTGGTCTATGTGAGAGTTACTGTGGACCGAGCAGGTCATCAGAACCTGGACCGGGTGAGGGGGGCGCTGCCGCACCTCACTCTAAAGGGTTTTATCTGCCATAACATCACAAGTAGTCCATTACAGAGTCTGAGCCCTTCTGAAGAGGGTTATGAAGCCCACTTCAGACTGGAAAGTAGACCTTACTGTGGATCGACCCAGACCTGGGTTGATCCAGATCTTTGAAGTATCAGGTCACAGTTTTAAACTCATGGCAGAACAACAACACTGTCAGGAAAAGCACTAACTAACTCACTTCTCATGGAGATAAAGCTTACCTGTTGACTCATCTTTACTCTCCACAGCTGGAAGAATCGAACCGCACTCTGACGGAGGACGTGGCCAACCTGGCGAGTGAGAAGGAGGAGATCAACAACCAGCTGAAGGAGCTGCAGCAGCGTGAGTGTCCTCCTGAGTTCACAAGCTCTAGATTTCTGCAGGATTGACATTTCCCTCAGTGCTGGCAAACGTGTTACAAAGCTGTCTCACACATCGGCCTGATTTATGAGAGGCCTGTAGAAAAATTAGACATGAACATCTCCATCACGGAGGAGAGTGTCTATAAAACTAGTCCACAGATTCACAGCATAAGTTCACACTTGTACAGAGTGATGATTCCTCTTTGCTGGTTTACAGAGCTGCACAAGAGCAAAGAGGAGGAGAAGAAGATGAACTCACTCAAAGTCAGCTTTGAAAAGCAGCTGCAGAACGAAAGGACTCTGAAGATTCAGGTGAGAGGTCTTACCTGACCTGGGCGCCTACACAGGTCTGGAAACACTTTCTGTCCTCCTCACAGGTGACTGTTGTACCATGATCAGAGACTGTAGAGCTGCAGACTGGCGCTGAACTCTGGGATTAAACTCTCCCAGATCTAAATCTCTCTCAGCAGCACTGATGCTCCTGCAGGCTCCTCTCTTTATTCAGCTGTTTATAACTTTATGTTTTCTCTGTTTTCAACTGGCAGGCTGTCAACAAGCTCGCTGAGGTCATGAACAGGAGGAGGGAGACGGTGCGAGGAGGTCATCGGGGCCCCGATACTGAGGTGCACAGGAAGGAGAAAGAAAATAGGAAGCTGCAGCTGGAGCTTCGAGCTGAGAAGGAGAAACTCAACAGCACCATCATCAAATACCAGAGAGAGATGACGGAGATGCAGGCGGTCAGTACGCCCACGCCACGCAGCACACGGCATGAACACATACCGCCGTCACATTCACTGAAAAGCATCTGTGTTTCTGATTTTCATTCAAGTCCTGAGAGGTAGGTGAGGAGCTTCAAGTTATAATCAGTCAGGAAAGATCTCTGAGGACCAAAGAAGGAACATCTGTCTGCTCTCAGCAGATCCAAAACCGGCATTTTGATCATCAGAGACATGCACCAAGATTTCTCTGTAACTATTTACACAGAAGATATTATCAAAATAGGAAAGGCTGCAGGAGGGAGGTGTGCTAGTTACAAATTAAAGCTCCAATCAGGGGTTTCTAAGCTGGTTCTGGTTCTGACAGGGTGCTAATGCAGAGATTCAGGGTTCTGGCAGCTGCATATTGAGGTTCCTATAACATCCTGTAAATGTTATAAAGATGGTGGACTTCAGCAGATTAAAGTCTACATTACATATTATAGTCCTGGTCCGGCCCTCACAGAGGAGGATTAAAACAGGGCTCCTTATGACCCACAAAAACCTTCATTCAGAAGACTCATGATTTTATCTTAGTCCTTCTTCTGTAACTTGAAAGATTAGACGAGGCAGTAAACAGGACGGTACCAGACCAGCAGAGACTCAGTCAGGGACAGCAGGACGAGGATCTGCAGACCTGTCTGAGGTTCTACCAAAGTAAATCCTGACCTTCTCAGGAGACAACACTCGAAGGTCTCCAAACCTGAGAACGTGTTAAAGTAGCTCTAGAGGTCAGAACAGCCTCAAACCTTCTGACCAATTAGGAGTCTGGATGGTGTCATCTTTGTGAATTCATGAACCTCTTCTTCTCCGTGGATGTCATGATTGAAGGCCGGTCACTAAAGGGTTAATCCATGGTTTCAGGTGCTCAGTCTCTCAGAGGTTTCAGGGTGGAGGAGATGTCTGAACTGAAGCTCTTGTTCTTTTGTTTTCTTCAGCTGATAGCAGAGGAGAACCAAACGCGTCTGGAGCTCCAGATGGCGTTGGACAGTAAGGACAGTGACATCGAGCAGCTGCGTTGTCAGCTGACCTCCCTCAGTATTCACTCACTGGACTCTACCAGCATCAGCAGTGGAAACGAGCTGGACACAAGTGAAGGCTACCCAGGTAATCCCAAGACCTCCAGGTCTCTCCTCCATGTCCTCCTTTTTCTGAGGTCTCTCTGAGTTTCTGTCTTCCAGACCTATTGATTTTGACCTTTTCCTCTTAATGCCCCCCCACCCCCCCACCCCCAACCTCGACTCCTCCTTCTCTTCTGTGATGCGGCGCAGTGCGCATTACTCACTCCCACACCTCCGAATCAATGTCCTTCACCTACCAGCGCACACACAAATCTGTCCGCATCGACACCCGGCCCGACCTTCGCTCTGCTCGCTCTCTCTTTGACTCTGACTCTGAGGACGAGGACGGACATGATGGGCAGGTGGAGCGGGGGGAGCCGGTAGAGCAGGGCCCCCCTCCTCTGGCCCTTACCTATGATCAGCCCTCTGAGGCTGGACCTGCAGGTGACCCTGCATGGCGAGTGGTGTTAAAGCTAACCATGTTTTCTAACGGCCAAATCTTTGTACTCTCTAACTGATGAAGAGACGACCTTGGTCCGTCCCTGCGAAGTCACGGCTAATCCTCCTGCTCTGTGGTTTCTGTCTCCGCTGTGCTATAATCCTTTTGATTGTGTACTGGACACGGTTTCCTCACAGCTTGATGCTGCCCTGTTTCTGCTGCTGAAGATGGAGACAGGTTTTTTGAAGGAGTGAAGTTTGTTTGTGTTTGAAGTCTGTCAGGTTGATCTAACAGAGGTCTGTCAAGAGTCTGTCCTAAAAACAAAAAGCTTTAGTTTGGAGCAGAGGATCCTTTCTTCTGTCCTCTCAATAAAAATAAGAACTAACTGTGAAAGTCCGTCTCTGTTTCTTCTCTGCAGACTCCAGACTTGAAGGCTGGATTTCACTTCCCACCAAGAACACAAAGCGCTTTGGCTGGGACCGAAAAGTAATGCTCCACCTTTCTTATCTGATCTCCATCATCTCTGAGTCATTTCCCCTCTGACCTTTGACCTCTACCGCCCTGTCTTTCACAGTATGTCGTGGTCAGCAGTAAGAAGATCCTGTTCTACCACAGTGAGCGAGACCGAGAGCAAGCAAACCCCTTCATGACCCTGGAGATCGAGTGAGTCATTTCAGCAGAATTCAAACTCCTGATGCTCTTTAAAAAAGTCTCTTTTTTTTTTTCTCGACTTCCTTCAGAAGTTTTTCCTCCCAGTCTGTAGCTGTGATGGTAACTCTAAGGAGAGGAGGAAATATAATGTTTATACTGTCATACCAGCTCTTCAAACCTAATGTGAGCATCTCTGAAAAAAAGAGGGATGATCCTGTTCTTGTCCTAAAAGCTGACTTTCCTAAACCAGCAGACCTGAACCCCAGCCTAGTCTCCAGAACCAAACCACTGACTCTCTGTCTCCCTCAGTAAACTCTTCCATGCTCGGCCCGTCACCCACACGGATGTGTACCGCGCAGACGCCAAAGAAGTTCCCAGAATATTCCAGGTGATGAGCTCCTCTCTGACAGCCCATCTGACTGATGAGTGAACAAACGGCTGATTTCTACAGTCTCTAAAACCCCCTCTGATGTTTCCTCCGTCAGATCCTGTACGCCAATGAAGGCGAGAGTAAGCGTGACCAGGAGGTTGTTGTGGAGCCAACGCCGTTAGGAGATCGTCAGTCCTACATCAGCCACAAAGGTCACGAGTTCATCCTCACCCTCTACCACTTCCCCTCCAGCTGTGAGGCCTGCACTCGGCCACTGTGGCATGTTTTCAAGCCTCCGCCGGCTCTCGAGTGCCGCCGCTGCCACACCAAGTGCCACAAAGATCACCTAGACAGGAAGGAGGAAGTGATTGTTCCCTGCAAAGGTCAGCTTCCTCTGTGAAGAGATAGAACAGCTGGTTTTAAGGACTTTTCCATCAGTGAAATTTGACAAACGTCCTCTTAACGCCGTGTTTAATCTCTTTGTTTTTCAGTCAATTATGACATGTCCACTGCCAAAGAGCTGCTCCTATTGGCCGGCTCTCAGGAGGAGCAGCAGCGTTGGGTTAGCCACCTCCTCAAACGCATTCCGAGGAAACACCCGACCATGAGTCCTCCCCTCTCTGCCGCACCGAACACCCCTCCTGAGGTGACATCACGGTCGTCTCCGAGAATCTCTCCAAGACCTTCACCTCGGGGTTCACCTCACATGTCGACCCACCGAGGAGCCATCAAGATCCAGTCCTCCAGACAGCCTCAGCAGTCAGGGAAGGGCAGGTGAGAGGAGGGGACAGGGTTTCAGATTTTTCATGATCATGAATTTTGATGTTTTTAGGATTAAACTCGATTAACAGCCTCACTGCTCCTGTGAGCAGAAGGGACAGTTATTTTAGTATTTATTGTTGAATTTCTCTTACGTATTTCTTCATTATTTTAAAAACCTCCTGTAGGATTTTAGCTCACTGATCCCAAAACCGCAGAAACTCGTCCGTCTGAATTTAATGGAGGAGAAAGAGAGGAAATGACCTTTAAACAGTTTGTCTGTTAGTTTTATGTCACTTCTGTTTGAGTTTTATTAAATCTGAGTTTATTGGAGACCATCATGATCAGGATGTTTCAGTATTTAAGTAACAGAGGACCAGGGACTCATGACTGGGATCCAAGAGGCTGTGAATCTGAGCCAGTCTGACCAAGACCATCATTGAGGATTTGGTTTGATAAACTCAGTCCGGTCTCCCTCTAACCCTGTTCACTCATGGACAGGGTTCGAGGTCATGTTAAACCCTGGCTGACAGGAAGTAATGCTCTGTGAGAACTTTGCTGCATGAGCGAACTGTTGTCCGCAGCGTTAACGCAGCTTTAGTGTGGTAGACCTCTAATTGAGCAGGAAACGGCACTAACTGTGTCTGTCTCGTCTTCTCCTCACCTAACTGGCTCTCATCCCTCAGCACTGGCCCCATGCTCCGTATCATCCTCCACTGACCTTTGACCTCTCCACCTCTGACCTCACCGCTCTAACTCTCTGTTGCTGGGAGACTGTAAGTAGCCGAGTTTGTCAGACCTGTCCGCCCTCTGTGATGCTGTGCTGCCGTGTGCACTAATGCCTCCTGACACTCTGCAGTGGGCTCTACGCTGCCCCCTGGTTAACCCGGCATGTACTTCCCCAGCTACTGATGAAGCTCCACAGGCTCCAGTCCCTGATGAACTTCATACTTCCTGTTTCAGATTGCTTGATTTTGGCCTGAAAGACTGGAGTTGGTCATTGGATGATGTCCATAATGATGATGATGATGATGATGATGATGATATGTTCTTCTGAAGGAGGTGAAGAAGAGAGTCCAGAGGGTAACAGCACCTCTGCATGTGTGTTTGCAGACATTATTCCGAGTGATTTCACAGCATGAGCCTCATCTCTGCAGCATGTGGACTCCAGATAAGGACAAAGAAGTGTTTTTGCTGTGGTCAGCGGTAGATGACGACACAGAGATCAGCACAGCTCATACCTGTCCGTTAGCTTAAAGCAGGAAACAGGAGAGACATTACGCTCTGCCCGAAGATACTAAAGGTGATCTGCTCAGGACTTAATGACCTCCTTTAACCCAAAAATGCACACTCAGACAGAGCCAGACCTGCGCTCCAAACTAAACCTACTGTTGGCCGAAGTTTCACGAACACAGTGAATGTCTCCTCATTAAACCCTCGCGACAGTTCGGATACTAAGTCCTGGTCTGACGACAGAAAACCTTTGGGCTGCCAAAAGATGTTACTGACTGAAACTGTTCACGCCTGGAAGTCTAAAACGATAACTCACGTTACCTTGGTTCTAGGACAGCCCAGACGAGAAGGTCCTCTGACCCCCAATTTCCACCGCATCCCGAACGGCTACGAAAAGGCCATATCCGCTGATCGTAGCTGATCGTAACCATTCAAGTTAACGTGTCAATTTACACTGACTTCTTTCCGTTCCTCTGCGGATCGCCGGACTCCTCAGCTGATCACAAGAGTTCTATTTTTTCTGGACGCCGGAGCATGGCGGATAAATTCAGCACAGATTAACCCGTGCTGGAAAGGAAGTCGGGCACAGACACAAAATAAAACATCCTGCTTCTTTTCAAAATAAAACACTCCGTGTTTCAGGAGGATCGTATTTCACACCATGCAAACGGGCGGAGACGAACAAGTGAAAGGTTTTTAGACGTCATTTCACCCCGATGACACCATGGATGAGGAGATGCTGATTCTAGAAGTCTAGAAGTAGATTTCCTCCTCTGGAAGGACACAATCTACTGCTTATATGGTTAGCTTGTGTGGCTAGAGACAACTTGTTATCACACAATTGCACGTGAATCTGCAGGTTCTTGTGAGTTCTCACAATTCCTGTTGTCCGTAATCCACCACAAAATTCGCCTCACAAACGAATCCGGTAGGAATTGGCGGACGGCAAAAGATGCCATTCCAGATATGGTGGAAATTCAGCTTGAGTCTGTAAACCTCTGAGTCAAGCCGAGTCTGGAGGTCTAACTTCTGTGAAAACGTTCTTTCTTGCATCTCTGCACTAAACTTTCTGTGTCTTTTTGCAATTTTTAAAATCCAGATAAAAACAAGGATTGTGAATGGTAAACATGACTCTGAATATTCCTGATTGTGGATCAGGAATGTTCAGATTAAGTGACACAAACTAGCTTCATTTTTCACATTTAACTACAGCAAACTACCGTCCTGAAACCAGCTTCAGTCAAACAGGCAGACGGAGATATTATCCCGTATTTATGCCTTTCACTCATGCATTGTGAGGAGACTGGATTGCTTCCTTGTGTAATATGTGTGGATTTTGTGTGGGCGTGCTTTTGAAGTCCAGCCATCCTGTTGGTATCAGCCCAGGTTTTCACATTATTTTGTTTCTCTCTCTCTCTCTTCACAGTTAACCCCTGCTGGTCTAAGATCTGCATTTTCATCTTTGTGGATTAATGGCGGCAGTCTGCAGGCGGTGTCTACACGTGTTGTTTCTTTGGGGAAGTAGACTGAAAAAATGCTAATCACAGAGACGGGCTGTCGTCATGAGAACAGAGTCTGTCTTTGTTACTCTAACAAAAGGGAAAATGAGCAGTATTCATATACTGGTGAGATCTCATGGAGAAAAAAGTCGAACCTCAGCCCAACACGTGGACGCTTCGCTCAGCCTGCTGCAGTGACTCACAGTCAGGGACAGAGAGGGTGTGTTCGTGAGGTGCTAGCATGTGTTTGAACGTGTGTACATAGGAAGAGCAGGTCTGTGTATCACAGGATTGTAGCCCCGGATAGTTGATTGTGTTATTTTTACTGAAATACGTCAGCACCACATCCTACAGTACATGCTTTTCTTGTAAATGAATATAGTTTTTCTGAATTGAGGATCTGACTTCTCTGCTGTTTCCTGGAAATATTCGCTCCTTAAAGCAGATCCATTAAAGGAAAATTAAGTACATTTAAATCAACTGTGTTTCCTTTTTGCCATTCATGTTAAATCAGATAAATATGTGACTGAAATAAATGATTCAAACCCCAAAGATCAGGATTTGTTTCAGCTTCATTTCACTCAGGATTCAGGATCATCAAGAAAGAGAGAGAGAGCGTGACAAACACCGAGAGTCTGTTTCCAAAGTTTAGAGGCAGTGACTGAAATCATGCAGGTTTAGGGAGTTTTTATCTAGTTTTTTTAACTGAGTTTTTTTGTGTGTTTCACACGTGAGGCCTTCATACTCCTACAGTCAGACTCCAGGACCTGGTTTAGGTTTCCAGTCTGTTCCTGATCGTTTGATCCCATTAATCACAGAGTTAAGGCAAACACTCACAACAATACTGTCTGTTATAAGAGTGAAAAAATGAACAAAAGCATAGATGAACATTAAATCTGTTTTTTACTCACTAAACTTCAACAGAATCTTAGACGTTGATTTTCTCTGGCCTGGGATCTTCACACTGACTGGTACTGAGATTTAGATCCTTGTTTCAGGCAGCGTTAGCGATGTTTCGGATGTTGGTACCATAATCTGAAAAACCCTGAGTCATCCATCTGAACTGACGGTAGGTCCAGTCTGTTTATTATAGTAGTGGAGAAGTAATTCAGCGATTTCACAGGATGAAGATCAGAAACGGTGTCTTCAGTCTGGAGCTCTGTCCAAATCAGGGACATGTATAAATCAGACCTGGACCAACCTTTGTCAGGTCTGACTGAGGTGGATTCTGGGTCCATATTTGTCTTTGTAGCTGTAACTGCGTGTGGAGTGAGTGGGCTTGACTGGAATAAATCTTTCAGAGCAGCCTAAAGCCAACTGGCACTGGTCATACATAATGTAATGCTTCATCATGGTGCCCATCTGTTTAAATGGTATCTCATACTGCAGGCCTGATCCATTCCCTCTATCAGCGCTGTGACAGTATGTTCCAGAGAGGCAGCCGTGAAAGCTGCTGTACCTGCTCGCTGTGCGGTGACCTCAGGTGGCTGTACCTGCTGTTCTCCTCCTCGTTAACATCTCCACATCAACATCCTCCTCAACACTCCTGTTTTTCTTATTTGTTCCTGTTCATCCACTCACTTCACGAGAAAAATATCACATTTAAATCTATGTAATTTATTTATGTAGTTATTTTGTGCTAAAAATGACAAAAAGTTTATTTTAAGTTTTTTTAGAAATATGGAAAATATAAAGGTGGAGTTAACTTGAACCTGGTCAAACATCACCTATCTGGATTTTAGAAACGACTGTTTTGACTTAGAGTGAGATTATTTTTCCGGTCATAGATAAACCCTCCATGATTCTACAGGAGCCCAGGAAGGACAAACTACAAACAGCCGCACAAGTTTCTGTATGTCGTGAAAAAGAGAGAGGTGCTGTTGTTCATAGGTCTGCTGGATCCTCTTTCCCCCCCTCCTCTACTCCTCCTTCTTCTCCCGCCTCCTCCTCCTCCTCTTCTTCCTTCTCCTCCTCTACTTCTTCTTCTTCCTCCTCCTCTCTCTCTCTCCTCCCCCCTTCCCAGACCATAATAAACCCTTTCATTATTTCTCCTCTTCTTATTAGTCATAAATTTTTCCATCATATTTCAGAATCACCTTTTTCTGACTTATTGATTAAATCCACATTAGACCCTTTTTACAGTTCTGGACTTCCCCTGGGGTTCGGTTTGGACTCCCCTGCAGGTTTTCAGTCCCACAGTCTGTGGTAACTGTACTTGTCCTTGGTGCTTGACTGTGTAATGACGGGTCCTTGTTTGCACAGTAAGTAATGATTAGTTTGGGGAAATCTGCTCCGTAGGTGACTCAGTATTTGGAGAAAGGACACGGCTGAGTCGTGTTTGTGCAGATTTCTGGCGGAGACTCTTGCAGCAGGAACAAAACAGTGAGTTTCTTTTGTAACTTGTTTTTCTGAACATTATGTGCACCAACTGGAAATGATCTGTGCTGCAGTGAATGTTGAAATGCTTTAAATTCATGCCTCTCTTTCCTCTCTCTGCAGTCGTCTCTGGTTTGTATTTCAATCATGAAGTCCTGGTGTTTCTTCGCCTTCCTCTGGTCCGCCTACTTCTTCTGTAGCTCTCTGTCCTGCCCAGAACTCTGCCAATGTTACCCCAGGAGAGTGGAGGTGGTCTGTAATGAGGTCCCCCTGACAGACTACCCCTCTGAGAGTCTTCCTAAGGACACCACTCTGCTGACCATCCAGTTCACCAACATCTCCTCAATCTCAGAGCGTCACCTTAATGCCACTCCTCTCCTGGAGGGGCTCCACCTGTACAGCAACCACCTGCAGAACCTCTCCTCTCACCTTCTCAGAGGCGTTCCTCGTCTGAACACTTTGGACCTCACCGGGAACAAAATGTCAGACCTGCCCGCAGACGTCTTCAGCCACGCCCCTCTCCGTAACTTGGTCCTGAAGAATAACCTGATTGAGAAAGCTGAAGCTGATTGGCTCCCTGAAAACAGCAGCCTCAGCTGGCTGGACTTTTCAGGGAACCACCTGACAGAGGTGCCGACGGCTCTTCTGAAGAAACTGCCTCATCTGGACAATCTGGACCTGTCCAACAACCGCCTGAAGAAGATCTCTGCTAATTCTTTGGACCCTCTGACCAAACTGGAGAGGCTAAACCTGCAGAACAACAAGCTGGAGACCCTGCATGAATTCACTCTTCAGGCCACCCGTAACCTCACCTACCTCTTCCTCAGTCGAAACAAACTCAACAAACTCCCCCAGAACCTTTTTCAGGAGCTCACTCAGCTCAAGCTCTTAAGTCTGGATGACAACCAGCTGAGCCACATCCCTGCGGGTCTGCTGGACCCTCTGCAGTCTCTGGACGAGGAGGGGCTGGACCTGTCCAACAACCCCTGGCTGTGTGATGGGAAGGTGGAGTACCTGTGGAGGTGGCTGACGAAGAACAAGGACAAGGTCTTCCTGCCAGACACGGTCATATGCGCCAAGCCAGAGTCTCTAGTGGGGCGTTCAGTGATCTCACTGACAGAAAGCGAACTGGACCTTCAGTCTTAGATGTTTTCATGGTCCAGGTTCCTTGGTGTCAGTCTGCTGTGGGTGTGTAATAAACCTGAACATGATTTCCACGTCTGTCTTTGTTTACGATGGCAGAAGATCAGCTGTGAATTTTCCTCTGTTTTTGTTAATATTCAGCTCCATCAAACTTCTCCAGTTTGTGGATCTGCTCAGAGTCTGCAGCTTCATGATCTTAGCTTTAGACCCCAAACACAGGAACTGCTGACCCGTCCCCTCCCAGGGTTCTTCAAAGTCTCCAAAATAAATCTGTCCATTAACAAACTTCTAAGATGGTGGTCGGCGGAGCGCTGACAGATCCCAACCAGTGACGTGTCCAAACTTATCAAAACAGTTTCCACAATTTAAAAGCTTCAGTCAGGAATTTTTTTACGTGTCCGTTTTGATTTCTGACATTAAACATTTGTCACATTGGTCCATTTGGTTGTCAGTGATTCTGTTTATTTTTGTTTCAGTCTATTCCAGGAACTTTAATGTTAAAATCTGTAAAAGTTTAATACCAAAGGGGTTGACCATCATAAAAACAGTTTTCTGTTAAAAACTTGATTCAGGTCCTGAATCGGTTTAAACTGAAGAACCTCTAATCCTGTCGTCTGAAGGATTTTAAACATATTGATTCGTGTCGTCGTCACTGAGCTCCTGTGTTTGCTCGGGTCTGTTTGCCTCTTGCAACATTTTGTCCTGATTCACTTCTGGGTACAAATAGACTCAGTGTTGTATAAAACTAAGTCCACTTTCAGAAGGACCTCAGCCCTGCTGCTATTCAGGTTAGATCACACTGATGATCAGACGTTCTGATAGTTCCTCTTCTTCTGAAGGACTCAGTCTCTGAATGTCTACATGCGTAATTTATGGAGCGTGTCCCTCTTAAACCACAAAAGTTTGTGTCCTTCTCAGAAACGGTCCGGTTCTGTCTCCTTATTAGACCAGTCTTTTCTGGGATGGTCTCCAGCCCGCTGTGCAGCATGATTCTCTGCAGATTTATGGAGCAGTGTGATCAATGCTTAAATGAACTGAACAAACAGTGCAGCTCATTTAAAATCCAATTTACTCAGTGGACGGCTGCCAACCGTGCGATAGAGTAAATCTCGACACGGGTTGATGAAATATCTGATAACAGAGATTCATGAGTCTGTGTGTGAGGCAGGATCTCCTGCATCCTTCAGATCAAACTAAATAATTATCTGAACAATGTTTTTACTAAGAGGAAGCACATTTTGGAAGGAAGAGTAAGCACATTCTGTTTCTGATTCTTATTTTCAGGAAGCTGAAATCCAGAAATGAAATATGCATCTAAGTGAAGCATGAAACTGAAGTATGCTCTCCTCTGTCCTCACCATGGTTATGGAGCTCCTTAGCAGATCTGCGTCTCTTCGCGTTGGCTTCGTCACAGATTGCAGCTTCATTTCAGTCGTGTCTTTTTCCTCTTAATGATGTTGAGCGTGTGGGTGTGTGTGGGCAGCTAAACGGCGGTTTCTTCCAGCTGACCTCTCCGGAGTATCCTCCTCTTTCTGTAGGCCTCCCTCCCTCCCCCCTGTGTATATGTGTATGTATATTTCTGTCTGCCCACGCTGTCCCCTCCGTCCTCAGGCCTCGATCACACTGAGTGCAGATGTAATTTATCACTGCTGTAAAATGTAAAGTCTCTTCCAGGAGCAGCAGCTACTTATGGAGATTAAACTGTGTTTGTAAATGCTCCCTGAAGAGAGGTTGGAAACTTCAGGGGTTGATGTAGGTCTGTCATTGGAGCTCTCTGAAGTGTTTCCCGGAGGTGACAGGGTGAGGAGTCGGTGGGCTGAATCCTGATGTCCTCTTAAATTGACCCCTCTGGACGGGCACAGCTGTTATGGTGAACAAAAACACTCTCCTCTATGTTTCAACTACATCACCTCTCGAACTGAGACGTTTAACTTTCATCTCTTCCTGCTCTCCCTGCAGGTTCTGGTATTTGTTGGAGGTCAAGGCTTGTTTCTTGAAGAAATGAGGCTCCTAACATTAGTGCTGCTCTCTGTCGGCTCATAATCACTGACTTACACTGGAAACTAAAAGGCCTCCAACAATTTTTTCACACTCTTGAAAATGACTGCGGCCTTTTAACTCCATGTTGTAAAGCCGAGGACATGATTGTCTCTGAAAGCTTCTCATTAGCACATAATGGCACCTTAATTACTCCTCATGTCTGTCAGAGTCAGCAAACACGTTACGTCTTTGGAGACATTTTCAGAAAAATCTTCAGTTTCTTTTCAGATGACAAGAGTTTAAATTGGAGGAAAAACAATTGAGTTAAAACCTAAAGAGCAAAACTGCCTGTCCATGAGATATAATAGACTTTAATGTGAGAAAATGTGCTGGAAAAAGACATTTAATCAACACAAACACAATTTCAGGGTTTATTTTGACTCTATAGTGAGACTTTTATTACGGTCCAAGATTCGGCACACAGCTAGGCAGAGGTATCCAAAAGGGCTAGACAAAAAACTATGGCGGTCAGAAACAAGAAGGCTATCAGATACTGAGGATACTGGAACGTGACAGTTAGTCAAGGATCTGGAGGTAAGCCATAGGCGGTGTTTCTGGTGTGAGGTGTCTCATCATATCTGCTGCTCTTGAGTGTCGACTTTCACATATTTTCCTGGAGTGTTGAAGGTCTGAGATGTCAGGATCTTTCAACAAGAGATCAACCCCTGACCGCCAAGCTTCATAATCAGATTCATGCTGTCGTCGTGGATCACGCCCTCAGAACGATCGGAGTCTTTGTGTGGACATATGGATCGGATTGTCATCACTTTTCTCCATGTGTTCAACAACATAGCGTTGTATTCCAGGACGATGGAGATCAGAGGGAGTCAAACCAGGAAAGGAAGGCCTTGCTGTGCCCTGGGCATTGGAATTTGAATGGATTGGTGGCAACTCACCTCCTGAATTCTGTGCGTCAGCTGCAGTACCGTGCAGTAGATTGAAGGTGGCAGTGTTGGGTAGCTGCACAGGGATGGTAGCACTGGAAGTAGACGTCACAAAGCTCTAGAATCTCATAGGTCACCTTTTCAGTCTGACAAATGTACGTGTACGGCAAAAAAACATTACCCTAAACAAATTCAACAGCAATTCAACAACCTTGTTATAACCTTAACTTTAGATGTTCTGCCATACTGCTTCAAAAATGCAACCTCTTCTTCATCAGTGCCATCCTGTTCTGTGTGTTTGATCAAAACAGCGTTTGGATCTTTATACCATGTTTCTCCAAAATTTCCATGTTTGCAATGAGTGTCAAAATCAATATCGATCATTCCCTGACTCTGTCCTTACTCTCTCCTGTCCAGCTCACTAGAAATTTATGTAGCAACTGTGTCAGATGTAAGAGGGTACACAGAATAATGAGTATTGGTTTAATACTTAATGATATTTATGTGATGATTACTGAAGTAATCCTTGGTGGTGGACTAGTAACCAGAAGACTACAGTTTTTTTGAATGATGTAATATATTATTTAAAAAACAACCAGAGTGCAGATATATACAGTGAAGGAATGGCCATTCAAGCAAAACAATAATAATAAAATATTCTTGGTTTGCCCAACAATCATTCACCATACAGCATACAGTCTAATGAAACACCAAAACCTGACCCCAGCAACCCATCCACCGTTTATGAAGGGAAAGACACACGTCTGGGTTGAGAATAAGTCTAGGGGAAACGCTTGTGGAAAAGGTTTTCAGGGGGGAATGTGTTTGAATGAGGGGTGCTGATTGAATGAGTGGGTGTACGAGTTTTCAGTGGGCTCCAGTGAGCCCCCTACCGGCCTGGCAGGAGAGGTGCAGATGAGACTTGATGTCAATGTGGGATCTAGGTCTGCTCCTTAGCGTACCGTCTCATGTGGACCTGGCCTGTGGATCAGGACCACAGTTAAAAAAAATGAAAAATTATCATCTTTAAATATAAATAAAAAAATATACATACACACACACACACACACACACACACACACATATGTATGTTTGTGTATATATGTGTATATACACACACATACACACTACGTAGCTAATCAACAATAAATCCTTGTGTACACATGATTCTTCTAAAGCACAGGCTGAGCTGTAGTAAATTTCAATAAATTCAATATGAAATAAAAAGCAAATACTACTAGCATTATCAATGAACAACATGTATAGTATTATTTAACAAGTATGGTCGATAGACATTAAGATAGATAATGATCAAACACATTCAAGTCTTAAATAAAGTGCTAAGAATTAATGTTTATATAACCTCACTTTTTCCAGTAGGTTCATACTCAACAATCATTACACAGATGGTAACAGCAACACATTTTCATCTGAATACAATTACAGACATTTTGCTTTTCATTTGGAGAAACAGTATATTTAAAACCAAAGAGTTTAGCTAACCGCTGTCATTGGAATGAATGGGACCGGCTAACGCTAGCACGCTAGCAATAACAAACTCACCCGTCGTCGGTTTATCGCCAAACAACACGTTCTTCTCATCGTCAAAAACACAGATAAAGGCGCAGTAGAAGGGTCCTACAAGTTGATATAAAACACACATTTAATGACATTTGTTGTTTAAGTGAAACCGTTAAAACTGAGCTTAAACCGGCCTGTAGTTTGTCGCTAATACCTCCTCCCCGCTTCTCCTCCTCAGACTGAAAGGCGCCAAAACGTACGTGACCGCATGACATCACCAAAACACTCAACTATTACTGGTCGACGCGATACCGCGAGATACTGCGAGATATAAAACACCGCGAAACTGGATGGGATTTACCATAGATATATATATAAAGCCAATGAAGACCGCGCATGGCGGCCATTTTGCTACGGTCAGCTCGCCCACTCCTAACATTCCAGTCTACAGTTCATGTAACATATAAATAACCATAGATTGATTAATTTTAAACCGATTTTTAAATGCTTTGGTTTGTAAAAAACCTCAGAGTTTTAGTTATGTTCCTGCATATTCAAGAATAATGTTAACCATGGATTTACATAAATAAACATTAAACAGATAGGTAGAGCAACAGCTGCAGGCCTACACATACAAGGCAGTTCTATTAAATCATTTATATATAAAACATTTAATCATTCCATGTATGTTATATTAGTAATATTTATAATAAAGGGTCAACTATAATGACATATAACAATAACATTTATAAATATTTATTTTCAATATAAATTTCTGCCTCATGTTTCCATTTTAATTGTTTTTTACAAACCAAACAGTTTGGAAATCATGAACAACTTCAGTTCTGTTGAATCTAAAGAGCATTTCTGCCTCTTTAACTGATGTAAAATTACTGGGTCAACTTTGTAATATGTACTTGGTCTCAGTCACAGTGAGTCTGTTAGCCATGTCAGACAGCTGATAAACACAAGACCATCCACAAAGACTGTCACTTAGACAAAAAATTATAGACTGTCATACAAAAAATTAAAATCTCAATTGTGGTCTCAACCTTGACAACTCACACAAAGCGACTCAAATTTAGCATTTGCGCGTTAATATCCGTGAAACAGCTGTGCTTCATGATTAAGTCTTTTTGTTTTTTTCAAAGTGAAACTGTCATTTTAATATGTCCAAACATCCCAACTCATAGCCATGTTATTAAAGTCTGTAATGAATGAAACCATTTGTAAATCTGTCAAGATTACAAATGGGATATACCATGGAGCGTACCAGAATGGTATACTGGAGTAAGAAGGCGGCCATGTAGGGATGCCGGTGACTCAGCCTTGAGTCATCTAGCCTTTCTTATAGATATCTATGGGATTTACTGCGACAGACAGCTGATGTGTGGGCCTAAAGGCAGAGCTGGCTGCTTAGGATTTACCTTGGTGACACAAGGATTAGTGCTACAAATTAAAACAAACAGGAAACAGAAGACATGAAATGATATGAACAAAATAAAAGTAACTTGACCCTGACAAAAACCGCATTAAAAACCTCAGAGGACTCTCAACATCAGCTCCTGGATGACCCATCAGCTGATCAATTAGCGTACCTCATTAACTAGCTGCTGAATCTGTTGGCCTTGAATAACTGATTGGCTGGTTAATCGATAAGTATTACATAACTAATAAGGTGGCTAATCAATTTGTGTTGCATCACAAATTTGCCAGTTATGCAATTATTGTTACATAAGTAATTAGACTGCGAATCAGTGACTGTGTTTCTCATCCATACTATCGAACCTTTAGCCCTGAGCTGACCAAAATGGCTGAGTCTCTCTTTAATGAGGCTTTGTCTCTGTGTTGTGAGCTGTTCTGTTGTTTGTGTTTGATGATTGGTTGTTTCCTGGTCATTGACGTAAACGTTTGTTTCCTGGTCTTCGGGTTGTTTTCATGCTAAAGCTCCTCACGGTACAGTTGTTCCCTCTGACACGTCTGTTTGTGCTGTTGCCTGTAAAATGATGTTTTCATGGGCAGGCTGTGAAATTGAATTGTCTTCTAGGGATACATAAAGTTGTTTAAACCGAATCTGCAACAGTTATGAGAAAGTATTTATTGTTTTTAATTTCTGTTCTTGCTGCCTAAGAATTGGAGGTTTTTCCACCTCTGAGTTTGAGTTTGTACCGTGAAGTCTCAGCAGACTTAACGCCATCGTTCAAAGGTGTCTCTGCAGGACCGTCAAACCAAAACTCAGAGGACACAAATATCCTCCAGTCTGTGGGTCCTCGCCGGTCACTCTCTCCTTGGGTCTTTGTATTTGTGAGGCCGAACCAGAAAAAGATTGCGCGCCTCATTAAAAACTAACCTGGAGGTGGGTGAGAGGAGTCACACTGCGGCTGCCTTTAGAGGCCCGAGGACATCACCAGGAAAGCACTTACCAACAGAGAAACCCTCCCACACTCGGGTTAGACTGACAGGAGTTTGTTTATGCCTCAAACCTGTTCAGGACCATCATGCAGTGCAGCGAGCGTCCTCATCCAGCAGGTTTAATCAGGCGGCAGAAGGTGGCGAGTGTGAGAAACGCTCCTTTACATGAACCTGCACCTTCATTTATCATAATCCTCCGCCTCTTTTATTCCAACCATCCTGCTGGTCATTAATCATCGCTCCACTCAACAACATAAACATGTGGAAATGATGGCGCTGTTGCACTTGTGCATGATGTCATTAATGGCAAAGAGCGCCGGGGCCCCTTCCCTCACCGTGTGATTGGTTGTTGTAAATGGCCTCTTGTGCTCTCCGGGGAAATGGGCCATTAGGAGGCTCTTCCCAGATGGATGCGGCGTTTAACACTCTGCCACAAATTGAGGCTATTTTACTGCCGGAATAAAGATTCTGATGGAGGCTCAGAAATAACCGCCGGAAAACATCGTCAACCTTTCGAGAAAATAACGCGTTTATTTATCACAGGGGATATGAACAAAAGTGAAAATAATGAAAGACATCAACTCGGAGTTAACAGGAACAAATGATGGCGGACAGAGGACAGCAGGGGTGAGACAAACTGAGAGGACAAGGAGCATCAGGTGGAGGAAGCTGAAGATGTCTTCCTGACTCTGACTGTAAAATTATGGAGAAAAAACAAAAACAACTTACGTTCCTCTGTTGTTCTGCCAGACTTTAACCTGCATCAGTATTAAATATATCAATACCTGTGATCAGTCATAATCACTCATTTATTAGTTTGGTTGTATGTTTGTCTCTCTTGGGAACCTAAACAGCTGTTTAGAGACACTAAAATGGACCTAAATTAAAAACTATAACCTGTCTGCAGCGCGGCCTCTGTTCCAGTTCAGCTCCTGGTTTCATGTATTTGTTAAGAGGTCTCAGAGTGTTCACTGAGCACCTGAGCTGGAAAACAGCTTCACTGAGATCATAAAACTCTGTGAAATGTTCCTTTAATGTGTCATAACAAGAAGATGTCAGGGCGGGGAGCACTCGTGTTCATACCAGACCAAATTAGGCTGCTGGAGGACGACCCCCGTATAAATCCTGTCCTCCATACTGCGTCTTATTTCTCATGAATTGAACTTTTCAACTGTACAAACACGACTGCGTCATGTCGTCGTTCAAAGCCGCATCGTTTCATTATGTGAAGCTCCAGATGCTCAGGACCTACATCTGTGTTTTTTTTCACACACCCGCCCTCAGATGAAGACCTGGGCTCTGGAAACAATGGCAGTTATTTTACTCCTACATCCTCTGCTGTTCTCTCTTTAATTACTGCATGTAAATCTGCCGCTGCACAGATGCACTCTGTGATCCCTGCAGCTTTTCCTTTTTTCCACGGCTGCAGTCGGAGGAAAAATCTTTGGAGTAGATATCCATTCCTTTTGTGCTTCACTGTCATTTTTCTTCCCAGGCACGGCAGATTGATCTGCACATTGTCGTCCATCCATAATCACCCACAGTGACCCTGCAGGGGACGAACGGGGCCAAGGGACTTTAATTACCTCCGAGCACCAAAAAGACAAGGACACAGCAGTTCATCAGGCTTTGACGTCTGAATCTCCTCCGTGACTCTGCTCGAAGTTTTCGCTCACGTGGATTATCATACGGCTCCATCCGCCCACAGAGGCTTTAAGCAGAGTCTATATCAGACCTCTCACCTGTTGGTGCATGAAGCCGCAAACAGACGTGTTCACGGTGGGTAGGAACCGTGTTAAGGTCACTGAGGGAGATCATGTGACACGCACCAGCAGAAGGGGGTCAGGCCAGCTGTTTGTGAAGGCGTTAAAGAAACTATTTAATGACTTATTGATTCACTGGTTTTACAAGCTTCTGCACAGATCTCTGAATCAGTTATCAATTATTCAGAAAAATCTGTGCATACATTATCAAACAGCAGAGAGAGGAGCGCTGGGAGAAACACCGAGCCGTCTCCTCTGATGGAAACAGAAAAACATGCTAATTAAATCCCAAAACACGAGTCCGGCCTTTTTATCAAACTCTTATCTGGATGAGTGTCTATGGGGATTCTGGTGCTTCTGCAGCCTACCCCAAGTGGACGCTCAGAGAACTGCAGGTCTGAGGACTTTCACATCAGTGTCTTCAGGGTCCTCACATTTGTACATGTTCCCATCTGGACCAGCTTCAGGTTCAGGATCTGAACACAGACCTGAGATCGACCCGCAGACCTCCCTGCTGAGCAGAGTTTCTCAGTCAGTCCGTTTCCATGACACTAGAGAAAACCGAATTATCGCCTTATTCCGATTAAGACCGGACAACTGAAGGTCATGTAAACACCTTAGTCCGACTATAATCAGAGTTTGAGAACTCCCAGATAATGTGATTGGAATTCGATTTTCTCTACCATGTAACCAGCGTAGTCGGAGTATGATCGGACACGCCCCCGTAACCCCGTAACAAACCCCCAGAGTAGAGGAGTAGCATTGGTCTCCTCTTTAGAAAAAGTAGCGCGTCCATCATGTCGGACAAAAACAACGCTGTACGATGCTCCATCTTCTTGTTTCTCCAAAATGCCCAGCAGCAGTTGTAGACACTTCTGACGTCTGACACCGACCTGCTGTTGTTGTTGACGGTTGGATGGGGTCGGAAACAGATTTGTCTCCCCTCCTCTCTGAATGAAAAGTGAAATGTAAAAATGTCGGCTGTTTATTTTCAGAGGAGCTCATAACTCTTGGGCGGCAGGATCGATCTCCTGGGTGTGGTTACTGCTCTCTTCATCATCAGATGGATATCGCAGGTTTCATTAAAGACTCACTCAGTGGGTCATATTAGCCGGAGAGTCTGCTCATTACAATAATGCAAAGCTGACTTAGTAAAGATGCTTGTTGAGTAATTGTGGGACAGATATAAATCTGGAGTCCCAGAGGAGGCGGCGGCCTGACGTCAGCCTCGATAAATCTCCTTTTTATGACCTGCAGCTCTAAATTAATTGTGATCAAACTCTGAGGGACAAGGATGTTCAGCTCCATAAAACCCCTTTGTGTCCGGACAGATAATCAGCTGTTGATCTATCACTGCTGCTCTCCCAAAGCCAATTTCCTTGATTAGATGTCTGTAGGTTTTTCAGCAGAGGTGACACAGAGACACAGGAACATGGCCCACACGGCGAGATCGACTCTTTGTCAGCGGAGGCCGTGAACTGAGAGGCTGAGGGGAGAGAAACTCGGAGCAGACTGAGCTCCTGTACCTTCACAGCAGGACGGTTGGTTACCTTCATGTTCAGCTCTTTATAACTCTCTAATGAAACTGGTTTGTCAGAGACGGCGCTCTGAATGAACCCGGGCAGCTCTAACAAGCTCTGGCTTTGACGGCGCCGTCAGTGGACACGGCTTTAAAGTTCATCTGGAGACTGAGTTTGGCATCCGAGTGAAAACTGTTAATCTGGACTGAAGCCGCCAACACGCCACGCAGAAAACAACGAGAAACACGCCACAGTCACTGACGTCCTCACCCTGACGGACCGACGGAGGACTTAAAGGAGGATTTCACTTCATTCTTCTGTTCTCTGTGAAACTGGTTCAAACAAAGCCGGAGGGAAATTCTGCTGCCTCACTCCGACCTTCAAACTCGCTGAATCTGAGAGTTTTTCTCCGCACATTTTCATTTTGAATTTGGCTCGTGCTCACAAAAAGGGTTTGAAGTTTTTCTGGGAGTTAAATGAAAAGCTCCATCAAACTCTCACGTCTTTACGATGCAGAGCATGAACGACAAAAAGAGCAGATTACCATGAAGACTGAAGCAGCAGGTGGAGAAACCTTCTGTGGAGGGTCAGGGACCTCCTGCAAAATTAACTATTTACATGAAGTTCTTCCTGTTTGTGGATTTTCACTTTTAATTAAACTTTAACTGAATTCTTAGTTCTCACGGTTGAACTTTGTGCAGTTTGTTGTTCTGGACGGAGTTTAGAAAATAAAGTTTGAGCTTCCTTGAACAATCGGAGACAGACTCTGAAGCGTAAATCCAGACCGGTCTGTGGGTCAGGTTCTCTGAAGGTTTGTGTCTCTGCTGTTCTCAGCCTCAGTGGGACAAACTCAGTGAATTAAAGGTCATTAAAGATGGAGGTGGAGCCAAAAGAGTCCTGATAATAAAAACCTCTTTGTTGTAATAAAAACAATAAATCAAAACTCAATATGGTTACAGAGCTGCAGTATATAAGAAACACTCCTGAACTCTGTGACAGAAACCATGAAATATTCATGATGTAGGAGAGGAACACAGCAGCTGCTGAGATAGACAGAGTTCATCTACAGCACTTCAACTCCCATCATGCTTTTGGTTTGCTGAGTGAAAATCAGCAGTTCTTATTCCTCATGGTCGTTAATGTGATCATACAGAGGGTCATGTGAGCAGAAACTAAACAGACAGATTCTGTTGTAGAGACGTCAGTTTGTCCAAAGGGGGCGCCAAAATCAACACAAACCGCAACATTCTTATAGAAGTGTTAAAGCAGTTAAACATCATTTTGAGTTCTTATTTCTGTATTTAGTGTCTCATATCTTAGACAGACTGAAGCGAAGGACAGCTGTATTAGTATCCCTGATGAAACACTGAACAGTTTGGACCCTCCTCCACCGAGACTCTCCGTAACAGAGGAGCACTTAAAATCCTGAAATGAGCCGTAATGAAGAGAGCGATCGAGCTGTGTTGTTTCCCCCGCTGCATATCAATAACTAATGCTTTCACACTGGCAATAATGAACTAAACCAACGCGCTGTAATGGGAGAATATAACGGCTTCAACTGCTGCAGAGACTTCATTACTCAGTAACTGTTAGAGACGGAGAACTTCAGGTCAGAGGAGGGGGTCTGCTGAGGACTTCTGAGGACAGGAACCTCCATGGAGCGGGACTCAAAACTGGACCTGAGTTAGGGGCCACACCCACAAAGCACTTAAAGGGATATTCCGGTGTAGAATTAATTAATAATAGATTTTATTTATTACGCACTTTACATTTAAAAACAAATCAGAAAGTGCACAAGACAACAGTAATAGTAGAAACCAAGCAACAATAAATAACATACAACATAAAAAAACAGTCAGCAGAAAAAATCAGATAAAATTAGTCCAGGTAGGCTTTCCGAAAGAGAAAGGTTTTGAGTCCTTTTTTAAAAGCATCCACTGACTGTGGAGCCCTGAGGTGATCGGGGAGGGCGTTCCACAGACGGGGAGCAGCAGCCTTGAAGGCCCTATCACCCATGGTCTTGAGCCGAGTCCTGGGCGGGCGCAGACGGTGCAGTTGGCCTGACCGGGTTCTGGCTGAGGTATGTGGGGTGAGGAGTTCGGTGAGGTAGGTGGGGGCTGCACCGTGCAGACAGTGATGGGTGTGAAGGAGGATTTTGAATTCAATGCGGAGGTGAACGGGGAGCCAGTGCAGAGTGCGAAGGATGGGGGTGATGTGCTCATGTTTACGCACTCTCATCAGGACCCGGGCGGCGCTGTTCTGAACATATTGGAGCCTTTGTAAGCTCTTGCCCGGGATCCCGATGAGAAGCGCGTTACAGTAGTCGAGCCTGGAGGAGACAAAGGCATGGACGAGTCTCTCTGCTGCAGGACGAGAGAGAAATGGCCCGAGTTTGGCAATATTGTGGAGGTGAAAGAATTTAGACTGGGGACCCTATGTGTGTTGTTCGGAGCATTATTTGTGGCGTTTTGGTTGAGGTTTGTTTATGTGTGGCAGCCCTGAAACCTCCTGTCTCTATCCCACACTAAAAGAAACTGTAACTGGTCTGCAGAAACTCTCTCTCTCTCTCTCTCTCTCTCTCTCTGAACTTTTCTGTAAAACAGATTTAGAGCTTCCTTTGCCCATAAAAGGTCACATTTAAGAACATCCATCAGAGTTAAAGGCTGCACTCAGGACTCTCAAAGCATAAATCCTTATTTTCATTAAAAGATAAAAGGTAATAACCAATACTGTTTCCTCCTCTCATATTGTTCCCTGATTTATATGAAACGCTCGGATTCACACACATTATCGGAGCAGCTCCCACTCAGTATTCTGCTGCTGTCTCCACCTGAATCTCAGTGTTTGCGAACTCACCTGTGAGAATGATCGTAGCAGGTAAATCCATTTCTGCACCGATATTTCTTCCCCTTTATTATGAGTCCAGGATGAATGGACTGGCTAACAGCAGAAGGCTGCACTTCATCTTCACCGCTCACTGTTTAGTTTGCAGAACCACGGCTCTATTGATTTCACCGTTTCACACTTAACACTGACATCTTGAAAGGTTTTGGCGTCGTCAACAGCGAGGCCATTTAGTAATGCGTTTGAGGCGATGCATTATACCCACACCAGCAGTGAGAGGAGTCTTTATTCTATCTGACAGGTTCTGTACGGTTTCCCAGCCGGTTCTGATCCACAGAGATTTTAGCCGAGAAGACTCTGCAGTTTTAAAGACGTGGAGGAAACAGCGAGGTCAGGGAGGGGAGAACATCCGGTTATTTTTCTGCAGGCTGCTGAGTGCTCCTCCGTACCCTGCTATTTTTTAGAAGGTCATATTTAATCTCTGTAATTATTGTCATGCAATTTTATCTCTGCTTGAATCAAAGTGCCTCAGGGTGCACCTACGCAGCATTTTAAACAATTCTGTGAAAAAAATCAGGGAAAGTGTCTCTGCTCGCATTAACGCTCCAGGAACATGTTTCTGACGGAGATTACCTTCTCCCCCTCCTGCAGAGAAAGCACCGGGAGGGATGGGCTTTTAAACTATTGTATTATACACACACACACACACACACACACACAAACACACACACACACACACACATTCAAATTAATGTGTTCGACCATCTTCTTCTGCAGGATATGAATCCATTTACACGTCTGAGGAGAGATATTATCTTCTTCTGTTTGTACGGCCCTGAGTGAAATACATTACCATCATGTGTTTATATACCTCCATGTGTGTGTGTGTGTGTGTGTGTGTGTGGAGGATGGTAACTCAGGCCACCAGAGGAGCTTCTGGGTTTTTGATAGGATGGTGATTAGGGTCACAAAGGGACAGAAAATTTCGGGTAAATTTCCAGAAATTTTCCATGGAAAGTGAAGCTGGAGAATTTTGGAAATATTCCAAATCGGAAACTTTAATGTAATGTTAATGTATTTATCTGTCAATGTCACATTTATTTATATAGCACCTTTATAGGACAGGCCAGACAAAGTGCTTTACAGGAGAAAAAACATAAAATAATAAAAGCTACAAGAAAAGTAAAGTAATTAAAAGGGAAACATACAATAACAACAATAAAAGAAAAGCGTACGCGAGTAAAAGCAGGTGACAACTCAACCAAAAGCTGGGGTAAACAGGTAGGTTTTAAGGTGCGTTCTGAATCGTATTTATTTGCTGCTGCTTCTCTACTTTGGCTTTTCATGTTTGCACATGACAGGAAGGGGAGGAGCTCTCCTCTCTTATAGCCGTGGCGTTCCATGCAAGCGCATGGAAGGGCGGGGAACCCTCAGAACAGAGCCGTACCGCCGATGTAAAACATGTTTGAAATGAATTTTGACTAAAGTGGTCCTTAATGAAATAAATGATGATATGTTTTCAGAAAACTGTCTGAGTCTGAAGAAACAGAATCACATCTGAGGTAACTACCACCACCATAATAAACTCGCCCCTTAAACGGTCAATGAAATGAAAAATAACTTACATTTAGCACCTATTTCGATTTAAATATTAATACTATTATAGATCAAATCTATTGACCCCATACCACTTTGAACATTCCCTGAATTTTGCAGCCATAGCGGTGATCAAATCATGAACAGCCTGTAAAGATGAAGGTTATGTCTCCTTCTCTATTGGCTGTGCAGGAGCCTGGGGGAGGTCACATGTCGTAAAGGTCACATGTTGTCTGGCCAATCCATCGACCCTGACCTTTGACCTCAGCAGACTCTATAAAACTGTTGTTTTCTGAGAGGTTAACATGTTGTTTGGTTAAAGGTCTGATGAGACACCTTGATTCCCTGTGAACGTTCTCACCTGAGGGCAGGAGGTCGTCTCCTCCATGACGGGGAAATGACCTGTTCCTCCTGTTCTGAATCCAGCGCTCTGTCGTTCCTGTCGTTCTGGGAGAGTCGGAGTAAAAGAGTAAAGTTAAAGTCAGAACATTAAAACACGAACAAACCCATCGATGAAATCACTTTAAAACTGTCTTAAAAAAGGTGACGTCATGTTCAGCATGAAGTGGACTTACATATCTAAACCAGAGACTGTATCTAGAATAGACGCCGTCTGCCTCCTCTCTCTGAGAACAGCGCCCTCTGGTGACGGGCTGCAGTATAGGTCATAAACCCCGCCTCCTTATGGAGCTGTGGACAAACTTTATAAATGAATGACACAGAATATAAATGTTTCTCCCCCCTGGTTGTGATGTTGACATGTAGTTACTGTCAGACTGGTTTGTGCTCAAGTCCTCTTTTTTCTGTACAGCTCCATTTTTAAAAGTTATTAGGGGGTTCATGTTTTCTATGATTGACACTTGATACAGCCAATGGGAGGACAGAGATTGAGTAGATCACCGGGGGATACGCTGTTTGAGCCGAGCGTCATCACAGCGACTCTCCCGCCGAATGTTGGTTTCAGGAAGTGGAGAAAAAACTTTTCAGCTTCAAATCCGTAAACTGGAGGAAGGAGGAGCCAAGTTGTCCGTAGTTTATACAGACTATGATCTAAAGGCAGACGCAGAGGTGCTGTCTGACCATGTGACCTGTCGCCGTGTTTCCTGAGCTGCTGTAAACTGACCTGTTGTTGTGGTCGGTCTGTCATAATCGCCTCATGAGCCACAAATAAACGCAGAAATTTGACACGTGTTTTGTTGACGGTCGGCCCGCCATGTTGGTCTAAAACCATAATAAGCCGACTGTTCACAGAGTTCACAGCTGAAGACGTAGAGAGTTTGTCTTCTGTGGGACAGCCTCCTGTCTCTCTCATGAAGAGTCCCAGCTCGTCCTGAACTCTGTCTTCAGTCCACCGCCGTCCACCAGAGGCGTCCCTATTTTTAGACAGGAGACAGGAGAAGAAGAAGAAGAAGAATACCCCGACCTAAAGGTCAGCGGGGAGGACAGCGAGTTTTGTGAGTTCATGTTGTCATCAGACTGTTTGGCTGAAACCGAACACCAGTGTGTCCCTCCCTCCCTCCCCAGTAACAGTCCTAACTGGGGGGTCAGCTGGTTCCAGAGACTCCAGGCGGTGGATCTGAAGGTTCAGCAGGATGTTGTACATACAGGGTTTATTTACGCCATCTTAGCGGCGAGATCCATAATTTAACAGCAGATGTAATGAAACGCCAAAGTGCAAACGCAGCAGCGGCCCGGCACGCTACAGACGTCCTCCTGTTAATGATTCCTCTGCAGCCTCACTGCTCATCCACGCAGCTGTGAAACGAAAACGTCTGAAAGGAGAAAAACACCGAAAAAAAAAAAGAGAACCGAGTCTTTGAGTCCGCTCCCTGGATCTGAAACCCGGTCCATGAGTCCCAGAGAAAGACCGGGTTCTTCTCCTTCTAATGAGTTTATTTCTGTTTCGGGTGATAATGAGCAGCTTTTTAAATAAACACACAGTAACACTTCTTATCGCAGACGCCCACGCCACGCCACGGTTGACCAACATGTGGGCGGGTCACCGTGGAGAGGATCACACACGGCTGTGGGGGGGAATCGTGTGTGTGATTCTTCGTAGGCGATGGGGGGGGGGGGGGGCATGTTTGTATTTGTGGATCTAAATTTGAACCTGAAGGCGTGTACGGCGTGTTTTTATGTGCAGCATTGTTCTCGCCGCTGACATCACAGTCCAGCTGTCAGCGAGGACAAAAGCTGATCTGACATGTGAGAGGAGGAGAGACATGTGGTCCAGAGAGATAGTCCAGGCCGGGTCAGATCTGTGTGGGCGGACAGAGCTTCAGCTGGATCAGGACCGTGGTTCTGATCCGACAGGCCGACAGGTTCAGTGATGATGGGAGCAGACAGGTGACGCTCTAATGAGGTTAGAGACGAGAACAGAGGCTCTACACACCTGGACTCCTAGTGCTGCACTGCTTCATTGATTGATTGATTGATTTTTTGATTGATTGTAATTCAGTGAACAGGTTAAAGGGATATTCTGCTGTAAAATTAATTTAGGGTCAAACCCACCGTAACACCGAGTTAGACCCCCCCTCCAGAGATGAATGTTGTCGACCGCTTCCTTCTCTAGTTATACCAACTTTAGTAACGACCGCAGGATAGAAATACAGAGAGCCACGCCCTCAACCAAAACGCCACTCTATAGCCACAAATAATGCTCAGAACAGCACCTAACTTCATCAACAGGACATATAGGGTCACAGACATAGTACTATATTCAGAGTTGTTCTAACTCCTAAGAAAACAAACTTAAGCGGGGGCGTTTCTCCACCTCTGTAGTCTATAATCTGGGCCAAGAAACTTCTACTGTAATAAAATGAAAAGGTAAAGGTGTTTTTATTGAGCCGAATTATCAATAAAATCATGATTTTGTTAACAGGTATGGATTTATGTGCTGTAGAGTTAATATATTTGAACAAGAGCACAGTAAAGTTAAATCAGATAATTTTCCAATGAGGTTCTGTTACTGAACAGAACTACACCATGATCTACTGAGGTTAGTACATATAGGGTCACAGACATAGAACTAGACACCAAACATCTTTTTAACTTTGACTCATTTCTTTAGCAAAGAGACTAAACACAACTCACCTACTCCCTTCCAGCAGACGCTTGTTTGTAGAGAGACCTCAGGCCAGTCCATTACGGACTACAGCGGGGTGCCGCAGCTCAAGGAAGAACATTTATGATCATTTCTTTATCATTTCCTTGAAGTAATAATCACCATATTAATCATTTTACAGACGCTGTAGTTCTTCTGTCTTAGCGTCTCGGTCTGATTGTATTTCCATGAAGAAATGATCATAAATGTTCTTCCTTGAGCTGCGGCACCCCGCTGTAGTCTGTAATGGACTGGAAGAGAGTAGGTGAGTTGTGTTTTGTCTCTCTGCTAAATAATGACAATAATTCACAGGTTTAATTCATCCTCAGTAACAGGAATCACAGCTGATCACAGCAGCTGTTCCACACTCTGTGAATATTGACACTCTCCCTGTTTCAGTCCTGTCTGTGATTTTAGGTGAATTATCAGCCGTTTTACACTCTAAAACTGTCTCTGTCACAGGGTGGATCTATTTTCTTATATTATAATTAACTTCAGAGTTTATCAGTAAATCCTCATTAAAGTCGTTTGTAATAATCTGCCTGTTTGATGATTTTACCTGTTTAAACTGTTTTTAGTCCTTTTTAAAGATGTAAAGTCTGATCTGATGACCCGAGGACGTCCAGGTCAACTGAAGCTGCTGTAGTCTTCAGGTCTTCTGGTCCAGTTCCATCCTCAGGTCTGTGGTGGTGGTCTAGTTTTGGGGGTCTCTCTCTGGTGGCAGAATCTTAAATTCAAGATCACATGAAGTTTATTAAAATCATAAAAACCTGAATCTTCATCAGCTGTTCAGAGGCGCGGAGGTCTGATCCAATCACAGCAGCTGCAGGAAGCAGGAAGGGTGGCTCAACTACGGAGTGTCAAAAGGGACAAAATAGTACAGGGTTTTAAAAAGATGTTAGTATGACTTTAACCTTCCTCCTGAGTTAGGGTCTACACCGACCTGTTTTTGATTTTAAAAGCTTAAAAGAATCACTTACATCAGCTTTTTGACTTTGTCAGGAACTTTAATTTCAACTAAATAAAAACATTTAATTAACTTAATAATAAAATTCTCTCATTAGAATTATGGCGCTTGTTGTATTAGTGTCGCTGTTGACCCGGTTAGATCAATATCTAATAATCAGAATCAGTGTGCTGACAGTCAGATCCTCTTCATGTGAGATTTAAGAAATTCTCATTTTTCATGTTTTTCTCTGTCTGAACATGTGAGATCAGGTCAGTACAGACGTCTGTGTGAGGACCACAACAAAAACTATTATCATCAATATTTTCATGGATAATGAAGTCGAACACGGAAACCTGGAGATGAGAACCAAACTGGATGATAGAGAACTGTTTTTAATTTACAGCTGATTTAAGACCCGGGTCAGAACCGACCCTGAACATGGAGGGTGTGAGGTCAGAGCGAACACAGGAGGAAGGTTAATCCCATCAGGACCGAGGGGTGATCGCTCAGAGTCTTGTTTGAGGATTAACATGAAGATATGAGAAGATATGAGATCTTCATCTTTAACGAAAGAATGAGAGGAGGACAAACTCACCTTCACCTTCATCACCTTCACCTTCATCACCTTCGTTTCTGTGAGTTTAGTAAATGTAGTGAGTGAGAGTGAAAGGAGTGAAATGGTTGTTGTGTTTGATTCTTATTACAGAGAGGTCATGAAGTGTGGGAAAGTGTTGGACTGTTTCCTTCAGCGAGCGGAGGTTTAGCCCACACACTGTGAAGAGAATAATTAAGAAAAGAACAAAAGACGTTTGTTTTATGGAAGAGCTGAAGAGAGAAGGAGAGGAAGGGCTCCAGACTCTTTAAAATATGAACCTCTGAGCGCTCTGACAGACTAACATCAGCTTTAATAATACTCTCTAATGCAGGTTCTGGAGGTGGTTCTGTTTGTGCGGGGGGCTGGTGTCACTCAGACTAATGGAGTCGGAGTTCAGACCTTTCAGACTCAGAGAATTAAAAGCTTTTTTACAGATATACAGTGGAGCCCATTAAGTCCATTTAGAGTCTGTTTGTGAGTCTGACTCATTCGTTCATCAAGTCAAGAGCTGAAATACGAACAGACGTTTGAACAGAACAGACTTTTGGACCGGTATTATGTCGGTGAACCTGTTGGACTCCTCAGGTCTGGATCTTTTTCTGTTTTATTATCTGAAATCTTCTGTCCTGAACTCTGATCCTGACTCGGTCTTCTCTGTCCTCGGTCGGGTTATTCCAGTGAACATCTACTCAGACTATCTACGGCTGCCTGTTGGACATGTGCAGCCCGGGATTCTTGGGAGGTTCTGGTGTCGGTTACATGATCCTGCAGCTGCTCCTGTAAAGTCCTGCTCAGTAGTTTGATATCAGAGACACCAACTCAGAATCCCACGATCCTAGAGACACGAAAACACTGTTTATGAGGAATAAACAGAGGTCCTGATCGAGTCTTTCTCTCTTTATGAAAATATTAAAGGTTTTATTTCCTCTCCGTCTCTAAAACTGATTTTAAAGTTTGTTTTTTTTCCACTTTCTCTCCTGATAAATGATGAGCGGACCACTCCCCGTTCTCACCCGGAGCAGCTGCCTTCTTTATTGTTAAAAAACATCATTATGATACAGAGAAGTGAGCTACAGTGCAGTCTACAGTATGAGTGTGCATGAGGGGCTGTTACATAAGGAGCCTACATGGGGGGGGGGGGACAATCAGTGTATTGGCTGTTCATAAAGAGACCCTCCGTCTGTCCGTCTGTCTGTCTGTGGGGATGATTCACTGCTCATAAAGTCAATATCTCACACATCTGTCCTGTTAATGAGCGCCGCTCCTCAGCTGTGTCCAAGTCCCCAGAGACCACTACTGCAGTCCTGCTGTTCCTCAGGGGCTGTATGTACAAGTGTGTCTCCATCAGGCTCTGAGAGAGTTTGGAGACAGAGATGATCCCTCTCTCTCTCTCTCTCTCTCTCTCTCTCTCTCTCTCTCTCTCTCTCTCTCTCTCTCTCCCTCCTTCAGATGAAGTACTCGGTGGCCTCGGCTGTGCTCTCAAAGCTGGTGTCCATGCTGGGACCCCGGATCCCTGCCCCTCCCCGGGGGTCCTTCAGTAGGGGGATGTAAGTGTCGCTGTGGCAGGAGCGCATGCTGTTATCCCAGACTCCTGCGCCGCAGCTGTGTTTATGCGCCCCGGGTGCAGCGTCCAGCTCGGCTGCGTCGGAGCGCAGAGCCATCAGCTCGATCTCGTGCTTGGCTGCGGTCTCCAGGACCTGTTGCTTGTTGTAAAACAAAACGAAATTGTTGATGATGGGGTGGATGGGCAGGGCTATCGCGATCACTCCGCACAGGAAGCTGATGGCCGCGTTACAGCGCCCTAAAGTGGTCTTTGGGTAGACGTCTCCGTAGCCCACGGTGGTCATGGTGATCACAGCCCACCAGAAGGACTGCGGGATACTGGTGAACAGAGTGTCCGGGTGGTTCTGCTCCATGGTGTACCCCAGGGCGGAGAACAGGAAGACCCCCACACCCATGTACATGAGGAGCAGCCCGAGCTCCTTGAAGCTGCTCTTCAGAGCTGAGGTCAGGGTCTGGAGTCCGGACGAATGTCGTGCCAGCTTGAAAATGCGCGCAATGCGCATAATGCGTAAAGCCTGCACCGCCTGCTGCACGTTCGCCAGCTCCATCACCCCTGCGCCGAAGCAGGTGAGGATGAGGACCACGTAGAAGGGCATGATGGCCATGAAGTCGATGATGTTCATGAAAGCCAGGACGAATTTGACTTTGTTCGGGGAGGAGATCAGGCGCAGCAGGTACTCGATGGTGAACCAGCCGATGCACACCGTCTCGATGACCTCCAGAGTCGGGTGCTCCGTCAGGTGACCCTCCGAGTCCTCCACCTGCAGGTCAGGGATGGTCCCCACGCACATCACCACAGAGGAGACCAGGATGAAGATAAATGAGACTATGGCGATGATGTGCGCAGGGAGAGAGGAGTCCGGCTTCTCCATCAGCCTCCACAGACACATCTGGAACCGCTGCCAGCCCCCCGCAGACGGATCTCCCTCCCGGTCCACCAGGATAGTTCTCACTTTCTCCGCAATCTCCGCGAGTTCATCCTCCACCTCCTTCAGCTGACATTTACAACATTCATCCAGAAGATCCGAGTCGATCTTCCAGAACTCCATCTCCTTCATGAAGCAGATGGGACAGATCCCTCTCTTCATGTGGATCTCTCCGTAATAGTAGAGCTCTATGATGCACTTAAAGGCTTCGGGGTCTCTGTCAAAATAAAACTCCCCTGTCTCGGGGTCGTAGTCGTCACACAAAGACGAGATTTCTTCGTTGGACTTGTGGGAACAGGTCACCAGTTCAGCCAGCCGGGTGTCCGGGTACCGGTTCAGCACGTCCCCGTACAGCACCTGTTTCACCCCGCCGATGTTGACCACGATCTCCGTCTCCTCACTGGCCTCGGAACCGTTACAGTCCGCATACCGGGTCCTCTGGATCCCCCACATCGTGCTGTCAACAAGTCCGTCAGAGAAAGAGTCCAGATTTTTCCACAGAAGTGTTCTGATGAAGTGGTCCCTCGTACCCGGGTTCTGTACTCTGAGTCTGTGAGTCGAACCTCCAGACCTCCTTCAGACCCAGAATCAGAAATGTTCTCTCCGAGCGGACTCCGGCTCCTCTCCTCAGTGCAGACCGTGTTGGACTGTGAGCAGTGCGCCTGTGCGCCCACAAAGTTGGCATTGAAGTGCGCGTTTGTAAAGTTACAAAGAACCACACCGAATCACGACCGGAAGTGCCTTTTCAAAATAAACCCCTATGCAAGTTTATGTTCAAATTAAGGCACAAAGACAGGCTGCTCATTTATCTTCAGTGAAAACTTTAACTGGAATTAAAAACAGACGGAATTTAGAGAAAAGTGAAGATTTAGTTTCCTGTTTAACTTACAGCTGTAATAAAAGAGTTGACCTGGATAAAGACTGTAAGACTGTGGGAGATCAATGCAGAGCAACATGATCAAACAAACAATACAGGAACCTGTGCTTTAACACTTAGATGACGGTACGGTAATCTGGTCAAACACGACACAGAGTAATTGAAGTGCAGAATCAGTGTTACGTAAGTGTAACATCAGTAAGTTTAAGTCTAAGTTCAAAATGAAAATGGAAAAGCAGATAAAGACCACAGGAGGAGGAGTTACCGCAGATTCTGTTGTTTCTAACGGTGGATCTAAAATAAAGAAAACACAAACAAACTCTTGAACCAAACCTTAAACTCAGTCTTCTCTCTTTCCTCTGATTCAAGTACAACTAAATATTGAAGTTAATGTGTGTGCACCAGGGGGCAGCAGAGCAGACAGACCACATACACTTTTGTTTTATCCCATAAATTATTATCTGAGAGAAACTAAAAAGAAGGAAACACACGGACCGTTATCACCACAAACCTTTCTAAAAACTAACACAGGTTTACTTATTATCCGTTCTAATGAATTAATCGGTTTCATCCTGAGTTTTTCATCTCATGATCAGTCAGTTCAGACTTTTATTTTGAAGCCTCCTGACTGTTTCCGGCCTCTCTCTGTCTGTCTGCAGTTATCTTGACGCAGCGCAGTGCAGACAGGATCATAAACCTCAGCAGCATGTCATGAATGGAGAAGTAGCAAACAGGGAAATCAGGGATCCGCACTCCGCAGGGATTTCCTCGAACAGCACCGATTAGTCAAAGTTAATCGATTAACATGCGGCACCGAACACAAGCTTCTCAACTCGACTGTGAAGTCTGTGTCACCTACAGAGGAGGAATCATCGTCCATTCTGAAGGGATTATTGTCTCATTAAAACTGAGGACACCCAGAACCAGAGCCGAACCACCTACAGGCCTGAGAGACCCCCTTTTAACAGTTAAACCCAAAAACCGGTTCCTGTTGCAGGAATGAGAGACTTCAGTGATAAAACAGATTAAAGTGTTTTAATCCATAATCTGCTGTAATCTCACCATTTCACCTCCAGCTGTCCGAACCAGAACTCTCGGTTCATTTAACCTGCAGCTTCTGATCCTGAATTATTGATGAGCTGGTGGATCAAACTCTGAGTTTATGGACTGAACTGATCTTGGGCTTTTGTCGCCACCTAGTGGAATTAATATCAAACTGCAGTAATGTCTGTTTTTTTTTTCTCCGTTAGAAAGAAAATAATAGAGGGGGGGTTAAAAGTGGATAGTAAATATAAAAGACAACAATGATAATAAAATAATAACAGGTAATTCTGATAAAAAAGAGTAATGATAAAATAGAGCAACAGAAATGAGCGAGAGATAAAACAATAAAAGGCCTGAAAGGTTAATAAAGAAAAGAGTTCAAGTTTAACAAAAGATAAAAAGACGGTAAAACTGAAATAAGATAAAAGAGGTAAAAGATAAAATACAGAGAATAAGTTTAAATGAACAGAGTGACAGAGTTTGGTTGTGGATTCCTGTGAAATATGATGGTAGAAAACACTAAAGTAGAAATATAAAGAAACTACATTACCCAGATGTTGTCTCCCTGGATTCATTCATAGATTTGAAAGTTGTTGTTTTATGTTGATTCACTTTCTTTAAGTGTTTTTCTGGAACTTCACTTCACACACGCTCCAGTTTAGCTTCAATATGGGAGAACTAAAGATTCAGGCCTGTTTGTGGTTTCTGACCTTATTTTACCCTGCACTAAACTAAAGTTAACACTTTAACTATCATGTTGACATTCAAAGATATTTAAATGAGTCTGATCAGTTAGATATTGAACTGTTTTAGTCTGTATTTCTATCGTCTTTATTCTCTTTTTCTGTCTTTTGACCTTTTTTAGACCTGGTGTTAGTCTTTTATTTCTCCAAATATCAGTCTTCTCTTTAGTAAGGAGCTTTTTCTTTGTTGGAGTATTTGGACACAGTGGCATCTCTGTTTTTCAGTTGTCTATTTGGAAGAAAAAGGTTGTTAAATCAGCATTTCTTGTGTTTTTGGACGGCCATTTTGAGAAAAAGTGTAAAACTACCTGATTCTATGATGAATGTTGTTTTTAACCAGCTGGTAAGTCTCCTAACTGTTGACATATTCCACATGATCAGCAGATCAGATGCCTCTGACTCCATTTTAACTGCACTAAACTAAAGTTAACACTTTTACCATCATGTTGCCATTCAAAGATATTTAAATGAGTCTGATCAGTTAGATAGTGAACAGTTTTCTGCCTTTAGTCTGTATTACTATCGTCTTTATTCTCTTTTTCTGTCTTTTGGGCTTGTTTTTAGACCTGGTATTAGTCTTTTATTTCTCCAAATGTCAGTCCTTTCTAAAGTTAAGAGCTTTTTCTTTGTTGGAGTATTTGGACACAGTGGCATCTCTGTTTTTCAGAGCCTAATTTAGAATAAAAAAGATTGTTAAATGAGCATTTCTTGTGTTTTTCGACGGCAGGTTTGATTGAGAGGTTAAAACTTCCTGATTCTGTGGTTAATATCGTTGTTTAACTGTTGCTAAGTCGTCTTATTGTTGACTTATTCCACGTGTGCAGCAGCAGCAGCAGCAGCAGCAGCAGCAGCAGCAGGTTGTTTGTTCAGTCTGCTTTAGTCTGAATCAGCCTTACCTGCTGCTGCAGCTCCTCTCTCTGCTCTTCTTCTTCTTCGGCTTCTCCCTCCTTCCTCCTCCGTCTTCAGCGTACCGGCACCGTAAACTACACGGCGCACGCTGATTGGCTGCGGCTCAGCGCTGCCCTCAGCGGACCAATCAGCGCGGGCCACGGTGAGCTCTTTCCTCATCTACTTTGGCGTCTCCGCAGCAGCAGCGGCAGCAGCGGCAGCAGGAGGCTGAGAGTGTTTGCTAACAGGAGAGGAGAAGAGCTGAAGAAACCATGAGAGAGCTGATTTTAGGTGAGTCAACACTCCAACACATCTTTACTCTCTAAGTATGAACTTCTATCTGACACCTTTGTTCATTTAGAGAGGTTTTAGCAGCGGTTTAGCTCCTGTAGTTAGCTTTACTTGCGAAGTTTAGGTGTATGAAAACAGAGTTAGGCCTCTGTTATCGACAAATCAATGAATCAATAATCAATAATGTCTGTTTTACTTTATTTCCTTCCAATGAGGAATAATCTAGTGAGCTGCTGTGACTCGGGTTAACCCTCGAACACTAAAGTTAGTAACACCATCACTGTGACTATCGGGGATTTTTAACTTAAACAATGAACCCAAGAATCCAAATACATCAAAACAGGAGAAAACAGGAGGAATTAAAGTCCTTTTATTTTAACTGTGTGATGTCCAAAGGGAGGGAACAATGTGACACGGGGGGACCAGATAAAAATACAACAAAATCACTGAAATTAGGAATTCATCAACAATAATCTATCTATCTGTAGATAGATAGATAGATAGATAGATAGATAGAGAACACGAGTCTGTAGGAAAAATCAGGTTTTGGATCAGAGAAACAAATATGTCTTCAAAGATGTCAAAGGAAACACTGAAGATACTCAGAGACCCGTGATACTCAGACAAACACAACATCAGGAACATCACCTGGAGATCATCTCCGTAGGGTTAACGTTGTTCTCTCAGTGCTTCACCTGCTGCTCAGACAGGCCTTCACAGTTTTCTGGATGATCGTTCACCCTCATCATCTCCACCCTCATCCTCAGGGGTGCTGGTCTGCTCCCTGGTCCTGTCTGTCCAGGCTCTGTACTCATCCTCAGACGATGTTGTGGAGCTCACTCCCTCAAACTTCCACAGAGAGGTGATCCAGAGCGACAGTCTGTGGTTGGTGGAGTTTTACGCTCCCTGGTGAGTCCTCCTAACTTTCCCTTTGTTCAGAGAAACCTCAGATCAGCTGATCCAGGACGCGGTGGTGTTTATAACTTTAGTGTCAAACATTAAATTCGACATTTGAATGTTGACTTTAAGTTGGAGTCCTCAGTGGCTCCTCCTTCAGAAACGTTACCTGTGATCTGAGGACACGTGTCTGTAAATGTAAATGTTCTTTACAACGAACCTTTCAGTGAACCAAAGTGCTTTACAATACAGAGTAAAAAGGAATAAATAAAAACAATAAAAAAATAATAAATTACAGTGCAATAAAATAAAATGTCTCCACTCTACTAACGATTAAAAACCAGCATAAATAAAAACGTTTTTAATCCGGATTTAAAAAGGCTCAGGTCAGACATGAGTCTCATTTAGGTGTGGAGTTTATTCCAGAGTCTGAGACCAGCGACTGAAACGTCTCGGTCACCAAAGTGTTTGTGTTTTGACCTCCAGCAGACGTCGGTTTGACGACCTCAGAGCTCCACTCAGCTCCTGAGCGGTTTAAAGGTCCGTTAAATAGATGGAGGCGAGGCTTTTAAAAGAGGTTTAAAAACAAACATTAAAAGTTTAAAATCAATGAAGGGAGCTGAGGACAGGAGCTCACATCTGTTAGTGTTAAAAGACGGGCAGCAGAATTTTGGACCAGCTGCAGGAGACTAAGAGATGATCGGGAGATGCCGACATAAAGTGAATTACAGTCGAATCTTGACCTGATTAGAGCGTGGATGGTTATCTCAAGGTCGTGACGGCTTAAAAACATTTGACCTTGGCCAGGAGACGAAGTTGGAGGAAACTAGTCCGGAAAACATGATCATGAACACACACAGTCAGCGGCTTTAGAGCCTGAAATGAAGTCTGGAGAGGTTCAGACGTGTTCACGCTGATCTCAGTGTAAACGGATCATTTCCTGAATTTAGTGATTTACTGATTTGACGACATGTCAGGATGGAGTCAGTTACTCAGACGTGTGGAGATATTCTGAAATTAAAATCCTTGTTAATACAGAGCGTTGAATATTGTCTGCATGTGTTAATATTGGATCACATGACCTGATGATTCATGGGAGTGACAAAGACTTCAGGTCTGTTGGAGTCAGTCCGTCTAACGTGAACTCATGGCTCTTCTCCTCCTTCTCTCTCAGGTGTGGTCACTGTAAAAGTTTGGCCCCGGACTGGAAGAAGGCGGCGACGGCCCTCAAGGTAAACAGAGAGTGTGTGTGTGTTCGTGTGTGTGTGTGTTATCAGCATTGTAAGTCAGCGCTGAGGAAAGCAGCTGGATGTGAGACGTGGGCGAATCTTCCTGAATATGAATGATCTTCAGACTCTGATTATTTAATGACGGTTTATTTATCGAAGAGAGTTTATCTCCTTTATTATTCATCATCTCTGAATCATGGTGACAGAGATGATAAATTAAACACCGACCTGTTTGTCCTTCAGGGTATCGTGAAGATTGGTGCAGTAGATGCAGACCAGCACAACTCACTGGGAGGCCAGTATGGAGTCAGAGGATTTCCCACCATCAAGATCTTTGGAGCCAATAAGAACAAACCGGAGGAGTACCAAGGTGAGATGACCGAGCGAGTCCAAACACACGCTTAGTTTGATGAATGATCATCACTCGTCTGCTCTGAAACCTCTCAAAGTGATTGTGAACTCTGCGTGTTCTTCTGTGTCCAGGCGGCCGCAGCAGTCAGGCCATCGTGGACGGAGCCATGAACGCTCTCCGTTCTCTGGTCAAAGAGCGTCTGAGCGGGAAGTCCGGCGGCTCTGGTTACAGCAAACAGGTCAGAGTCGACAGTCAAGTTTGATGATGAAGCTCTTCATAACTTTCTCTGATCATAACGAACGAACGCTCGGCTGTCTGCCAACAGAGCGATGGCGGCAGTGCTGGCGGCAGCAAGAAGGACGTGGTGGAGCTCACCGACGACAACTTTGACAAGCTGGTGCTGGAGGGCGAGGAGGTGTGGTTGGTGGAGTTCTTCGCCCCCTGGTGTGGACACTGTAAAAAGTGAGTTTGATTCTTCTGCACAGTCCATGACTGATGGTCTCCTAAAAGGTCGTATCCTCCGATCGTAGCTGATCGTAACCATTCAAGTTAACGTGTCAATTTACACCGACTTCTTTCCGTTCCTCTGCGGATCGCCGGACTCCTCAGCTGATCACAAGAGTTCTATATTCCACATTTTAACTGTTGTCAAAAATCTTTGTCTGGATGGACGCAGATGTTCCTCATAAACCTGGAGATGTTGTCTAAAACTGAGGATGCAGCATCTAGGATTTCTAATTCTTCGTTGAAAGGACAGCTTTCCTTTCCAAAAGAGAGTTACCCCCGACCTCCACCTTCATCCTGATCGTCTACTAAAAGGTCGTATCCTCCGATCGTAGCTGATCGTAACCATTTAAGTTAACGAACGTGAATCCGCAGGTTCTCGTGAGTTCTCGTGATTACAGCTGTCCAAAATCTGCCATAAAATTCGCCTCACAAACAGATCTGGTAGGAATTAGCAGACGGCGAAAATCGCAGCCGTTCAGGATGTGGTGAGTAACACCTCAGCCCGTCTGATTTCAGAGATTTCTCCTCCACATCAGGACAGAAGATCTGTCTCTGATCGTCTGAGTTTTTCTTTGAGTCTGACTCACAGACTCTAAAAAACTTTGGAGGAGGAGGAGGAGGAGGAGGAGGAGGAGGAGGAGGAGGAGGAGGAAGAGGAGGAGGAGGAGTCACTGTCAGGTTGGCGCTCTCCTCTGTTTTTAAGCTCTCGGTTCCTCCTGACCTTCGCTCTCCTCTGTCTCCCACAGCCTGGAGCCTGAGTGGGCAGCTGCAGCTTCAGCCGTCAAGGAGCAGACCAAGGGCAGAGTTCGCCTGGGAGCCGTGGACGCCACCGTGCACCAGGCCGTGTCCAGCCGCTACGGGGTCAGTGAGAGTCGGCGAGGTCCTGACTCTGCAGCACCTCATGGGAACGTAGACGTGTGAGACCGGAGTGAAAAAGGTCCAAGAGTGACGGCGGCTTTTTCTCTCTCTGAGCAGATCCGAGGGTTTCCGACCATCAAGATTTTCCGTAAAGGGGAGGAGCCTGAAGACTACCAAGGAGGCCGCTCCCGCAGTGACATCATCGAGAGGGCCATGGACCTGTTCTCGGATAACGCTGCTCCTCCTGAGCTGCTGGAGGTCCGTACCCGTGTGTCACCGCAGGTCTGTCTCTTTGAATCCATCATCTCTGTAAAAACGTCTGACTGTGGTTAACCTCCGTCTCAGATCCTCAACGAAGACGTCCTGAAGAAGACGTGCGAGGACAGTCAGCTGTGTGTGATCGCCGTCCTGCCTCATATCCTGGACACAGGTGAGAGCGGACACACTCGCACTGATCATCATCATTCACCTGTGAGTCGCTGACCTTCTTCTGCTCTGACAGGTGCGGCAGGTAGAAACGGTTACCTGGAGGTGATGATGAAGATGGCGGACAAGTACAAGAAGAAGATGTGGGGGTGAGCGGCGGGGGAGACGGTCACATCAGAACGACACAAACGAACAAACATGGCGCTAACTAACCGCTGCCTCTCTCCCCTCAGCTGGTTGTGGACGGAGGCCGGCGCTCAGATGGAGCTGGAGGCCGCTTTGGGCATCGGGGGATTCGGTTACCCCGCCATGGCCGCCATCAACACCCGTAAGATGAAGTTCGCTCTGCTCAGAGGGTCCTTCAGCGACACCGGCATCCACGAGTTCCTCAGGTAAGACCACCTCCACCTTTTTTTCTTCACAATGAAAAGAGTCCAGATCTCCTCCACATGGTTCTGATCGGGTCCATCTGCCCTCAGGGAGCTCTCCTTTGGACGTGGATCCACTTCCACCCTGGGAGGCGGGGCCATGCCCAAGATTGTGGCTGCTGAGCCCTGGGATGGCAAAGACGGGCAGGTGAGTGGGAGCATCCAGAGAGAGGCGGAGCTATCATACAGAGGACTGATCTAACTCGGGTTCGACCTGCAGGGTCTTAAAGAAAAGTTTATTTAAAATCAGTGTCAGAAAAATCTCTGCAAAGATCTCTGAAATACTTCTCCACATCTGGAGAAACATCTCGAAGTTCCTCTGACCCTCAGAGTTCTCATCATTGAAACGTCTCTGTGAGTTCAGGCTCAGACCTGGATCATGGAGGTCTAACAGAGTCCCTCTACGGTTTCTAAAGAGTCCAGGAGTCCGTGTTGGTGGTCCTTCTAAGTTTCTGCTCTGTGTCCACAGCTTCCTGTCGAGGAGGAGTACGACCTCAGTGACGTAGACCTGGATGATGACTTTGAAAAAGACGAGCTATAAGCCCAAACGGGGCGGGGTTTGATCCAGACTGGGTTGGTTGGATCTGGTCTGGTCCGATCCTGAGGGACCCGCCTCCCCTCTCCTGTGGACGAATGGGAGGCCTGGTCGCCCAGTTACTGAAATACTCCAGAAAGACACAAGAGAGACACCTGCAGTTTCTCAGATCATCTCTGTCTGACACACGGGAGAGAGAGGCTGAACTCTGAACATCAGACTCTGCAGCCCAGGAGACGAGGGATCAAACTGTACATGTGTTTTTATTTTTGTCACCTGATGTGAGTCTTTTTCTTCTTCTTAAACCAGTACGTGTGGATCTGGGTGGGTTTGCTTCCTGTCTGTTCAGGATCAGGGGAAACTGTGGGACTTCTTGTGTAGATTTTTCTTACACGACTTTATTTCAATTGTGTGAAAAGAAAACGACATTTTTGTTACAAAAATAAAAAGGAATAAAAACAAAATCACCTTCTGCCCCCTGATTCTCGAAAAACTGAAATATCTCAAATATCTTTTATCTCAAAAATTAAAATATCTGAAACAGTTGGAAATATTTAAAGTATATGAAAAATCTGAAATATGTAAGATATCTATAATATTTAAGAAATCTGAAATATTAAAAATATCTTAAATATTTCAAATGTCTGAAAAAATTTAAGTATCTGGAATATTTGAAATACTTAAAATAACTGACATATTTTAAATATTTCAGATATTTGAAATACTTAAAATAACTGACATATTTTAAATATTTAAGATATTTGAAATACTTAAAATAAGTGACATATTTTAAATATTTAAGATATTTGAAATACTTAAAATAACACATTTTAAATATTTCAAGTATCTGAAATATTTGAAATACTTAAAATAACTGACATATTTTAAATAGTTAAGATATCTGAAATATTTGAAATACTTAAAATAACTGACATATTTTAAATATTTAAGATATTTGAAATACTTAAAATAACTGACACATTTTAAATAGTTAAGATAGCTGAAATATTTGAAATTGTTAAAATAACTGACATATTTTAAATATTTAAGATATCTGAAATAGTTAAAATAACAGACATATTTGAAATATTTAAAATATTTGAAATACTTAAAATATCTGAAACATCTCAGATATTTAAAAATATCTGAAATATTTAAAGTATATAAAATATCTGCAACATTTCAAATATCTGAAACATTTCAAATATCTGAAATATTAAAAATATTTCAAATATCTGTAATTCTTTAAATATTTAAAATGTTTGTAATATTTTAGATATCTGAACTATTTGAAAAATTTAAAATATCTAAAATATTTCAAATATTAAAAATTTCTGAAATATTTAAAATATTTCAAATCTCTGCGGATCACTGATCAGCACATGCACTAACAGAGGCTAACAGCTGCAGCTTTCAACAACAACAACAACACGGTCACCATGGATGTACTCATGCTGTAGTGTAACTGTAGTGTAACTGTAGTTTAACTGTAATACTTGATCCAGTCAGCAGAAACACACGGATGGCACTTCACTTAAAGGAGGAACAGAAAGACCTGAACCAGGAGCACGTCAGAGTCCACAGGGAGCAGGGAGCAATACTGAGGAGGATCTCCATTAATGTAAACATTCAGACGTTCAGGAGTGACGATAGAACTAAAGGACCGTCTGTCCAGGTGGGTGTGTGGACAGGTGAGCCTCTGAAGGTGGGCGGGGCCTGTCATAGTCTCTGTTCTCAGAACTGGCGGGAGGCTCCCTGATCCGACTGCAGGAGTCTGACGATGGACGGGTCGCTCTTGGCACCTTTGATGAACTCCTCCAAAGACAATCTACCTGTGGAGCAGAGACCCAAAAAAGGTCAAAGGAAGTGGGCGTGTGTGAAGGAGGGTGAGAGACGAATCAACCAATCACTGACGCCCAAAGAGAAGCTGCAGAATCTGACCCTGAAATCTGTCACATCAAGATCCACATTCAGGAGAAAGTCAGGACACAACCAGCAGGGGGGGCTGTTACACTGTCACCATGGTAACAACATCAGAGGGAACAGGAAACAGCTGTGATTGTTTTTGGTCCTTTTTTTCAAATGAAAACTGAATCTAACATCTGAAACACAAACAGAACCGGTTTAAGGTCCGATTAATGATTAATGTTTCCTGTGACCCGATTCTTTCCAGAACACACGGTCTGGACCGGTTCTGACAAAGACCGGTGAGTTTAGAGGACCAGTCAGTGCAGTTAGGTATGATATCTGGACCTAAACCGGGCTATAAACACGTCCTCTTTCAGAACCAGCCTGGGCCCGCTGCTCTCGATATTGGACTCCTGACTCCTGGCGTGTCCGGGTGAGACAGGAAATGCGTCAGTCCATGTTACATGCATGTCGTGTCACCTTTTCCCGGTAAATGTCAGAGCGCTGGTGTCGGGTTGGCTCAGCAGGCTCAGATGCAGAAGCCCGTTAATGATGCTGTGAGTCATGTGGTTCTGTGACCCAGTTCTCTCTCTCTGCTACACTCGTCTGTGTTTCTTCCTGACCCGCTCAGCGGGACGTCATGACAGAGACGGTAAAACACTTCTCTGATCGTGTGCCTCAGTTTTTCTTCTTCGTGGGATTTCACAGATCACAGCTGTTCAGTGAAGTCTGACCCGCCTGAGACCCAGACGGACTCGTACCTCTACTGAACACTAGGAGGCGCTCACAGGTCATACACACAGATGATAATGTAACTTATAACCACACCCTGTCTAAGGAAGTCAACTGAATGAACTGCTGAGATTCAGAGCTCCCCCTGCTGGGCGGCTTTAGTGTAGACCATAAGCCCCGCCTCCTTTATATAAACATCAGTATTCTGGTCAAAGTGGAACATCATTAACATTAAATCTGTTTTTTCTATAACGTTGTTGGATCGATCTTATCTGCCCACTTTTGTTAAAATCTTATCTTAGAGGATTTGACCTGTTTTGAAAAGATGATCTGCTGTCGGCTCTGTGGACTAACGCAGGTCCTGCAGAGTCCTGCAGAGGGTCCAGTTTGGATCTTATGTGGGTCAGAATCTTGTTTCATGTAAAAAGTCTCTCTTTAAATTCAGTACAGCTGCTGGGTTAGGATCCAGGACTCAGACTCCTCTCAGAGGGGCTGTCGGCGTCTTACCGTCATTGTCGATGTCCATCTGTCTGAAGATCTTGTCCGTCCTTTTCTCTGGGGTGGACTCATCCTCGGGCATCTTCATCACTGATGAAACCATCTTGTAGATGGCCTGTACAGGGACAGAAGGAGGTGTTAGGAGGACATACAGGTGAGCGGTCTTTGTTCCTGCTCTGACCTCTTTTCTGCCCACGCCTCCTCATCATCATCATCATCCTCACAGACCGGGGTGTATCTGCTTTAATTAAACCTGTGTGTGTGTGTGTGTGTGTGTGTGTGTGTGAGGTGGGCACAGACATTGGTTGGTATCCACAAACACTGCAGCCTGAGCCAATATTGATACGCTCCTGCAGGATCAGCTCACTGTATTGGAAAAGTAAATAAAGCCGGAGTGATAAGGAGACGGAGAAAGGGGGACGGACCATGTCCACCATGTGAGGGGAGGAGGTCCTGACAGTCCAGACCTGCTGCATGTTCAGTTTTTATGAAGATCTTCATCTTTGATGGATTATTTAGATCTTTGTTAATTCTGTCCCACAGTCCTCAGTGTGAGGACAGGAGGTCTGTCTGTCTGAGGAGACGGTCACATGAGGATTTGGACTCTGGGTCGGATCAGGAGACTGATTCTTCCCCAAATCAATATAAGAGACACTTATATGAATTAGTTTAATAAACAGACAGAAGAACTGGAGTAGGAGGAGTTTCAGGAGGATCGTATTTCACACCATGCAAACGGGCGGAGACGAACAAGTGAAAGGTTTTTAGACGTCATTTCACCCCGATGACACCATGGATGAGGAGATGCTGATTCTAGAAGTCTAGAAGTAGATTTCCTCCTCTGGAAGGACACAATCTACTGCTTATATGTCTATGTGTCTGTCTTTAGAGAGACAACTCGTTATCATGAGATTGAACGTGAATCTGCGGGTTCTTGTGAGTTCTTGTGATTACAGCTGTCTGTGATCCACCACGAAATTCACCTCACAAGCAGATCTGGTAGGAATTGGCGGACGGCTAAAATCGCCGCCGTTCCGGATCCGGTGGAAACTGGGGGTGAGTCTACAGAAGGAGCTTCTGAGCCACGAGGTCAGAGCTGAGTCTGGGTCCAGGTTTAAAACCCGGGTCCGTAAACCTCCAACAATCAGCCACAGTCTGAGGTCAGAAGGTCACAGATCACCTCCTCAGGTCTTTGTCAAACACAGAAGGTCCCCCCCCTCAGAGAAGATCAGGAGCCTCACTCACCTGGACGATCTCCAGCATCTCCGCTCGGCTGATGTACCCGTTCCCGTCCAGGTCGTACATACTGAAGGCCCAGCGCAACTTCTGCTCCAGCCCACCGCGGGACGTCACGCTCAGGGCGATGATGAACTCCCTGAAGTCGATGGTGGCGTCTCCGTTAGTGTCAAACGTGCGGAAGACGTGCTCGGCGAACTTGGAGGCGTCGCCGTAGGGGAAGAAGTTGGCGTAGATCTTCTTAAACTCCTCCACGGTCAGGTGACCTGTGGGACAGTCCTTCAGGAAACCGCGGTACCACTCCTGCAGCTCGTGGTCGGTGAACTCGGTGTTTTCTCTCAGGTCGTTCAGGACCTCAGGCCGGAGCTTGCTGTTCTGTTTTCCCATGATGCACCTCTCTCAGGTGAGCAGATCCTGGGCCTCGTGTCTTTTCCTGTCTGCTCCGTCTGCTCCTGCAGGAGACCAACAACAACAAGAACCTTCGTTAATATCTTAATGTTATCATGGTGGAGAGGAGGAGGACGCTCCTCACAACGCCACCGCCACAGAACCAACCAGACCACCCCAGGAACCAGACTCAGGAACAACAACAGAAGGATTACCCAGAATCCTCAGGTTCTGTCTGTCTGTGTGTGTGTGTGTATAGATTGTGTGTCCTCAGGCCCAGTATTGATTTATCGACCTCTCCCCCACGGTGGAGGGACCGGTGCCCTGAAGCTTGGTGTTTTACAGTAAAGCCCTCTCCCAGGGGTCAAGGGTCAGGGGTCAGGCTTACTGGGGCTGTTGTTAGTGAGAAGGCCGGACGCTGGTCTGGTCCGGTTTCGTTTATTTTATTTTATTTTTTATCAGGGAGAAACAAACAAAATCACAATAACACATTTGTGTCAAACAAACAAACAAACAAACAAACAAACAAACAAACAAACAAACAAACAAACAAACAAACATGTCCAATCAGACCAACATCTTCTCCAGTCTGTTACCCTCCCTTATATTTTATAATATGTAAATTAAGAACATTTGAACAGTAGATGTCACATTTCCTCATTTTCCTCAGATCTACTAATATCAGTTCTCAGTTGTCTGAGAACTTTAATATTCTGGTACTTCATGTATCAGAGGTATTTAGAGGTATTTAGAGCAGTTCAGCTCTCCGTGTCTCCGACTGTCGTCTCTGAGCGAATGTCCGTCTCTCCATCAGGTCAGTTTCCTGAACAGTTCCTCGCCGGTCTTCAGTGTCGGTGAGTTGGGTTGGAACCACTTCCTTGTTTTCGTCCTCTCTGCTCTGGTCAGTAAAATCTTCATTAGATATTTTTCTGCTTTCACTTGAGTACGTGATGACATGGTACTGAAATACATTAAACTGACACTAAACTGTAAAGTAATTTAAAATATGTATCCAGACAATCATGAATATCAAAAGTTTCGGGCAAACCCAAAATAAATGTTAATGTTAGCTAAATCTGAACCACACATCCTCCACAGTTAATGTGACGTAATAGGATGTTGGAATTCCAGGAGTCTTGAAAACTTTGATATAATCTAGATCTTAATTTCTTCCCAGATTTGTGGTCTGATCTGGTTTCATGTGGAGATGAATATTCTGACTGAGGGTTCAGAAGTACCAAACGAGGACCCTGAATCGTTTGTCCTCCTGGGCCTCTTCACCTTTACTGTCTCTGGTTTATCTACTATCTGTTTCCGTGGTAACGCTCTCTTCATTCACACCAGCAGGAAATGAGGAAGTATACAGGACAGAACCAGGAGCAGCAGCAGGTATTAGACGGGACGCTCAGAGAATACAGCGTGCTGATGAAGAGAGCAGGAGGAAAGTGTACAACGTTGGTGTCAGGAAACGGAGAAAAAAACGCTGAACTTCAGCTTCAAATCAGTAAACTGGCAGAAGGTGGGACAGAGTTGTCCAGAGTAAATACAGTCTATGGTGGTGAGGCTCTGGAGGATGTAGAACATTCTAGAATATCATTCTGGAACATCAAAGACATTCTAAAAGATCAATAACATTCTGGAACATCAAAGACATTCTAAAAGATCAAGAACATTCTATAACATCAAAGACATTCTAAAAGATCAATAACATTCTATAACATCAAAGACATTCTAAAAGATCAATAACATTCCGGAACGTTTGAGAAAATTTTGGACTTTTGGAAACAAACTGGAACAGTCCGGGGGTTCATGTTTTCTATGATTGACACCTGATACAGCCTATGGGAGGACAGAGATTGTGTAGCTGTAGGGGGATACGCTGTTTGAGCCGAGCGTCATCACAGCGACTCTCCTGCCGAACGCGAACAACGCTACGGCGCAATGTTGGTTTCAGGAAGTGGAGAAAAAATGTGGAATTACTGAGAACTTTTCAGCTTCAAGTCTGTAAACTGGAGGAAGGAGGAACCAAGTTGTCCAGAGTAAAAACAGTCTATTGGCCGGACGAGATCATCTCTTCGCTTTATTCTATTTCTTCTCAAACTGTTTATTTTTGACAAACGTATGTTGTGTAAATTTATCTTTGACATGTACAGTTGTTTGACGTACAGGTGTTTTATTTTGTTCGAGATAAATAAAGAAAAAAAAGGAAAAATGTTGACAGGCGGATGGTGAGACTGCTGCTCTGTGGTTTTGAGTGTGTGAAACCTGAGCCAGTCTTTTTACAACATGGATCTAGTAAAGTGTGTGTGTGTGTGTGTGTGTGTGTGGGAGGAGCAGAAAAAAGCACGAGCGGGGGCGAGAGGAAGAAAGAATGGAAAGAGTATGACACATAGGAAGAGAAATTATTCTCAGCTCTACAACACGAGAGCGAGAGAGAGAGAGAGAGAGAGAAAGAGCGCCTTTCCATAATGACCTCTGAATAAGACTCCTCCTCCTCCTCATCCTCCTCCTCCTCTTCCGCCACTCATCGCTCCACCTTTAATGACCCCCCCCCCCCCAATCACTGAGACCCCATCTCTCCAGGATGATTGGATCTGGCGGAGGACAAATAAAATCTAGACGAGGGTTTTTCTTCTACTGTAATTTCCTCATGAGCGGTGGTGGCGGCGGTGGCGGAGGTGGTGGCGGCGGCGAGCAGGTTGGTGGAGCAGAAACCGACTCATGTCACCTCCAGAGGGGAGGAGCATCAATCATCTCAGATCAGCCTGTTTTCACTCCTTCACACACAGAGCTGAAGCCTTTCAGACCCTTCGCAGGGCCGTGTCTGCGGAGGGGGGGCCCAGGGGTGCCTACCCCAGAATCCTCAAATCTGATTGGCTGTTGGATATAAATGATGATTAGTTACTTGGGCTGCTGGTGGTTCATGGACTCTGATTTCTAAGGTTTGTGAGCCGTTGACAGTCTGAGTAAATCTCACAGAGATTCATCCGCCCACTCAGACCAGTGGAACAATATTAGGGAGCTGTGTTTTATTTTGGAGGGTTCATTTTTGTTGGAGGACGAGGATGTAAGAGAAGAAACCGGGGTCAGCGTTAATGAAGTCTGTGTCACAACAAGGGATCGGGTTAAAGCAAAAAGGAAAAGTCCGACTCAGACTTCAAAATGTTCAAAAAAAAAGATTAAAAAGGGAAAAAAAACACAAAGAATCAAAGTGGGGACACAAAAATACACACACATCAACACACACAGACAACAACACACAGACAGACATACACATCGACACACAAACACACAAAGAACCAACAAGAACAGAAAGGAAGACAGGGACTATAAACACACACAGGTAAATGAGACACAGGTGAGACTGATGAGTGAACAAAGGAATCAACTCCTACAACATAAAACAGGAAATAAACAAAAAATCAACTCCTACAAATAAAACAGGAAATAAACAAGAAATCAACTCCTACAAAATAAAACAGGAAATAAACAAGAAATCGACTCCTCCAAAATAAAACAGGAAATAAACAAGGAATCAACTCCTACAAAATAAAACAGGAAATAAACAAAAAATCAACTCCTACAAAATAAAACAGGAAATAAACAAGGAATCAACTCCTACAAAATAAAACAGGAAATAAACAAAAAATCAACTCCTACAAAATAAAACAGGAAATAAACAAGGAATCAACTCCTACAAACTAAAACAGGAAATAAACAAAAAATCAACTCCTACAAAATAAAACAGGAAATAAACAAGGAATCAACTCCTACAAAATAAAACAGGAAATAAACAAGGAATCAACTCCTACAAAATAAAACAGGAAATAAACAAAAAATCAACTCCTACAAAATAAAACAGGAAATAAACAAGGAATCAACTCCTACAAAATAAAACAGGAAATAAACAAAAAATCAACTCCTACAAAATAAAACAGGAAATAAACAAGAAATCAACTCCTACAAAATAAAACAGGAAATAAACAAGGAATCAACTCCAACAAAATAAAACAGGAAATAAACAAGAAATCAACTCCTACAAAATAAAACAGGAAATAAACAAAAAATCAACTCCAACAAAATAAAACAGGAAATAAACAAGAAATCAACTCCTACAAAATAAAACAGGAAATAAACAAAAAATCAACTCCAACAAAATAAAACAGGAAATAAACAAGAAATCAACTCCTACAAAATAAAACAGGAAACACTGAAAACTGATCTAAAGAATAAAACACTGAGAACAGGAGGGAAACAGGGTCGAACTGAAAACTCACAAGACTGGACTACAGAGGAACAGGAACACTTGGGAAAATACTCTAAAAATAATAAAACCAGTGAATAAACTCAATAAAGAGATGATATGGTGACATTATATAGATATGAACGACTCTGTTAAACACCAGAGATTCATGGAGATCATCAGAGATCCTCGTCTGAGCCCCACAGACCTCTGAAAGTGTCAGGTTCATCCATCAGAGAGACGGTGGAGATATTTTGGGTTTGGAGATAAGTGTTGGATAGACCGGACCATTAAGATGACTAACTGGGTTTACCTGGAGCTAAAAATACGACGCTCATCTGAAAAAGACGTGAAATAAAGAGCTGAACTCTAAAGACAGGAGACCTCTGAGTGTCACACTGACAGTATTAAACCTCTCTGTTTTAACAGGGCGGCGGTTTAAATGAGTCGGCGGCGGCGGCGGCGCCCTGCAGGCCTGACCGTTGTCCTTCCGCTCTCACATACAACAGGATGAGGAAACAGCAGCAGCAGCTCCTCAGCGCTGGCTGGGTCACATGGACTTTTCCAGGACAGCTCAGTGTGCAGGCTGAGCTGAAGCAGACATAAATATGGGCGTTGCTATTTATTCCCCTTAAGCACACAAAGCCACATAAAAAACAACCCTGAATATTCACGGCTGAAGGGAAACTGCTGCCAGGATGTTTTAGACACTCTTTAGACAAAATCTATTTTCTTAATCTGAGAGGAGAAGGACAGCAGTCAGACATTTTCAGAGGCTTTGGCACACAGTCCAGATTCTTCTAAACTTTTCAACATGCTTATTAAAAAAACAGAACCAGATCGGAGGAGTGGCAGTTTGGACCGCCGGTTATTCCTCTGTGAGCGTTTGAGACGTGGTCACAGGAATTTTGCGAGTTTTCACAGCTGAACTCTGGGAAACTCTTTTTTTCATCGCTGCTTCTCGCAGTGGAAAAAGTGGTCAAAAATAACCTCTGCAGTATCGCCATCTTCCTGTCTGAACGTGGAGGAGAAGCTCAAACACACTCAGAGTTTGATTCAGATTCTCATCAGCGTTTCCCTCGATGACACAGAAACAGCCTCTGAACCCGACCCCCAAAGTTCTCTGAGGTCCACTTTGTCCAGAAGGTTCACTCACTAATTGGACTATTTCACACAGGCTCCAGGCAGCACCCCCCCCCTCCAACCCCACAAAGAGCTTCTGTGGAGGCTCTGTTGACCTCTGACCTCCCTGGGTTCACTGCTGTTTGCAGCCGCCATGTTTCCTGGCTGATACTTCGCCATGACACAAAAACGTTTCCTTCTTCTCTCAGTCGCTCAAACACCAAAGAAGGTTGAAGAGAAGGTTGGAGATACCTGAGGCAGCAGGTCTGCAGGTGCTTCAGCAGACAGACTCCACCTTCAGGTCTTTTTTTGTCACTCCACTGGACTCTGCACGGTTTTAGGGGTTTCTGTTAGGTGGTAGGGCCCAGGACCGGGTACTTTTCTAGTACCTACTCCACCTTCATCCTGATCGTCTCCTAAAAGGTCGTATCCTCCGATCGTAGCTGATCGTAACCATTCAAGTTAACGTGTCAATTTACACCGACTTCTTTCCGTTCCTCTGAGGATCGCTGGACTTCTCAGCTGATCACAAGAGTTCTATATTCCACATTTCAACTGTTGTCAGAATCTGGTTTGGGATCATCTGAAGGTCTTTCCTGAAAACATCTTTGTCTGGATGGACGCAGATGTTGCTCGTAAACCTGGAGATATCGTCTAAAACTGAGGATGCAGCATCTATGATTTCCAATTCTTAAGTAAGTCCAGCTGTCCTTTCCAAAAGAGAGTTACCACCAATTTCCACCTCATCCTGAGGAGATGCTGATTCTAGAAGTCTAGAAGTAGATTTCCTCCTCTGGAAGGACACAATCTACTGCTTATATGTCTATGTGTCTGTCTTTAGAGAGACAACTTGTTATCTTGTGACTGAACATGAAACCGCCAGAAAATTCGCCTCACAAATGGATCCGGTAGGAATTTGCGGACGGCGAACATCGGCGCCGTTCTGGATCAGAGCCGTTCCAGATGTGGTAAAAATTGGGGGTTAAGGCTAATGATTGGCCGGGGAGGGACGTTGCTGGATGAGTCATTGGAGCTCCTCCTCCACAATAATCAAACCCGCCATTTTTCTAGCCTGAGAGCAGAGACTGTGCGTCGTTATTACGTCTGTGAGGTTCACCATCACCTCAGCGTCCTCCATTGTTGGGTTGGGTTCGGACGCCGCCTCGTGATGATGACTCCACCCACTCTGGGGTCGTCATCTGTATTCAACTGGGGAGGAAAACCACCCAAACTGAGTTGAGTGAAGTCGTGGTGAGTCGTGTGAAAACTGTGTAATAAAAAAACAGCAAAAGTTGACATCCGAAGCCCCGCCCCTTGATTCTGATTGGTTGGTGGTAAAGATGGGACATTGATGGGTGGAACTGGACCTCAATAAAGTCCAGTCCAGACTGACCAAAGATCAGTCCGTCTCTCACTGACCCTTTCATTCACAGAGAGCGGATCACAGCGCCTCCGTCGTCTCTCTGTTGTCGTTGTTCCCTCTGGAATAAATCTGTGTTTGATTTTTGATCCACAAATAGAAACGACTTTTCCCCCACTGAGCTCTGAGACACAGGAAACATTTATTTTGTTCCACTTTTGAATGGAATGTAAATCAGACAAACTGATCCGGTTCAGAGCAGAGACAGAAAGCAGACTTCCCAGAGCCCTGCAGCCCCCCCAGCCTGAAGGACCGTGAGTGGGCTCCGACAGGTAACTAAGACACGAGGCATCAGGTGGGTGAGGGGTCGGCAGAGTCAGGAGGAGCAGCTCTGCTCTGTAGCAGTCCTCCTGATCAAGTGTCAGAGAAAACCGTGCAGAGGATCAGGATGAGGTCCCCTGACACACCAGTCGTCAAGGCAACAGGATAGTAGTGCTACGACTTGTGCGAGGGAGGCGGCGCAGCTATCAATCCAGGGCAGGTACAGGGCAGAGGATATATAAAGACTCTGGAGGAAAAGGAACATTTACGCTGTTTGCTTTTGCTTCATGTGTTTGCAGTCTGATAAAGACCGCCGCTCTCATAACCTGACGACGACGCAGACCGCTCTTCACTCCATTTTATCTGCTTTTTACCTACTGCGCCATACAGACACCCCATCTATCTAAATATCTATCTATCTATCTATCTATATATCTATATATTTATCTATATCTATATCTATATATATCTCATAACTGTTTTAGTAAACATCCACAAAGCACAGTTCTGATGAAAGCGGTTTGTTTGTAAAGGATGTATTATGATCTAGTTCTTGAATCGTCACGTGTTGCTGGAGTTTGTAGGTCATGTGAGTTTTAATAGAAGCTGCAGCAGTTCCTCCAATGATCTTCAGATTCATTTAGCAGGTTTAGATCTTTGTCTTATAAGCTTTAATAATTAAAAATGTGCTGAAGGTTAAAGTTTGTGAATTCAGACCTTGTTTTTGGACAGAGCTGAGAGTAAACAGGAGCGTGCTCAGACGATCACTAAACTATTTCTGAGTAATGAGTTTAACAGACAGAGTTCACTGAGCAGGTGGAGAATTGTCCCGCTCTGTCATTGTTAGGTTTAATGTACATTTGTTAGTAGATCACACTGTTTTATTCCGATTAAAGATCATTTAACAGTCTTTTAGCTGACTAAGGTAGTTATAGAGGATGACTTAAAGTGTGATTGGGGTCAGAGGTCAGGGACCCTGAAGCTTCACATTAACCCTAGAAGACGATCTCCGGGTGATTTTAACCCTCTTAAACCTGTTTTTAGGTGATGTTCCTGATGTTGTGTTTGTCTGAGTATCATGGGTCTCTGAGTATCTTCAGTGTTTCCTTTGACATCTTTGAAGACAGATTTGTCTCTCTGATCCTAAACCTGCTTTTTCCTACAGACTCTAGACTTTAGTGATGGAGGGTAAAGTAGGTTTGGGTGGTTTTTTAGCTGCATGTAGAGAATAAGGTCAGTCAGAGTGGTCCTGGAGTTTACATGTTATCTTTATTTAGTGCAGTGGTTATGAATAACTATCACAAAGTCGTGATTTTTAAGTGAATTCAGATGGAGATAAGAAATATTTGAGTCAGCTTTAATCATTTTTACTCCAAATCTGACAGATTTTGGTTCTCTCTCCTGTTATTGTGCCGAGGAGCCTGAGTCTGAACCAGGGAAGACTCACATGGAAAAGAAAATAACTTTACAGTTTATATATTTAAATATATTTTAAGTGATTTTTATTGATGAATGTCTAATTTCAGTTATTTAGTTGTATTTTTCTCTGGTCCCCTTATGTCACTTTTTTCCCTCCCTTTGGACATTAAACTGTTAAAAATAAATAAAACGACTTTAATTTCTCATGTTTTGTCCTATTTTGATCTATTTTGATGACAAGGACTTTTTCTTGGGTTTATTATTTCAGGTAAAAACCATCTGATAGTGATGGTGATGGTGTTTCTCATTTCAGTGATCTCGGGTTAAACACTTGGACTAAAGTCAGAAACTGAGGTGGACTTACCTGAGGTATAGTAACGGTTTTTCACCAGACTTCCGGATCAAAGTCCACACCTTAAGCCCACTCCGAGACTCTAACTGAACCGTTAGCTGAGCCGAGTCTGAGACCCGTCCGAACCTCAGCCCAAAACACTCTGGAAAAGTCCAGAAAGAGGCGGAGAGAAGATGTTCCGGTCGGTCCGACTGTTCCGGAGAAAGGAGGTGAAACAGTCCGGGTCAACAGAACAAAAACAGTTCCTCCTGTGCTCGGTCCAGTCCTCGGTACTCCGGCTCTATCATTCAGGGAAGATGTGGCACTGAGCTCTACTGATGTTTCCTTCGCGAACGATTCGTTCAAAAGAGTCGAATCTTCTACGTGAACATACTGAACCGAATCATTTCCTCGAGTGATTCTTTTGTTTCTCATTTCAGAAACAGCATTGCCAGTCGAGCAGTCAGTGATCAAGGAACCGCATGTACCGACACCTGAATCACTTGGTGAACGAATCGCACATTGAACTACACTCTCAGGAATCATTTTTGTAGGACAAAACTAACTTTTTTTTCACTGCTAAATTGCCAACACAACAACGTGCATATTCTAGTCTATTCTATACAATAGGACACAGCAGGTAACAAGTAGTTCATTAAACCCACAGCATCCTAACACTGCAGCGGTTTGTGAGGGAATGATTCATGTTCAGTTTGAATTCCCCTAAACGTTCAGTGAACGAATCACTCACTGAGTCCAGTTTACTGAGCAGACCTGATAAATATTAAACCATAGGACACTTTCAACATCATGACTTATAAACAAGTTCATTTTTAAGAATCTGTTTGTCAAAGAAACACAGACACTCTGGTCTCCAGGTCCCAGAAGCTGAACCCTGAACTGTTCTTCAGTTCAGAAGGTCGAAGTCACAGGCTCCTCCCATCATGTGCTACATGATTCAGTGATTCGGTGACCGAATCTTTTGAACGAATCATTTTTAGTGAACTGACTCTAGTGATTCAGTACATCCAAAAGAACTGCCGTGCCCATCTCTACTGAGCTCGGTTTTCATCCGACTTCTCGAAGTTCCTCCTGGAGGGGTTCCGTTTCTTCTCTCAGACCACATCCCGGATCATTTCGGTTTCATTTATGGACACAGAGTCTATAAACTCGGGTTAAAGATCCCTGTGGTCCAGTCTTTTCGGGGTGTCATGAAAACCTGCACATGTGTGGTTAGTGTTTTGTGCTCTGACTCCCCCCACACACACACTCTGAATGGAACAGTCCACTCCCTGCTTCTTCCTCCGTAGAAACCGTCTCAGCAGCTCTGTGTCCACATGGAAAATCATCTCTGGAGATTATTCTTAGCACCATATCTAAAATAAACGGTCCTCATTTCAGGGACACGACGGAAACAACGAGAAACACAAACAAACTGAGACAACTGTACACACATTATTCATTTAATAAAAACACAAATAAAGTTGTTTTCTGAAAAATTTATCCAGATGTTTCAGTTTAAATGACTCATTTGTGTTCAGTTCTGTTCACACACTCCTGTAAACATGTCAATTCAGTTTTCTTTCCTTTGACAAAAGATCAAGATTAGACATCTATTTATTTATTTTCTATGTACAGTCAGCAGCACCAGTCTGAGAGATAAAACCTCTTTACTCAGTTTTAAACACACCTCAAGTTTCTCTAATGGACTGATTCAGACTGAGAGGAGGCGGTAATAGGACATATAACCTAAGGTCTCCCTCAGCCTCTCTGAACATTCACATCCATCCATCAGTTCTCCTCGTATGTGAGCTGAAGCTACTCTGTGTGTGTGTGTGAGCATTTCATTGAGTGGATAAATAATTAACTCTGTGTGTGTGTGTGTGTGTGTGTGTCTTCCTGTAGCCTGACACCTGTTTCTATAAGCACGTGGAGTGTTTATCTTCTCTCCCTCAGAGTCGCTTCAGTCCTGACTCACTGTGGGGGGTTGAGGCTGTCATAAACTCCAGGCTGAGGCGTCTTTTGTTGCTGTTGCCAATTTGGAACCTAATGCTGCCGCGCCGTATCCTGATGCTGTTCAGGGATAAAAACAACATTATTGTTGCTCTATCAGCCATAAAGAAGTTCGACTTCACTGCTGTGAGACCAACGATTAACACTGAGGCTGACCTCTAATTATACTTTTACTATACTGCATATTATTACTATCTTGTGTTGTATACAGCGTACATACTTGTATGTTGTAAAACTGTACAAATGCTGCATATTTTGATTCTTTATTTTTACTTATTTTATCTGCTGATTTATCTCCTCTTTCTACTTTGTTTTCACTGGAGTTACTGGAACACAAAGCAATTTCCCCCTGAGGAGTATTCAAGTATTTCTGGTTCTGGTTCTGATTCTATGGGACAGGTACTTCCAACCTAAGGGACTCTGCTGACCTGTTTACACAGCAGAGAGAGGCAGATATCTCCATCTTTAACTAATGTACCACCCTGCTGATCACCGCTCAGGTGACCGTCTGTGTTGGTGCTTTTTCCTCCCTGACAGGTCTTAGAGAACGTGTTACCTTTACCTGTGTGACGGAGGGGGAGATGCTTTCACACCAGGCTCCTCAGGAACATGGAGATCTCCTCTTTGGTCCCGAGGTCTGTGAAGGTCTCAAAGCTCTTCGTGACGCTGAGCCCGTCTGTTTGAAGAAGAGGTTCATTTGACTTCTTTATTACAGTCATCGATGTTAAAAGACGATTTATCACACAAGTTAAAATAGTTCACCATGAAACTAAACAGCACATGTTCGCTCTTAAAGAGACTCATCAGTGATTCAAATAATTCACTGACACAAAGTTTATTTCTTTATCTTGAAACTTTAACCAGAAAAAACCTCTGAGATTAAAAATCTCATTTGTAAGAGTTTCCTGGCGAAGACAGGCAGCAGCACTTTTATAAAGTTACAGACATAAACAGATACAGACAGATACAGACATAACAACCAGCTAAGAGCAGAACATTTTCAGTCAAAGCACTTACAGCTTCATCTTCCTTTAATCTACATTTAAAGAGATTTAAAGAGAGCAGCTCACAAACAGACAGTTCTTTTCTTGGAGCAGATTCCAGTTTCTGCAGGAGCAGCAGATCCAAAACTTCTTTTGCCCGTTTGAAGATGAACTTTAGGGACAGATAGCAAAAGTAGATTTAGTGTCTGAGTCACAGAATTTAGGCTTTAGCTTCCATAACATGAATATGTTAAGCAGGACGAGTACAGCCTTTTAAATCAATATATGCCAATAGTTCAGTCTGCTCATGGTTGGAAAGGGCCACCTGTACTCTGTTCATACCGAGTACAATGATGAGTTAAAGATTTGAAGTTTGTTATGAACCGTAGAGCTCCATGATAAACAGTATCCAAAGATTTAAGACTTTAAACAGATACATGCATGTATAAAACATCTCCATAACCAATCAGAGGCATGAAAGAAGGAGCAACAAGAAAAACAAGATTTATCATGTCTGAAGTAAAAGTTCAGCTACAACCTAAACTTCCAATGTTTCACTGATTCATGATACTGAACGCTGTTGAGCTTTTAGACCCTGAGTTCAGGTTTCCTTTAGTCAGTGTTGTTATTGAAAGTTAAGATTTCCTCCTGCGGGGGGCGCTGTTGCTCACATAGTCTACTTTGTTTTTTCTTGTATTGTAAAAAGCTGAAGAAAAACGGAAGTACTGAGTTAATTAAGTGGCTGAAACACACACACACACACACACACACTGAAAACAGTCTTTAAATGTCTAAAACGATCATTTGCTCAGACTGGCTGTTTCAGTTCAGATCTGGTACCGTCCAGGTCCTGGTGTCATATTAATGTTCTGATCCAGAACAGAAGCAGAAGTATCATGTTTTCACTCAGCTGCTGTGAGGGGATCCAACAGAGGACAGTTCTGGTCTAAAGTGGAGGTCCTGAACTGTTCCAGAACCATGAAGATCCACCAGAGGGTGCTGATGGGCCTGCGCTCAGCTCCTCACTGCGGGTCTGTCTCAGGTCCAATCTCTGCTCACTGTCACCTGTCTTCAGATGAAGAGTTTGTGGTCCTCAGGAGGTGTTGTTATGTCGTTTCATTTCTTCATCTTTAAACTGTAAGCAGTAGATCACTTTGTTGTTGTTGCCGTAGTAACAGACAAAAGTTCTCCATAAAAAAGTTGCTCATAAAAACGGTCTGACCTCTGTCCTTCCTGTGTTCCATACATGTCCATGTCATCCTCCACATGATCGGTGACGATCAGTGAGTGCTGCGCTCATATTGATCCATCTGTCTTTACATTAGACAGAGTGAGGGGCAATGCTCCATAGTGCTGTGTCAATATTGAGGGAACACATGGCACTGAAATCAAGGTTGAACTTGATTGGGCGACAATAACGCACCATTTCTATTATTCTGTGTGTGTGTGTGTGTGTGTGTGTGTGTGTGTGTGAGACATAAACATGTTTAATGTTCTTCATCTTCAGTCAATAAATCCACCCTGAACATTACCCACGCTCCACGTCACTGCTTCATCTGTATACTGTATAAAAACCATATCACTGTGATGAAGCGGTTATTCTGTGTGATCAATAATTAATGAGTTTTTATTCAAACTATAATTGGTTTGTTAACGAGAATATCTGATATCAGAAAACAACATAAGACTGACGGGATTAGACAGCGTGAAAAAAAGTGTGTAACTTTATTAACATCTAAATAAATAATATTAATAATAATAACAATAAAAATACTACTACTAGTACTAGTAATAATAATAATAATAATAAACATAATAATGATTATGATGATATCAATAATATTTAAAAATAAAATAATAAAAAAATAATAAACATAAAAATGATGATAATAATAATAATTATAAAATGATGATTATGATAATAATAACAGTGATAATAATAAAAAGAATGGTATTATTATTATTATCATTATTATTATTAATAATAATAATATTGATTATAAACAAAATAATGATATCAATATTTACAAATAAAAAGATTTTTTTTAAATAAATAATAATAATAATAATAATAATAATAATAATAAAATTATTGTGATAATAATAATAAAAAGAATGGTAATATTATTATTATTATTATTATTAATAATGATAATAATAATAATAATATTGATTATAAACAAAATAATGATGATGATTATGATATCAATATTTAAAAATAAAAAGATTTAAAAACAACAATAATAATAATATATTCATATTATGTCAATAATAATATATATTTATTAATATTTAATAACTGAGGAGAAACAGGATCATTATTGATGCTGTAGAAACATCCTGAAAACACTGAAGGCCTCTAAAGAAAAAGAAGAAGAAGAAGAAGAAGAAGTCTCGGATGTCTCTGACGGACCTCCTCCTCCTCC